AGAGCCAGGGAAAGTACGAAGAGGCAGAAGCGATGCATCAACGAGCGCTAGAAGGGAGAGAGAAGGTACTTGGGCGCGAGCACCCAGACACGCTCGCCAGCGTCAGCAACCTTGGATCAGTGCTCGAGAGGCAGGGAAAGTACGAAGAGGCAGAAGCGATGCATCAACGAGACCTTGAAGGGTCAGAGAAGGTGCTTGGGCGCGAGCACCCAGACACGCTCACTAGCGTATACAATCTAGCCTTCCTCTTTCATCAACAGCAGCACTACCCCACCGCACTTGGACTGTATCAGCGAGCACACGCGGGATATGCGAAGGTGCTTGGAGTACAGCATCCTACTACAGTAGCATGTCTAAAAGACTACGAATCTGCTAGGAAGCAGGAAGGAGTATAGTAAGTTAGCTATCATCAGCGTACAAAGAGTAAATCGAAAAAGAATACCCTTTTGAACTTTATTATTATATCTACGTCTTTCTTAGTTTTCTTTACTACTATAGCCTAGCTTAGCATCGAGGTTGAAACGTTAATAGTGGTATCAGTGTAGGAATAAGGCTACTGTAACTATACTACATTGTATTGTCGCCTTAGCGTCTAAGTTATAGAGATCCTTCTTTAGCATAAAACAGTCTCTTCTCTATAGCACCCCGTGCAGCTCTTGGCTTACCTGTGCAAGCGTCCATCGTGTCCCGACTACGGCAAGTCCTGGCGCCTACGAAGCAACTTTCTCCTCCATCTGCAGGAGCAAGACGAACACACGACGACAACGAAAACAGCAGCCACACGCCGCGAGATCGAGAAAGCGTGGCGGTATTCTACCGATCCTAAGCTGCCGCCTCGGGCGGCGCCAGACTTTCGTTCCCGAGAGGATCCAGACGAGCACGTGTGGGACTACAATTTCAGGGACGATACTGGCAGGGTAATAAAGGGTAGGGGCACGCTGAAGCAGATGGAAATGCATAGGGCTTTACGACGCCGACAATTACAGGGAGCACAGACGGCGTAGCCGCGTTCTTACCGGTGTGGTGTGATAAGACAGCACTCTGTGCAGTACAACGTCATATACAATTACGGGAAGAAGAAATCGAAGGCATTCACTTGATACATAATCTGTGCAACACCCTTGTACTTCAGAAACATGGTGGCCCCCTCATGCATGGAGAAACTCCCGGAATTCTGGCTTCCAACAGCTAGATGTCGGCAAGGCCTAAAAACGTGGACTTTTTTGATTAAGCCTTCTCCCAATAGCTCCGGAACTCGTAAACATGCTGAATCTTGTAATTAAGCAGGGGATAACAGCAGAGGCGCGAACTATCGCCGCGAACGGTTCGATCGACTGCATGCCGGAGACCGTCGTAATTTTCTAGCTGGAACCGAACACCAGATGCAGAATTAGCTAAACAATAGTAAGATAACGTTGATAACATGATAAATTTACGTAGGAACACTCGAGGTACTTAATTAGAGGCTGTGGTTCCGCTACGGCGGTTGTCCCGCTGCGGGTGGATGTACGTTAAGTCATTTCCTCTTTTGGATTTCTCTTTGAAAAGGGGAGTAACCACGTTTTGCCCTTATCGCTCATCTCATGTTGAGAAAGAGATGGGAGCGAGAAACAGTGAGTTCCAAGCGCTGAGTACCAAGCGCTGATAACCGCGTGTTCAGTAAACACAATCACCGATGACTTCGAAAATCTCTCTGAATTGCTAATGTATGACCTACGCCATACGAAGCCAAGTAAAGAGTAGGTGTATCTGGCGTTTGGGCGCCCCGCGCGCCACCCATATAAATGCAGAATATCGTTAAGACAGTCTGCAGATCGTTCCGCTTAGGGCATTATGTCCCGACTGATGGATTCCGCCAAGGGATACGCTGCACCGACAAGAACATTGGCAAGCCACGCTGACTAAATGGCGCTTACTTTTAGACAAGGCAACAGTATAAACAACCCAAGGTGCTACTGAAAGATGATTCACAGCTTCTCAGATAACTCCTCGCTTATTCGTTCAGACACTGAAAATGGTCGCATATACGGTAGCAGTTGCAGGAGGCACCGGCGGAATCGGATGCACCATTGTCGAAGAACTTGTTCGGCAGGGGAAGCACAAGGTGTTAATTTTGGGGCGCGAGGTATATTTCCATGATGGCATTTGTTGGCAAGATTTCGTCATCACTAACTGAACGCTAGGCCACCACCTTACCATCGCTCTCCCTTCCCGTGATCAAAGCCAACTACAACGACCCTGATGCCTTGAAGCAGCTTCTAGAAGCTCACAAAGTCGAAATAGTCATATCGGCGATCATAATCTATTCGGAAGGAAGCAGCAAAGCGCAGCTGAACCTAATTCAGGCCGCGTCCGAGTCCAGCACAGTGAAAAAGTTCATACCTAGCGAGTATGGCGTCAAGTACACTCCAGAGTGCGTGAATTCCCGTGTGTATCCTCCGGCTCTAACACGGATTTGTAGAATACTGGCGTTTCACCCCGCCGCGCAATGGTGGCTTGACGCTGCGGCCGCGCTGCGTAATACACGCATGCAGTTTACTCGGATTGTGTTTGGATGGGTCTTGGACCACTATGGCATGCCGCACGTCAAGAGCAATATGAAGCCGGTCAAGTACGCACTTGACTTCGACAGCCATCAAGCAGCAATCCCGGGCGATGGCGAAACCCCTATCACCTTGCTTCACTCTGTCGACCTTGCGAAGTATATTGCTGCCATGTTGGAGCAGGAGAACTGGCCAGAAGTAAGCGCATTTGTCGGTGATCGGATGTCGTGGGGCGAGATGGTTAGGGTCGCAGAGAGAGTGACCGGTAAGTAACACTATCTATTGGATATACGGGCATTTAGTAATTACGATTTCACAGGCGAGAAGTGGAACGTCAAATACGACTCTATCGAAATGCTGGAGAAGGGGGAAGCTACACTGTTTGAGCAGCCTGAAGGCGGTTACACTGAGTACCCAGAGGCGCGTCAGTTGATATCCGAGTTCGGTCTTATGGCTGTGAATGGCATTATGGATGTCTCTGGGGAAGGCACGAGAAATGAGGAATTCCCATGGATCAAGCCAATTAAGGTGGAGGACTTGATTGAGACTGCTTGGGGTAAGAAGAGCCCGGAGTAACGTAGTTGCGTCGTCTAGGACCACTTCGAAAGTGGTTTCTTTTAAAAGTTTGCTGCGTTACAAGAACAATAGTGCGCTTTACCGTGCATTTGAATTGAGCTAGTCTTAGCGCGATCACTTGACTCCGTTGGTTGGCTCATAACCGAGCGGCACACTCAGCAGCCACTGCATGAGATAGGTTGATATCTAACTCTTGAGATCCGGAACGCGGAAACCTTGAAGCCGTGGTGGAACCTTGACAAATGTGTTATCTGTGGCTTCATACCGTTCTTTCAATTGGCTACTAGTGGCTCTACTACTAAGCGAACCCCTATTTCTCCGGCGTCAATGCGCTACTGCAACAGAGGCCGGCATTCATATAAGTGATGCAAGCTTGCAAACCGCATGGAGGACAACGGCTGGTAGATGTCCAAATCGTAGGTCCTGAGTACTGTACTTGCATCAATACCAAAGGTCTATCAGCGTCGACAGGATGGACGCATTGCAACGCCTACTCGGAAGATCTCCCGCACGACGTTTACCGCCGCCGATTGAGAGCGACGATGTCTACCCCGTTCATATGCTAGACGACACCAAGACGCTTCGGAGCATCGTCGTCACATGGACGCTGTGCTTCAACGACGTGCTGGATGCGCACAATCTCTACGCTTCGCTGTCAAGACTGCTAGAGATTGGAGACTGGAGGAAGGTCGGCGGTCGGTTGAGGTTAAAAGTAAGCTTCTTATTTGAAATCTGCGATTGATCAATCCGGTCAATAGCTGTTGACTCACGCTTTTTTAGGAAAATGGAGAGTTGGAGATCCATGTCCCACGGCCCTTCACAGCGGAACGTCCTGCCGTGTCCTATACTCACCAATCCCTAGCCATGGATATCGAAGACCATCCGCTGGCAAAGACCCTCCCTAAAGCCACTGAGGCCCCGTCTATCCAGTCTGGGCCCCAGGCCTTTCGAACCTTTGCGGCTCGGGAAAATGCACCAGAGACGCTCGAGGACTTTGTCTACACAGACGCGCCTCAGCTGTCGCTCTACATCACTTCGTTTAATAACGCGACGCTCGTGGCGCTCTCATGGCCACACACACTCATGGATGTCATGGGCCAGCAGGCCCTCCTGCATGGGTGGTCTCTGGTGCTAGCTGGGCGGGAGTCGGAAGTGCCGCCTATACTCGGTGCGCGAGAGGACGCGATCTGTGTAGCCGCAGATGCGCCTGTGGAGAAAGAGGAGGAGTACAGCCTGGGGCAGAAGCGGCTGAAGGGATGGGCCATGGCTATGTTCGGGCTACGATTTGCCGGGGATCTGCTGTGGAACCGGGTTGTCGAGACGCGCACCATCTTCTTGCCAAAGAAGGTAGTGGCCGAGTTGCAACGCCAGGCGCAGGGCGACCTAGCCGTTCAGGACCATGGGGCGGAGAAGCCTTTTATCAGTGAGGGCGACGTGCTGACCGCGTGGACACTGCGCGCGGTAGTTTCCTCCCTACCGCAGCCGCGGCCAGTGGCGGCGCTTCATGCGCTCAACGCGCGATTTCGACTCTCGTCGCTAGTCCAGGCTTCCGGTGTTTACGTCCAGAACATGGCGGTGGCAGCCTTCACCTTCGTATCTCCCGAGGTCGCGACAGGACCTCTAGGGCCTATTGCTCTAGAGAACCGGCGTCATCTGATGGAGCAATCGACGGAGTCTCAAGTGCTGGCCTACCTACGCGAGCTACGACGGGAACAAAAGTCTAGCCGCGACTCGGCCTCAATGTTGTACTGCGAGTCCAACGCCCTGCTGATGCCCTTTACCAATTGGACCCGGGCCGACTTCTTCAAGACGGCCGATTTCAGCCCCGCACTTGTGCGTGCCGGCGAGACGGGAGAGTTGAGGAGCAACCCGCCCGGCACCATGGTGTTCCACCACGCGCAATCGATGCGACAGAGCCCAACGGTCAGGAATGTGATCGTGGTGCTAGGCAAAGACCACGACGATAACTATTGGCTAACCGGGACTCTACTGCCCCCAGCGTGGGCCAAGATCGAAGAGGGCCTAAAAAGGATGTGAGAATAACGTTCATAAGGCGAAGACGGGGACATACGATGATAGACAGTAGATGTCCGCTAGAGTAAATTGTTAATATTCATTTAATAAGACGGATACGGAAGATTCTCCTAGATATGGCGACTTATAGTACTTAGAAGAAAGCTTAGCCTTAAGCTAATAACTGTAACTATAGACCTTAATCCAGTTATGCGTATTTCGCTACAGGGCTGAAATCATGGTCTAAGAGTATTTAATAGATAGCATGATTGATAGGCCCGTTTCTTGAGTCGTGACGTCGCGGAGTAAAAGAAGATTGCTCCTTTAGTATAGATTTTCTTTTGCATTCTTAATTAGGGATAAAAGTAAGCTTTTATACTCCTTTAATCTTTAATCTTTTCCTGCGAACTCTTTGCTATCTCTTTAGACTAGCAACCCTAGCACTCTTTTGCAGGATCTTTTAGTAAACGCGTCTTCCTATTACCGCCCCTTTCTCACATTCTGGTGTCCATCCAGGCTGCTTGGGGTAAGAAGCGCTCGGAGTACCGTAGGATTGCGTCGTCTACGGCCACTTCAAAAGTAGTCTCCTTCAAAAGTTTGCTGCATCACACGAGCAATAGTGAGATTTAGGTGTGCATTCGAGTAGGGAATCGTAAGTCATCGGTATATGCAATATGCGCCCCAAACATGAACTCGTGAAGGAAAAGTATGGCCAGGACATAAAACTTTCATGTGCCAAACTAAATGTAGAGGGAAGTTGAGATGAAGATGATCTGGTGTATCTAACGATGGAAGCATTGTTGACATTCTTGAAACTTCTCAGTAGAATAACCCCCGAATACACCAACGCCTCTCCCCACCAGAGTTCATCCATTTACTTCGCAACCTTTCTAAGAACCCGCAGACCACCCCTTCCACTCAGCAGTACTGTTCGACTACACTAAGGTTAGCCGCAGTGAGGAGACAAAGACCGAAAAAGTAGCTTACTGCAGCTGTCGCCAGCATTTTGCTGGCAGCTCTGGTCTCCTCCTGTATTTCCGCAGCCCAGCACTCCGAGCGCTGTACACAAGCCCGCAGCCCTCGCGTCCGCGCAGTACTCTATGACGGTGCAGATCGGTGCCACGGCGCCTCCGGGGTTAGGCGGGTCAGGTGTGTAGCAGTATGTGGTTTCAGATCTGCGAGCAAGTTCGAGAGTGGTCGGAAGGACATTGGTTGTCTTGGTTGGAGCCGGGGCGGCAAAGACGCTTCCTGTGGAAGAGAGGAGGAGAATGCAAGAGATGAAAGAAACACGAGAAGGCATTGTGATTCTGGATTTGCTTCAAGGTCGTCTTGTGAAGTGGGAGGTATTGGCTTTGGTGTGATGGAAAGGAGTTTGAATGGTGGTTATGAAAAGCTACATGTCCGTGACAGCGAGCAGACTTTATAGTGGAACGGCTACAACTTTCTTTCAAGACTGAGTTCCGACGCCGTCCACATAGACATGCGCACTCCTAGAGAATGATAAAAAATCGTAGGATCAGGGCCGGGATACCGTTCCTGTTAACCTTGGCAAGAGACTGCCTGACATCGCCGCTGCTTTTCAGCCTAGCTGTGTTCCTGCAGGATTTCACTGAACTCTGCTTGAAACAAGTTCCCATCATAGGTAAGTCAAAGGACGTAAGACGTAATCTTGTAGCATTGTTTGATGTTTGCGCCTCCTTTCTCGCGCGAGTAACCCCAGTATGAAGCGCATTCTGGCCCCTATCTACGCTAAATCCGCCGCGTCTGATCTCACGGTACTCGAAAGGAAGCTTAGCGCTAGGTTGATGTTTGATGATTGTGGCTATGGACGTGATCTCGTGGAGTGTAAGAAGATCACACCTTTAGTGTAGATTTTCTTTTACGTTCTTTATTAGATAAATAAATATAAGCTTTTCTACTCCTTTAGTCTTTAATCTTTTCCTGCTAACCCTTTACTATCTCTTTAGCCCAGCAATCCTGGCACTCTTTTGCGAGATCTTTCACTAAACGTGTCCTTCTCATCACCGCCCTTTCCTCACATTCTGGCGTCCATCGAGTCTCGATCCCCATGCGTTCCAATTCGCCGAGCTGCCACTGTCGACTGCATAGCTAGAGCCATTCTGGCCATTGCCCCAGCTCCCCCACCAGTCTTTCCATCGCTGGTGCAACGACCTCTTTTCTTTCTTTTTATCAGGAGGTGGAGTAGGCCCGAGAATCGCGGCTATGGTCGCTGCTGAAGCGCCTACAGATTGCGATGCTGGCTGATACGATGGACGCGATGATGCACGCTTTAGACTAGCACTCGGATTCTTGTCGTAGTTTGGTGGTTGGCTTGAAGGCTCGGAGTCGTAGTATTGCGGCAGGGAAGAGTTGTTTTGATATCTCATATTCCCCGGCGCTTGCGGCTGCTCGCTTGTTGGTTGGGTTTGCTTGCTCGTTCCGATTTCTTTGTCCATGGTGCGATAATTGGAGTGTTTCGACGGTGTCTGAGCTTACGCCCGATAGCGCTAACAGTCTCAGGAGTGGTATGCTGACGCTCCCGGCCTCAGACCGTGGCCGGGCGTAGAACGTTATGTATTCCTGGTACGGGTGGTGGATGAACCGGCTGACCTTTTTAGTGGTCCACCTCACAGCCACATCGGGCGATGCGGCACGGATCTTAGCTGCCGGCCATGCCACTCTAGCACATCCTCGTGCCGTCCAAGTGTTGCCAAGGCACATGGTCCCATGTTTGTTAGGTACAAAAGGCAGCAGCTATTGTGCGTCGCACGATTATCTGCGGAGTGTGACGTCATAGGATTCATTAGGGTCTTGGACGTCCTTCGGCGTCTCTTTGTGCGTAGTTTTGGTCACAGCCCCGCATTTCTAGGTCTCAATTTCGGTGCCTCAGTAAATAGTTAGAGCAGTTAGAGCTTATGCAGATCTTCGCCTGGGGATGTAAGCTTGTCAGCTTCGCGGCACAGTTCACAGTTTGGCACAGGGCGGAACAACATCGACGTTCTCTTCCTCACGATACTGTCTATCGCTGAACATTGCTCCCCGCACGGCAGCCCGACATCATCATGGCCCAATCGCTCCCAACTATCCTCTTTCTCGCCGGCGCCTTCGCAGACCCATCCTGTTTCGACGCGCTCGCTGCTGAGTTCAACAAAGCTGGCTATTCAACCGTCTACGCTAACGTCCTTACCGTAAACCCGCCGGATCCCGCCGCAGTCTCGGCATCGAAAGATGCGGCCCACGTTCGCGAAACAGTCCTGCTACCTCTTTTAAACGATGGAAAAGAGGTCATCGTGTTCGTCCACTCTTATGGCGGGGTCGTTGGAGGAGCCGCAGCTGCCGGCTTAAGCAAAGCTGCGTGGGAGGCGGAGGGTAAGAAGGGAGGTGTCATCGGACTGCTATACTTGGTTGGTGTTATGACCTGTGAGGGAGAAGGCCTACTGCAAGCTGTAGGAGGAGCATATCCACCTTTCATCAAGCAAGACTATGTATGTCGAGGCCGTGTCAAACTTCTACTGGAGCTGACTTTTCCGAAAGCCATCCAAGGGCCTCGCAGTCATCGATCCAGTCATGGAAACCTTATATGGCGACGTCGATGCCGCCATGAAGCCAGAGATGGAGGCTGCCATGAAACCGCATGCGCTGGCAGCGTTCGAGACACCGGCGACGGCGCCTGCCTGGGCTGAATCTGCATTCGATGGACGCAGGGCGTTTATACGAACGATCGATGACCAGTGCAATCCGCTGTTCCTTCAAGACACGTGGCTCAAGAAGGCTGGGGTGACTTGGGAGACGGTGGATATGAAGAGCTCGCATTGCCCGTTCATTAGCCGACCGGAGGAAGTTGCTAAGATCTGTGTGGGTTTCTTTGAAAGGTGGGCGGAGTAAAGACGGGACTGTTAACATTGAGCCAAACCATCATATTACGCATGGGGCACAAATTTCAGTGTAGAGTCATGACAGATAACGGACTGACAACTTTGAAAGATAAACGCATGTCCAAACAATACACTTTGAGAGCTGACATTCTTCAAACCATTACCAACATGGCTCCCGCAGAGGTCCGAAGAAGAGCAGGAGAAAATATAAGTCTGTCGGGGTGAGCAGGCAGCCGTCCTACTCACTTTCTTGAAGCGCAGCTTTCATCGTCCGAATACGTGGCAGCAGGACTCCGTGCAAGTCTGGCCTAAGGCGAGCATTCTGTTCCAGACTCTCCAAATCCCTTATCAAGGCTTCGCCAACGTCGACAGGATCATGTCGTACTCGTTTTTTCGGTGGTGATTGTATACCCGTTTCGATGCGTAACGTGGGCGGCGCTTCCGTACCGGAATCGCGAGCTTCGCTTATGGGTGTCACTGGACGTTGGACCATGTCTATTATTCCACCGCCTGGAAAGGCCTCCTCATCGTCGCCCTCGAATGAGTCTCTCGGTCTCTTTCTCGGCCCTGAGTCATCGATGCCCTCGTCTTGACTGAGCTGCTTCACAAATCTTTGCGCGAGCACAAGCCTCTTGGCTCTGCGCCAGTGCGCCCCCAACGTTCTCCGAGACTGGCAGGTGCTCTTGTTCAAGACTGAAACATGCCTCGCATTGAGGGGCGGCTTCCTGCTGTTCACTACTGGGCTCATCAAGTTCGCAACAAGCTTCGCGTCCTCACTGGTTAAGTGCTTATTGAAGAAGACGCGAAAATCCACAAAGTCGCAATTCTCGTCCCTGAGCTCTGGAGATTCCGGGGCTGTGCTAGACCGCCGTCGCTTCGGTGTTGGCGTTACATCCTTCCGCATACTCGAGATCCAGATGTGTTCGGGCAAGTCGAACCGCGCGAACAGGACTGGTTGTTGTCCTGAAGGGAAGTGCTTCCACTCCTTTATCTTGTCGCGTAAAGTCGCGGTAGTGAAGAAAGGCTCTGATCGCAATTTCTTCAGTGCCCATGTCATGCCTGACGTGAACGACCTCTCGGACTGTCGGTGCGTATATTTTCCTTTGTCGCAGGCTCCGAGGTACTCAAAAGCGCGAGAAGCAGATCGGAATTGAAGAGAGCCAGCGTCGCAGCAGTCAAAGATGACCAAAACATCGCACTTGACTTGGTAGAGAGTGGCTTCAGCTACTTCCCACATCACAAGGTTGTCAGGGTTCGGCTCCTCACGGAATTCTAGCTGCCTCCTGCTCGACTTTAGCCTTATACCATGCTTTGCTGTGGTGTTTGAGCCTTACGGGTGAAGATCGAAGCCCGGCCTACCCAAGTCACGGCTCCTCTCTCTATCGCTACTATGCCAACCGTGGCCGGCATAGTACACAATGAGCAGCGCGTGGTTCTTGCCGTGCTGGAGGACGAAAGTGGCCAGGTACATTTGCATCTGGAGTTGAGGGCTCGCACCGTTCTTGATGACTTGTCTCTCGACGTTAAAGCCGTAATCGTTTCGGAAGACATCCTCAAGCTGCCCGACCTTCGCCGCATGTCAGCAAGGCTGTGAGCGATCTACTACACAGGGAGCTTACCTCTTCACGAACATCGAAGTCCGTGAACCCTTCCTCCTCACAGTCCCACGAGAGCAAGAGCACCGATGTCGAATCATGCCTGATCGGCTTCCTGGACGACGGCATGTTCTCGTCAAAGATGTCGCGGAATTTTATGAGCTCGTCTAAGTCTTGGGAGGGCTCGATGGGCTGGGCCACAACAAGTTGGGCAGGCCCGTCCATCCCGTTGGAGCTCTTCAAGGTCAAAGCCATTTTGCAAGGCTACCAGTTGGGTGCGGGACAGTTGGTTGGTGGTAAAGAGAACAGCAGTTCGCGCCTGGTATATGCTGTTAGGAAGCAATGCCTCAGCCTCAGCCTGATGCAGGTCAAATTGAGCCTTGGGATAGCTACAGGGCTCTGGGGCTGACAACAGACATGCCTTAGGCTTCCGCTGCACCTAAGGCATATTGCGCGAATCGTTTCGACCGGTCAATGAGGTCCTTCTTTCGAACCCCTGGTATCTCTCGGATCATGTATTGGAGGGATGCGGCATCCCGCAGCTCGGCTGCAGATCCACCCTCCACATCGCGCCACACGCTAGTGTGATTGGCCATCGAACCTGTCTCATTCCAAAGGCCCGGTACCACCACACCACTTTGCAATCGTCGTGCATCGGCGAGCCTCAATAAGCTAGTCACAAGACTTTCTTGAGTGGAGGCTGTGTCCCCCCGATCAGGCTAGAGATTGGCACGGAACAATATGCTGGCTGCAATGCTCCAAGGCATCGACTGATCTGACGAGACTAATTGTTGGGATCGTTTGCCTCTTTGCCTGGTCCTGACTTCAGCTTCTGCCTCAGGCTCTTATTTGAAGGCTGCCTCATTCCACTGCTGGGATCAGGTCCACACCGGTCAACATCACCCGCTCTTCCTCCTCACCGGTTCTCGGCAGTCTTTCTAATCACAGGTAGATCGTTCGATCCAAGCTCGCGTCGCCACCCCACCCCATTGAAGATGTCAAAATCCGATACCTCCCAGGGTCGAGAATACGTTGTAAGACCCAATGGATCTGCGCGGCGTCCCTACATGCTCACGATGTCTAGGCTGAGGCAACACCCGAGGACGGGCGGGCCTTTGTGCCTCGTTCCCGCAATCCGGCGAATGTAAGCCAAATCATAAATATCTTCCACATGTTTTCGTGCTCCTGCGCGCTAATAGATCGCTCCTTAAGATAGTTCCCAAGTTCGAACCGAAACAAGAGGCATGGCTAGAGGACGAGCTCGGGGATCGGCCTGGCTGCGAGGTGATTATTGAGAACTACCGACAGAACACAGCAGGGAGCTGGGAGTACACGCTGAAGTACAAGAATACACGGCTCGTAAGCGGAGGCGCCTGGTTTCCCGAGACTCAGCTCAGGCGAGAGAAGCCGTGGTACTAAGTGTTGATTGGTTCGGTGTCCGCAAGCCTACCTGCATGCATGCACACAGGCGGGGCAAACATTGCTGCGGTGGATCGACGCGAGGCTGAATCCCGCCCTGACTTGCGATTAACGCACCATCAGGATATATATCCTTCTCGTTCATTCACTAGCATTAGTCCTACCTCAATGATCATCGAAGAGACGCTTTGATACTCTACTATCGTGGGTCCAAGCGCTACCCCACAGGATGAATAGTTCACACGACAATGCAGCCGCCATGGAAGCTGGCGAGGCGGGCCTTGCTGTTTCTCCAACTTTTTCAACAATAGATGAGAAACTCGACGGACGACTCTCCGCGAGCACCACAGCAACTTTGGCAAAGCCAGTACAATCTTCAGGTACATATCAGTCCACGCATGTTTCTTCCAAACGGCTAACGTTATAGATGCACCATCCCGGCTTAGCCGTCTATGGACCTGGCTGAGACCATCGCCATCCCGAACTGGCAGTTGGGCTTCGCGACCACAGAGGCAAAAGACCACTCCAGTAGTGCGAAAGCGTACGAATCCACGACTTTCACCAGGCTTATCCGAAGTCACTTTCTAAGTAAAACAGTGGAATCATGTCCTCGTGGGTACCCTAACGTCGCCGCCTTTCTCGACAGCGACGAATGCTTCGCCATGTACCGCCGCTTCGGCTTCCTGCAATCACGCCTCCTGCTCGACAAACAAGACGAGTTGCGAGAGCTGGAAGAAGCACTCGATCGCCTTGACCGTCGGGAAGCAAATGTCGATCCCAAAAGGCCAATGACGAGAGATCTTCCCAGAGAAGAAGTCCAGTCGAGGAGAAGATTGCTCTCCGCAATTGAAGAAAAGTTCTGCTCATACGGTAAGCGACGGTCTTCCCCGAATGCGAAGTGTCGACATTGACGGTAGTGTAGCGAATCTCCTCGATGCAGCACAGAAGATGATGGCGCTGAATCGACCTTCGCAGGGCGATTATGGGAGTGTGGAGAATTACATGGTTAATCACCAGCCACTGCTGGAGGCTGAGGGCTCATGGATCTACAAGAAGGAGGATCTGATCACTTTGAGGGCAGGAAGGGAACATGCTTGGCTGGACTCCGGGATTGAAAAGGTGTTAAAGTGGTTTCACTGCCGCATTCTGGAGGTAAGGTTCTTCAAAGGGCATATGATGAATGATAGCTGACTGACATCACATAGAGAGTTTTCGGAGACGAGGTTTGTCCACACGGCTTCATATTTGCATTGAATTTCACTAACATCCATCTAGCAAACGCGACAGAAGTCCTCGGGCGAAGAAGTGTACTATTCCCGTGAGCGCATCAACTGCCTGGCCAACACCATCATAACATTTATGGTGCTCGTTCTACTCATTGTGCCCATCTACATGCTCTACCATCTTATCAACGACATAAACACTGGGAGAGCATATGCAATCTGCATGGGCATTCTCGTTGTCTCTACGTTGGCGTTCTCGGCTGTGCTGTGCCTGTTTACACGGGCCAAGAGGCATGAGATCCTTGCTGCGGCAGCTGCGTAAGTTCACGCACTATTGGTTGCGAATTTGGGAACTAATTGTGAGGGCATGCAGATACTGCGCCGTTCTGGTGGTCTTCCTTGGAAATGTTGGACCGGGACGTCAGTGAATGGGATTCTGGGTAGCTTCTGATGACCAATGGATACCTTTCTATCAGGAGCAAACCATCAAAGCAGCTACGAGCTACTCTGTGGACGTGATTAGAACATTGATGAGGAATTACGAGGACTGAAGTGAAGCGTTCATGTTACATCAGGCTCGAAGGTAGCCATGCTGCCTTGGATCCGGGCTGTGCTTGAGAAAGAAAATAGACACATCACAGCGCTCCCTTCCAATTTTTCGTGCTGGCATCCTTGGATTAGTTGACCCTGGTGGACTCGGTATCTGTCAGTCATCAAAAGAAAGGACCAGGAACACTGAAGTCTGGGACACATAAATCGGCGCCGCAAATGCAAGAGGCGAACAGAAACAGGCTGATTCTGATGAAGAGAGCGCACGTCTATAGGAAGAGGAGGTACGAGGCGCGAGCAGGTTTTGGTTCCCATCCATCTCTGAGATGTGGACCAACCCTATCCCAAGTCCTGCATTACTAATCTAGAACCAGAATAGCGAGCTATCCCACCCTATTTCATACAAGGCCTAGAGTGGCTAGGAAACGAGGCGCACTTACACCTATGAGACTCCATGTACCTCCAAGCAGCCACTCTGTTACCTCCAATGTCATGACGGCAATGTGGTGTAAAAACTCCTGGATATTTCCAGCCCTCCGTACTTCCGTCCTGCTTTCCTATATCCTTTTACAGACCCCATAACTGCTAATCTCCTGGCCAACCACTATCATTCCGCCCAAAGCGGGCGCGCTGTATAAGGCGCAGATGAGGCCTAGATATATAAGTTGAAACAGCCCCAACCCAGCCACGTGGGATGTTGAAGATACATACCCCTGCCACCAACCGAGGTAAGCTCCGAATACAATCCAGCTCATGATCCAGCTTCGTTGAGCATGCGTGCTGTGACCCGGACGAAATCTTGTCATCCCGCCGATGACAGCTATTGGGATGAAACTCAAAATGAACCCGCATGTTGCCATTAATGCAAAAGATAAGGATGCGAGTCGGAAGACACCATGGTGTAGTTCTTGGTGATTTTCCTGCGCGCTTCGACTCACCCCGTGCAGAGAGCCGCCGGCGCCCTGCCCGCCGCCCTGAGGTTGCTGGTGGTACCCGCCAAGCTCGTGGTTTAAGACGATCTTCTCGATGAGACTTTGCTCGTACGTCGCAGTCAGAGAACCGACCGTGCCGTCTATACTTTGCGGACAGGTTCGTGCGAGTTCGTCCATATCTCGAGACCGCACAAGGTACATAGCTGGATAATCTGGCCGAATCAAATTACCCATCAGATTCAAGGTGGACATAAACAGGTAAGGCGTGACAGTTAGCCCGAAAGCAGCGTAGCCAAACCGCTCGAGCTGGTCTCCTTGGGTATCGTACAACGTGGTGACGGCGTAAAGTGTCTGAGCTAGAGCGACTATGATCTTGAGGACGTTATAGTTGCTGCACAAATGGGGAGCCAAGTTTCCCGTATCTGCCGCTAACTGGCAGTCCGGCGGCAATCTGAGGAGAATATAGCCGGCTGGGAGTCGATATATCCCATGGACGCGGAGATCGCCAAGCCATGAAGCTGTTCACGGTCAGCCTTGAGAAGTATAAGTCTTGAAATATGTCTTCAGTTGGGAAGGTTGGTACAGCTTTATTGTGGGGGTTGATGGCGGAAGGATTCTGTATACAAGCATACGTCTATTCTTCGGGCCATGGAGCTAAAGAAACGCATACCGCTGATATTTGCCACAAAGTGAGGATGCACTCACACTTAGACGAGAATGAGCCTCGCGCAACAAGCTTGACGCCGGCCTTTCTGAAACGATCTCGGTCTATTGTGACATTGGCGAACATGGTACAAAGGGCACCGGCACGGGCTGCGGCTTGGAGGTCGTTGTTTTGGAAAATTGCCCGGGTAGCAATAGCCTCAAGGGCTTGAAAGATGCCAGCTCCAGGTAAAAGGAACGCCACGACTATTGCCGTAGCCGTATCCAGCGGACTCGATCCAGGCTGCAACACCACGGTCGCCGCATGGGCGACGTAATTGCCCAAGTAGAAAACCACGATATCGGTCCATCTGGCTGGTCGACAGATCAGGCTTGGGTCGCCGTGATTTGAGGTTCCTGGTGGAAGGGCGACAGTGTCGTTCGCTGCTGTCGCGTCACCAGCGGAGGACGGAAACGCCTGAACGACGTTCAAATGGGCGATAGCAATGAAGACAAGAACGGTGAAAAACGCCATATCGAACTGTGAGGCGAAATCTGATCGTGTTGCAGAAGCGTGCTGTCGCGAGGCAGCCGAAGTGATTGCTCAACCTCGGGGCTCAGCCTTTCAGCCGCAGTGGCTTGACGCCCCAAAAGCAAAGCAGTCCATATCCAATGACGATTCAGCGGGGAAGATTAGTGATGTGTAGGTGATACCAGACGGATTCAGCGTCTTTGTTTCGTATATAGATCCCGTCGCTGCTAGTAGTCGTCCTAGCACCTACTCTCTACCCCATTCCGACTAACACACACATACTTTACGCCCTTATACGGCGTGATACCCGCGCCCAGTCCCTTGCTCCTCTTCTGATCAACCGTTAAGCTCTCTACTTTGATCCCGCTGGGGAGCCAACCTTTCACCGAGAAGCTCACCGTCGCACAGGATGGCATGAGGACCTTGTTCTGCTTGACCTTTCGGGCATCTGATCCTTCGTCTTTTGTTTTCGATGGGGCTTCGGATGGAGACTGGTAAGATGATGTTTGGTCGTCGTCGTAGTCGTATGTGTTGCTGGATAGTGAGACGGCGCCACCTTCAAGGCCTTCGTCTTCGTCTTGCCCAATGACAGTACCTCGCAATGTCGCTGTGGCGCCGATGCCGCCGCCACGGTCGTTGGAAATGAGCATCCCGACTTCTCTGCTGCTGATTCTCCATTCGATACTCCGATCTCCTGGTGCATAGCCCGCGTCGCCCGCTCCTCGTACTACCCGCAGATCCATGACGTTCTTTACACTTGCAGGAAGTGGGATATGAACGACCATCTCCTCGATGCTTGGCGCAGCTGTCGTGCCTTGGGGGTGACCGCCAAGTCCACGTCCGAGCCCGCCTCTTCCTGGGAATGAGGACCCTGTTGCGCTGGGAAGCGGACTCGATGATTTGCCTGCGAAGCGTGGGTTCAGTTGTAAGCGTACCTCGAAATCGGAGCCTGTTGGACCCAGAGATGGCTGCACAGATACTGTGGCCGGGATATTGAGCTTGGGCGCTGACTTCGCTGTCGTCGATGTGGAGAATGAGTCGAGTGCCGCGGGTCCAAGGAGATCAACCTCGTAGCCCGCCAGCACAAAGCGTCCGTCAGGCGGCACAAAGGAGAGCTCGCTAGGCCGTTCCTTCCATCTGTTCAATCTGACGCAAGGATGGAACACAGGCAGAGAAACAGAGTTGGATATCCCGCCCGGACATCCGAGTTGTAGCAGCAGGTCGGGCACGCCAGATACTTTCGCTGTGAAAGCTATTGTCCCGTTCGCTATTGCGGAGAGTGGCCGACCTGAAGGTGAAAGCGTGACCTGTAGAGTCTCCACTATATCCACATACAGCTCGTTCGACGTATGCCGTACATTCGCCTTCCGCCACGGCACAGGCGATGTCCCCTGTGTATTCCCGCTTGGCCCCAACCGTGGACTCCTCCCAGAGCCCAGCGAAAACGGCGTTGCACCTGGAGTCAAACTACTCGGCGTTGTGCTTGGTAGTCCCACACCACCCAGCAAATTCTTCATGAAACTAGGCGCCTCCACTACATCCTTCAGCGCATTCGGCTCTGTGCAAGATATCACCCCGCCATCCACCATTTCGCTCAGCAGCTGTGCCACCACATCGTAGTTGCTCTCGATCCTGCTCGCGAGGAGTGGCGAGCCGAGGAAGTCTTCTAGTGCATCGGCGACACGGTGAAGGAATTCGAGGACTTGGAGGGGCTCGGTGTCGGAGGAGCAAGGGCAGAGGAAGAGCAGTTGGTCTTGGATTATGGAGTAGAGGAGCGTCGCGGGATTCGTGTTTGGGAGGTATATTAGGGAGGGCCGCGGGGACGGGTGAGAGAGGTAGAGAGGTAGGACGGTGCTGCCAGGGGGTGGGCGGCCGGTGTAGGTGTGTTCGAGGAGGGGTGTGCTACAAATCGTTAGGTCGAATTTCTTCGTGGACAGAGACGCGTACTTGTGCTCATCAAAGATGTATAGAGCTTCTATGGCGCTCATAGTGGGCTGACGTCACCTTGACTCCATGTGGATGCCAATGTGATGGTGGTTGGAGTGTTGGTGGGTGCTTTGGCAGTTTGGCGGGGATCGGAGCTGTGAATTGGATGAGGCGTGTTTGACAGGGGACCCCTGCGCGATCTTTCTCTGTCCGACATTCATCTGAACTGCTATTGAGCTCCAGCACTTTCAGGTCCTATCTTGCACAGCGCGCCAGACTACCCGGTTGCGGGACAGCACGGAAACAATTCCAGGATGGCGAAAGAACAAGCTGTGCCCACGTTCAAGGAAGCCCTCAAAGACGACAAGGCGCAATACGACGACTGCACGCCATGTCGCATCGTAGGTAAGTTCTCTAAGCGCGCCCCCTCAGTTGCGTCCACTTCAAGTGATGAATCTAACAGAGCGCTTGAATAGGGAGCGCGGCATTCATCGGCCTCGGCGCGTACACATACGTCTCCGGACACTCGCAACTCAAAGCGCAAGAAGCGGCGATACGGCAAAGCAAGACTATGTTCGGCATGGCGAGTCGAAGAGCAGGCATAACAGGGACGGCGGCTGTGATGGTGGGCTTGGGCATATACAGGTGGTTTGCTTGAGTGCCACCAGGTCAGATATTTGCCCTGCGCGAATAAGATGCAGGCACAAAGCCCAAAGGGCTACGTTCACAAGGCGCCAAAATGTGGACGTCAAATATGCATAGGATCGCCGGTTATTGGATGCAGTGTGTAAGAATGGCGTTGGGACTAGCATTGGGATACCCGGTGGAATTATGAAAAGTCTGTAACATCACAGGAGGTATGGGATGGGTGTACGATATGTCAATCGCTGCTCGGAATCACAGCTTCCCCTCAAACAAGTCCTATTTACAAATATCTTCTGAACGTCCCTGTGAACCTTGAGAAATGGCAGTAGCCGTAGCCGTAGCCGTAGGGCCCCGGTGGTATCGAATGCGAGAACAGTAATGCTGCCGAAAATGCAATTAAGGCGAATGCATCTGGCGATCTACTCCGCCCAATGCCTCAAACAACCGTCTAAGAAAACGCCATCGCTTAGTAGAATGCAGGGAGGCCGTTAAGTGGTTGCCGCAGCATGCCCGTTCCATAAGTGGGTTCCCGAAGACGACGAGCTCACGAGGAGCGTCCGCGCTTAGATCCGCCTGGTCCGTCTCGTCGATCATTGAAGCCGTCCACGCCGAAGAAATCTTGCATGAGTTTTCTCTTCTGGCCGGCTCCGCTTCCTAATGAGAAAAGGTTCTGGGCGGCGGAGCGTTGTAGGTTCCGGGACGAGGATCGATTTGACGGGCGGCGAGGGGTCGGAAAGGCACGACGAGCAGCCGCGGAGAAGTCGAAAGGTGTGTCGTTTGAGTTATTGTTGGGGTAGGACTGCGGCGCCGAGAAGTGGAACATGGTCGGCAGAGGTGCCATGTCAGCGTCAACGGTCGATGACGCTACTGAAATTGGGGGCGGAGCGGAGTCGGAGCGGTGCGTGGGTCCTGCCAAGGGTTCTGTCGAACGCGTCTCCTCGGGGCTTGGATTGCGTTCCATGATGGGCGATGAGCTGCGGGCCCGCTTCTCATCCAAGCCCTCCTCATCGCTGTCGCTTGTGGACGGCACCGGAAGCGCGCCGTCGAGCCGCTCCATGGCCCACTGCCTGATGCGCCATCCCTCGCCATCGCCAACACCCAGATTCTCTTTGTCCAGAAAGCCTATTAGGTCCTCCAAGGCTTCTTGGTATCCGTCCGAGCGAGACCTGTCGATATCCGCGAGGGCTGCTTTGTACAGGTTCGTCACAGTCAGCGCGGCGGTTCGGAAGGACTGGTGGGTGTCGGGCTGCGGAGTCGGCTGGCGTTGCCTCGTCTTCGGGAGGGAGGTGTTTAGACTGCGCATAGAGTCCATCGTAGAGGGCCGTAGATGGGTGGTGGTTGTTGGAGAGGTTGTGGGTGTGTGTCGTTCTGTCGGAGAGTCGGGAGGCAGTCCGCTCTGCCTGAGGTAGACGCCTCGCAAAGGAGTGTTTCTGTTTCCGCTGGGATGCGAGATGTGATGCTGTGTAGATGGTGAACAGTGTCTTGTACAGTAGTGAAGGAGTGTGGTATGGTGAGGGTTGTAGTGATGTGTTGTGGTGGGGTCGCTTGTGACCACCCTTGAAGACGGCAGCTTCGGCACTAGAGGATGGCCCGTGCGCGGCTCATCGACGGCGAACCGTGGGCGAACTCCCATCCCAGACAACCAGCACGCGTCACAACCAGGTACCGATGCCATAGCCTCTCCCATTGAGCGGCTCTCTGTCGAGCTGGTTGACATGGTCATCGCAGACCTCGCCCTCCCAGACTATCAGGCTCTACGTCTCGCGTCGAAGCAGCTGTACACCCTCACCCTTATGGCGTTCAGCAGCTCCTTTTTCTCCAAACGGAAGACTACGCTCGGCACGCCATCTTTAATTCGTCTGCGACGCGTATCCTGCTGCAAACACTTCGCAGGCTCGGTCTCCCTGCTCGAGGTGAAGCTCCTCAATCACTCCGACTACGAGCTTTTGCAGCAAATCGACCGCGTAGGCATATACCCGCCACCAAACCGCTTCCGCAAAACCTTTTAGAGTAATATCTACACTGCAAACCGTGCGGGTTATCACATCCTGCACCTAAAATCAGAAGGCGGAGTTAACCGCCATCGTAGCGTTAGAATCCGCCTTTCCGAGGTTGTCAATATTGCCCTTTGATTACACGGTTGATGTTGCTGTGTAATCAAGACAATTGCAGTGCATAGTGCGAAGGTTGGCGTGTAAACAGTGGGCCACGTCCGAAGTCCGAGCCCAATCGCAGTCTGGCTCCGAACTATTGCCATGGTCGAAACTCATTGAGACTCACGATAGGCGTTCATTAAGCCAAGGCTCATTGCTACCATGGATGTGGGGGCGGCGAGATGAGCAGTTCTGCTCCGCTCTACGCTGAGAATGTGGACGCTGTTAGACGCGCGTAGTATTTCTGGCAAGGCTGCCTCTCGCTAAGCCTTTCCCATTTTGTCTAGCCTACGTTGGCTGATGACTATTCTTCGTATCGAAGGAAACAAGTTCACGAAACGATGGCGGATGAAAAAAAGTCGAGGTCTGGTTGGAAACAAAGTGTGGTGTTGGGGAGAGGAAGGATTTGACACAGAAAACGCGCTAGTCCGGATTTGGCCACATACCGACTCACCGTACTGTGCGCTCCGTCATCCCGCTTATTAGCTGCTAAGATTGACATATAAGCATACATAGTAGCTCTCTAGATCGGAGCCTTAAGAAACAAATCGCTTGATGCATGTGCAGGTTATAGCCTTGTGCCCTCTTTGTACCTTACGAGAATTTCATTTGTTCGCGCTGCATATATCTCCTTAGGAGCCATGTTTTAGATTATGAGCCATAGTTCCAAACGCAGCCTAACCACCCCAACCTAATAACTTGGATCCATGGATACTTCTTCTACCATGGATCGTTGCGAACAAAATCAACTGTTGAGTACCAAAAAAGATAGTCACACCTAAACAAGCTGGTTAGCTCCTCATTGCTAATGGGTATTTAAAGTCCCAGTGTTTCCAAGCCATTTTAAGTCAGAGGGAGAGAGGGAGAGAGAGTCTCGTAGGGGGTTTTTCAGCATCGTAAGCTACTTATGAAACAGTCTCACAATTGTTAGTCGTGAGCTGGTATCCCTTTGTGGTCGGGTCATCCTTGTAGGTAACGAAGAAAACGCTGAACAGCGACAGACTGACCTTCATCCAGAATCGAGGGACCTCGGTGTCCGAAGAGTCCGAAAAGCTAAGTCTCGCTTCGTTCTCTCTTTTATGTTTGTGTTCAAGAATAAAATCATTAATATACTACAGGAAGCTGCACCAGATTGGGGCATATGACCGATGATGAGTACAAGCCATCGCTTACCCGTCACATCAATCATTTGGCAAACGTCAGGTGGTTTCGGTGCGCGGCAAGAGCAGTTCTATGGCAAGTGCTGAGGTCGATACGGCAGGAGGAAGGAGGGGGCCGATGACGAACTTCCGTCCGCACTTCTCACTTCAGTCTGCCTGGCAGACTTTTCATGTGAGACTGAGGACGCCCGCGAGCCTACGGAGATTTCAGGCACAAAGTCGAAATGATCGTTAGCAAGTATCTGGATGATCAAAAGCCTGGCAGTAGAATTGCATCAACCCTGAAACGGAAGGGCATCAAAGCTACGCCGTCGAAGCAGCGCAATCTAACGCCCCGCCAGACTCTTACCATCTTCACTCAAGCCGTCAGGGAAGATGATCTTGCGCTTCACTTCGATCTCCTCACCTTCAACAATCGCTGCCTGGACCTCCTCCGCCGTATTCAGAACGCCTGCCTTGAGGCCGCCTCAGTGTACCAATGCGCCGCAGGCGACTACCACCTAGGCACCGCGATCGGGCTGCTCCTGCATTTTCACGCTGTCGCTACCGACGCCAATGACGAAAAGGTTGGTTTCAAAGAAGCGTGTCGCTTATTGCAAGAGGACATTGAGGCAGAAGGCAGCGCGCAGCTTAGCAAAGCGAGATCTCGCGCTGGGATTGTTCAAAAGCCCGATGCACACAAATATGTGGCGCCGAAGTCGTTTGAGGATCTACATATGCCCGAGGACTACCTTTCTCTGCGAGACAGGAAGAAATTCGAGGATGGTTTCTGGTTTGTGGGGAATGATGCCTTCGTGCAGAGCAGCGACGGAACCATCAAATGTGTCAGGGCTGACGTAGAGCCTCTCGTGGTGCATCTGGATGACGGTGGACGTTCATGTGTGCCTGGAGTGCCTGGAGTGCGAGCAGGATAGCTTGAGCGCGCGAGGTGTCCAGTAGGAGATGTAGCCGCCCGCGAAAATCTTTCAGAGCCAATAAGGTAGGTGAACGGTAGTGTCCGAGGAGACATTTCGGAGATGAGGACAAGTGGGAACGGAGGAGGTAGAAAGGCCCTGGGTGCAACTTTGCTGCTTACGTTGAGGAAGCCGCGAGGAGTGATGTGGAGGCAGGACCAAAAAGCAGAAGAACGCCAACCTCCCCTACCCTGCCTTCAGCCTCCCTCTTCCACATCTCTTGTCTCTCCAGTCGGCCCTCTCCTCGCTCAAGTCCCTCCAGCTTTCCATCTGCACTTCCTTCAACGAGTTCGCGCCGGTGCCCGGCTGGGAAAACGGAGTTTCCCAATTCATCAGCGCTGCTAGCGCATTGGAAGAGTTCACCCTCTGCTTCGACGTAATGGATCGGTGGCCTGAGTTCAGAGCCGCTGTTCTGTGCTCTCTAGCCACAACTCTTGAATTACCAAAGCTCAAGCTGTTGAAGCTTTACGGCTGTGTATCCAACGCGCAGGACATCGTAAAGCTAGCGGAAACGCACTCGGACACCCTGAGACGGATCGATCTTTCCAACATCGTGCTTGCTCAGGATACTTGGGCATCTGTGCTCACCACCTTCCGGGACTCGCTGGATCTTGAATACCTACGACTTAGCGGAATCAGGCAATTTTCAGACCGCGTCTGCTTCGTACGTGGATCAACGAATACTGCTAGCGATCGAATTACTATGGATGTCACCAAAGCACAGGAGAGCCAAACCATGTGTGAAATGCTGTCATGGGCTATTCCGTTCCTTAGTTCTGACACGGCTGTAGAGCCAACAGCGACTTCCGTTCCCTGGTTTGTGGGGAATTTCGACCCGTAAACGACACCAATAGCAATAGCGTCATCTAAGCCAAACGTTCAAGCCAAGAACCCCCAGACCATAGCACCCTGAACTGCAGAATCAGGTCCACAACCGACGTCCAACAATCCTCTCTCGAATAGGCTTCAACCTCCACGATACCGCCCGGCCCGCCTTTCACTAGAAGCGTCTAGCTCCACTGGTCTTTCAACTGTCTCGAGCTCCGCCGGAGTCTTCTTCCGCCTGCGATCGTATTCTTTCCGGGACAGCGCCGATTCGACCGCATCCACCTCCCAGTGTCTGGGCCCCTTTTTCTCGTCTGCGTTTGTTTGCCGCTCTCGCCGGTTTTTGATCAAGCGGACTGCTATCGCTCCTAGACTCATTGTGACAGCAAGCGTCGGAATAACAGCCATCAAAATAATTGTCGACGCCGGGAGCTTCGATTGTCCAGGCAATGCTGCCGCCGTTGATGTCTGAGTGAGATTGGACGCTGAAGAAATCGAGATTAAAGGCGGGTTGGAGATAAAGAGACCAGTTGGTGTTGCGGAAGTCGTGAGCATCGTGAAAGTCGACAGGGAAGTAGGGCCGTTGACCAGCAACATCGAAGAAGCCATTGAACCGGAAGACAATCTGAACAAGAGAAGAAGAGCCTGGGTAAACATTTCATTGATGCGCCTAAGAGCCTATAAAGAGATGCCAGGCAATCGACGTTCAACAATGTTGTTCTTACCCCCACCTGCGCGACTTGCGGCGCAGCACAGTTTTCTGGGACCAACATGATGCGCTCCATGTTTTCCAGGCTGCATTCATGTCGGTACTCCGCCCCAGCCTCGCGATGTTCTGATGGTCGATTGGCATGTGTGCGGTGCAGCGCATAAAGAACGCGCTTCGCCGTAAAACGCGTACCGGCCTTCTGACGTTTCATGCCGCGGTATCCTAGTCTGGTTTCCTGATTCGTTTCTTGACGCTTCATAGTCTATCGGTACTATGGTAGCTGCGCTATATCACGCAGTACGTTATCGGCTTTGAGTACGCGTGCAGCGACTCCATCGATGAGAACTTCGCCTTTGGCGCCTTGCCTACCGCGTTCGGTTTCGAGTGTCCGTCATCTTGCGAATCGCGCCCGCGGATAGTGCTCATCCTGCTTGCTCTTCAAATGCATGCTACATTTTCGAAGCTTTGATGGCAATAAGTCAATACCGGCACGATGTTGGTTTTACTGTGTAGAAGCCGCTTATCCACAACCTTGTGGGGTAACGTTCCATACCCCGTGCTTTTCGTACGCGGCGCGCAGGAAGGTAAAGAAAAGCAGGACTTTTACGCTCTAGTTTGTCTCTGCTTCGTCTTGTTTTGCATCCGGGAGCATGGTGTCCTGAACCTCATTAGCGAATACCCGTAGGAAGCATCAGATAAGTTTCCACTATCTGCCTAGCAGGCTGAAAACGCATTATTCATTCGTTCATTCATTCACTCTCATTGAATTTTCATCTCGCTGGAGAGAAGAGAAATCAGCAGACCAGGGTATCCTAACACATGCACACACTACAGCCTCAAGCCCCCATCCGTGGCCTTACTTCTCGTTATTCTTCTCGTCCATGCAGATGCACATGGCGGCGATGAGCGCCATGTCCACGCCTGGGGCAATTTGCACCGCATAAGTCTGCTGGCCGAAGAAGATGTCCTTGCCCGAGAGCAGCTTGCGGTCGATGCGAGCGACCACGAGGCCTGCGATAGTCAGCATGAGTTGACTGATTATTGAGAGAATAGAAGGTTGTAAACTTACCTCCCTGATTGTTGTCTGTGATATCGGCCGCACTGTCGAACCAATTACCCTTCATCTGGAGCGACTCCTCCTGCCCCGTCTGCGAAGATGTAAAAGTCGCGGTGGCTTTGCTGCCCAGCACTATAACGTCTCATTAGCACCTCAGCTCAGCTCAGCTCCGCCCCCACATCATCCAAAAAAGCCAAAACAGAAAAAAGAAGGTACTAAACATACGCGCAAAACTACTCTTCACCTCCATCAGCTTCTTGCCCTGCGGATCCTCGACGGCAAATGTCGTGTGGATATGGAAATGCTCCTTGGCGATGTTGAATAGGTGGTTCCCCGCCATGTCGCAGACCTTCTTGCGGCCCGAGATGGACATGACTTTGCCCTCGACTTGCAGGATCGGCGTCCCGTTGGCCAGCTTGATGCTAAAGCTGTCGCCCGTGAGCGAGAGCACGTGTTCTTTCAGCACGATGGTTTCGGGCTGTTGCGCGATGAATTGCGGGAATACGCCGATGGGCTTGGGGACTGGAGGGAGGAGAGCCATTTTGACGGGAGGGGTTTTTCCTTTGTGGATTGGATTTGTTGTTATTGTTGGGGTTGGGGATGGAGCTTGGAGGGGAAAGACGGAGGTGGAGTGGAGTGAGCAGTCGCAGTCGGATTTAAGTTCTCAGCAGCAAGCGCTGAGCTTATTAGTTCGGGGTAGGAATGGTGTCAGAAGCTTGAAGTCCGCATGGAGGGCCTGATGTGTGATATTTATGGTGGAGTGAGGCAGGCAGGTAGGGCACAGCCCTTTTCCTTTGTTGCTGTGCCAGCTGCGGCTGTGTCTGGTCGAATGACGATTGGTGTTGCACGAGCCAAGACTTGCCCGATTTCGTATTGTGCTTTCGCCAGGAACAATGCCGCGGAGCGAATCGTTCCTGCAGCTGAGGGATCGGTAATGCAGAGGTGCGTTAATGGGGTAAAAGGTACATGCTGGAATTGGAGGAGAGGGCGAATTTCGACCCGATGCCTGGAAAATTGGAGGAGCGTGGGGGCGGGTTTGATCGGCATGGCTGTGCCTGGCACTAGCCACATGAGGCGGTGCTAGCGGCGGGGCTACTGTTCAACGTCGCCGCTCTATCTCAACTTCATCCCGTTCCATCGCTACCATGATTCTGGAATCACATCTCTTCTTATTTAGTTAGAGTGAGAATCCGATCCCCGGCATGTACTGCTCCTGAGATGTGTTTACCGCCCGCCCATTTTCTCGTTTCGTTGTAGCGTCGCATGAGCCGCCATACGACAATTTGCAGAGACTGAGCAAGCGGTATAGCGAGTTCTGGGCGATTTCACGTGCAGACTAGTAAAAGGAGCGCTACTTCGAAAATTGGCATTTTAGAATCTAACTTGTCGGACGTTGACCGTCCCTGACCATCTCCAGGCCCGCACTAATACTCGTCCCAGCCCCGCTTGCAGGATTCGAAGACCTGCCAGAAGCGAACAGGTTATGTATGGACTCCTGTAGATAATGATAGGATGGGGTCTATCCACGGAAATTACCACAACCACCACCAAGCTACCATCGGTCAATGAACACGGACAAGAAGGTATCTTGCGCTCAGCGGCCCTTTGGAGGACGGCTACCACGCGTGTTCATCCAGTGTCGGACTTCTTCGGGAGTGAACTTCTTGCCGGCAACCTTCATCTTCTCCTGTATCGACTTCTCAATAGCAGCCTTATTCGTGCGCTCCTCCTCATATCGAACCTTCTCTTTAGCGCGGCGGTCTTTCTCCTTCTCAGCCTTTTTCTTTTCCATTGCTTCCTGACGAAGCCGCGCTTCCTCCGCCTTCCGCTTACGCTCCTCGCGGCCTTGCTTGCGCTTGAGGTACTCGGCATGGCCCAAGTTGATCTCAGCAATGGCTTTTGCAAGACGCGGACGCTCAGCGAGAAATCCATCAATTTCGCCCATACCCTCAATGTCGCCACCGCGCAGGTAAATCGCGAGATCCTTCGCAATCCGATTGAAGAGGCTGCTATTGTGGTCTTGGGATGCGGGAAGCTTCAAAACCGCATCGATCTCATCATACGTCGGCAAGGCCTCGCGCCACCGAGCCCAGTAGAAGTTGAACAGGTGGCTGGTGTACAAATCCAGGCCCAGCAGCGTAGCGGTACCACAGATGCTCAGGTCTTTGTATGCGTTCTTCTTCGAGGCGAGGCGGCCGGTAGGGCGGTTCTTCGACGCGATGATGCGATCTAGCTCGGCGATGAGGGCGAGCACGCTTTGCTTGTCGACGTCGGCGGGAAGATGCACTTCGTCGTTCGAGTTGACAAGCTCCTGAGCTTTGGTGGAGGTGGCGAAGAGTAGTCGATGTGCTACGTCTGCAATCGGCGCAGAATCCCCTTTGAAGATGCGCACGGGTTTGCCCTTGGTGAGCCACTCGCGATCGCCGCCGGACATGGTTCGGATGTCCGGGAGCTGTTGGTCTTGGGCATTCGTGTTCTTGTTGCGCTTCGACGGCTTTATAGTGACAACAGCGCGGTTGAGGGCGCTGGTGTGGTTGGCCTTGACGCCGTCGACGTCGTTCGAAGCGCCGGAAGAAGTGGGCGTAGGGGCCATGGCCTTTGCCTGGACTATAGGGATAAGGTAAAATCGCTTCGGAGTCTGGATTGGGAGTTTGATCGTTCGTTGGATGCTGGACAACCGGCTTGAAGATTGGTTGTATGATGAGTTGGGCTCTCTCTAATAAGGGTAAGGTGTGGCTAACGAGACTACGAACTTTATATAGAGTTTGCTGACAGTGGGCAGTCCTTTCCCTTCGGTATTCGGGCGCATACGCTTATCGCGGTAGTTCACTCACACTGAGATTGTTGCCTATATACATTTTATTGACGCAATGGATCCACTATGCGCTGTGGTAGGCAGCCAGCCCCTCTAGACTCGGCGCCGATGAAGCACACCAGTCACATGATCGAAGTACTCGAGAATGATAACGCTAACCGAAATCTCGAGTCTTGTTATATGTGGAAGGTGGCCGATCACGTTCTAAGAAAGCTATTTGCTTCTAGTGTTCCAGCAAATACGCCATTTTCCACGTGAATTCGGCTTACTCACTGTATATCAGGCGAGCGAGGGACACCTGGGCGAAGACTACTATCCACCGACCACTTGCGACCTCGTAGACCCTACTTGAGTCATCTGTCAACAATACCATGGAGAGTTCACTGTCGAGGTACAATGCAAAGGGCGGAACGGGGGTTAAAAAGTTCAGTTTATCTACTTTTGTACCCTCACCACATCTTCTCAGGCACATCCACAGCAGTAGAGACCTCAACGACATCGCAACCAGTACTCAAGCTCTCAACAACAAACCCGCATACAGCCGAACACATTCTCGGCTCTCGAAACAAAAAGAATTCAGAATGTCTCCACGTAGCGACGCCACTCCTGCCAACAAACGCACTGTTGACGCGCCCGAGGGCCCAACAACTAGCGCCCTGAACAATGCGTTCCTCACCGTGAAGAAGATGGGCAAGGCAAAGAAGAACACGCCTAATACTGAACCGGTTGATCTCAAGGATATCCGCGAGATGTCCCTGGCCGATCGGGCTCTCCTGTGCAAGGGCCGCCGTGTCAAGATCTTCGCGGGCAACGACTTCATCGTCGACCTCCCGCAGGCTCTCCTCCTAATGACTTCGATCAATGGGCCTAAACTCCTCTGCGGCGGCAACACCATCGTCCTCCCAACCGGCACGGACAAGGATGGCGTTATCCGCCTTGTCAAGTACCTCGACAACATCGCCCGCTCGCCGAAGAAGCCATCTCGCATAGCAGCCAAGCTGGAAACGTTCGAGGATCTGAGCACTTGCGCCGCCGCCCAGCTCCTAGGTATGGAGAAGTACACCGCCAACATCATGAACCTGTACTGGGCCTGGTTCGCCAACTCGCTCCCAGACTACGACGACCTCGACGCCATCATGTGCTTCCCGACCTCGCACACGCGCCTCTTCGACCTCGTCGCCTCGCAGCTCGCCTCGCTCGTCCGCGACGACCAAGTCCCCGACCCGGAGGACTTCGCCGTCTACCTCGCGAACAACGCCCGCCTCGCCGACAAAATCGCCGACATCAACAAGAAGGCGGCGGCCAAGGCACGGCGTGAGGCTGCGCGCGAGCGGCGCCGGAAGGAGTTCGAGGCGTGCCAGCAGCGGCGCGAAGAGGCCGAGGCCCGCCGCGCTGAGGACGAAGCCCGTCGTCTGAAGGCGCAGAAGGAGCGCGAGGCGAAGGATAAGGCGTTCTGGGAGGACAAGAAGAAGACGGAGAAGGAGCTCGAGGCCCGCGTGCAGGAGAAGATGCGTAAGGGCGCAAAGGCGTTTACTAAGGAGGAGGCGGCGCATATTCGCAAGACGCGTGGCAAGACTGTGGCTGCGGTGTGAACGGATGCGCGTTTAGTTCCACCGGTTGGAACTTGTGGGTGGTGTTTGCGATCGCTTTTGTGTTGGGTAGCGAAGATGCCGTTGTGCTTTTATTCCTAAGAGGAATGTGATGGCTAGCACGGTGTGGAGCTTGTTTATAGTTCCGCGAATATTATTTTTATCATACTGGATTTATCGATGTTTCCCTGTTTCGTAGCCCGTGATGTACAGTAGCGAGCAAAATATGGTCAATGTGTGTTAGACGTCATCTACACTGACGTGCCTCCCTGGGTGGCGAGACACCCTCCGTGCCGAGACACATCTATTATTTAGGCATCTTAAGTTTTGCCCTCGTAAGTCTATAAAGTTATAAGTTAATATATTATTATTCTTTAGACATTTCTCCTTATAAATCTAGTCTACAGCCAACGGCCTGACGATTCGTGTCATGACTTGAATGGAATATCAACACGCGTGTCGTATTTATCTACTGTATGTTGCTCTGCAATACAGTGGCGAGCACAATCGGTTTCCCGTTTTGCACGTTGATTTGATTTGTTCTACCACCGGCTGGTTATACATAAGGGCAGCAAGCCATTCATACAATTCCCCTTGCAACATTTATCTGTCATCTTCCAATGTTTCCGCGCCTTCAAGATCTTTGCATACAAGTCCAGCCGCCCGTGAAGCTCTGAAAGTTGGAGGTCATATCTCCAGGGCCATTGTTCTGGGGGGATTTTATCATCCAACTCTATCTCCTGTACATCATCATAATTGTGCGAAAAATCACCATAGGAAGAGTTGAAATCCAATGGTACAAGCTCGCCGGAGCGGTAGACGAGATCCATGACGACTGGCAATGGTCGATGGCAGTCAGCACGTCTTCCTTCTACAACGACATAGAGCTTTTCAACGTCTTTCGTTTCGAGGTCACCAAGTAGATTCATCTCGGCGGCAAGCGCTAGAAGCATATAGAGTATGCGTCCGGGCTCAAGGTTCCCGCAAACCATCAGCACTTTATGCAATGTGTCGAGAAAGACTTCCTCTGTTGATTTCGAATAGTCGATAACGAGACGCTGTTCTGGTTCGACTATGCCCATGATAGCGTATATCCTGTCGCGGGGGTCCTGGCAACTCGCCCATATGCATCCATTGATTGCTAGGACAAGCTTGTAATAGTCTCGAGGGGCTGCAATTGTCCTTTGTTTTGCTCCATGCAATGCGTTATAGTCTTGCTCGGTGCTTGGTACGTCCGCCTCCCCATACGGATCCAACTTTTCGCGGATGACTTCATGGCCGATAGCAAAAGGATTTGACCACCACCACTCGCTGCATTCAACTTCGGGCCAAGATAAGCAACTGTTACTGCAAAGAATGCATATTCTACGTGCGAGATGGATCTCTTGCGCAATCCACATCCTCGTCCAGTATGGATTCGATATTATTGCGTGATGAACATCACCATCTGGATCGCCTTCGTCCCGTTCGTGGGTGGAGAAGATCTCGTTCCTCATCTTCTCGATCGCCACATCGCCAATCCAGCCATGATGTCCAAGCCATATGAGCACCTCTTTAGCATCCTCGTACGTAGTCCCCATGTTCTCCACTTGAGAAGAACGCTCCGACAAATTCTCTTGATTGATACACAGTTGATCGATCCAGATCCAAGTGCTGATCCACGAGTTTCGTCTCGCTGCCAGCAGAAAGTCACATAAGTTCTTGCGCACAGTGAAGGTGCGGCCATTGATAAAAATTTTGAATGTGGGTGAGGGTTGGCCCCACATGTACGACAAGGCCTGGTATGGCGGAACAGTGGCTCGGGGAAAGACCTTCAATTCGCATCGAATTGGATCTTCGGGACTGTCAGGTGTCCTTCGAGGCTCGATCCGGAGTAACCTGATTTCGTTCCGATCATTGTTGAAATCTGTGTAGGTGTAGGTGTCCTTGCAGAGTATCTGAGGTAGCAAGGCTGAAGGAGGAGCAGCAGGATCGTTTGTTGGATCGTCGAGATCAGGCTGAAATTTGACAATCTTTAAGGTCGAAGTATCCTTCCAAAATCTTGACAAGAACATCCTTGGGTAAGGTCGACGTCGGCTCGAAGGATAAGGACGGTCGGACGCCGCTGTCGTGGGCGGCCGAGAGAGGGCACGAGGCTATAGTCAAGCTGCTGCTCGCGACGGGCAAGGTCGACGTCGACTCGAAGGATGTGTACGGCCGTCAGACGCCGCTGTCGTGGGCGGCCGTGTCCAAGCTGCTAGAGTGCTTCAGCTCCAGATAATTTTCTTCCTCCCAACCCACCACCTTCCTTGGTCCACGCTCTTGTATACCGTAAATTACACCGTGATGATTATGTGGCCGCTTGCACTAACCGAGGTTGGTAATCGCTTCGGTTGGAGGTACCGATCGGCGTGGCGACCTTGCATGAATTTGCGCGCCACAGCAGACACAAGGCTGCTGATGACTTACTAGGCTATTGTAAGGTTCTCTGTTCGGATAGAACTGCTCTATAAGTATCGTAAGTGATAAGAGCTTAATAGTGGTGCTACAGCAAAGGGACATTGTTATGCGCAAAAAGAAGGTTCTTTGTAACTTACGCGTGAAGGCAACGATGCGAACGTAATTTTTGGGCGGGAGGGGTCTTGGATGTTTATGAATAGCTACAGCACATGGCTTATACAGAACTGTGGCGAATATCAACGTGTGCGCAGAAATCGAGTTGCTTAAAGTCAGAGTACCCTTTATTTGTCTCGGCACGGAGGGTGTCTCGGCACGTAGGGAGGGACGTTATATGAGCGAGGGAGTAATAGTCCACCAGAAATCTGAGCCCACTGCAGTGTATCGGTTTGCCCTACCGGATCTCACACGCTATTGAGACCTCCCTCCGCACTTCCACCGCATCCACATAATCCCCTTAGCTATTGAAGTTAATGTCCTCCAAAAGAGTCCCCCTGACAGACGCGGCATCCGATCCCACCAAACATCGCGCTCCGTCTTCGTCCTAGTAGCGCGCTTCTCCTGCACGATTAAAAGCGACCGTATGATACAGCGCTCAGCTGAGCAGTCGATAGATGAAATATCTCAGCACATCATATCATCTAGCATACACGTAGACGGACTTGACGTTGAATCCGAACCGCCCCGCCGCAAGCCTCTCAAGGTACGACACTGGATCTTTATTGATTTGCCGGATGTAATAGATACGGGTGTGATCAATTGTACCGCCGCGCTGACTGCGTCTTGCGCATCTGCCGCGCTAGCGCTGTCTTCCATGAGGTGTTGTAGAGTTGGGTAGCTTTGAAGGGATTTTGGGGGAAGGGAAAAGGATTATGTTGAGAGGAAAGTGAAGTTTTAGGATGGGAAATATGCAGCATACGTAGTAAGAGCAGTATACAGGGTACCTAAGCATGAACAGCAAGAGCATACGGTAGCATTTCCACTTCTCCCCTCCCTCCCACCACCTCCTCATAAAACCCTACCCCCCATCACCGCAACGCCTCCCCCACAAAATCCGCCGCCCTCTCCGCCAGCGCATAAACAGCACACTGGTAATGCGCCGTAATCGGCACCGGAAAAACACTCGCATCCACGACCCTCAGCCCCCGGACCCCCTTAACCCTCAACTCCGCGTCTACAACACTGCCCATAGCCGCCGTGCCAGCAGGGTGGTAAAACGTATTCGCCACCCGCGCCACGCGCGCATCGATCTCCGCGTCACTAGACGACGACGAGAGTTCCTTCCCGTCTGGCGGAAGAAGCTCTGAGACGACGGCCTCGCGGCCTTCAGGCGTGTCTCGCAGCACTTTGACAACGGTCCTGATGCCCTCGCGCAGCATGGTCCTGTCGGCCGCGGTGGCGTAGTAGTTCGCGTCGATGACGGGCGGAGTGGCCGGGTCTGTGTCCGCGAGCGTGATGCTGCCCCGCGACGTGGGCGTCATGAGGAGCACCGCGGACGCGATGTGCGAGCCGTCCATGGGGACGGCGACGCCGGCGATCTGCGCGCCGGCGGGCGCGTACACGATCAGGGACTCGATGTGGGCGGCGCGGGGGGAGAGGAGAGGATGGTCGTTGAGGGATTCTTCGCCGTCTTTCTCCAGCGCGTGCTGCAGCTTTTCCAGCGGCGTTTGTTGCGTGGCGACCCAGTCGCAGGGCAGGCCGGCGAACAGGCCCGCGTCCTGCCATTGCGGGCTGCCGATGGAGGGGTCGCGCTCCGGGTCCCGCAGCTTCCACCACTGGCACACGGCGAGGTGGTCGTGGAAGTTTCGGCCGACTGCTGGCGAAGAGGACACCACGGGGATGCCGTGCTTCTCCAGCTCCTGCGCTGGTCCGATGCCAGAGAGCATGAGCACTTGGGGCGTTCTGTACGCCCCTGCTGAGACGATGACCTCCTTTGATGCCGTGATCGTGGTGCCGTTCGCGAGCTCTACGCCCGTGGCGACGGGCTCGCCATCGCGCTCTTGCACGAGGACGCGCGTGACCAGCGTCTCCGTCAGCACCTCGATGCCCGTCAGGGGATAGATCTGACTGGCAAGCTGGCGCCGGCCGGCATGCCAGTTCTCGACAAGCTCAGCCAGGCCGAGCGGTGAGCCTGCGTTGCCGTCTGCGATCTCCTGCACGCCGACGCGCGCCCAGGCGTCACGCACTCGTTCCCTCAGTGGATATTTGCGCGACGCGCTGCTCGCCGAGATGGAGTAGTTGTGCACGGGGCCGTCATGCCCATGCTTCGACATGTCAGCGCTTCCTAGCTGGCCATGGTACGTCTCTGTCTTCCGGAAGTACGGCAGCCAGCCCTCGTAGTTCCAGCGGGAGTCCCCAACCACCGTTGCCCACAGGTCATAGTCGGCCGCATTCCCGCGCGTCCAAGTCCCGTAGTTCGTTGCGCTGCCGCCAGAGAGGGCCTTTCCGGCTGCGGCATAGCAGGCGCGATTTCCGAGATGAGGTTGCGCAACGGTTGAGTACGCCCAATCAAGCTCAGAGTAGTGGCAGGAGAAACAAGCCAGAGGCGTGGTGGTTAAAGGGTGGTCCGCGACGTCCTTGCCTGCTTCGATGAGGAGGATGCGAAGCGTAGGGTGCTTCTCGTGCAGTCTGGAGGCGAGGACGCAGCCGGCAAGGCCGCCACCGATGATGATGATATCTTTGGTCGGGGAGTCAGACATCGGGAATCAGTAGGTGCGGAAGAGGAGGAATAGTGGGGTGTGATGGGTGCTAAAGCGCGAGAGGAATAAAGAAGATATAGGTAGCGGTTTGGGTAAGCACTTACCCTACTAGAGCTGTGCCGCAGACATGTCAGCTTATAGATGTGCTTCTCGATCAGACGTGAATGATTGGCTGAACTCTAGTTCTGAAAACGCCCGGTTCATCGCAAGACGCGGTAGCGAAGCTCCGTATGCTACTATGAAATGGTGCGAGTCAATATAAGCTCTAGTGATGCGTTGAGTGCATTACGCTAGGGTTACCTACGTACCAGCAGAGACTAGAGAACATAGGAGCACACTACATCCACATACAGTCGCGTAAACTACAAAAGCCCCAGAGTGAGTAGAGGAATGTCAGCCGTAACGTCGTAATACATGTACAAAAATCGAGAAGAATATTTACGCCGCGGTCCCTCCCAGGTCCAACCTTCGTCTCGAAATATACACTGTAGATTACGCGGTGAGCAGTCAGACTGCCCCCTTGCATACGCCGGAAAAGATGCTCGTTCGTTGCCAGGACGCCGGAAGAAACTTTCAATGTACCTCCTCATGAAACATCACTGCCTGTCTCCACCTGCTATCGTCACCTTCCCCCGTTCATGGCGTTCGAATTGAACCCGCTTGTCCCATGACTCGTCTGGTGCCCAAAATCCGGTAAGACGCCGTTCATTGATATGCCGTCTTCGAAGCCATTGTATCCGGTCATGTCCGCCCAGTCCCACTCGAGCGTCATGGGCATCTTCCAAAGGTCTTGTGGGACATTGTTGAACGTCTGGTCGAAGGTGCCCATGGCCATGGCGTTCATGTTCATTCCACCGTTTTGCATTTCGCCAGCCGTGCTCATGGGCAAGCCATGCTGTACCATTCGGGAGGTCATCGCGGGTGAGCCGAACTGACTCATATTATTGGGCTGGAGGGAGGCGTGGGTAAAGTTGGGGGAAAACGGGAATGGCTGGAGGCATTAGCATTACTTATTGCGTAATATCGAAGAACACTCACCTCATTAAAGCCCTGAAAGTCAGGATTGAATATCATGTCTTGCCCCTGGTTCTGAGGTGTTCCCGCCGTGGTTGAGGCAGGGGGCGGGGATTGCGGGTTGCGGTTCGTTGATAGGATCTCATTCGCTGTGGCTTCAATCTCGGCATCCTGTTCGCTATCGCCCTGCTTCCGTTTGCGTCTAGAGGCATGCTCTCGGTCCGCCTTGTCGAGCACAATGGTCGCGATGCGTTCGAACTCAGCACATACACTCAGCATGCGTTTTACGCTGCCATTGCCCGCGTCGTTCTGAAGCATGCTCAGGAAATTGACAACGAGCTTCATCAGCTTAAGGTCAGAGCGTGATCGGGTATCCTGCGGGTTCTGTAGAATATTGGCGAAGAGGGTGACGAGGGCTGTTACCGGGAAGTAGATGATGAGCCACACGCAAGACGGGTCGCCCTTCGGGATATACTTGAGGAGATGTATCGAAGCACGGGCAGCCTGAACGCAAAGCTGTGCAGACATGAAGACTCGCGGGTTAAGTGGTCGAGCATTCAGGCCCTGGATGGCAAAGTTCGACAGCCGACTTGTCCAGTACCCGTGGTGGACGCTCATGCGATGGATTGTCGTTAAGCAGTTGTAATACCCGAGATGAAGCACCGCGACCTGCAGGATGAGAGGAGTATGCGAGGCCTTGATGTCGTGTTCTGGGCGGAACTCCAGTGGGATGCCGTCTTTCCACGTCTCCAACTCCTTATCTAATTCGCCAATAGTATTGAGCAATTCGCCGTCGGTTTGCTTTGACGCCTTGGTGGAGTAGAGTCGTCTGTACACATGGCTCTGAATGACAGAGAAAGTGCACATGAGGCGGAACAGGTTCATCTTTCCCTTGCCGTCTGAAAGCGGAATATTACCGATGTTGTCGGGGGGATCCTCACTCGGCAGCTCTACGTTCATATCGTCATCATCCTGAATGGGCGGACGGCCTGATCGCAAGCAAATACTAGGGAACATCAGCGAAGCTCGTGGGTTTGGGCAGGGAATCCTTACTCCCTGTCAAGCATATATGCAATCCAGAAGACGCGCTTGCGCTGCTCGACTTCCGAGGCGTTCAAGTTGAAGCCTGAGCCCTTTTTGTGCAGACCGATGCTATGGGAAAGCCGAATGGCAGCGCCTACGAAGAAATACGTTGGCTGAGGGTTCGGCGTGCCAAGCAAAAAGAGGCCCTGGGCATGTTAGAGAGTGACAGCGTGGACGCGCGGATTTCTCCACTTACGATGCCGAGAAGAGCCTGCACGCTGAGCAGATCAGTGTTCCGCATTGTGAGCTCTACCTGGACGCTCATGGCGTTCTTCAGATACTGCCACGCCTTTTCGTCTTCCTCTTGCGGGACGAGGTTGCTCATGACGCGCAGTCGATGGGCAAAGGCGAGGGCGACATTCAAACTCGCCCACCAACCAGAGCCTTCATAGGGGTCTTTTGAGTAATGCTTGTCGACAAGATGCATGAAGGTGGGTTCGTGGAAGAGCGGAAACATGCAGTTGAAGTTCTCGAAGTAGTCCTTTAGCAGCGACAGCGCCTCGGATTTGGGCGGAAGTTGTCGATACACACGTCGTTTGAAGATGTCTTGGAAGACGTCTGGCCGCCACTGTATCCACTTGTTATCTTCGATGGCGGCGGTCGAGATCATGTCCTGGAAGGAATTGTCGCCCGTCTTGTCATTGACCCACTGTATGCCCTTGGGAGAGAAAATGGAGAAGCCGGAGGATGAGCCTGCACACATGAGCATTGACATTCACAAGGGAGCCAGCTTGGAGCCTACCGATATATCTCGTCTCTCCGCAGTTGTTGGTCACCAGGGAGCACATCATCTCGGCCAGCGCATCCTCCTCCTTCTCGCCCTCGGTCGTCTGCCGCGGAGGCTCCGGCGACGTCGTGCCGCTCCGAGGGCTCGGGAGGGCGGGCTGTGCCGGCGTGGCGCTTACCTTCTCCGTGGTTGGAGCTACGGAGGCCATCCTGTCCTCTGAGTGCTGTGTTCTCGGTGTTCCGTTCGTTCTCGCCCGGTCCGCCAGCCGCCTCTCTAAGGTTGCAAGGTCGGTGCTGCCGTCGTCGTCCTCGGGGAGCACGCCAGACAGGCGCATCAGCGACTCCATGCGCGCCAGGCGGTTCTCGAGGCCTTCGATGTACTTGGCCCTGTCATGTGTCAGCCATGCGCTCAACCAGGGTCACGGCGGAACGGACCCCTTGGGCGGCTGCCGCTTCTTCTCGACCTGGGTGAAGATGCACTCGGTCTTGTAGTTCTGGCAGTGGGTGCATTGGGGCATCTTGCCGTCGCACTTGATCTTCTTCTTGCGGCACATGTCGCACGCCCTCGCAATCCGCCGCCTCTTCGCGTCGCCCTGGTCGTGCCCGTCGTCCAAGTCATCCTGGCTGAATATCGGGCCCGGGAGCGATGCGGGAATAGGCGATCCGTTCGCATTGAGGTTGCCAAAGATGCGCGGCGGCTGGTTCATCAGCGGCGGGCCCGGGGCGTAGAAGCCGTTGGAGCCGTCCATGGCGGATTCGAGTGATGCGGCGGCCAGAGGGTGCTTGCGGGTTCAATTGCTGGCGAAAACGGGCGGCGTGGTGTTTTGTGAGCGAGAATGTGCAGGTGGTCGGTTTGGAGGGGTCGCTGCTAGGCCACCTGAAACGCTGCCGAGTTCTCCAGCAGCAGGGCCCTGAGCGTTGCTGTCGCAGAGTAGCCGACCGTGGAATTGAGTCAAGAAGTGCGTCGTCCGCCGTCGTCCGAGAGCTCCGGCGCTGCGTATCTGCCTCTAGCGTGCGCGTGCTGAGGCGTGCTGGAAGCGGCTTAGGCGGTGGATCACGTCCGAGGCTCCACAGTGAAATCATCACGCCAAACGCGCGCCGGCGTGCCACCACCGACTCTATATCCCCCTGACCACTCCGGCTAAGCGCTCTGCTCCTGCTCGACGGAGTATTCGGCCCTCAAAATAGCAGGTTGGCATTTCTCCATTCCCGGCACCGCTTCTTTTAGACGGCCCCTCGCTTGAAACCTGGATGCGCCGGGCGCGGGCGGGACGCGGCGCTGCTGTGGCACCATTCCAACTATAACGTGCTGCGCCACGCTCGCATCCGGACCTGGTCTTCCTCAGCACCCATCAGCCATCGTTGTGTCCTCTGCTAACACCAAGTAGATTGACAAGGCGCCACCAGGAGTACCCCGCCCGCCATGGCCCATCAAGAGCCCATGACGGCGGACGAGCTGCTCAAGCACCCGGAATACGACCACACCGTCTGGGACCTCAAGCCCGCGAAGAAGGGCAGGCTCGCCGTCGCCCAGGGCAGAGGCGGGCCTCTACACATTGCATACGAGGTCCACGGCCATGGAAACCGCCATCTCGTGGTAGGTGATAAACGCTCATCAGTGCGCCAAAATTAGGCTCCCACACGCTGCCGTCCAGAAAGAGCACACTCCACAGCAGTATTTGTCATGTCTGAAGTCCGGGAATGATTTCCACTGCTGCTCGTCAGCAAATTCCGCCAATCGCTTTGGCGCTTCCCCATTGTTCCGTTTCGGTCGCAGAGCGCGTCTCAGCCTTTTCGTCTCCTCGTCTCACATCCCTGCACGCCCGCGCATGTTCCACACCCTTTTTCAACGACATCTTCCAACCCGTTTTCTCGGGCCCGCCGCTGAATAATTTCTACTCGGCCTGCTGCATCTTGGTTATCGATATCGAAGAAGTAACTCTGCTGACACCATGTAGTGGATAATGGGCCTAGGCGGCATGAAGTATGCGTGGCAGCGCCAAACAAAGGACTTTGCCCATACACAACCCGACCAATATTCATCGCTGGTGCTCGATAACCGCGGCATCGGCGAATCAGACAAGCCGCTGTTTAGATACTCCACGTCCGAGATGGCAAAGGACGTCCTCGAACTAGTCGACCACCTGGGGTGGACCGGCAAGCGCGAATTGCACATCATCGGCATTAGCATGGGAGGCATGATTGCCCAGGAGCTGGTAAGTCCCGTCATATTTACTTTCTCGTCTTATACCCTTGGACTTTTCCAGTGCACAATGCTTCATCTTCGAGAATGCTTGGGTAAGCGCATGTCGGATGCGCTGCCTTCCGGTCAAACATCGTGAGGTCAGTCTGAGGCATCACGCCAAGATATGAAACGCTTCGAGCATCTCGCCCAGCACCCCTTGCAATTTCTCCTGCCCCGAGCGCTCCGCTCCGCCCCACCCGTTCAAAGTCACTGTCGTCCTGTTTAGCTCTCCCCGCCCTTGGCGTGCCTGGTCCCGTTCGTGACGAGGCGATCTTGCAGAATAGGGGAGACAAAATCATGAGAACTGAAAAATGTAGTTAACAAGAGGCTAGGCCGTGCTGATACCGGACCGCATATGCACGCTCTCCCTAGTGTCGACCGCAGCAGGATTGTTTAGAACGAGTGTGAGTTTATCCACATCCCTTCTCAAACCCGTCCACTCCTCAACCTTCTCAACTCTCCACCTCAAAAGCAGACCTCCTTCCCAATCTCAAAGAGTTTACCTCCCGCTCTACCCTCCATGCGGGAGCAATCCAGTCTTCAACATCAGATACCAACGCACATTAACATGTTTCAGGGCTTCATCGAAAACCTGCGCAACCGCGCCAACCTCTTCCTCCCCAAATCCATCGACCGCCAAATCACAAACGTAAAGCACAACCTCTACACCCCCACCTGGCTCTCGCAGCCCGACGCCCTCGAGCACGTCGTCCAGCCCTTCCCCACCAACGGCGACCGCTTCGCCGCCAACGAGCTGTGGAAGCGCTCGCACCCAGACTACTTCCAAAGGCCCGGCTTCATCCTGCAAGCCATTGCCGCCGCCTGGCACTACAAATCCTCGGCGGACCTGCAGAAGCTGGCGCACACCGTGGGTAAGAAGAGGATTATGGTGGTGCATGGCACGCAGGATCGCATGATTACGTTTCCGCACAGCGTAGTGCTGTGGAGGGGCCTGGAGAAGGGCGAGGGCAAGACGGGCAGGGAGAATTGGTTGGGGATTGAGGAGGAGCCGGATGTGTGGGAGGAGGGGGAGATCGAGAAGCGCTTTGTCAAGGGGCAGGCGCATGTCCTCCCTATTGAGATGAGGAGGGAGTTTCATGGGTGGGTGGAAAATCTTATCAAGAGGGGTGTGGAGTTGAATGAACGGGAGGGCGTGGCGGATAGCTCGACTTGAGTGCGGTCGTTAGAGGGGAGCCCAGAGTCTTTTATGTTCCTCGGCGTCGGTACGATATCATATCCTTAGAACGAGCACATCTAATAATTTGGTCGTCATACTAGAAAAAAGCCATAATATCAGCCTCAAAGAAACCAACGATTACCCCTGAACCCGCTCTCACCCTGCTCCTTGTCGCATGTGACCATCTCTCCCTCCCTATCACCCCCAACACGCAGAGGCCGCAGCATACCACCCTTTATCTCCGCATCGTCGGACTCCAAGCCCATCAAGAACCACCCAAGACCTACCTCTACATCAAACTCCTCCCGCCATCGACATCCAAACAAACACCCTGCATCCCAGTCAGCCGCCGTCTCCCTCTCCCTCTCCCAACTTCACTCCCCCCACCTACCGTAAGAAACTCCGCCTCATCGCTCGCCAAAAAGCACGCCGCATTCGCAATATCCCGTGGCGTGCTCATCCTCCCCAGCGGGATGCCCGCCAGCGGAGCAGCGCGCCCCTCCGGCGTATCCGTCCCGCCCAGCACGGGGGCGACCCTGGGGTTGAGCGTCAGCGGTCAGCCGTCGGCGCTAGACTGTGCGGATTTTCTGGGGGAAAGTGGTGGATGGACGTACATTGCGGTTTCGCCGAGGACGGGCTGGATGCAGTTGTAGCGGATTTTGTCGGCGGCGTATTCGGCGGCTAGGCCTCTGGTGGCCTGGGGTGGGGAGTTTGGGTTAGCGGGTGGGAGGGGGAAGGGGATGGGGAGGGGGCGAGACGTACGGCGGTGACTGCGCCTTTGCTGGCTGCGTACCTGGGCAGGGGAGAGGAGAAGTCAGCAGGCAGTCCGTTCATAGCTATGATCCACCCTCGCAGCGCATTTTCCGTTCCGCTAACACCCCAACCTGCCCCTTCTTCAAGACCCATCCATCCATCCACCCACCCACCCCCAGCCCCCAAACAAACCCTCTCCCCAAAACCCAAGAAACACACACCTACCACACCAACCGCGGCCTCGGCCGTGGCGCGGAAACACTACTCAAATTAACCACCACACCACCCCTCCCCTCACGCCTAAAATACGGCACCACCGCCCTCGCGCTATGATACAGCGGCTTGACATTAACGCGCCACATGCGATCGACCTCGTCCTCCGGGACCTCCTCGCTGGGCCGGGCGACATGCACGACGCCGGCGTTGTTGACGACGATGTCGAGCGTGCCGAAGGCGTGCAGGCACTGCGCGAGGGCGGCGTCCCAGTCCGCAGCTTTGGATACGTCGCCGATGAAGACGGAGCAGGAGCTGCTGCTGGATGAGCTGGATGGGCTGGATGGTTGGTTGAGGGAGGCGGCGAGGGCGTGGGCGGGGGCTGGGTTGATGTCCCAGATGAGTATGCGGCAGCCTTCTGCGTGGAACTTTTGCACGATGCCTGCGCCGAAGCCGGAGCCGCCGCCGGTGATGATGGCGACTTTGCCGTGGAGGCGCGGGGATGGCATTGCTGGATGGAGAGTTATGTGTGAAGCGTAGAAGAATGATTGAAGTGGGATTGACTGGGAAGGAATGGGAGGGCGAGAAAAGTGAGATAGACTGGGTAGGAATGGGGGTGGAGGGAGAGAACTATGCCGGCCAAATGGTCGGCTTAAGAGGTCAATATCTGGAGTGATGCGGCTTTTTGTAGCACGGTGAGGAGAAGCGTCCCCATACCCCGCATCTAGATGTGCGTGATGTAGATCTCCCATGATTGGAACCGGTTTGCTGATGACTCGCTCGTGGCTATACGTACTGCACTGACTCAGCTCAGTTCGCGTAATAATGGCATCTGATAAGTGACTGGAGTGGTTGGTGGGAAACGCGTGCGAGACGGTGGATAGAAACAAGATGATATACAGGATATGCTTGGTCTATGTAACATGGTCGGACTGCCGTCATAGTTGGAAGAGGATGGTGAAGGGCCTTGTGCGTCGTGCGTAGTTAGCGGAGGATCTTGTCGAAGACGATAGCTTGGGCTCGCAGCGCCGTTTCCCCAGACCACTCCTAATCCAGCCCTCTCCCCAATCTCTTGGCAAACCCCCCAGCGAGCGTCTATTCCTCGCCGCCAAACTCCTGACGACCCGGCTTCGAGTTCAAATACTCGTTCCTGTCTCGTTAGCGCCTCATGCATACCCCCGTCCCGCCGCACATCGACTCACCTCTCAATAGCCCACTGCATCGCGGCGTACGCCGCGATAAACGGCGGGATAACGTAGAGGATCTGGTTCCGCGCCCGGCGCACCGTGTTCCAAGTTCCCTTGGTAAGGAAGCCGGCGAAAGGACGCTGTCGGTTCGAGCTCAGGGCGTACGTCGTGACGCCCTTGCCGGGCATGCCGCCACCTTCGTAGGGGTTGCCCCACTCGCCGATGTGCCATCTGTGTGTCCCATGTCAGCGCTGCTTCTTCCTCTGCCTTGAGTCCGAGCATGTGGGTGGGAGCGGTCGGTGACGTGAGCGAATTCGGAGCGACGTACGTAGCTTTGTGGCGGGCGCCCGTGGAATCTCCTCCGCCGGCCATTGTGTCGTGTGCGGTCAATTGATCCGATGGGATGCGTGGGTTGGTTCTGAGCGGATGGGTTCGCGGGTTGAGAGCTGCAAGTGAAGGTCGCACGTTATGTCTTCAAGCTTTGAGTTCGCGGCTCTCGGATTCCAAGCTCTCGATCGGGTATAGCGCAGCACGTGATGCTCCGGAAAACCGAAAGCTTGTGATTGGGCGCATAGGATGCTTAAGATGAACGCGGAGTTTCTTAATTGTACTAGACTACGGAATAAAGTCGAGCAAGAGTCCAGCGCTACCAGTCTCGGAACTTGCAGAACGAAAGAAGTAGAGTGATTCATCCAATATCGTCTCCGTTAGAAGGCCGTTCCCGAGGTCAGTACAGGTGTTTAGCATTTGAGAACTCCCATCATCCGGACGCCAACCAAACAAAGAACGCATCCCGAACCAATGTTGTGTTCATACAGGCCCACAGTGGTATCACATTCATGCCGGCACGCACATCCTCTGCCCCACATTCAACCTCTCGCAATCCACATGTTCATTCCCCTCCAGCTGCAGCAGCTCGTCTACACCCACACCATAGGCTTTTCCGATCTCCCAGCACGTGTCGCCTTTCTTGACTTGAATTTTACGATCGCCTTGAGCACAGTAAACCTGCGACGCCGCCTCGTCAGTCGATCCACCATTGATGAATCTAAAGAGGAGCAGGAGGAAGACTACGACGAGGAGTGCGAACGGGAGCATCATCCTGACGGACTCGCGGTTGCTCTTCTTGAGCTGCGTGTTGTGCGCTTCGATCTGTTCCGGCGAGCGTTCGGGTTGCTGGCCGACGGGCCAGAGAGGGCCATAGCGGTTCCCTTCTTCGGATTCATAGACGCGGCCGTTGCCGTCGCTGAACGTGTACTTCTGAGTGTCGGCATCGTAGCCTATGCGTTGGAACCCTTCGGGAAGACGTTGCTCGTCCTGGTATGGCTATTAGCAAGGCTGAGATGACGGCTGGCTGTCGCGTGCGACTCACGTCATCCATGTCAGCCCAGCGGCCCATTTTGATACCACAGTGTATGCTGTCCTGGGAGGTTGGGGTAAGCGATGGGAGTTAGTGTGGACGAGGCCGAGAGCAGGACGGCTATCAATTTATCACAAAGTCCGTGAGGGATTCGAAGGAGTGCCTATGCAAAAAGCAGGCAGTCAAGCTGGGGGTTTGTGGCTTAGACGCCTTCCGGTGAGCGATGATGTGACGCGTAAAGTGTGGAGGATTGATGACGGAATCTGCCGAAGAGGGCGCTAGGCGACATTCGCAGAGGCGATTGGTCCATTCAATGAACTCAGGTCTCTCTGCCTTCTGTACGCCAAATGTTTTGGAGCCTACAGCTGCCAAACAGGATCGATTACCAGAAGTCACCGATACAGTGGCACAGCCCTCTTAGAGTGCTAGTCAAGGCACCCTATTTTGTAACTCTAAATGAACGCCTGCCTTCCCACGCACGGCCCCTCCGCCAGAACAACATGAGCGGGGATCTTAGCTTCAGCGAAAGGTGCGGTGATGGCTATAGTCTCTGTATCGCTGGGGTATCGGGTAGTATGTCCTGATCCTGTCGTATCAACCGCGAAGTTCAATCCTCCAACACCCCCAAGAACCCAAGCGTCCACAGAGTCGTCGTGCGAGAGATTTGGATGGCCACGCCCGACATCTTTAGTCCCCTCGGAAGCGACAGCGCAGCCTGCGTAGCATAGACGTTGTAGTCGATGTATTAACATGTGGTTCGACGCCCGCGAGAAGGCGCAGAGCTGCTCTAGCGAACGGTATATCGATGGTTACAAGGCCACCATCAAGAAGCATACAGATTCGGCGTAGAGAGCTTGGCCGCCTTAACACTCAGATTGATAATTAGCTATGCTATTTCTGTATTGCTCGCAGATAGAATTGGATTCAGCTTCTCCTCTCGGCATTAATACCAAATCCCGAATCCCATTACAATGACTTGACCTCTCAACAGCTGAAGCTATCCATTCAGGACGGACTCAACTAGCTTTCCTATCCCTCACTCGAACCTATCGTGAGTGTGCCTGAGAAATAACATCGGCCTACTTAAGTCACAATAAATATTTGATTGACTGCGGGGTACATATCTTGATACATCAGCTTATACCCCTGCTCAAATCTGCAAATCACACACGAGCCTACGCGAGCTTCAGCCGCCGATTTTGTCAGCTCGCAAGGCTGAGATGAGAGAGGTGCCTCGATATCGTCTTCGTCGCGATGAGCTTCACTCGGGCTTATCCGTCTCCCGACGGTCGATTGTTGCTTTTCGCAGCCCATTTTTATCACCGACGTCTGCGTCCAGGTCTCCGGGAGACCCCATCTTTAGCTCTCGATCGCTGCTCGGGAGCTAGTGCGGGATAGCCTTGCGACAACACGGTCTGTACGGATTCTGTTCGGTTCAATTGGCCTTTGCTGAAGCCCCATTTAGTCTCGTCATACCTCAACACGTCGGTCGTCAATCGCTCGTTCGATCAACAGGCGATCCTGCCCCATGCGCCTTCTCCCATTGGTCTCTGCTACAAGTAGGTGGAGCTAGTGGGGAGCGCATACGCCATGGTACCTCGAAGAGCGAACGATATCTGTGGCTCTGTTGAGAACAACAGTTGGCTGTGTAAATGTGGAAAGGCCGTAGCGCAGATTGAAGAGGTTGGGGAACCATGTATGTTTCGGCATGCTAGGATTTGGGGGAGCTCCAATGCTAAACCTACGTTTTAGCTCTACAATGTCCAAATAGGCAATATGGATGCCCTTTCTTCCTTTGGCAGATAGATGAAGAGTCTGAAAGGCGGAAAAGAACCAGTCAGTCGAGCCTTAAGAGCTCGAATGGTCCGTCTGCACCCGTCCAAAGTCGACCATATCTACAGCCGACTGCTCAGCACAAAACGGTTTCGAAGGGTAATACGATGAAAGATAACGGAATTGGTTTTCTGGGAAACGAATTCGTCGAAAATCAAAGTGAGTGTGATGTCATTTAATGAATCATAGCTTCAATGGACTAATATGTCCTATTATAGGTGTACAAGGAGATATGCAAACAAGTTTCCACAGCCACAGCGAATCGACTGTCAACTATAATGTTACCAACTATCATGGTCATGCTGGCTATACCGCGCCAGAGTACAGGGCACCTGAAGATATCTATCGAAGCGGAGGTTTACCTTCGCCGGAGTGGAATTTGCATCCAGCGCAACACCAGCAATCACCATATCCCACACCCCCTAGTGAGCACCCCTCTCCGATGCAAGGCCAAGGACAACACCCAACTTCAGCGCAGCAGCAGCATATCTCATCAGAAAATCGACCCTATACACAACAATATCCTCCGCACTATTCATTCGTTCCACAATATGACCCGCAAAGGTGGAATAATCTTGTGGAGACGTCCGCAGTTGCCCCTCCATCCTCGTGGTACGCAATCGAAAGGATTGCAGCACTGGTTCCTCCACACAACTGGCTGAATATATACAACATTGCAACGCCAGTACCGCCACCTCATATTATTCAGACAAACATGCGATATTCCACTCTTCTCCACGTTGCTGCCTTGGTGCCACAGATACAGACTCCGCAGTCTCCTCCATCATCACATCCGTCGCCGAATCCGAATTTGCCACCACCTTCGCATCCACTTACCGCACCTACTTCGTTACCTACGGGACCATCTATGACAGAGCCCACGCCGACACCCCGCCCCACACTGGCCAATCAGCCGGCGACTAATTTATCTTGCAACCCGGCAGCAGAAAGCTCGTCATCTTTCGGCGCACTGTTTTGCTGCTGGAGGGGGGTTAAGAAGCGACAACGCTGAACATATAGTGTTGCTAGTATCTCGCTTACATGTAGTCCCATCTCATAGCTTCAATCCACAGACTCTCTTCACACAACCTTCCAAGAGGCCTCTCCTCATTACTCTCAGATTACGACAAACCTCTGTGACATATGCGTCGAATCAATGATTCTGAACCTCAGTGTCCAGCTCGTTGAAATCTGAACAACTAAACAGTCATGGATGACTCAGGCCCGACGAAGGTACCCAGAATCTTTAGGCGAAGGGCAACTATGCTCGGAACTAACGTTGCGATAGTTGTAGGGTAGTTGTCCCATTTCGAGCGATGTTGAACGCAACCATTACACGAACGAGTATGTATCAAGGAACGACTGGAAAAATGCTCAGAGTGCATCGGAGTGGCCTCCGCAATATGGACCCGGGGTTTACGGTTCATTTAGTGTAGCGCGCTTAGATTTTACTGGCATAGTGCGGGAGTATGAACACAGCATGAGCCTGTCATTGGATATGAGACATGAATATTACATCTATTGCGGCAGTGTTCTCATCTATAATACTCATTTTTGGTATGTAATTCCCAGCATAATCAAATTCTCCTTTTTCGAAGCCATGTAAAATTTTTCCGCGCGATACGTCCCTGATTTTGTTCCTCGCGCGGACTAGGCGAAGCCCGGACAGCACCTCCCACGAGCATTTTGTTCCCTTCCAAGGTTGTCCAAGACAGATGAGTGCGCTGAGTCAAGTTCGGTTGAACTTCGCTGGAATGGGCAGGCTGTTGATGACGCCAGATGCTAGAATCCGATGCATGCCATTGAAGTTGGTAGGACCGATCACTGCTACAGTGCATCCACTCGCTACGCAGCTTTCGAAGCGACCTCGATTGACACCGGTCCCAATGGCTCCAAAGATGTCACCCTCTATTCTGACGTTGGAGAACGTGCATTGAGATGGTTCGTCTTGAGCCTGGCCTTGGCTGGTTGGCCCTTCCTCGGGAGAGCCTTCGGGAGCGGGCATTTGCATAGACGGTTTGGAATCTGCTGCGCTCGAATCGGGTGCGATAGTTGTCGCAAGCTGCCAATGTTGTTAGTAATTGGACGCGAATTATATTTTTGCCGGATTGCAGTCTTGATTGACTTACTGAATCGGCGGTGTTTGTGCGGAGGGCTAATCGTGCTGTTGGAACTCAGTACACATGCAAAAGGCTGAAAAGGCGCAGGTGAGCTTACTCTCGCTAGGTTCGACGACAGTCATCGACGTCGCATTACTCATCGAATCGGAAGAGTTGTCGGCCATTTCTTCCTTCGAAGAGTATGACATGCAGAGCACCAAGTCCAGTTTGTAGGCGTCTAGAGTCGCGAAAGAGTCTTTAATCCGCTTCTCTGCTTTCTTCTCCTTTGGTATTTTCAGGTACTTCGCTCGCGATTTCCGCGTGCCCGTTGGGAAAGACGTTCTTAGGGTGCTTTTAAGCGCGTCTACTTCCTTCGAGATGGAGTCGAGGAGGTTCGTGGTAATCTGCGCGCAAAGCTGTTCGTTGTTCTTAATATCTTGGATAACGCTGGAAAGGGACTCGAGTCGTGCAGAATAGGATTGTATGCGCGCTGGACAGTGCTTTATGTGGTCTTGGAGCTCGATTATGGAGCTCCCAATTCCGAAAATGTAGCCGACAAGCTGGCTGCCTCCTGCAACCGCGCCCAAAATTTCGAATCCTGACATGATGTAATCGTTATCGTGACTCTAATTTTAAACATTAAAAGCAAAACTCAGCAGAAATAACTGCTATTCGCGACTTTCTGCCGGGATGGGTCTGTTTAAGTTTTGGGGGCCAACTCAGCTGCAGGGCGCAAAGGGGAAAAGGAACCGCGAGTGCGAAAGCAGGAATTTGAAAGCGAAGGGCGGTGAGTTCGAGAACAAATGATTATTAAAAAGACAGCACGTGCGGCTTCGTGTGCTGCAGTGAGATGTATGAGACTGGCGTGCATGCGAGACGAGGCCATATTAGCTGAAAGCCTACAGCACGACCTCGGGAAATGGGGCGAGCGACCCCCCGAATGGGTGGTGACGTGGCGCCGTTGACTCTGCCTTGAGTAGTTGGGCCGCAATGCTTTGCAGAGGCAGATTCGCCTTGAAAAGCAACAAATCTGGCTAACAGGACTTTCTGTCTCAGTCTGCAGTCGCCTCGCCCATAGAGTCAATCATTCAGTCGGCCTAGGGCTGCGCCACGTGTTAGGCTGGAACTTATTGCCTCAGGAGTTAGAGTCATAGAATGCCAGCACATAAGCCGTTTCACGGTCAACCAGCCCAGTAGTCACTCAGAACCGGGCTGTGGAGATCTGTCTCCGATAGACAGGGCAGGCTATAGAGAGCGATCAACGTACGAGACTGTACCTTGTGTGGTGTCGGCATGCGAAGTGAGGCCGTTGCGGAACTCGGAAAGGGTGTCGGGAGAATATAAAAGCATTGCAGGTAAAAGATACGGTGCTCCGGTTTTCCGGTGGTCTCAATATCAGTGTCAGACATGAAGGCGTACACGCACAGACCAGGTCGCTCTACCTTTTGCTCTCGTATCCAGCTCGCGTACGGCTACCTCGCGACGCCGTTTTCGCCCACCGGCACATCATCTCACCAAGGCTACCAATATCCAGCCCACCCACGGAATCGAAGCGCAATGAGCAGTCAGCTCAAACGACAGAAATTACCCTCTGAAGTGCAGGAAGAGCTGGACGAGGGCGCCAGGTGGCTCTCGACAACCGCACGGTTTGAACAGCTGCAGAAGGAGAACTACCTTTACTGCGTGGAGGCAGAGGCCTTGGTCGATAAGTTCAGCAAACTGCTGGCCTATGTCAGCGATGAAGTATGGAGGCCGCCCCAGCTATTAAGTTATCAGACTCTAAGCTGACTTGGAGCGACTGACGTAGACCCCCGCGAACGAAACCCGCATCACCGCGCTCCACTTCGAACAGTCCGCAAGCATACCCGTGAAGAAGGGTTCAAGCGTAGATGTAATCCCTATTCATCTCAAGTCAGGTGAACCGACTATCGGCGGCGAGAAGTTGGAACTTGGAGAATACGTGCGGTTGACGAAAGAGACGCCAGTTGAGCCAGATTTTTACTGCCTCCTGCTCTTGAGGAACTGAAGGGCATCATGGAGCTGCATCTTGCACACTTTGGGAGAGCGTTTGGCGTGCAGCGTGATACCCTCTTTTGCGCTTGGATTCGATGCTGCTGTTCGGAGTAGATCGGCTCTGCCAAACTACCATGTTCACAGGGCTGTATTGGCTGAACACAAGATTTGGCGGAAGGCCTTGGGACTTTTTAAAGAAGGAACTGGCAACTCTAGGGTAGAAGACTATCCCAACTAAGATAAAGAGGAAGAAGCCATACCGATATGCACCAGTAAGAGTTTAGATTGAGTAGATTTCTCTAAATAACACTTACTTGTAGTACAGGCTTTATAGTTTATATTGTATTAAGAATATTATTATAAGAACTTCTAAGTAGACTTCCTCCTTTATTTTTGCCGTGCTAGTATAGTCTCTTGAAGTATCCAAGCTCGAGAGAACCATGGACTGTGGTCGAAGAATCTTATCATTGCGGTCATGCCTAGGACTTGACACAGTAAGAGTCAGATGGATTTACCTGTGCGAAACTTCGCACGAAGACCTCTTGCAGGAATACCTTCTCGTTCCAAAAACCCAAGCCACCGTGTCAATCGTAACTTGATCGCAGAATGCTCGTCTTCGCCGAGCCATACTCGCACCTGACGCGCTTGCCTGTACACATCGCCCATGAATCGGATCCGGTGGTTTCGCTCTTCGAAAGGATTCTGATCGATACATGCCGCATCGACCCAGAGCGTCCGACTATAGTTTTTCTTTCTCAGCCTTCGCAAGGCTACGCGACAGTTCTCCGTCACAAAGATGGTCTGCCCTTCGCAGTAGATGGCATCGTTGCCAACAGGCGAACCCCACATGTAGAACAAAGCCTCGTATTTGCAAGACTGGTCTTTTGGGGGTGGATAGGTTGACCTCCTCAAATGTGCAATGAATCAGGTCGCTTCCTCTGCACATTACTGAGGACCATGCGACTTAGTAAGCGCTCGGCCCGCTGAAATGTCGGACGAATTTCGTCGACATCACGACTGCCGTCAGGAACCGCAGAACCTTCGCCATCACTCAGCGCGCGCCACCCGTTCTCATCTCTTTTCGCCGTGCATGATCAATTGCAGCGACTACAGACGTCTCTAACACCCTCACCTCCCCACCCTTCCTCCTCGCCATGTCCACACTCCTCCGCCGCTCAGGTAACCTCGCGCGACTCTCGAGACCCTGTCTTAACGCCGCATCGAGAAACGCCGCACTTCGAAGACGAATACCTGTCCCTCAGTGCGTATATGCGCAACAGCGGGCGCGATTGTTCGCGACCAAGCCGCCTAAGGAGCCGAAGAACAAGAAACAGGATGATGAGGTAGCGAAGCAGAACCAGGGCCAGGCTAAAAAGCCTGAGCCAAAGAAGGACGAAAATCCAGAGGAAAGCAAGGAAGAAAAGCCAGCAGCCCCAACACCGCAGGTATCGAAGTTGTCGGAGGAGGAGGAGAAGCTGTTAGATCAGCTGGTTTCCTTTGTTTCCATGGGGGTCCCGAAGTCGCAGCAAAAGGCTATCAAGGATGCTGTAGACGAGATCAAGAAGACCGGGATCCCAAAAGAGCTGAGGGAGGAGATGGACCGGCTCGCGCGGGGCGAGAAGCTAGATCTTGCCACAGCAGCCAAGATTTCGCGGTTAACGACCAAGTGGGCGCGCAGGACCGCCGAGCAGCAGCGCTTCAAAGACGAGGCACCAGAAGAACCGCAGCAGAAGGCGGGTGCACACGACCCTGGTCCAGGAAAGGAGAAGGGGCAAAAGGGCGGCGCAGGTCCTCCGAAGTTGGAAAAGAATATGGACTGGAACACGACGCTGATCACAGCTTTCCTTGCATGGCTTACCTACCGCATGATCGTACCCGGCGAGAACACCAAGGAGATAACGTGGCAGGAATTCAGAACAACATTCTTGGACAAGGGCCTAGTAGAGAAGATCGTGATCCTCAACGGCAACAAGGCCAAGGTGCATCTGCACCGTGAGGCTGTCGCTTCCATGTATCCAGACTCGCCTGCGGCCAGCCACAACTTCTATTACTATTTCACAATAGGGTCGGTCGAGGCGTTTGAGAGGAAAATGGACGACGCACAGTACGAGCTTGGCATACCCAGCTCGGAGCGCATTCCCGTTGCCTACGCCAACGAAATCTCCTGGTTCGGCACCTTCTTGTCCTTTGGACCTACCCTCCTTCTCCTTGGTTCCCTGTTCTACTTCACAAGACGCGCTGGTGGTGGCAGCGGCGGCAACAGCGGTATCTTCGGCATGGGCAGGAGCCGAGCCAAGAGGTTCAATCATGAGACGGATATCAAGGTCAAGTTCGCCGACGTCGCCGGCATGGATGAGGCCAAACAGGAGATTATGGAATTCGTCTCTTTCCTGAAGGAGCCCGGCCGCTTCCAGAAATTGGGCGCCAAAATCCCGCGCGGTGCCATCTTATCTGGTCCTCCAGGAACCGGTAAGACCCTCCTCGCCAAGGCGACTGCTGGAGAATCCGGGGTGCCATTCTTCAGTGTTAGTGGTTCCGAGTTCGTTGAGATGTTCGTCGGTGTCGGCGCGTCCCGTGTGCGAGATTTATTTGCCAACGCGCGCAAAAACACGCCCTGCATCATCTTCATTGACGAAATCGATGCCATCGGACGATCTCGGGCAAAGCAGAACTTTGGGGGTGGCAATGACGAGCGCGAGGCTACACTCAACCAAATTTTGACGGAAATGGATGGTTTCAATACAACTGAGCAAGTCGTCGTACTTGCTGGTACCAATCGGCCTGACGTTCTCGACAAGGCGCTCATGCGGCCAGGGCGTTTCGACAGACATATCAACATTGATCGGCCGACGATGGAAGGCCGAGCCCAGATTTTCGCCGTGCATTTGAGGAAGATTGTTACCAACGAGGACATGGAATTCTTGAAGGGCAGGCTGGCAGCATTAACACCTGGCTTCTCAGGTGCTGACATTGCCAACTGTGTCAATGAAGCTGCTTTAATCGGTGAGTAAGCTGTACATGTTAAGAGGGCGTTGATTGCTAACTCGTTCTAGCTGCACGTCACCAAGCCGATTCCGTCACGATGGCGCACTTCGAGCAAGCCATCGAACGAGTCATCGGCGGTCTAGAGAAGAAGTCTTTGGTTCTGAAACCAGAGGAGAAGAAGACGGTAGCTTACCACGAGGCAGGCCACGCCATTTGTGGCTGGTTCTTCAAGTACGCAGATCCTCTTCTCAAGGTTTCCATCATTCCTCGTGGTCAAGGCGCCCTCGGCTATGCCCAGTACCTCCCTGCTGGCGACACCTACCTCATGAACGTTCACCAGTTGATGGATCGCATGGCTATGACCCTAGGAGGACGCGTATCAGAAGAGCTACATTTCGACACGGTAACTTCAGGCGCTTCGGACGATTTCAGAAAAGTCACACAGATGGCCACTGCTATGGTCACCAAGTGGGGCATGACCAAGAAGATCGGTTACATATACTACGAAGACGACCAGCAAAACCAGCTCCAGAAGCCCTTCTCCGAGGAAACCGCCAAGAATATCGACATTGAAGTTAAGCGCATTGTCGACGAAGCATACAAGCAGTGCAAGGACCTGCTGACAGAGAAGAAGCACGAGGTGGGCTTGGTGGCCGAAGAGCTGTTGAAGAAGGAAATGCTCGGCCGAGAGGACATGATCAGGATATTGGGCCCTCGACCATTTGAAGACCCGCAAGATTTCCACAAATATTTCGGAGGCGAACATGGCCGCGTGCCGGGTTTGATTGAGCCGAATGGCGACACGGGCGTCAAAGGCCCTGTGGTTCCGCCCGCACCAGCATTCAAGAGCAGTGCCGCTGACTCGCCGCGGTGAGGATGCATGGAGGAATGGTAAACATCATGGCATTCTGCAGGCACTATTCATCTACGTCCATTCTGTTTGCATTAGGCGGTGCGGGCTCTTTTTCCACTCATAGCTTTGAGAGCGCGGTGTATAGTATCATAGGATGGACCCGCATGGGGCGACCTGTATAGTAAATCTTGCAAGCAAGCGCGTCCCTGCGCTGTATTTTACGACATTGGGATATCGTTACTGATATGTCTATCAGCCTGTTCTATATCCGAATTCCGTGGATTAAACGCGAGAGCGATGGCAATGTGTTCAGGTAAGTACGAACTACGATGTAGATGGCAATTTTTGTCACTCGATCTTCTCGAATATCCGTTGTGTGGTATCTAAACTCTTTTCTTCGTTAGATGAGCTACTTCGCCGTATAACCTTTCCCTGGTTGTAATCGATTTGGACGCGAGGTATGGTGCGCCTATACGAATGAAAGAAATGTACAACGTCACGTACGGCCTCGACAGTGAATTGCGCCTCATCGTGGACAAAGACCCCGGCCTATCCCCTGCGTACAGCAATGAAGCCTCTTCGAGCTTGATCGGGAATAACTTAAGCATTGCATTAAAGTGGCCAAGGAGGGCGATTGGGGATATGTCTGATTTGACGAAATTTGTAGCGCAAACAAAGACTGAACGAATCTCGGCTTGTGACATAGGCCAGGCTCCGATCGAGGAGCGCGAAAGCGGATCTAATGAATAGGGAAATGCGCTAAGCTATGTGAACACTGGTACGCACTTGACTTGTTCACCACCACGTCTACGACCAATAACGTATCGACCGAGATCATTCGAAGCGAGTCGGAATACCGTCATAGCACGCGACAGGGAATCTAGGAAGAGCAGGATCGAGAGGGCGGAAATCAACGAATACGTAAATCGGCGCCCTAACGAATCGCAACGTCCGCAGGATGGAGAACGCCTGACACCAGCAGAGATCGATTGGCTGCAAGCAAAAGAAAGTGGTCCAAGAACGAAGGACCTAGAAAATATGGAACTCGACAGGGTTCCACACGTCTAGGAGGGCATCATTAGCGTCTTGAAGGCTGCGGGATACTAAATGCATTATGCCCGTTGGGATGATTCCCAGCTATACACATCCTCGCCCGTCTAGCCACACGCCCTCTACATGGGCACAGAGGCGCAAACCAAGAGGGCTCCGTTCAAGTACCGGTTTTCCAGCGGCGCAAGGGATGCGTACTCTTCGGTTTGTTTTGGATATAGGAGCTCATGCGTTTCCAGCCGGAGGATGGAGGATGCAGGGTCGGATTTGTGAGATCAGCGAATCATAGATTTGGTAGGACGCTGCAAATCGATCCCGCTTCTGCACTTCTTAGGATGGATGCCCTTCTCCTTGTCTCATAGGTCGAAAAGGCACAGTGCCTCCATAGGCAGAAAAGTTACTGGTCGAATTCGAACGGGGGTATGTCATAGGCAATGGTGGGGGATATCCTAGCCATGTCATTCCTGAACTTCCACTATAGCGCGAGTGGTGATTTCCTCCTCCGTCGTGTTCTGAACACGGCATCGCGATTCGTGCCATGCAGCTCCTCCTATAACCAAAACCAACGCCATGCTCAATGCAACAGAACCAGTCTCTGTATTGTACAAGTCTTCATACATGTCTCCCACTTCTCCTTTCCATGTTCTCTTCCATGGCATATTATTATTTTACCTCCTTCTCCAGCAGCTCCTTAGCCTCGTTGACTTTGGTCGCGAGATACGGACTCCCGCCGCGATCGGGATGGTTCAGCAACATCAGTTGTCGATGCTTCTTACGGAGCAGCTCTTTTGTTATACCGCGTTCCCTGCTTGTCATCAGCAACCGCCCTACCACTGCATCAACGGCGCCCAAGCACATACGGCATCTCCAGAATCAGCGAGGCCTCTCTCCTCGTCATCTTCGGCTCAAAGCCGCCTTTGTAGAAACCTCGTCCCAGCGCGCCGGCGCCTCCTCCTGATCTCCGTAATGCGACGAGTGCTGCGCGGCCCTTTGCACAATGGTTAGCAATCCAGCGTTCCAAATGCAGGTATGAGAGATGTGTAGGGGCCGTACGAAGAAGGCCGTTGCGCCCAGACCAACCACCCAGACCCAGGCGGACATTTTCCGAGGTTGCTGCGAGGAGTCTTGAGGCTGCGGAGGTGTCTGAGGGGTTTGTGAAGCCGGGACTGGAAGCGACATGTGCGTTGGGGCGAGGAGAGCGACGTCGCGAGGTGACAATGGAAAAGTTGAGCGCGGCGCTGTCGGCCAATCGGCTTCAGAGGGCGGCGCGGGTAAATCTCGGCACGTTAGATCTGATTTTCGGATTTTTGAAGAGCTGTCCGCCTCGACACTCCACGCTTTGCGACAACACACGCGATAGCGGATACGCAGTCAAGATGAGAATAGAGGTGAGTTCTCCTTGCAAACTAATGCGGGCCTTGGTACTGACATTCACTAGACCTGCTATTTCTGGTACGTAGCGGCAATTCGCCCACTATCGACAACGCCGTAGACCTGAGAATATACGCTGATGTGGACTTCTATTACAGCTCTGCTCCCGTCTATCCTTCCAAAGGAATAACCTTCGTCCGCAATGACGCCAGTACGGCCGCCTAAATCAATGACTGACCTTTTTCTAACGGTACTCTAGGAGCCTTCCGCTTCTGCAAGTCAAAATGTCACAAGAACTTCAAAATGAAGAGAAATCCCCGGAAGCTAGCCTGGACGAAATCGTTCCGCCGAGCCCACGGCAAAGAGCTCACCGTCGACTCGACCTTGCAGTTCGCCGCCCGCCGGAACGTCCCCACGAGATATAACCGCGAGCTCATCCAGACCACGCTCAAGGCCATGTCGCGCGTCTCAGAGATCAGAGCCCGCCGCGAGAGGGCCTTCTACAGGGCTAGAATGCGGGGCAACAAGGAACGACAGCGTGCTGAGGACAGGAAACTTGTCGAGGAGAATCAGCATCTACTGCCCCCGAGCGAACGTTCGGAGGTGCAGAAGGAGGAAGAGGACATGGAGGTCGATGTGGAGAAGGTCAAGGAGAAGGTGGCGAGGAGACGGAAGGAGATTGAGATGGAGGAGGAGGAGCTCGACAGCGAGGTCGAGGAGCTACCCAAGATCAAGAGCAAGAGGAAGCTGAAGATGAAGGTTGGCGGCGGCGTCGAGGAGATGGAGGTCGACGAGTAACGGCTTCAAAAAAGTTGAATTGGCTGGGCATAGATCTCACTGGCGTTGGGCGTATGAGGCTCAACGGTACGACAGTCACGAATGCGATACCAATTGGGATACCTTCTCATTCGCTGTAGGTTTCTACATCGACTCCCTTCGTTAATTTTGTTCTTCAGCCTCTAGAAGGGTGTGCGTTCAGCTTTCCCCTTTTACCCCCAATACGAGTGTAATCAATATCCAGCGATTGTTGATGGCATGAGGGCGAGATTGATGCATGTTGAGAAGGCCCGACTATTACAAAATTGCCTACCCCTTACACCCGCCGGACGGTATAGCCTATAAGGCGAGGCTGCCACCGCCACGTCAGGAAAAAATAAAATCCCTCACCGGAAAAGGCTGGCCCATGGCCGCGGCTCCCCCGCATATCGAATTCCATTTGCTATTCTAGACCGTGCAAGACAAGGGAGCCTCGGGTTGACCCCGCGGGGCTTTCTCGGAAATAGCACGCTGACCCGCGGGGTAAAGGCACGCCTGGAAATCTTTGCGCCTTTTTCGCTTTCCCCGACTTTCTTGCGAGCACACATAATCTCTGTGTTCTCTCGGTGTTACATCCTCGTTGAAAACGTTTCTTTGAAGTGGTGAATTTGTTATCACGATGACGCCCTCAAGTCCCCGACCGGTGGTTCTTTTTGGGTATGACTGTAAGTCGGGTAGTCCCGGGGGCTCCTCCTGGCTCCGAAACGGTATGATGTGCTGATATGTACATAGCAAGTCCGTTTACGAACAAGGTTAGGTTGGCGTTGCGGTTCAAGCAGGTCCCGTTCAGTATGTATAGAGACTATGCTTGGTCTTTTATCTTCTCCTTCCTACTACATCTTTTCTATTCTTTGTCTCTGCACGGTCGATCTGCTCCATGATGTTTCTGAACATCTGGTGCAACCGCTTCTCCATCCTGCGAAACTCCATCATGCTGGCCCACCAGCAAAATCCAAAAAGCTAACAGTTCCGAGCCTACATACCCGTCCCGTCTATGCTACCAAGACCCCTCCTGACGAAGACATTCGCCCTCGCCTACCGCAAGATTCCCGTCTTGGCCATCGGCCGCGAAATATACTGCGACACGTCGCTCATCATAGAGGCGCTGGAGCATTTCTTCCCTGCCGCGGAGGGTTGGGGAACAGTGTATCCGAAGTTCGACGGGCTGGAAGAATGGGTGTATAAGGGGCTGGTGCGGGGATTTGCGAGTTTCTGGACAGATGTGAGTTTCTTCCCCGCTTTCTTTCCTTCCTCCTTGCTTCCGAGAAAGAAGAAGGAGAAGATACAATACCAAGAAATAGATAGAAAAAAGCTAACACCCTAGCAGGGACCACTCTTCCGCACCACCACCGGCCTGATCCCGCCCTCCGTCTGGCGCTCCTCCTTCGGCACCGACCGCTCCCAGCTCATCGGCCACACGCTCAACCCCGACAAACTCGGCGCCAAGATCCCGCTCAACCTGTCAAACCTCGACCTGCACCTCTCCATCCTAGAGCCCACCTTCAAAAACTCCCTCTGGGCCCTTCCCACCAAGCAGCCCAGCCTCGCCGATATCTCGCTGTACTACCAGCTCCGCTGGGGCCTGGATATCTCTGGCGGGAAGGGCATCTACGATCTGACTGCTGGCGGGGCGCAGGATACGCAGGAGCAGGTCGCGGATGTCGTGTTTAATGCGGAGAGGTATCCCGGTGTGTGGGCATGGTTTCAGAGGTTGGAGGCGTGGCTTGCGGGGCTGAAAGATCTGGAGGTCTGTGTGGATGGGGCGACGCCGGGGTGGAAAGAGACGCTGCGGGAGACGGAGCTGTTGGCGGAGGACGACTTGCTGGTGCCGGTTGCCGTGGAGCAGCACCCGAGTCTAGATGTGCAGCGGGGGCTTGTGCAAGGGGCACTGGTTAGCGTGGCGCCTGAGGATACGGGGCGCGATCATCCGACGATTGGGACGCTGGTGAAGATAGGCGTTGAAGAGGTGGTCATCAAGCCGATTGTGGAGGGCGAGATTGACGTGCGGATCCACTTTCCGAGACTGGGGTTCGTGGTCAAGGTCGCGGAGGGGAGCAGGCTGTAATGTGAGACACTCATTTCTTCCTCTCAGCTTGGTAGATTTCGCTCCTCGTCTACGCATCAGGCGGCGTCCCTAATTCATTAACATACATGCCACTCCGCTCCACCTCCCACACCCACTGCTTCCACGGCTTAAACGCTATCCACGCATTCATATTCCTGCAATCCCTCCGCTCCTGCTCCGACAAATACTGCACTCCGCCCCCGACAGCTCCAGTCAGCAGAAGCGCGTTCGTCTGCACACGCGCATTGCTGGTGGCGTAGTACGCGTAGTCGACAGCCTGCTCGACCGATTCCCCCGTCGTGACGAAGCCATGGCCGCGCTGGAGGACCGTAGGGTGCAAAGGGGAGGAAGGCTGCGATTGGTTGACACCCAGGGTTGCGGCGAGCGCGGCACCGAGTTGGATGCTGTTGACGAGCATGTCGCGGGGAGAAGAATCGTTGTATGCGGTTTCGATGTCAAAATTCGGCACGTTATCGCCTTTTTGTCTCGTCTATCAGCTTGCTGAACGCGTTCGTGGGTCTCCTCACGTGTTGGTGTTCCCCCACCTACCGAGAAATCCAGCCATATGGTACACGGGCTGCACACCCACACTACTACCCACTACCGTATACGGCAGCACGTCCTCCGAATGGCTGTGCACCACGCTGACCACATCCGGATACCGCTTCAGAATCTCCGAGTGGATATAGCGCTCTGCATACCCACCTTCGGTGCCGTTTACCGGCGAAGCGTCCTCGACTAGGTACTCGCCGATGTCCCCGGGTCCGCTGACGACGGCAGGACCGAGCTGCAGGGCAATGAAAAAGGTCGAGTTGTTGGCTGGGTTGCGCACGCTGATGTGGCCCATGGAATCGAGGACGTTGAGGTGGTGCAGGATGTGGTTGGCGGTGATGAGGGTGGAGAGCGTGGCGGTTATGTTGACCATGGTGGGAGGGTTCTGGAGGTTGAGTGGATTGGAAATGAGGACAGTTGGGATGGAAGGGAAAGGAGGGATGAAATAATCCATTTTCTGGGGTGGGCTTTAAGATTTTGAGAGATTGACGATGCATGGAGATCTTGGGGTGTGCCAAGGCGCCATGATGCGGAGGTGCAGTAGATCGGTGGATGTCTTGGTCGGACGGAATGCGGAGAGCCTTGTACCACAGTGGAGTATGCCTAAACAAGCACAGAAGAATGACGGAGGGTAAAGAAGAGCGATTTTCTTATAATACAGATGTCTAAAGGTATCCTACCTGCTCGATACGCAGACCAAACGCTGGTCTCGCAAACTCGCCAGCGGCCGGGCTATGTACACGCTGCAACCACAGGCTCATTCCGACTTGTGATTAGAACGGAATATTGGGAATACCACGTGGTGCAAGGCCGCGCTTCTTCGCTGAAGTAGTGGACGCGAAAGGCTCGAATTGCGTATCGCACACTGTTCCTGGTGGAGGAAGCTCCCCGGTTTGCAAGTATTTTTGCACATATCCGGCGGTGCATTCCGCCTGGGTGACCACTAGACCGTGCTACGCTTCTATTAGCGGCTGGGTCATGAAGAAGAGATGAGAGAGCACTTACACCAACTGCATCCTGTAAAAGGATCACGGAGCCCTCATAGAACGCGGACATCTTTTCGTAGCTCGAGGTGACGGGGTCGATGACGTTATCTGTGAAGAGGATGGGAGTGCTTGTATTCACTTTCTCGAATTCTAAGGATGTTAGCTCGTATCCGGCGAAATCAAAGAGCCGACCTACTCTGGAAGACCTGGTTCTCAGGAGGAGCGAAGTCCAGGTTGCGGCACTGCGGTACAATGACGGCGGGCCAGATGTCGCCAACATAAGTGCTGAGCTGCTTGTCATACTCGAAAAGTGCAGTGACGTTCTCCTCGGTAACCGTGAAGCGCTTGTTGTTGTCATTGCAAGCAATCAGCAACTTCGGTTGGACGGAGCTAACTTCCGGACTGGTGCCATCACACTCCGCTGATGGCATGACCCCATTTCCAGTCGCTAATGCCAGGAGGGTGCCGTTGTGGTTTTCAAGGCCGGCAGCTATGCCAGCCAATGAGGGGAAAAGCGCAGGGGGATTATACAGGGATATTAAAAGGAAGCCACGGAAGTCAATATGCGTGACAGTGGTAGGGAATTGCACAAAGTTGACGTCCGTGACCGCGATTGGGTTGTCCTCCAGGTCTTCGAGCATGGCGTCAAAGCGCTGCTTGATGGAATCGGCGCTGGAATCGTTGCGAAAGAACGCACACTTGGGTCCGGCCTCGTAGCAGAAGCGGAAGAAAGATTCGACAGCTTTGTCCGCTTGTAACAAGTTCTGAGACCAGTTGCCGAAATAGTAGTCCTCAACGTCGAGCACGGCGTCGATAATGAAGCGCCCGACACGGTCAGGGTACAACGATGCGAAAGTCGTCCCGAGAGCTGATCCGTACGACGCGCCGTAATAGTGGACTTTCGCTTCCTCAGGCGACTGGCCTTGACTCTCTGCCAGTAGCTCGGCATAGTGCAGCATGTCCGTCGCAGTGGCTGGCGTATTAGCGTAGTTTGCAGATGCATTGAGAGTCTGAGAGCACCACGTTCCAAAGGCGCCAGAGTCTTGATAGTACTTTTCGAGCAATATCGGACTCCGCGGATCGATGTTGTTGAACAACTCTAAGAGGTAGTAGTCGCGTAGCGCGGGCTGCCCAGCAAAGCAGTCAATGTTCGGACCGCTGTTGTTTACGCCTCTCGGATCCATGCCGACGATGTTGTACGAGTCGCCGAGGAGGAACGTGAGCATCTCCAGGGCCTCCAGCATAAATTCAATAGCCGAGTCTCCAGGGCCTCCTGGGTTCCAGATAATGTCGCCCATGGCGGGCTGGTTGGGAGCGTCATATCTCATGAAGGCGACATTGGTGGTGCCGACGTCGGGGTTATCGTAATCCAGGGGCACTTCGATGTTTGCGCAGGTGAAGTTGTCGAAGCAGGGAACGTATTTGAGATCCGTAGATGGGGGGATATCCTTGAAGCTGCGTACCATGGTCTGGTTGGCGTCATTCCGGATGGAAAGTGGTGTTGCAGCTGCGGTAGCCAGCAGGCCTGCTAGAGCGGAGTAGCGATGAACCATTCTTAATGAGGAATCGAGAATTTCCAGCAGTTTGCGTAGCGAAAGGATTCGAATGCGTGGTGATGAGTCTCATATTGAGCAGTCGTGTTCATCTCTTTATATGCTGCTTGCTGCGACTGCTTCCGGTTCTTGAGAAATTGGTATTCGCGCCGAGCGAGGCTGCGCCGACTGTGCACGAGTTCCTGTGCAGCCATCGTCGTCATTGGACTCATGTTTATCTCCTCTTCAGGTCAAAGTATGGCAGGAAGCTTATGGGTTCAGTCTGTGCGTATGGAAGTCGATGGGGGCTGAAGCGGGCTGGGTGCAAAATTAAACTTGGAATTGGTCGTGCATGGAAACAGCTCATGCGCACGTGATGCAACATTCTATCTGCGTTGGGTAGGGTCGGGTTGTTAGAGCAAAGAGATGAGGCTCGGAAAGCTGGGCGCATGCAAAATTCGCTCCTTTTTGGGACTAGCGGGGGAGTCGATCTTGCGAGATCTTCACGTCATCCTGCACCTCAGGCACTCCACGCCAGCTCAGCCTTCGGCATCGCCTCCAATCCTACTCTTAGTAAACGGATTTCAGTGCGAGCTCCGGCTCATCCGGCTTATCCGGCGGCCCATCTTCCCCAGACCTACCTCCTAGAACTACCCAGATCACTCCCTGCTAAAGGGGAGATTGCCGCAGTACCTTGTCTAGCAGCCGAAGGAATCGACGAGGAAAATCCTCGGGCGTGGATCGATTTGGATGGCTGCAAAGGAGATGAGGTATACGAGGACATAGCCTATGCAAGCAATCAGTACGCTTACTCTTCTCGGAAATTCGAGCAGAGCCTAAATCTAGAGCTTTGGTAGGGATCCAGTCAAGAAACGAAAAGCTCACCTCACAGTACTGCTACATTTGCACCACGGAAGGCCTATAGCAGTGTTTGATCAGTATTGAGGCTCTGCGGCGAGGCGTAGGGGCGCGTCGTCCCTTGTCAGATTAGGGTCTGCGAACGCGTTTGGCGAGAGGAGGTTCAAGCGGAGAAGGTGGCAGATGAAGATGTGGTCTCCTATCTCGCAGGCCTTGCGGAATGCGCGCTTCGTGAGAGTGAGGCTAGGGTGGTGGCTGGTTCCGAGAAGCCGCTCAAGGGCTTCTACGTCCTTGGTCTTGACAGCGAGGTAGAGCTTCCAGCTGTACCAGGCATGCTGGCGCTGATCTGCTAGCCACAGGTCCCTGTCCCAGCCGCCGCAGCCTTGGCGGAACGGGTGCTCTTCTTGCCGGAGTTGAAGGATCCGCGGTGCGACTTTTGTCTGCCGTTCTTTGAGAGCGGAGCATGGTTCGGTTGCGTAATTTAAGTGAGAAAGTTTGGTAGAAGTATGAAGGACAACGTAGTAGAAGTAGGATTATATACGTAGCGAACTGGTGAGTAGCAGAAAGTCGACAGCCGCCACGGCGAGGAGAGACATTCACGCTCTAGGTAGCTTAGCACATTTGGCTCAGAGAGGCACATCGAGGGACTTCGGAAGTCCCCAGCAGCGCGCTTCCCTGGACGAAGTACGCGTGGAAGAGGAGCGAGAGGTTTTGCAGGTTTCCATTGTGCATGTTTAGACGGACGCGGAAGCAATCCACCAAATCTATCCACGGTACAAAAAAAGACCCCGTCAAACTTTTGTGCGCCGGCTTCGGGACAAAGAACCATACGCCGAGAAGCGCCCACCAAAAGGTCGGAAGTCTAAGAAAAAGCTGAAGAGTAGGAGAAAACTTTCTGATCCTCCACGGTTGAGTCACCCGCTGTGCTGGCACAAGAAAGGGAAGCGACGGAGCACCACAGCGCCAAAGCGCACCCAGCGTCCCACCACACGAAGTACATCTAGGCAAGGCCGCCGACAACAGCTCAAGCCAGGTCCGGCCCCACAAAGCCCATGTCGCGCGCTCGGAAACTGTAAGCGACAAGGGTACGCTCACCCGTACGAGGGTTCTCGATCCAGCGCTGCGGAGGATGGTATTCGTCGCCAAGTCGCTCGATTTTGTCCCTGATTGCCTGGCGGAGGAGCCTGGAGATCGTGGTCCCCTTCTGTATGAGATCCATGGTGTTCTTGTCGTTCGGATCATTCCCGGCCTCGGGGTCGGCTCCATACTGGAGCAGCAGTCGCACGGTCTGTAGTAGCGCGAGATGGTTAGCAGATGACTTGGATAAGGGGAACGGGAGGGTTGAGTCTGAAGTGTCTGGGTTTCATCTGCTGAAAGCTTTTGGGGGGCTTTCTGGAGACGAAGGCTAAGTCTGCTCGAGTGTGTACCTTGCAGTACGTACCTCGTCGTCACGGTTTGCGATGGCTACGCGCAGCGGATACTCTAGGCGGCCGTTGAGGTGGAGGCCGTCCGGATGGGCGCCGGCCTTTAGGGCAATCTCGAATGGTTCGACATTGTTATACTTCTGAACAAGCCAATAGAGTAGTGACCCTTCAATCCTAGGCGTCCACGGCCCGAGCGTGTACTTGTATATTTTGTCAGTGCTGAACACCCCCTTTTCGATGAAGAGGCGGAGGTGAGTATCGAGGTAGCTTCCACGCCAGCCACGTAAGTATTCGCGCCGGTACATCGAAGCCAGACGGTTCGTGAATCCCAGATCCAGAACGCCGGCAACAACGTCAGCGTTGTCGGAGAACCTTGAGCTCTTTAGCCAAAGGTTGCAGAATGCGTCCTTGGGAGGTCCTATATATCTGGCATGCCATTTCATAAGCGCTACGGCTAGCTTGGCCTGGGTCCTGCTTTTGATTTTTTCGTCTATTATGCCACTGAGGACCTTTGATCGCAGCGGCGAAGGGTGCGAGTTATCCGTGGCCTGGGGGTCTCGTAGAAGGAGTCGGACTGCGTTCAGATTGCTCCTCGCCGCCACACCTAGCGGGGATGCTCCGAAGCAATTGGTCTGGCGCCATATAGAGGTACCACGAGCGAGAAAGTTCTGGATAAGGCCTGTATCCCCAGTGGCTACAGCAATACATAGCCATATGCTGTCGTCGGGGTCGTCCTCGAGTCGGCGAATACAACTCATGCTCGGGTTTGCGACCAGTTTGTATGCCATGGGAGAGTATTTAGCGATTGCCGCGCAGACCTTGCTGGTGTATTCGGCGCGCTTGGCGTCCGACGACTCGTTCGAAATCCTCATGAACTCGCCGACCGTCTTCTGTATCAAGGTGGGAAGAGTTTCGTGCGCGCCGTACAGCGCGTTGGTGTGGCATTCAAGGTAAACAGCTAGCCCGCTCTTGAGTAGCTGATTGCTTGATTTGCGGAAGTAGACCTTCATGGGCTGGCGGCCGAACACTTCTTCAGTGAGGTAGACAGAGAAAGTTTCTACCACTCATTTAGGAAGTGCCCGAAGTGTTCGAAGGGCTACTCACTGCAAACGCTGCGGAGCTTCCATGCTTCGCACAGCCCGACTCGGCGCACGTACATCGCGACGACACGCTGGAAAATTTCGGGCGGGAGGTCAAGCAGCTCCATTGGAGGTGTATCGGCCACGCCGTTATTATATCGGCGTTGCAGTATATCTTCTGGAATGCGTTAGCGGAGGTTTCTTGTGGTGTCAAAAATGCACTGGAGAAGGAAAGAGAAGAAGGAAAGAGAAGAAGGAAAGAGAAGAAGGAAAGAGAAGAAGGAAAGAGAAGGCGTGGAGGCGGGAAATAAGAGGTAAACATATGCTAGCGTAGAAGCGAGTGAAAGTGACGTGAACAGCAGAGGTGAGTGACCCAGCTGCCCCACCTGGCTGCATAAAGCTACAGAGTGAAGGTGGTTATAATCTGAGTGCCGTCGCCTAAATAGGAAGAGACAATCTTGTTGCGGAACCAAATAACAGTGAAATGGGAGTTTTCCAACTATGTTGTAATCTCGATATTGTGAGGAGACCACTTTTAGAGGATTCAGTTCGAAATCCTACCACGAAAGTACCCTCTTTCTGAAACGATCATACCGCTATGTGAGAGTAACTAAACATGTAGTGCAATAGAGCCAGATAGTAGGCGTACTCATGAGAGTAGCAAAGCTATAGCGGTAGATGAAAGCCCACGAGGAGAGACTAGCGAAAACCCTGAAATGAGCGCAATGGGTGAAACAGCGCGTCGAGTGTACTGTGTCTGCAAACACCCTGACGTCTATGCAGTTCACCGTAGACCTTATGGCCCCAGACCTTTTGCTAGGCTTTCTTCTTCTCGTCTGCTTGAGCTCGCAATAGGCGATCATGAACACGATTATCCTTGAGCGATTTCGCCATGTCCATAAGTTCGGGCTCCGCATCAAATTGTCCACCGCCGGCCAGGGTCGCGCCATGCTCGAGGAGCAGGTTGACAACATCGAGCTTGTTGATCTTGACAGCGGCAAGGAGAGGTGATATGCAGTGTCTCGCACGTACTTGGTCATCCGCGGCGTCGTTCATAGGGCCATTCGGGTCGGCACCGGCGTCAAGGAGTGCGCCAACAATGTCGACTCCGTAGTACATGGCTCTATTGAGGGGTGAGCTCTGCCAGTAGATCTTATTGACTTTGAATTTTCCCTTCTCGATTAGGGCCTTTACTGTAGCAGCGTGTCCAGTTCGGCAGGCTTCGCTAAAGTGGTCCCACCGCACTTTGGGAGTGCTCTTGACTTTGATCGCTAGGGCGGCTTCAACAGCGACGTGATCCTTGCTGTGGATACAGATATGTAGGACTGTAGACAGTCAGTAAGGAGGCATAAGAATTATCGGCGGTGGGGGAGCGTTTACTGGCATTGAATGTATCTTTATCCGGAGGCGATACGTTCTTGACAATCCAGTCGAGCAGTGAGTGCGCCGTACTCATCTCATTGCGATCGAGCAAATGCTCAATGACTTCACTAAACATCGTATACATTTGGGCGAGCTGCGTCTTGTCGGTGCGACCGGGCCTCGGCATGTGTTCAAGAAGGTAGGTGGTGGTAGCCCGGTCACGAGTGTGAGCGGTGGAAATCGTCAGAGGCCAGGCGAATATGTTGCTATTCAACCAGAAAGAGGCACCGTTCTGAATGGATGCTGTGATGGCCGCGTGGTTGGACATAACCACAGCGGCAGCGAGCGAGTCTGCCTTGTTGCGCTCTTGCTCAGTGCCTTTCCCTGGAAGGGGACACCCCCACTGGAGAGCTTCATGGAGAAAACAAGGCCGAGGGTCGAATGATTCGGCAACAGAATCGCAAAGAAGTCTAACAATCTCCTTGCGCCGATCATCAGTCGGATCGGCCTCGAACCGCAGAACGAACTCCAGGCAGCGGTTTATCGCAATTGGAATTTGGGGGGCGATGTCCAGAGGCTTCTGCATTCTAGCGAAGAGTAACCTCCCCACGTTGTGTCTCAGGACGCCAGAGTAGTTGCCCCAGGCGTAGGACCAAATCCGCGGACTCGTCAGTCTGAAAGCGCTAAGCGGCTGACTGGAGAAGGCGTCATTGTTGATGTAGATAGCGAAAGTCCCTAAACAAAAGTTGGTCACCTAGCCATTCAAGAAGTGTCGGCGATGGCCCTCTACACTTACGGCAAACCATGCGCGACTTCCAGGCCTCGTGAACGCCAACGGCGCTAACAAGCTCATGGATGATGCGGTCGAAGAGCTCCGGAGGGAAGTCGAGGAGCTGCATATCGGATGTCGAACGAGCTGGTTGCGCCGCTTTGGTGCGTAGATGAGGCAGACGGCGGTCAAATGGCGTTGCAGATGAGGAGGGCAAAAGGTCAGTCGAAGCTGAGTATTTCAGCTCGCTTGGAAGGCGGGTGTTCGGGCGCCAGGTGGTCAAGGCGTTGTGTGCCGCACTTGGGCGGGGTGGTGAAGAGAAGTGCCGGTGACGGTGAGTTGCAGCAATGAGATGGTGAGACGACGAGACTATATCGGTGAGACGGCGGGGTGAGATCTCGGAAGTACCTGGGTACGAGACATTTGGATGGGGCAGGAGCGATGCAGGTGCAGCCAGTTTGGGGCTGCCTGAGGGAAAGTACGTCGGTGAGCTCTGAAAGAGTGGGGCGGAAGGGGTGAGGCAGGTGAAACGATACATTGGAAGGAGCGATGTGGAAGTCTAAAGGTTGAAATGGGAAATCAGGTAATGATTAAGTGCCTACCTAGGTAGGTAGGACGGATGCCTTAGCAAACCCAATAATTGTCTCGCCCCCCAACGTGTAGAGCATCAGTTTACTTAGGTAGCATATCTGGGACAAGCACCCCAAATATGGGATCATGCCTAAAGAGGGGTCGCAGTAGAGCCCTACGAGCCAGTCTTGCGCACGTGGGACATCTCCGCCTACATCTCAGTCCCACCTCCTCGCGCCTGCTTCGCCTCGAGAAGCATATCGGTTATCTCTGCCCGTCCTCGCTCCTTCGCGACTTGTAGAGGCGATCGCCAGTCCTCGTGAGACTCCGGGTCTGCTCCATGGCCAAGCAGGAACTTTACGCGATCCTCATTCCCGGCATTCGCTGCATGCCATAGCAGACTGACCCCAAGGTGGATGTCGGGCGTTCCGTCGATGTCCGCGCCGCCGCTGAGTAGGGTCTCGAACAAGTGGATGCAGTTCGCGTTAAGCTCGACGGCGAGTGGAGTGGTTGTGGAAAGATGACTGTGGTCGACGAAGCACTTCGCCATGTTGGGGTCGATGTAGCCCTTCTCAATCAAGAGACGGAGGACACTGCCGTCCCCATGGCTGAAGAGATATTGGCAGAGGGCTATGCTGAATTTGCCCCCACCGATGAAACCAATCACACAGTCAGCTGTGCGAGGCTCGCCATATTCGATACACAACCTCATGAGCTTTTCCTTCCGACTAGCTATGTATTTGTCAAGACATTGGTTCTGAGTCCGAAGAAGGAAGTCGTAGATAGCTTCGGCGGCTGCAGGACGAGACGCATGGATACAAGCTCGGAGGGCATCGTACAGTGGGGCAGCGACCTTAGTTGTAACTCTTAGGTTTCCAGACGTGGCGTCCGCGTCGAGGGCAACTGATAGCTGACCGAAGACCTTCTCCATGACCTTTGTCTTGCCCGTCGCAGCTGCAGCGGTGAGCGCACTTTTGAACGGATACGCTGCTTCCAGTGGATCGAATGCAGGTGCAATAGTAGCCTGGAAGAGTTCGACGTTGCCCACGGCAGCCGCAGCTGCGGGTAATAGATGAGGGAAGTGCTCCGCTGACTTGTCGAATTCAAGCTTTTGGCTGTCGTATCGCCCTACCCAGTTTGAATCCAGAACAATGGCGTCATATGCGCGCTCACGGAGATTGACGGCGATAGAAGCACATATATCTGCAGCGTATGCATCCCGGACCGCTTCGGCACCGGAGCCTTCCATGTCAACCAGGATCTCCACAAGTTCCTTGGCCCACAACGCGACGGGAGAAGAGAATGCCGAAAGCCCAGCGAGTCGACTGCGAAGTATAACGGCCCCGTATTGGATAAAAAGCCGCTTGAATGCATTGTACGCTTGACTACTCCTTGTAGGGCCGTGGGACTTGGGCAAGAGAAAAGCGTTGGCGGGCTGGTGCGCCGTCACATTCTGAAAGATCTCAGCAGCAAAGGCTCCTAGTAGGTAACGAAGTTAGTTTCTGCCTCATGGCCGGGGTTCACGGGAGGGTAGAACTTACTGCAGACGGCTCTGTACTTGAAAGCATCACAGACGCCCACACCGTCTACCAGCAGATGGATGACCTGAGCGAACAGCTCCGCCGGAAAATCGAGCAACTCCATCTCGAGGCAATTCTGGGTAGCGCTTGCGGTTGAGAGGCTGAGGCAGCTCAAACTTTGGCGTGTGGGGGATAGCAAAGGGCTGAAAGGCAGCAGCGGAGGGGTAGCGGGGTATACGCGGTTCACGCGCGCTGGCACGTGCATCAGGCGTAGCCGGAGAGGCTGCGCCCGGACCACCACACATAGCCACAACTGAAGCTACCAAATAGCAAATACAGAAAACAGGAGGGTTTCAATGAGAAGGTGAGCGTGGTCATGGAAAAGGGCAATCTGGCTTGAAAACAGGGCGCGGGACTGGAACACAGATTCTGTTGCAGCAGTAAGAAGACTGGGCACCTCAACTCCGTCATCGCATAGTAGTCTGCCGCAAGAAGCCTAATCTCTTCTAAGCACCGTCGGCTCTTTGATAGATTTCTTTGCCGGCCTTCCACACCTTGACCACCTTCCTCAGAGCTTGAATATCGGTCGTCGGATCGCCTTGAACGAGTAGTAGATCCGCTCTCTTTCCATCACCGATGACACCGCACTCAAGGACCTTCAACATGTCAGCCGAAAGCTGTGTAGCGCCATTCAGAATCTCAATGGGATTTAACCCCGCCTGTGCCAGCAGCTCCATCTCCTTCCAGAGCGCTTGCCCATGTTGTACACAAGCAATAGTGCTCCGATTTGAGTCTGTCCCCACGAGAATCGGGACTCCGGCGGCGTGCAACGCCTTGACCGACTCAAGCGCAGGCGGAAAAGAGATGGCCGGGATCCATCCTGAAGCACATATTGTTTCGCACATGACGAGCGTGGGGACTGCTATGATTCCTTTGGCTTTCATCAGCTTTGCTTCGTCTAGCGTAACCGGGCCGTCCATGGGGACGTGCGTAATGATCGAGACTGTCGGTTCGGTGTTGAGCGCCATAAGAAAGGCGTCATGGCAGGCAGCATGCACAATCGTCATTCTCCCATGTTCTTTGGCTGCCTTTGAAAGCTGGTTGACAATCTCCTGGCTCGGCCCAGGGACATCGGCGACGATCTTGATATAGTGCGCTCCTTCTTTGACACGCTCTTCGACAAATTCGGCCGCGGCCTCCACCGTGTCCACAAGGCTCCCGGCATCTGCCATTTGCATCTTCGAGTGCGTACTCCCGGTGCTGGTGGCAAAATTTCCGGTATAGAAGATATCGGGCGCGATGGCCTCGTTCCGGAAGAGCTCGTAATGCTCGGTGCTCATTCGGCCACAGTCAACCGCCATGGTGATGCCACAGGCTACCATGTCCTTGAGCAGAGGGATTGACTTTAGGGTCTCTTCATGTGTGGGCGTGGATAGATGAACGTGAGTGTCCCAGAGACCTGGAAGGAGAGTACAACCGGTGCCATCGACGATAGTTCCATCGTCGGCCTTGGGGATAATGAGGCCGGTTGACGTATCGAAGCTGACCTCGGATAGGCCATCAACGACGTTCTCGCCGTCGAAAACGCGTACGTTCGTTACGGTAATTGTAGGCATTGGCTCGCGGGTTCGCGACGATAAAGTACAGTACCAAGCGATGATTGGGTTAGGGGCCTTTCCAACAAGACTGAAAAGATGGAGGAAGAGCAAATTCAGTTATGGGGGGAAGTTCTTCTTTTGAATCCATCGCGGCCATCCGCAACAGTCGCCATCCTTGCTTGAGTACTCCGCTCGTCCCCTCAAGCATCGACGGAAGTTTCAGTAGAAGTTTGACCTTCGCTTCTTTCTGCCAATGCGGCATGGTTTTGTCATGGACCGCAGAAGGATTCCTTGGCTGGACCGTCGGAGGTTTTTGTCTTCCGAGAACCGCCCGCCAATCGTCCGCAACCGACCTCCCGAACTCTCAGCCACAGCGACGCGTGTGTGGTCTTCTCTCGCAACATGCCCTCAAAAGGCGAAGTGTGGCATCGCTTTTGGCCTGCAAAAAGGACCTTGCCCAATTGCTGTCATTATAGTGGTTTGGACTTACGGTGGGCTCTCGTCAGGCGAGTTTCTCCTTCGGAATCATTCCGTTTCATCCGGAGCGGTCTCACAGTACCCCCCTGCTCATCACCATCTTCCACGCTTGCCAATATGGTTAGCAGAGGTGGACGTTCGAAAGGCTGCTCAAATTGCCGTCGGCGGCGTGTAAAGTGCGGTAAGTGTTCAATCGCAGTCGCATTCGCACAGAACGCCACCCATACTGGGATCCCGGTCCTTCCTTCTCCTCGAGCAGGGAGAGAATGACAGCCGTTTACTAACCCCCTCTTAGACGAGAGCCGCCCCATATGTAACCGCTGCAAAAAGCGAGGATTAGAATGCGGCGGCCCCAAAGATCCCACTTGGATCAGTCAGAACAACACGTTTCCTCCTTCTCCTCCGGAGGCGGACGTGTTGGCACTATCCGGAATCATGCCCAGCAACCTCTCTTTTGTTGCGTTTGAAGATGATATCTGCGTGGCATATACGAAGAAAAATCTTCTACGAGGCGGCTCCGTAGAGCTGGCTTGTGAAATGATCGAGTGGAAACCTGGAGCTGGAGATCTCACAACGGAGCCTGGCCTTGACCTTCTCAGGAAAGCTGTCCTCAGTCTCTCTGTTACCTTTTTCGGAAGTCAGCATCGTCAGAAGAAGATTACACGTCGAGGATACCAGCAGTACGGCGAAGTCCTGAGGCAACTAAACTCGCACCTAAGTCAGCCTCATCTTCAGACGACTGATGAAACGATTCTCACTGTTCTGACTTGCATGCTTCTTGAGATATTTCTGCCAACCGGTCCGAACAATTTCCTCAAGCATGTGCGAGGCATCGAAGCGATTCTAGACTTGAGGGGTCCTCCCGTATCCGCGACAGAGACGACGTCCACTATCTTTCATGGACTTCGAGTACTCTCAATTATCGGTGGACTGGCCCAGTCGAGACCTTCGATCTATGCTCGGGAAGAATGGAAATCAATTCCACCTCTGTTTACCGGTGAAGCCACCCTGATCAGACACGAGATATTCCAGATTTTGGCCGACTGCACGCTACTAATGAGCGCACGCGAAAAGGTCGCTGTAGATTCCGGGAGCCCAGAGGCCTACCAGGCGCTGTTGGCTAATGCCCACATCGCTCTCGAGAAGTTGAAGGCCCTATTTCCACGCTGGGAAAGGTACAATGAGAGAAAGATGGATGAAACCACTTCGGGGATAGGGAAGGAACTTCGGATTGCAAATCACGCGTCTGCAACGACATACATGCTCTACAACGCGGCGTACATGTGTATTCTCAGGATTATCCATTCTCTCGACCCTTCACCGAAGCACGCGTCCTTGCGAAACTCCGCCGCCATCAAAATCGTCAGATGCCTCGAGCTCAGGCAATTTAAGAAGCGGGAAGGCGGCGCAGAGTCAAACACGATCGGCTTCGTGGCAACAAAAGTCGCGTGGGAGGCTCTCGGCGGGTTCAGCTCCCCGGAAGGAAGAAGGCTTGCCCGTGTTGTAAAAAGCGCGGCCAACGGGATCTTCGCGATTGGCGCATGGGAGAACTGGGATCAGGATAGACCAAGGCTGTCGCCCGTTGTAGGTCTCGGCATCGCAGACCAGATGATGTGGAATGCGTGGAACCAACCTATATGGGCTGAGCACCAGCCGGCTGGAGTCCAGATGGGACCTCATCTTTTGGTGCAGCGCGACATTATCAACCTCGGAGAGAAGCAGACGACGCAACAAGCACCGCCGTATATCCATTTTGAAGGAGCGGTACCGCACCGACACAGAAAAGCGGACTCCTTCCTTAGCATCCAAGATCAGCTGCAATCGTCAGAGATCATAGACCAGTTGAAGAGTGTCGTCGGATCGGCATAGCCATTCACAATATTTGGAATTCTAGGCGGCGTTTGGTGACCGTCATCATTCCGATTTGCTTCTTCACACCAAGGCAAACAGAAGGCCACGCTGGAGACCTTTGGTTCAACTCGTGCTCGGAAAAAGCTAGTACAGTACGCTCTTATACTCCTCGTAATCCTTGCCAGGCTTCTAGTCCAAAACAAACATGCCCATATACGATGGGGTAATTTTTCGTCAAGACTCGGTTTTAGCCCCAGGAACGGCCCGCGCTGTTAGATCTCCTGGGTTTGCCAGCTCTTCAAGCTTTCGGTTGCATGTTTGAAAGTATTCGTCACTTTAAAGCATGTCGGTCACGTGTTTGGAACCTGCCGATATCCCCATTTAGCCGGCGGCAACTACGCGGGGCGGATATGGATTCCATGTCGACTATCCGTTCATTATGCTCGGATGAAGGGCAACACAGGTCCCAAATATAACAAATAGACTTCGCGAGCAAATGATGGACTCACTACTGTCGCTCTTCCACCAATCGCACTATCCGCACCCCGCTAGCTTCCACCCCCGATCCACACAGCGCATTCGCCTCCCCAGTCTCGACTCCCAGCGAGAGCCACGCCCACGGATACTTGTCCAGAAACGGACCGCTGTACCAAGGCCCCGGATAAACACACCTGATCTACCAGGAATGAGCCAAGAGCCTCTAAGCTTCTGCAATATCTAAACTTACGCTTTGCTTAACCTCACAGGCCGAGCGTTCATATTTAAGGAACAGTCGACCCCAAGATGGGGCGTCTTCGTGTCTACAGATCGCTCGGCTATACACCGCAGTCATGGGCCTCACAACTCTATTCGTAGCCTCTCTGGCAGCCGTGACCGGCGCAGTGCCGGTTCTAAACCCCATTCAAGCGATCCAGGCTGCGGGCCCACCAGCAGGACAAGTTATCACCAAGTGCACTTCGCCAGGCATGCTTGCCCTCGCATACGACGACGGGCCCTATCAGTACACGCAGAAGCTCGCCGACATCCTGTCGCAAGGCGGAGCGAAGGGAACCTTCTTCGTGACTGGCACACTCTACGGTAGGGACTCCACTTGAGGCGCACCGCCCTCTGCCCACCTCTGTGCCCCGGCTCACGCAAGCAAACCAATAGGCTGCATCTACAACCAGAAGACGGCCGTGCAGAACGCGTACAAAGCAGGCCATCAAATCGCATCGCACTCCTGGACGCACCCGCAGAACTTCGGATCCTTGTCCGCAGCTGACCTGACCTCGCAAATGCAGAAGGTCGAGAACGCGCTCGCCAACATCATTGGCGTGAAGCCGACGTACATGCGGCCTCCTTATCTCGCCACGGGCGGCAACGTGCTCTCGACCATGAAGACCCTTGGCTACAGGGTGATTACGGACGATGTCGATGCGGAGGATTGGAACGGCAAGACGCCCCAGCAGAGCGAGCAGAAGTTCCAGCAGGCGGGCGCCAGTGGCAATGGACACATCCCGCTTATGCACGAGACGTATCAGGGGACTGTTGAGACGCTCACGCCGTGGCTGATCAACTGGGCTAAAACGAACAACCTCAAGCTGGTCACTGTCGGTGAGTCGTCCTCCTTGCTCGGGCTGCGACCGCAACGGGCTAATGGTGCGCAGCTGAATGCCTTGGTGACCCGACTGGTGCATATCTCAACGCTACTGGAGACGGCAAGATGTCTTGCTAAGGGTTTGCGCTTGCGTGTCTGCCTGCTGGCTGCAGGATGGACAGCTGCGCTGCTTCAGCTTCATGAGCTTACAAACGCTCTTTACGAATCACATATCTTCATCAGGTATCCGACTTTGAAAGACGACTCCGTGTTTCCAGGAGAAGTTGCTTATGTGATCGCTCACGCACGTGAATCCGTGGGCTTGGCGTGAATGTCGGACTATGACATCACCGACTTCCCGACGGCACCAACGGCTTTTCTTTCGACCCCACTGCAAACTTAGAACGCCACGACGCCTCTAATACGATGTCTGCTGCATATCGACGAACGGCTGGGATCTAGCCCCGCCGCAGCGCCTCGTGGCTGCATCTTATCGTCCTGCTTTGCCCTTTCGTGTTCGCATTTGTCGCTTGATGGGCTGCATGGCGTCCACTAGCCTTACTCTCTTGTTGATTACTCTTCTCCCCTGAGCTGACAAAGGCCGTTCAGTTGATGCACGCAGGAAGGATTGGGGTCTTTGTGCAGCGATGCGCTCGACTCCATGAAGGATTCAACCTTCCGGTGGTGGGCTCTGGAATGCGATATACGAGGGATGAGGTATAAGTAGCAGCAGCAGTAGCAGCAGCATACTCCCTCCCATCTTCCTCCTTTCAGACATCTCAATCTCTTCTCATCTTTCAAACACCATTTCGAGTAGTCGACCACAAAAAGATAACGAGCGAAGCCATCGTACACCATGAAAGCCATCATTGTCGAAAAACAAGGCGCGCCGGCCAAAGTTAGCTCAGACCAGGAGATGCCTGAGCCGGGCGAGGACCAGATTCTCGTCAAGTCGATCTACACCGCTGTCAATCCGGTCGACGCCTTCATGGCGGACTGGGGCATTCTCGTCGAAGAGTGGCCTTTTGTTCCGGGCAGCGATGCCGCGGGTGTGGTTGTCAAGGCGGGAAAGGATGCTGTTAGTCCTCTCGGTGCGCTGTTCAAGGAGGGTACGTAGATCGCGGTATACACTCTGACATGCCTTGGTTCAACTGCCCCCTTCTTTAATTCTATATATGCGCTAACTGTACCGCCACCTCTGTAGGAGACGAGGTGTTTGGATGTACGAGGCTGGGAATCAAGGGGTATTCGCCATGGCAGGAATATGTACGTCCTTCCCGGCTCCCTCAGTATCGCTGATCTGCAGTTGCTTACGCATCGTAGTTCCTGATGGACGTCGCCGTCACTATTCCAAAGCCCGGCAACATCACTCTTGCGCAAGCCTCCACAATCGGTGTTGGTGTTCTGACCGCGTTCTTTGGCGTCTTCGACGGGCTAAGGATCCCGCTGGTTGATGCAGAGAGTCTGCCGCCTGCAAAGGATGAGTGGGTACTCGTCTTTGGAGGCGCGAGTGCCGTAGGCAAGTTCGCGGTGCAGACGCTCAAGGCTTGCGGGTACAAGGTGGCCACCACGTGCTCGGCGAAGTCCTTCGATGTAAGCTATCTCACTCGCTGAACACGATCCGTGATGCCCGTTTACTGATTCGGGTTTAGCTGCTCAAATCTCTGGGTGCCGATGCGACCGTCGACTACAAGAAGTCCGAGGCCGATATCATTGGAGAAGTTAAGAGCGTAACCGGCGGCAAACTGGACCTAGCATTCGACGCCGTATCCGTGAACAACGGCCTCGCGTCCGCAATCTTCAAATCCCTTGCTCCCACCTCGCCAGCTACGGCGCGCCTGTACACCACGACCAATGACTGGGAGCCTCTTCCAGACGCCTCGCTCGGCTTCACTTCCAACCCTATTCTGCTGGGCCCGATTGGTCGCCCTGGCGCCGTTGAGCCGAATAAGCGCTTGAATGAGTTCATTCCGATCGCGTACAAGCTGCTAGAGAGTGGCAAGTTGAAGGCGGGCGAGTACAGTGTGGAGGGGGAGGGCGTTGAAGGGATCCTGAAGGCGTGGGATGTGCAGAAGAGCGGGAAGATGGGAAGCACCAAGGTCGTTGTTAAAGTAGCTGATGTGTAGATGTTACCGGATATAGGATATTCTTCTACAGAGCACTAGGTGATCCTTTTGCTCCTGATAGTAGAGTATCAACCACTCTGGCCCGAAAGCTGTACTCTCCACGTTCTCTGTCTCACTTTTTCGCCGGCTTTGACTTCGCAATAGTCTCTGCATGATGACTCCCCTATCGGATTTGGTGCCGAGTACTTAGTTTGCATGCGGGGAGATGTCGATCAGCGGGGGAAACTTGGAACGTTGTGAGCGCGAGGGTCTGGACTGGCATGGGATGACGGCTGCATTACCCCCATCTCTTCACTTATACTTGGCGTTCTGTGTAGCGCGAATGGGAGTATTCGAAAAGTGAGGCGCAAACGCCAGTGTGTGGCTTAGCTGTGGCGGGGGACACTGTGAAGCGCATGACGTCATTTCCCAAACGAAACAAGCACTAGCGGGGCTTGGCGCCTTCTGATCCGGCAGCCTTGATTCGCGAAGCTTGCGTGTCGGACCAAGCCCTACAAGAGACGCCTCGCCCTGGCTTCCGTGTTGCCCCCACGTACTCTCGTACACCCGCGCAAACACCACCATCGATGGGAGAAACTGACGAACCGCCTTTATCGCGCAGTGTCAAGTCTAAGGCAGCAGCACTAGGCTTGAGACACAGCAAGAACGCGGCACCCGTTCTCCCAACCCACGAATCCCCCAATAATGACACCACGCGTGCAACCTCCAACACCACGCTCGATGAGAAGCACTCTCCTAACGGCGCTGGATCCGGCGATAGCAGCGCCAACCGCAACAATGTCGCCGACAAGATGTCGTCCTCTCCACCGCCGCCAGCCCCTCCTCCGGTTGAGGGAGAGACATATTCCACCGTAGAGCCAAAGCCGCCCATGGCTACGCGCATGAAAAACGGAAGCAAACGATTCATCCAGCACACCAAGGATGCGTTGTTCTACAGCTGGGTCAACTTGCTGTTGATCTTCGTCCCCATCGGCATCGCTGTCCACGCAGCTGGCCTGAGCCCCGAGATTATCTTCGCCATGAATGCCATTGCCATCATTCCGCTGGCCGGCATGCTCGCCCACGCCACCGAGGCGGTCGCAACAAAGCTCGGAGACACGCTGGGAGCACTTCTGAATGTCTCTTTTGGCAACGCCGTCGAGCTCATCCTGTTCATCATCCTGCTTGCCGGCGACCAGATCGAAGTCGTGCAGGCAGCGTTGCTAGGATCCATCCTAGCCAACCTGTTGCTCATTCTGGGCATGGCCTTCTTGCTTGGAGGGCTGCGCTACCAAGAGCAGGTAAGTTTTGCAACCATGCTCTGTCAACCGCCCGTGCTAATTGTCCCAGGTCTACAACAGCACCGTCACACAGATGAGCGCTGTTATGCTCAGCTTGGCTGTCATGAGCCTACTACTACCGACCGCCTTCCACGCAGCCTTCTCCGACAATGCTATCGCCGACAAGGATACGCTGTATGTCAGCCGTGGCACCAGCGTCGTTCTGCTGCTGGTCTACGTTCTGTACCTGCTCTTCCAGCTCAAGAGCCACAGCTACATGTACGCCAGTACGCCCCAACACATCATCGACGAGGAGTCCCATCCCGGTATGCTTGCCGACATCCTCAACTCCTCGAGCTCCGACTCCTCGTCGGATTCGAGCAGCAGCGACAGCGACAGCTCCGCTGGCTCGCATAGGACGGCCAAGTCAAAGTTTAAGAGGAGAATACGCAGGATGCGCCGCAAGTCGAGCGCAAGCTCAAAGGAGACACCATCGGCACCCTCCGTCATGAGCTCCCCATCTGTCGAGCATCATAAAAGCTACTTCGAGTCGCACCGCAACGGCGGCGCCGACAACGATCACACTATTGATATGGCGCCAATGTCCGAAGGCGTGGCTCTACATGCTATCACTAGCGGCGACGAAGCCGACGTAGACGAGCGACATGCACCCGTTGCCCGCGACTTCGAAGCTGGTTCGTCAGGCTCTCCCCCTGCTACCAGACAGGAGAAGCGCAAGTCCAAACACAAGAAAAAGCACCACAAACAGAGCGGCAAAGACGCGGATGAGGAAAATGAAGTTAGCGTGGTTCCCGCTGCGCAAGACGCTTGGCCCACTACTAAGGTCGCGTTTGCCGAAGAGCTACAGCAAGGGGAAGCTGCAGCTGCGGCGAAGCGCCGACCAGCCTTGTCTTCTCTACTGTCCAACAACGTCTTCGTCAATCCGCAGAATCCCGCCCCTATCGGAGGTGCTGCCCCTAACATCCGTGTTGCAGCACCAACGCCGCGATCGCTGCGGCGCACCAGGTCCATGCCGGACAATATCAGCCGCCTGCATTCGCAGTCCAGCGCGACTAATCGGCCTGCTCCTTCGCGTCCCAATTCGGGCGCTGCCACCGTTGCCGAGGAAGAGCCTGAAGAAGAGCACGCTCCGGAGATGTCTCGTACCGCTGCGATTGTCATGTTGCTGATTAGCACTGCTTTGGTCGCCGTCTGTGCTGACTTTCTGAGCGACGCCATTGAGCCAATGGTTGAGACTACGGGCGTAAGCCAAGCATTTATTGGACTTATCATCCTGCCCATCGTCGGCAATGCCGCTGAGCACGTCACCGCCGTCACAGTTGCCGTGAAGAACAAGATGGACCTCGCCATTGGCATAGCTGTCGGCTCGTCTATCCAGATTGCCATCTTTGTCACGCCCTTCATTGTTCTCCTTGGTTGGATCATGGGCAAGAGTATGTCGCTCTACTTCAACATCTTCGAAACGGTGGCCTTGTTCGTTACCGCCTTTGTGGTCAACTTCTTGGTGCTTGACGGCAGGAGCAACTACTTGGAAGGAAGCTTGCTCATCGCGGCGTATGTGATCATCGCGCTAAGCAGCTTCTTCTACCCCGACGGGTGCGACGCCTCACAGATCGGCGGCAGCGAGAACACCTGCGGGGCTGCCGCCTCTCAGGCTGCAGCTCTCGTGAAGAGGCTCGTGGGAATGTAGAGGATACGCGCGTAAGGAATATGTGTGGCGGATGGTAGAATCGAACGACTGGGATTCAATGTTATAGGACGATGAGCAATACCGCGGCCGTTTCGCTCGGCCCACCGAACAGACAATTGCAACGGGATCGGTGGAGTCCCGCGGGAACGCGTGAGTGGGTTTCATGTTCCTCACACTCGTTTAGTTTGCGCCACTTTTACATTCGTTAACCCAACATGCACACTGGAAACGGAATGACTGCACTGGTCATATGGCCTCGATTTATACCAACTCAATTAAAATCTGGTGTACATGTTTCTATGTCTGCCATCGGCCCATTTCCATGTCACATTCTGTTCTAGTCTGTTCTGATTCTAGTTCGACTCACTCCAATGGGAGTGCCCAGCCGTTCCTTACCCATATTCTCTGCAAGCCATATACGCAGTCGCGCCTTCCCTATCAGTCAGCTCATCGCACCATCCCAAGGCTGACAATCCATGCATGATGCTGGCTTTCCGCTAGCATTTTGAGATTTCCTCACTCGTTGCTCGGCTCTTTCTCTTTCTCCATGTCTGTCTCGAGAGCTTTCACGGCATAGGACGTGACAACGCCACGATTACCAATCCGCTTCCGACTCCTGCCATATCGACAGACCCAACCCGTCTCCCATCCGCCGTCGACATCCTGCAACTCCTTCAGGTATTCGAGGTCCGACCCCGCCCACACATCGACCGCCTGACATGCAAGCACGCGCATGACCACTGCGAGTGAATCGTCACGTCGCCCAACTCGGTTGCGTAAATGCTCGGCCAGAGGCTGGCGCAGAGCTTGCACTTCTGGGCACGCGGGGTTGGACGCGACAAGGCGAGACAGAAAGAAGAGAAAGGATTCGGCCGAGTAGTAGTGCAGAGTGCCATCGGTGTATCCACGCTCCCTAAGCGTCTGACGGATGAAATCGAGCGAGTCGCGTACTTCGTCCCCGCGGCCGTACTTGTAGAAGGCGCGAACGACATTCGTCAATACAACGGGGTCGACCCGCGGCCGGTTGCTGCAGAAGTAGGTTTGGACGAGGTTGTCTGCGTTTCGATTTGCCAGGATAGCGTCGAGGATGCGGTGTGCGGAAGACGAGGGCGGAGAGAGAGCGAGCAGCGAGCAGGCTGTTGTATCGACATCGTCTGGAAAGCTCGTTGTTGTCCCGACTGGCGCATCGATGAAGTAATTCCAGATACGTGCTTCACCCATACCATTCGCTGCACCGTTGATTTGTTCCGCCGTTGCTTGGGGGCTGCCACGCTCGAGGCTGACCAGCGAGCTGTCTCCCGTCACGTCCAGTATGAGAAACTGGGAAAAGGCGTCGTGGAACGCTGGTCCGTTCTCGATCGCGGACATGTGGTTTCCCGCGTGTCGCGCCAGGAACGCCTTCGCCCGGGGTACCGGATCCTGCAGCAGGTTATGCAGCTTACGTACGAGAGCGGAAGCAGATTCGAATACGATCCCAGTCATGCCGAAGGAACGGGCTGCGATCACGTTATCGATCTTATCGTCCACGAATATCATGTCGGCTGGCTGAGTCCCGATCCCACGGACAACGTGCCTGTAGAAGCCTAGTTCAGGCTTTCTCATCCGGGCGTCGAACGAAGTGTATACATCATCGAAGAGGCCCCAATCTGGCAGCACTGTCCTGAGACGAGCAAAGTCTCCCTCGGAGATATTTGTCATGGCGAAAACTTTCAAGCCGCTCTTGAGTTCTTGCTTGAGAGACTTGAGCTGGGCCACGAGTCCGTGGTCGACCGTGAGTGTCGTCCGGCATTGATTGAGCGCTTCTTGGATGGCGGCAGGGTCGATTGAGAGTTCAGCGCCGATAGCCTCCACGGCTGCCGTCTCGCTGAGCTCGCCTCGCTCGAGGGCACCCCATGTTGGAGAGAGGAGGACAGAGTGGAGGACTGAGCCGGGCAGGGCCGTCAGTGCGGAGGTTGACCAGTGAAAGAACACATCGCCAAGGTCGAGGATCAGAGTGGAATGGCGCATGCTGGACTCGTAGCTTCTGGTTGTGGAAAGTTCCTCCTAATTGCCTTCAGCAGGTGAAGACCGAAGGTGATGAGGTTGTGGTTGAAGAGTTGCAGGAGCGATGTGTGAAGGTAGGTCGGGTCTTAAAAGAAGGAGGCCCGGGCGTTTGCGTTGTAGTGTTTGCTACGGGGGCAGGTGCCACCCACGGATGGCAACACGTGGGATAGGCGCTCTTGCCGTGAAAGGCGAGGTCATACCCAACCCCCGACCACCCCGCTTGGCGAGGATTATAACTGGCATGTGCCCCGACATGTGGGTAACTCTACATTCCTCATGAACAAGTGGTGGTTGCCAACGTCTCTACGTGGACTCAATGCAAGGTTGGGAAGTATGAAAGTAAGCGGTATGCACTCGTACTCATATCCAGATCCCGCAAGCGAATTAAGAATACTTCCTTCTTTGGGTCGGATTTAACAGCTAGAATCACTCGGCTCCTTACTCTGCCCCGAGAGCACTTCACGCCCCCATTATCAAGGAATGGATTGGACCTTTAAGCCTTCTAGATCTATTTCACTTACGTAAAGATTGCAGCAAGTCGGCCACGTACGGAGAACTTGAAAGGCTCAACATCGCTTTTGTGAAAACCGTCGACCACGAACTCCTTGTCAACACTCCATTACAAACATATATTCAAGTGTCAGTCATGTGTGATAACCTAGCTACTGCAATACTGGCACCATGGAGCTATCACCTTCACTTTGTGTTTAGATCCGGGCGCTGGACTCTTACGGGCTCCAGAACTTTCTGTACGCCCTCACTCGTCTATCTCACTTGCCATCTGATCAGTCATTAGATCGCACAAATCCTCATTCACCGCTGGTTTAGTTCCTTCTGACGAAGTCGACAAGAAGGTGACTTGTTCTCTCACCGTGCCCTTTGCTGTTCCGGGCGGAACTAGATATCTATTAGCCTGGGGGTCCCCGAGAGGCGCTTTTTCTCCAACCCTTTCTTCTCGCTCCAAAGCTTCGGCTAGATCCTTCCTGAGTTGCCAGTCATTAACCAAACACTCCCTCTACGCCCGGGCAATCAACGGACCGCTCTCCTAAAGCTTCCAACATGAACGCACGGAATCGACCAGAGAAACTCACTGACCTTCCGCCAGAGCTCCTGCAGCGAATCTTGTCCACTTACGTCAAGATAGCCGGAGTCACGGCCGCTTGGAAGACGCGTACAGTGTGCAGTAAGCCTAAAATTACCTTCTGACATTACGTATTACTAACCCATCATCAGAAGCATTTTCAGTCTGCATCACGTACGACATCCTAGCGAAGCAACCCATCCACGCTTTCCTCAAGAATTTCCCCAACAATGGACGCAAGATTCTAAAGACGAACATGGCATCATATCTCCAGTATAGAGTCAAGAAACTCAACGGTGCGCACGATCTCTTGCCTCGATATATCCAGCGAACGCTCGACCGCGTCGAAGAGCTCACAGGAAAGACGACGGCAGCCGAGCGAGATAAGAACGAGGAAATTCTGTGCAAGCTGATTGCCAGGCAATGCGAAGACACCTTCTTCTTCTTCACCACGAGCAGCGCGAGCAAATCTTCTAAGGCAAAGGCAGTGCATCTCGAGGACTCCGGCAAAGAATTCGTCATCTCGGCCAGTGCGGCAATCGGAAACATCAAAGCTCTTGAATCTCTTCTCACAGCGAAGCCTGGGGACCTATGGAAGACATCCTACGCCTTCGGCTTTCCACTCGTTGCAGCTGCATCCGCCGGCCAGCTCGAAGTCGTTAAGGCTATCATCCATACCTTAGACTGCTACGGCTCCTCGCGCAAGAACTCATCATATGAGCAAGAGCGAGCAATAGCCGAGGCTATTACAAGGTCACTCGACAGCCGCAATGCGGAGCTCGTCGAGATTCTGGCTCGCGCATATTCCACATACTGCCCTGTTATAAGGGCAGAACCTTTTCAAGACTGGCTTGTTAGTGCCGTTAATTCGAAGAATCCGAGAATTGTACTGGACATCTTGCAGCTCAAGCACCATGGAGGCGTAGAGATATATGCAGAAGCCCTCCAAGCTGCATGCACCGCTGGGGCTCTCGACATCGTCCGGCTCTTCTTTGACCACGATCTTCTCAATCTCGACCAGGACACGACTCTATTGGGATCTCCGCTACGGATCGCAGTTGCAACCGGAAATATCTCTGTGGTGAAAGAGCTATTGCAGTTAGGAGCCCGTGCCGACGGCCCCAGGCACAGTATGGACTATCCTTGGAACGCTCCAATCTGGTTTGCCGCCCGCGGAGGTAAATGGCGGATCGTCCAGATGCTGGTTAATTGCGGCGCCGAGACCACGCCTATAACTTCCTACCTGGAGTGGAAACGGGGTCTGACATACAACGTTATCAAGAAGGTCGAGGCATCCCTCCAGAAGACCATCGAAGAACCCGTGAAGATAGCTCGTCCAACTCCGGAAAACCCATGGAGGTTGGGGAGGTTCGGTGGGGCGGACGGAACTATACCGTTAGCATCCCCAAATCCCGACTCATATAGGTCCCATCGCTGGGTGGGGCTCTAACTCCACCGAACGCTTAGTAGGGGGTCAATACGCGACGGTTCGAAGCGATTCAGGCTTGCTTCAAAGGACTCCTCAGACTACCCCACAACCCTCCGCTTGCACAGTAATAGATTCTTGATAGACTTCACAGCTGCCGATATATTCCCACTGGCTTATGGAGAATTCCGTTAATACTTTGGCCGGGCAGTTCCCGGGGTCAAGGCCAGCTGGGGGATCGGGGATTTTGCAAATCGATTTTCTTGTCTAGATTTGGATTCGGGTGCTCTTCAAGCCAGCAAGCGGATAACCTCTGCTCCGCTACAGGGCTTCCATTTTCATATGCATAGATAATTGCGGGTTTTCTCCCCTTCTCTTCCACATAGACATCACCGTGTCCTTCTCCGCTCAAACCACCTCTTCTCGTTCGCCTGCTTAACCGGCGTAGCATACTTCCACAGATTCGGCCCAGGAATACTATACCCAGTGAGCTTGTGATGGATATCCACCAAAATGCCCTTATCCCCCATGCCGTACAACTTGCTCCCCACCACGCCTCCCTCGATGCTCTCCGCACCACCCTTCCCCACCCTCACATTCACACACTGCGGATACGCCTGCGCACCATCCGTCTCATTCGCAACATGCAGCGCGATAATTTCATGCCTCAGCACATAATACCCCTCAGCCAACTGACTAGGCAGCTTAACCATCCACGCCGCCCGATTCGCAATCAGCACATCGGACGCCCACGTCCCGCCCAACCCGTCCCACCCCGAGCTATTCAGCCACCCCTGCTGATCAACCTTCACCCACTCCAGCCGCTCCTTCTGCACCGCCGCACAGCTCCCATTGCACGCCGCCAGATACGTCAGCACCGGCCCCTTGTGCGACACCGGCCACTCGTTCCACTGCAGTGTGAGCGCCTCGCCCGCCGACGCGTTGACGTGCAGCGCGCCCGGCGTCGCGTTGTAGTGGCATATTATGGCAGAGGTGTTGAACTGCGAGGGCGGGACGAAGATGTTGCCCAGGTTGGAGGCGGTCCAGGCGGCGAGCGGAGGCGGCGGCGTGGTGCGCAGGGCTAGTTCGGGGTCCCAGCCTTGGTAGACGAGGCCGCTGGCGGTGGTGATGTTGGTTATGCGGCCGTGGGCGGTGGTTGGGGGGATCAGGGGGAGGAGGGGAAGGAGGAGGGAGAGATGCATTTTGGCTGGGTTGGGCGGGCGAAATGTTAGGGGGTGTGATGCTGGCGGTGTGAGAAGGGGAAGGAAATTAGGGAGCGGAAACAATATGTACAGAGAAAAGGAGCAGGAAAAGGATAGAAAGCGCACTTGGATATAAGAAACTAAACAAGCGGAATCTTGCTCAAAGAATTGCGCCCGACGCCGCTCGCAACACGGAACCCGCGAACCGAGAAACTACTCTGTACGTCCCCACACATCCCGCATATTTCCAGGCGAACTTACTTACTGTACTAGGCGCCGCCATATTGCCCATGCCAGCTGCGCCGTTTATATTGTTGGAGCGCAATGTCGGCATCCTTGCATTTACCCCAGATTTAGCGGCGCTTTTGTTTCATATAGACAAGAGGCGCTCATTGGATGTCGCATAGTGGCAATATACATGCTACTCTGCCCGATATAGGGATCAACGGTAGGAGTACGGTTTTGAGTTTTCAGCAGTGAACTAGGACAACATATGTGAGTGACGAGGCCGTCACCTACTGAATTTATAGAAATGTTCAGACTTTCGGCAGGCCCGCCGGAGAGTCCCCTGCGTATGTTGTAACGCAACATCTCATTGGACGGCATGACCCGGAATCGACGAGGCATGACGCGTGGCTGGGAAAGAAACCTGGAAGGAAGGAACCTGGGCAACTGTGCATGCAAACTAAACGTACTGGGGTATTTGTGTCGAAAGAAACTTCCACGCTTCTCTCTCCGTCGTGGGACCGTTATTCATCGGCTAATTTCCATTCGACGAAGGACATTAAACCACCTTTAAGGTTGGCCGCTGGCGTGCTGTCGATTTAGTCTACTAGAATCAAGTCCTAATTCTAGAACCCAAAACAACGTTAAACAGATCCAAGTGGTTCTACCAATTCCAGCTTTCGCGCCTGGCCGTGCTGAAAACGTCGAATCGGAGAGAGGGGGTACCAGCTGCGTTCCTTTACCTACAGCTCATCACGTGACGGTGGCGTAGCCCTGGAGGACGCTTGGAAACCTGTATGTGGCGAAGCAGAGGAAGCAGACATTGACATAGTGTACGTGCCCAAGGTTGCTAGCCTCGATAGTAATGGTGTACCTATCCTAGTGCCGGCTAGTTTCGGGAGGGGCTGAGATACGGTATTGGTGTACAAATTCTACTACGCGCCCAATGAGTTATTCACCGCCGTTGAAAGATATCAAATGCTTCTGCCCACGTTCTCTTTCCAAACACGTTCAATATGCTGTTGGAGATGCCTTCGAGGGATTCTGCAGTCCCCAGAAACGTCAGAACGTATACCGAGATCGCGACTGTGGGACTATGCGGCGATGTCATAGACGTACTAAACTACGTAAAGGACAAAGGGACATAGAGCACGTGGGAAGAAGAATCTACTCATCAAATGCATGACGGTCGATATTTCAGGGATGTGACTGGGTTTGGTACCGGGTTGCGCGTGTGGGGAAGTGCAACTAGATCTGGGCTTGGCCTGGAGCGACCGAAGAGGCAGGCGCCGTCGCGTGTGGTTAATGAAGATCGCTCGTGGCCATCAGAAAGACACCAATGATGCAGCAATTATCGTCGAAACTTGAGCGCGAGATGCCGCTTAAGAGGGAGCTAGCAAGGACAGGGGGAGCCTTGCCATTTCGGGCCTAGCGTTTTAGCCTGTTCTTGGACCTTCAGTCATCGGACCGTGTCACTGCAGACACCGTCTCTCAATCACCAGGCACGCTTCACTTCTAGCCGCCGCACTTTGACCCCACGAATTTGGAAGTTCGGGAGAGCCTGTCCAAGAGACCGTTGTCATAGTGCGCGCACGGTTCTACCACGCGACGCGAAAAATGACGTCCGTTACTTTCACGTCCGTTCACTTCACCCGGGGTACGCTAGTATATAAAGCGCGCTCCGGGGGAGCTATACAAGATGGAGACTCGCACAGCACTAAAGAGAGCCAACCATGGCTGCCCTACTCTCCGTCTGGCTCCTAGTTGCGGCACTGCTTAGTCCAACAACCCTTGCACAAGATGGTACGTGTACTGCTTCAAGACTACAACTGTCCGACCCGCCGTACGAGAGCTATTTCCTTTCGGACTGCCACTCGAGCTCCCACGTAATCCTCACAAGCCCAGGCTCGGGCAGTGACGCCAGCCCCCGATTGCTCATCGCATGGCCCGCCGGCAACAGTGGAATCGCCGCCTTTTTCAAGCCCGAGAACGGCAACAGTGGAACTCTGGGCTTGCACTTGGAGAACAGCACGGCATCCGGGCAGATTCTTGACTCCGTGAACCTGCCCGGGAATCCAAATCCCCGGGTGGGCGTCTCTGGTTTTATTCACTTCGACTCGCCAGCTATCCTTACGCTACCAATACTGGGTAGTATCCGTAATATTCGGGACTACACCGAGGGTGGAGGCAATCTCAATAAGGATGCCCAGAATGCTGTCCAGATCGTCAAATACAATGACGATGGCGCCACCATCTACCGCACATGGTTCGACGACACCACGACGACATGGCTCGACTTTTCGCCATCTAGCGGCGCAGATGCAGTCAAGATTATCCCGGGCGATAAATACACCGTCCGCTTTGGAACTGGCACCTATCGATTTTCAGCGACCTTCAACTACCCTCAGATGCAACAGCTGAGTCCGCAGCAAGTGCTCGACGAAGCATCTGCGGGCTTGATCAACCAGAACCCAGACCAGACAATCTCCCTATCCTTCCTCTCATACAAGGAGAAACTACTTGCTGGCACTTGGCGGTTCCTAACCTACTTTGGTCGCGACAGCATGATTTCGGCGCTGCTCATGCAGCCGATCCTCAGCCAAGGAGAAGGAGGCGCGATTGAGGCAGTTATTGCGGCGGTTCTGGAGCGCATCAACCGAGCGGACGGAACAGTATGCCATGAAGAGATTATCGGCGACTATTCGACCTTGCTCAACCGCCAGAAGGGTATCAAATCCACGGCGCCAGGCTGCGACTACAAGATGATTGACACCGATTACTTCCTGCCCGTCCTCATGAAGAATTACTTTGTGGATACGCAAATAGGAAAGGATCGCGCTTCGGACTTTCTGGGTACCAAGGCTTCTTTTCTAGCTGAAAACTCTGGACTCGCGTATTCGGCGCTCGCACAGCTCACGGCTGAGAAGATCATGAAGACGAGTGCTGCATTCGCTGCGAAGGGTGGGCAGACCGTTGCCAATCTCATCCACCTGAAAGACGGCGAATCCGTGGGAGAATGGCGAGACTCCAATAATGGGCTTGCAGGAGGTAGAATACCCTACGACGTCAACACCGCACTCGTCCCTAGCGCACTGCGTGCCATCGCCGCTTTGAGCAGCGCCGGCTTCTTTCCGGACCACTCCGACTGGAAAGACACAGCCGATCAATATGCGCAGGTATGGGAGGACTCCACGCTGCAGTTCTTCCAGGTCAATGTTGGTGCATCCGAAGCGAAAAGCCTACTCTCAGACTACGTCAGCCAGTCCTCCTTCGCGGGACCTTCCAACGGCGATGACATCACCGAGGATGTTACGTTCTACGGTCTCGCGCTGGGTAGCAATGGAGACGTAGTCCGCGTCATGAACACCGATGACTGCTTCCGCCACTTCCTGCTCAACACTACGAACCAAACCCAGCTCAGCGCATATCTAGGCCAGACCGCAGACAACATCCTGCGCACATTTCCCGCCGGCTTGTCCAGCGATGTGGGCTTGTTCGTTGCCAACCCGGCATATGGCGGTGACGCTAGCATCGCCTCTAATTTCAAGAACTCTGACTACCACGGCACCGTCGTGTGGAGCTGGCAGCTCGCCATGATGGCTGCAGGACTCGCGCGCCAACTCGATCGCTGCCGTACAGGCGACCAACCAGGTAAGCCCCTCCTCCCTGCGCTCACTTTGCACCCATTTGTCTGCCTACTCACTAACCCCGTCACAGACTTCTGCAACGACGGGAACCTCCAGAAGAAAGTCCTCACTGCCTACAACCACCTCTGGGATCTCATCAACGCCAACAGCGACCAGCTGAGCGGCGAAATGTGGAGCTGGAAGTACGACAACGGATTCCAGGTCGTGCCCTTTAGCTCGTACTCAACGACTGAGAGCGATATCCGCCAGCTGTGGAGCTTGACTTTTCTTGCGATACACTGGGATAACGTATAGGCCGCCGAGGCTGAGGCCGGGCCCGGTAGCTAAGCCACATTGTAGATCTTTGTGGGATCCGCTCGCTTTGCTGAGGCTCTTCTTCCCGGGCGTGACGATGTTCTTGCGGATTCCGCATGATGCGAGATGTCAGTTTTAGGGTGGATGAGAGCGTGTTTGAGGAGTATAGAGGACAAGTGCTGACGTTCGCAGCAGATGTCCATGTTTGCAAGCGATCATAGTAGCATCGGACTGGAGTCTATATAGAGCTCTCCCGTCCATAAATACATAAATTACATCTCCTCACCGCCGTACTAAGATAACAATAGCCTTCTCCACAACCACCATGCCCGACTTCCCCGGATCTCTCTTCACCACCCGCGCCGCAACAAAATACCACGTCTTCCCACTCCCGCCCTTCTTCTTCTTCTCCCTCTTGTTCTTCTCGTTCAAAAGCAGCTTGACCCGCGCATCCCGCTCGTTCAGCGCTTTCCCATCATACAGACTCGCCTCTTTGAACACCGCCGCCATCTTGCGCAACTGCATCTGCCCGCGCCGGTGCGGCAGGAACTGCGGCGCGGTTTTCGGCCCGAAGGCCAGGCTGCCGACACCGACTTTCCAGCATTCGTAGTGCTCGGCGGGGAGGAGGCCTATTCCCGCGGGGTGCTCTTTGCCGCCGCGGCCGAGCAGCCGCTGCATGGAGCTTGAGCGGCGGATTGGTTTTGGCGGTGGGGAGGAGGAGTTGTTGGGTAGGTAGTAGAAGTCCGGGCTAGGTGTGCGTGTGCGACGCGGCTTGTACGGCGGCGGTGGAGATGCAGCGGTTGCGATATTCGACGCATAGCTCCGCAGTGTCTCGCTCCGCTTCTTGTCCAGCTTGAAGCCAGAGTTCACCCTCGTAGCGGGATGCGGTCTCTTCGGGCCGCCCAGAGGCGGCGTTTTCTTCCGCCCGCCGAGCTTCTTCCTCCGATAGCCCCTGAGTGCTTTCCTCAGGCGCGCGAGGACGAGACTCAGCACCAGCGTCCTCGTGACATTGGATCCAGAGCGCGGTCTAGCGGCCCTCTCGCCGTTAACAGGAGGCGGTACCAGCGCAGCGAGCGCGCCCAACTGCCGCGCGAGGCCATCGATTTGCCTCGTCAGCGCTTCAACAGTGCCCTCGAGCCTCCAGAGCACACTAATCCCCTCCTTACTCAAAAACACATCCAGCACGCTCGTCGCGACGACCAAGTCGGCCTTACACTCGGCAATCTCCTTCTTGCCGTCGGTGCTCCAGCGGAACCGGTCCCACAGACTAACATGCTGCTGCTTAAACCCCTGGTACTTCTTCAGCAGCCGCTCCATGCGCCGCAGCGCCTTCTCGCACAGCCCGACGTGCGCTTTGAGCGCGTGCTGGCGCGTCCGCGCGATGTCGTTGCGCTGGTGCACGAAGGAGCGCGGGTTGTTGACGAGGTCGGATTTTACGCCCTCGAGGCAGAGGGCCAGGGCGTGGATGTGCTCGCGCGCGAGGCGGAGCTCGGAGGGCGCGGATTGGCAGTTGTTGTAGAGGTCGTAGGCGCGTTTTAGGACGTGGGCGATGCTGAGGATGTCGCCGAGGGCGGCCATTGTGGTGGTGGTTTACGTTTCCAGTCGACGTTTGTCTGGATCGAGCGGCTGCCGTATAGGGATGAATGTTCGTATATAGCTCCCGGGGCCAATAGTGCAATGCGTTGGGGCCATTCCAGATATATGCAGAGGGTATACAGGGAACACTGGTTGCCTGGCCAAGATGACGATGACACTGTTGAGGGTCTTACAAACCACCAGCGCCCTCAGCCCTTCCGCTTTCCTCGAACCAAGCTCACCGGTGTGTATGCTGTACACCGCATGGCTAGTTTGTAGACTTGGTGAGAAAGTCATCCGCTATGTGCTGCAGATGCGGTCAGAGAGCGTGGCGCAAGGCATCCGGTGCTCGTCCCGGCAGGCAGCGAACATGATTTGCAATGCGCGATGGCAGCCACAGCAAGGGGAACATGGCTGTGCTATTCGTTAGCCCTACCGCGTGATACGAGGGACGTTGTAAGGTGTGCGGTGTTTGGGGGCTGAAGCGTGGGGCTGTGTGCATAAGCTGCCCCGCTAGTTTGGTGTCGAGCATTCATCCTGGCCGGCTTTGGTGTAGCTCCGCAGAAGTCCATCCAGCGCGTCGACATAGTGCCTGAAGGTTATTATGTGTTCAAGATTGTCCATTGTATCAAGGCCGTGTATCCGTTACTAAATCTCTCTCTGGATATGTCCATATCCGGAGGCCATAGCTTGAGGAATTGCCGTTCCCCAGCGAGACCACGCCCCGACGAAAGCGACCATTACCGAGCAACGGGTTCGCACAAAGTCCTCAACGAAGTGCGTCCTTAGCACACCTTCTACCCACAGCCTTTGTGGACCCAATTGACTGTCAAACCCCCCTTATTGACATCGTTGCCGGGATAGATAGGCACGCTGCCACAATCAGTGCATCCGTGGTCCTTCAGGTTCTTCATCTTCTCCTTTATATACCACCCTGCGACCGTCGTGGTGCCCATCTTCTGCGTGAAGGCACACAGACCGGCCCAGTTGGGCGGATCACACTTGGTGCAGGCGATTTGCTGGCCGCTGGAATAATACTTGTCATCGGGTATGGTGTCGATCATCGCCTTGATGTTGTGCTATCTGCTCGCAGCCAATGCATAATACACTGCCGCGACAGTTGATGTCGAGCAGCGTGTCGAGGGTGTCGCGGGAAGAGACACCGACGAGGTTGGGGGTGTGGGCGCGGTCTGCAATCGTGTTAGCTTGGGAAAGGGAGCAGGCTGGGCGGAACCCTAACCGGTGGGAAGGGCGAGAGCGAGAGCCCAGGTCATAATGATGGTGAGGATATTGGTGAGCGTCATGGTGGAGGAGGCACGAGCAGAGGTCGGAGCAGAGACTGAATTCGCTGGTAGACTTTCCCAGCTTGGAAGAACAAGTATAGATTGAGAGTCGAAGGTTAAGAGTGAGGCGCTGCCGGAGTTATATACTGCGGGGGTGGTGGGCGAAAAGTTTCGAGAAGGGCGGTGGAGAGAGGGTGAAGTCAGCCAGGCGAGAGAAGCTACGCCAGCAAGGGAAAGCATTTGGCGACGTACAGAGGCGGTCAGGACTTCTTTATCGAGCGGCAACAGGTGACATAGCCTGTTCACTTGATCTTGTTGATTCTCTTCTTCGCAATCTGCATCTTGCCGTCGACCCGCTCTACATCCTCACCCAGCAGACCGAGCATAGCATTTTGCTCCACGATTTCCTGGTTGATCTGCACGCCCATCTCTTTCATCCGCCGCACTACGGTTGTCAGGTCCACCAAGTCCTGGTCTTGCTCCGCGATGATTTGTTTCTGGAGCTGCAGCACGCCTTCGTTGTCGAGCTCCCGCGTCCGCTCCGTCTCCTTAGCCGGAGCGCCCAGTACGCGCCGTCCCGACGCGGCTTGATTCGCGCGGCTGAAGAGGCCGGCTTTCTGCTCGTTTGTAACGGCGGCGGACGAGGTTGAGGGTGTCGACGAGCCGGAGCCTGAGACTGCAGCCTTCACGGCCATGGTGTTGAGCACACTTTCGAGGCCATCGCGCTCCTTGCGGGAAGTGCTGATCAGATCGCGCCGACGCCGTATCTCACCATCGCCCAGCTTCTCACCGCTCCATTCATCCCCTCGACTGCCCCCTAACCTGCTCAGCCCCTCGTCCAGGGCAGATAGCAGCGAGCCCGTCCGCACGAGTCCCTTCTTTGCATTCGCGCCCGCCTCATGCTGCGCTGTCGCTGACGTAGCTTGCTCCCGCTGCGTCAACCACCTCCGTGTATCTTGCAGATTGCTCTTGACCTCGCTATACTTGTCTAGCCAGTCCGAGCTGTCCCTCACCCTGTCCTTGCCAAACTGTGACCCCGGAAAATTCGCGAATTTCTTGTCCCTGCCGCCTAGACTTAAGAAGTCCCTGTATGCCTTGCAAATCCGCCATCGCCCGTCCTCGCTTGTCTCTATTGTCTGCAGGTACGTCTCCAGTCCTTGGCGTCGCTTCTCTACCAGGTCCGGAGAGCCCGTAGTGCTGCCGATCCCGAGCTTGCCCAGACTACCGCCGAGCCACGACTTGGGAGGGAGAGGAGACGGTGGTGCGGTGCCTACTTGGGATCGGAGGGCTGAGTCAAGCGCTGCGAAGTCGGAGTAGCGCTTGCGAAGTGTCGTGGTTGCTCGCGGAAACGGATGCTCGATGCGTATCTCGTACGCTGTGAAGTCTTTCCCTGCGTCGGTCGAGTCCGTGTGTGCTGCTGGTATGGATATCCGGAGAGGCGCCATGCCGGCGATGGGCCGAAGAGGGTCGCCAAAGGTGAGGAAGGTGTTGTGGTTCAGAGTTGAGGGTGACCCGGTGTCCGAAGTGAGGCGCGCGTGAGCGAGTCGCGTGTGATTCTGTGTGCCCTAGAGCTGTGAATGCGTGACGGTATGGAGTGGAGCGTGAGAGAAAGCTGTGTGAGCTTCGTGAGGGCAGGCTTCGACGTTTAGCATGCACAGGCAGACGTGAATTTGAGCGCATGGTCAACGTCCCCTGCAAGGTTGACGTCGTTTGGAGCTCGGTGACGCCAGTGCCACGTGCACGAGCCGAGACCAGGCTCCTATCAGAATCGCTCACGACATCGACCATCTCGAACCTCACAACCATCACGCATGGGCATATCATTCAAGCTACGGCTTCTCTGGCCTTCATGGAGTCTTCTACTCCACTCTACTACCCGTCTTCCGTATGCGGTGAGCCTAGTACTGGGTAACTAGCGGGCGAAGCAGCCTTACCGTTGCTATTCAGAAGGCGGATACCTGCCGCTTGCGACTTCAACCGAGTCGAGCATCATGCTTGGGTCAACCAGTCAATACATGTCTAGATAGCCCTCATCCGCGGTCGGTAACCTAGATATGTTCGAGCGGGTCGCGCGTGCCTTCTTTTCTCCGAATGCATGCACATACCGGTGGATATATCAAAGTATGGCGCGCGGAACTTCTCTCGACGTCTTAAGGGATAGGAAAACCTTGCATAACGCCGGGTATTCTTATTCATGAGATTGACTGGTTGGATATTGACGAAGCGCTTTTAAACGCACCGACAAGTTCGTTCAGTGTCTCAGTCGACGTGTACCGTCACTTTTGCAGAGCCCTTTGCCATCGTCTCGTGCTTTGTATAAACACTGCAACCAAGCCAAATTGAAAACAGGCGAAATCGACGGAGGGAAGGAAGCAGCCATGTACACGTACGGCTGCGAGTTCTAAAGCCTCAGGTCTGCAGGGATCAATTGACCCAAAAGACGGCTTCCGTCGTGCGACGCGAGTGGGGCGATATTGAATGATAAGTAGTGTGCCTGCTTGTTATCCAGTTCCGAGTGGACTTGTATAATACACGAGACCTGTTTTGAGATGTGCGTATGAGTATTTACTGCACCATGCCCTCTACGGTGCCAACAGGCCGTTCAACAATCCCAATACAACCGTCGACGATGTTCTTCCTCGCATCCTCGGAGCTCACATTCTGGCCTCCCAAGTATAGCAGCCAGACAAGCCGGCTGACCCTTTCGTCCGTAACTTCCCCTAATCTCGACACTTCGCCCATTTTCTCGCCCTTGTTCGTCCTGGTAACAGGCTGGTACATGACACTTAAAGCCCCCTGCTTGTTCCTCGACAGTAATACGACGCTCCCCTTAGGTGCCTTTCCGCGGCCCTGGAAAAGCGCCTTGAATTCTTTCATGGCGAGCCCGAAGGATTCGTCCGAAAATTCGCCCTCGTCCACTGGCTTCGGTAGCGCTATTTGCTTCTGCTCCGCAGCCTGCTGTCTTAAGAGCTCGGCTTGTTTCTGTCGCACTTGGTCGGTGCGCGAAGCGATGCCCCTCATCCATCCATCCTGGAGATGCTTGAAGTCGGTTCCTCGCACGGGCACCACGCGGAACGCCATGTCGACAGCATCCGTACCCGTCCTGCTGAGGATAGACGTCCAGATCTGGTTGCTCCTCTCGGGGTCCAACAACGCTTTGCGGAGATCTTCCTTCTCGCCCGGGATCAGTGCCGATGCGGTAGGATTGACGGTGTTGATGAGATGGTTCTGCAGGATATGGAGAGAAGCAGTGCGCACGTACAAGCCCACGACGTAGACCTGGACGCGGAGGAAGGAGACTTTTCTTATGCCCAGTCCCAGCAGCGTATACTCTGCCTCGCTTTCCACCTCCTCCGGACCAGACGATGTGGGAAGCATGATGGTCTTGGGGAAGTATGGGATGTATGACGTGCCCGTCTCGACGAGCTCGACCGTGTCCGCATCCGATGCGGTGGGATTGTCTGACGAGGCGGGCGCAGCGATGATCTTGTCTCCCGCCGCAATCACCACCTTCTTGCCCTGGAACTCGCCGACGGCGGCGCGTGGAGAGTCAGTCCTGGTCGGCCGGGGACTGATCATGTCCAAGACTCCCCCGCTGCCCTTGTCGTTCTTGTCCTTTGCATCGGCGGGCGGCACATCCCAGAGTCTGACGAGGACGATGGGCGCAATCATGGATAGTGCTGCGCCCAGGGCCAGCCAATTCCGCCGCCGGATATAATGCGCCCGCCGCATTGCTTCCGCACGGTGGATCGAGACGTGGTCGAGGTCGGGGAGACGCTCGGCTTTGGGCTTTGGGGCGTGCTGGTAGGAGACATCTCGGAGCTGCGGCCGGGGGCGGGATGGCGCATTGAGGCAGCGGAAGAGCGGTCTGCGGGCGGCGAGGCGTGCGGGAGTCATGTTTTCCGTCTGCACTCGAGCAAGCGGCCCATGAGCGAGATGGATGAGGTGAGTGAATGTCTCGGAGCTTGCATCGCTTAGCTCGATGATGTCTTGCCCAGCCTTTTAGCGTGAAGGGCAGGCGCGACGCGTCCGCCTCAGCCCTATCGAGGGCCCTGCCCAAACTTTCCACGTCGTGACGATTATTGACATGCGCTGGAGGGTTGACAATGCCACCAGCTTCGCGGAAACGGCGTGCAGACGACGACCTGCCTGCCCCAACACAGTCACTACGGAATCGACGGCAAGAAGAGACTCCAGATTATGACGAGGACCTGGACGAGGAGGAGGAACACGGCAGCGGGAGCGTCGCGCAGCTGTCCAAGAACCTGGTCCGGTATGCACTGGCCTGTGAATACTCACGGACCCCAATCAAGCGACAGGATGTAAATCAGAAAGGTATGTGGACAAATCCATGCTAACGCCCGTCTAACGAGCGCAGTCCTCGGGACCCACGTCCGCTCATTCAAGCATGTCTTCGACGCCGCCAACGGACAGCTTATGGACGTGTTCGGCATGCGTATGGTGGAGCTACCTAACAAGGAAAAGGTAACGATGCGACAGAAGCGAGGTGCGTACTTTCCGTACCTACATCTTCTGTAGTCTAACACATAGTAGCCGCCGCGGGCGCAGAGTCGCAGCCTAAGACAAGCAACATGTGGGTGCTGCAAACCATCCTCCCGGAGCAGTATCGCACACCCGACATCATCGGCCCGGGCAGAGCGCCCGTTGGGGACGTCGAGGATGTGGACGGCGCCTACATCGGCCTTTACACGATGGTAATCTCCCTTATACTGCTCTCTGGCGGACAGCTGTCGGAGGGAAAGCTCGATCGCTTCCTCAAGCGCATGAACGCAGAACAGTCCACGCCCGTGGACTCTACGGACAAGGTCTTGGGGCGCATGATTAAGGAAGGGTATATTGTCAAGGTGAAGGACTCGTCGAGCGGCGAGGAAGTCGTGGACTACATCGTCGGTGCCCGGGGGAAGGTGGAAGTGGGCAGAGAAGCTGTCGCGGACTTCGTGAGGAACGTCTATGGCGACGGCGTAGCGGACCTTGAGCAGCGGCTGGCGCGCACTCTGGGGGTTGGGCAGGACGAGGCGAGCAGTAGATAGCGTGCGATGAGCTGCCAGAGAATGCGTGACACCAGAAAAGTGCGGCGCTGGCGCGCTGGTGGCTGCAGGATTTCACGCCCCTCGCCAAGCCCAGCGCTCGGCCCTCAGCTGCTCATATCATCATCGCGGCTCCGTTTTCCACTCCATCCGCCCCGTCTTTTGTCTGGCCCTCGCCATTCGCCCCCGTCCGCCGCACCATGTTTATCGCACGCTCGCGCCCTTTTTCGTAGACAACCCCAAAACCCGCCCACCATGAGCAGCATCAACTCCCTCCTCAACCACGAGCCCGCGGCCGATCAGCGCCAGCCGCGAGCGCCGCAGAGCTACGTCGCGCCCACGACCTTCGAAGCCGCCGACGCCCTCACCACGCTCGCGACGCTGGGCAGTGGCCAGCAGTATGCACCCACGCGCGAGCTACCCTCACCCACCGCCTTTGCGCACCCGCCCCGCCGCACCAGCAGCTTCTCCTCGCACGCCGCGCCCGTCGAGCCGTCGCCACCCATCGAGCAGCCGCAGGCGCACTCGCCGACGCTGGAGCAGTACCATCATGGTTCCAGATCGCCCGAGGAGCAGCGCCGGCAGGTACTGCTACCGAGGACATCGCCCGTGCCGGTCCTGGCGCCCATTCACCATCTCACCACCACCCTCCAAGAACAAATGCAGGAGGAGGGCCCTGCGTCGAGCTCGTATGGCAAGGATGTGTCTCAAACGGTGCCGCCGTCGCGCTCGACTGAGCCCGAGTCCAGGCGCGATGAGACACAAAATCGCGAACCCGCCTTTGTACGCGACGAGCCTACAGTCACGCAAATCCGCGAGCCCGAGTCGACCGACGAACCGCCGCATCCCATCTCCACGAACTTGCCTCTTTCACAAGCCGGCGAGCAGCAGCCTTCGCCCTTGCCCGTCATCAAGAACGAGCCTTCCGGCACACCGCGCGAAGTAACGCCCTCGATCGCAGTTGCACAACCGTCCGACCGGCAGCGCTCGGTTACGGCCGACGGCATGGATGCTGAAACACTAAAAGCGATTGAGATTGCCAAGCAGAGCGATCTAGGTCTGCGTGCGAAGTCTGCGCCGTCAAAGAAACGCCCTGCGCCCTCGGTGACGCCAGCCATTAAGAAAAAGGGCACCGCGACGGCCAAGAAACCCCCGTCCAAGAAGCGCAGGCTCGACACAGACGGCGACACCAAGGCGCGCTCCGTGACCCCAACCGCGCGCCCGAAGACGACATCGAGCAAGGGCGTCAAGAAGGGCTCGCAAGCGGGCACGCCTGCCGCAGAATCGTCGCCCGCTCCAGATCAGTCTTCGCAAGCGCACGCTTCAGACGACGACGCCGAATCTTCCGAGGACAGCACCCTCTACTGTATCTGCAAAAAGCCCGACAACCACAAATGGATGATTGGCTGCGACGGCGGCTGCGACGACTGGTTTCACGGCTCCTGTGTCAACATGTCGCAGGCAGACGAGGATCTGGTGGACAAGTTCATATGCCCGCTCTGCGAGGAGAAAGGCAGGGGGCAGACAACGTGGAAGCCCATGTGCAGGCGCGATGGCTGTCGGAAGCCCGCCCGGCTAACAAAAGGCAAGGAGAGCAAGTACTGCTCGGACGAATGTGGCGTCATATTCTTCCAAGAGCAGCTACAGCGGACAGCGGGCGCGAAAAGCATGGCTTCAGCCAAGAAAAAGTCGAAGAAGAAGAGCAGCAAGAACGGTGAGGACGTGGTGTCGGACGACGACGACGAGCCGACGCCGCTGGGTGGGGTGCTTCGCGCGAAGGATCTCAAGGCTCTCGTCGAGCAGTCCAAGGATATCCAGGCCTTCAAGACTCTCGGATCTGGTGTTCTTTCTCCGCCTCAAACCGCTTCCCCGACAAAGGCCAATTTTGATGGCAGCCTTCCCAATGGCCTCCCTAGTCTGATTGAAGACCTATCGCTCACTGCGGCCGAGACGGAGCGCCTTACCGCTCTGCACAAGGAGAAGTCACAGCTGAAAGAGAGATTAGAGGCTCTAAAGGACCGGGAGAAGTTTGTCAGCATGGCGAAAGAACAGGCGATACGCGTTGCCGAACGAGAGAAAATCAAAGTCAAGGAATTCTGCGGCTATGATTCTCGTCTCTCGTGGTCGGACGCCGAGTTTCTCCGCTGGCGGAACAGCAAACCCGGACGCGCTGCCTTCCAGTTCTCGACCCTATCTCCAACCCCTGAGCAAGTCGACTCCCTTCCCACTGTCAATGGCGAAACCGTCATCGTGGTCAACGGTGAAGAGAAAGAAAAGGAGACGGTCTGCCTGAAGAAGCGATGTCCGAAGCATCCGCAGTGGCAGAAGCTCAACCTTCAAGACGCCCGTTTCGAAGAGCTGGAGATTGTGGAGTCAATTAAGGAGTGTGAAAAGGAGGAGCGGAGCGTAAGAGAGCGAGCCCGCCGGCGCGGCGCCAAGGATGCTATGGCGCGAGAGCTCACCGGCGGCGATGCCAGCAGGGAAGAGAGGAATCGCGAGGGATGGGTCGAGATGGTGAATTCTTGACCTTACGGATACGTGCGCGAACAGCCATGGTTGGATAGGCATATACCCCGTTCCTTCCGCTTTTCGACACTTGGCGTTGGCGGCAACACAACTGGGGTACAAAAAGAATCATCGGGTCTCATCGTCAGTTCAGCGACTATATTATCTTTCGATTTGGTCTTCGCAGGGAAGGCCTTCGTAACACGACGAAACAAGTACGTTTTAATCAATACCATTATCATTCCTGCCATCATAATCTTGCATGCTGCGTCTCTCTTTCCAGTCATAGTGGTCGAGCCTAACGCCCATCGGTTGTCTTGCCTTCCTTTCGTTAGGTTAATTACTAGAGGATCCCTCGCAGGTACGCACTAAAAGAGGGGAAATGAGGGGAACTGGCGAGTCGGACACGGGAATCATTAATGTGCAAGAATTCCACTCCATTTTGAAGCTCCGCGAAAGCCTTATCCTCCGAACCAGCCCAATGACTTCAGTCCTCCCACCAGCTTGGGATCGTACTGCGGGCAAAATCGCTAAAGCACACGTCGTGATTTGGGACTCTTAAAAACATCAGACTCCGTTGGCATGCCCACATACCGACATACGGGTGAAGACAGGCGACAGCTGCCGCCGCATCCGCCGCCGCCCAACGGAGTCCCTCGTGCACGCCCTTCAATCGATCGTACCACGCCTCCAGCTCTTGGAACATCCAACAAGCACCATCCAACACCGTGATCATATCCGGGCATTCTGGTTCGTGCCCGTACTTCTCCCATTGCCAGAGCTGGCAGTAGTACGTAGCGCAGAGCCTCGCAAGCTTCGCCATCGCCCGGCCCGCTGCTCTTATGCTCCGCGCGTCGGGTGTCCCAAGAGGAAGTTGTCCGGGCGCAGACAAGCCGCGGTTCACCTGAAGTAGAAGGTACTGATGTATGGCGCGCATGCGTGTGTATAGCGCGCAGAGCTCGGGGAATTGCTCCTGGTGTGTGTGCAGGTGGTGCGCGAATTGCAGTGAGGTCTTTTTGGGACGAATGCCCCAGTGTTGCCAGCAGGTGATATCGTGCGCGTAGTCGGCGACCTCCTAGGCGAGCCACTGCGCGTATCTAAGGGCGACATCTTCGTAGTGCGACTCAGTGGCGGTGGGTTCGCGGCAGTGGCTTGGAGGTGGTGGTGTGCTGGGCGGCTCGGAGGGGATCAGATGGCGATGGTGTTCTGTGGGCGGTGTGAGGAGGCTCTGCATGGTGCTGGATCTGCGGAGAGGCGGCCGCGGTCCGAGATGGGGACGCGGTGATGAATGATGGCAAAGAGCGTAAGAAGAGCTGTGGGAAATGATGCGGAGAGATGGAGTGGAAATGCGGCCGTTGGTTGATTCATGGCAAGGGTTTATGCTTAGGGAGGTGCTTTCCACGTCGGGTATTAACAAGATTCGTCGCTCCTATCTTTTCGTTTACACGCCTTCTTAAATCTGGAGCTCTTCTTGTCCTCACTACCATTTGTTGTCGGCCGCACTTCGGTCACACGATATCCAACGCCAATGTCTGTTCGCTTTCGGCGTTGGCGGGCAATAAGCCCGAGAGAACATACTCGTACGGAAAACTAGTCTTCGAAATCCTGGGGTACTCGGATCTCTTTGCCACTTTCGACGACTTCATCGGCAAGATCAGCTCTCGTCAAGGACGTGTTCACCCAGACCCGGCGGTTGTCGGTTGCAACATGGGCCTTCTGAAAGCAATACAATCCCCGAACGGACCTCTCATCGCCACACGCAGTATCCGCCATCTGGTATTGGTATCTAAATCATGGGAGCAGGGTGCCCGAGGCAAACTATACGCTTGGAATTGCGACGCTGAGAGTATCTGGGGATCCGGAGAAACGGGAGGATTACTGTGTTAAACGTACGGTCGACTTTGGCGCAGTCTCCGTCTGAGTGACGGATTTGAAAGTAATTAGGAGGAAATGGGAGATGCCTCAGTCAGGGCGAAATGGCTGCACCGGGTACTGTTCTAGTTCTTGGTTTATTCTAATGGGTATATCGCTATTGGATCACACTAGCTGGGAGGCCTAGAGTGCATACGCCGATTGCATCTCATTTTAGCCAAGACTCCGCGTGCCTTTGCATATTGTCCACCGTCTCCTGTTCACAATTGGCTGATAGACAAAGCGGCTGACATGTCGGGGACGCAAGGCTGACTAAGCGACCCTTGCCAAGGCCTCGTGCGCTCTTATTGGCTGCCTTGCTGAAAGGCTTCTTCTCACCTTCAAGACCACCTTAGGCTTCCTCAACTCTGGCATTTCCGTCGGAAACAGAACTCTACACCATCAAGCATGGCAGAAGAAGAAGAAGGAGAAGGATGGGACGGCGCCCTTATAGCAGAGCTATACAAACCGCCTGCTCTGCTCCCTATCGCTCAGCTCAAAGACTCCCTTCTCTACGCCATAGAAACCCATCCTGTTACCATTATTGTCGGCGAGACTGGGAGCGGTACGTCGAAACAGATGCTAAACCTCATTTCGCATGCCAAAGACACTGCAAACGCGGACTGAGATCTTGCGAGACCAGCCAGTGGGTTTCTGCTAACATTCCCCGTTGATAGGCAAGACTACTCAGATACCCCAGTTTCTTCACAAAGCAGGATGGACCTCCAACGGCTCCCAAATTGCTGTGACGCAGGTATGATCCAGTCGTCCTCAATCAAGATGTGCGAATGCTAGTTTCTGAATAGCCTCGCAGAATAGCTGCAACGAGCGTAAGCGCACGCGTCGCTGAAGAGATGAATTGCCAGGTCGGGCAAGAGGTGGGCTACTCTATTCGGTTCGAAGATGTGACATCTGCGAAAACAAAGATCAAGTTCGTCACCGACGGCCTGCTCCTGCGGGAGATGCTCGTGGATCCGCTCCTCAAGCGGTACTCCGTGGTTATGGTCGATGAAGCGCATGAGAGATCGCTGAGCTCTGATATCCTGCTCAGCTTGCTCAAGAAGGTCCTCAGAAAGCGCCCGGACCTGCGCGTCGTCGTGTCTAGCGCTACTCTAGATGCGGAGAAGTTTCTAGACTTCTTTGCGCCTGACGAAGGCGAGACGGTGAATGGGAAGACGAAAGAGGAGTACGGAGCTATCATCAGCATCGAGGGACGCACGCATCCAGTCGATGTCTTCTACCTTGCCGAGCCAACCCACGACTATGTCGAACGAGCCGTGGACACCGTCATGGACATCCACACCAGCGGAGACGACGGTGACGTCCTCCTCTTCCTCACTGGACGCGAAGAGATCGAAAAGGCAATCGACACGATAGCAGACCGTATCGCCGACTTAGGCCCGGGTCACAAAACACTTCAGCCCTTGCCTCTCTACGCCGGTCTTCCGACCGATCAGCAAATGTATGTCTTCCAAAAGGCTGCTGAGAACACACGGAAAGTGATCGTATCCACGAACATTGCGGAAGCCTCCGTTACCATCGACGGTATCATCCACGTCGTCGACTGCGGTTTCGTCAAGCTCCGCGCGTACGATCCCGTCCTTGGAATCGAGCGTCTAAGCGTCGTGCCGGTCTCCAAGGCATCCGCCACCCAGCGCGCGGGTAGGGCTGGTCGCACACGAGCAGGGAAGTGCTACCGTCTCTATACAGAAGAGACATTCGCATCCCTCGAGGACGCCACCTTCCCTGAAATCCAGCGAAGCAACCTCGCCCCCGTAATCCTGCAACTCATGAACCTCGGCATCACGAACCTCGTCCGGTTCGATTACCTCTCCAACCCTCCGTCGAAACTCATCGTCCGCGCCTTAGATGTCTTGTATTCACTCGGCGCCGTCGATATACATGGACGTCTGACAAAGCCCCTGGGAACACGCATGGCCGAACTCCCACTCGAGCCTATGCTCGCCAAAGCGCTGCTAAATGCGCCGGCGTTCGGCTGCCTATCTGAAATGCTCACTATAGCCGCGATGCTAACGTTGCAGGGCAACGTCTTCATCTCGCACGACGGCTCGCAGAAGTTGCTCGACAAAGCCCGTCGCAAGTTTGCCGTCAAAGAAGGCGATCATCTCACGCTGTACAACGTGTACGAGGCTTTCGTCAGCGCGGGCAAGAAGGACGCGCAGTGGTGTCGCGAAAACAGTCTGAACTACAAAGCCATGTTGAAGGCTGTCAGCGTGCGGAAGCAGCTGCGACATTACCTGGAGCGCATGGGCGTCCAAGAAAGCGCGCTGGGCGGCGCGGATGTGAAACGCGCTGGTGGAATGGACATGGTGGAGCGGGTGAGCCGGTGTCTAACCACAGGCTTCTTTGCGCATGCGGCTAGGATGAAGAGCGATGGGAGTTTTCAGCCGGTGAGCGGGGATACGACGCTGTGGGCGCATCCGAGCTCGGTGTTCTTTGTAAGTCCTCTCACCTTGGCTTCGATGCTCATGTGCTGATTGATTTTAGCATCGCAAGGCCGACTGGGTTATTTACCATGAGATCCTGGAGGCGCGTAACAAGATATATATTCGTGACTTGACGAGTATTGAGATGGACTGGCTGACCGAGTATGCGCCGGACTACTACAAGATTACAAACAGGTAGGACGACTATGGAGGCTCGGGAGTCAGTGACAGAGTAAAGGGTGTCTGATAAGCAGCGAGCGAATGAGAAAATATGAGAGCGACACGAATGAAGACAGTTTTCAAGAGTATCGTATTGTGGGTATTACACTAGAATCTGTCATGCCATGCAACGACCCAACCAATGCCATGCATAACCCACCAGACGTACCGACGGCTTGGCCCTACTTCAACGCCTCTACGAAGAGCTCGCGCATGCCCTTCAGGAAGGAGGCGAAATCCCGCGTCTCGTTGAGGTGCTCTAGGACGCGATCGACCTCGTCACGCTCCACCTTAGGCCTGAACTCAGGCACCTTGTACTCCCTCTCCGTCGTATCCAGCTCGAACCACGCCTCACGATCCCACTCGCGCTCGCATACATTGGCGAAGATGAACTTCAGCCTGTCCTGTTTACCCATGCCCTCGATGCGCAGGCCCAGGTAGCTCTCCCAGAAGTCGAGCTCGGGCTCGTTGTAGCGCGACTGGCCGTCCAGGTAGCGGCGATGCTTGAGCTGCGCTTCTCGGCGCGCGGAGACAGATTTCTGAAGCTCGGCGATCTGCGCGCGGAGGGCGTCGCGGTGGGAAAGACGCTCGTCGCGCTGCGTGGTAAGCGTTGCTATGGCGTCTTGCATTTCGGACGTCTCGGCCGACTCTTTGGCGAGCGTCTGTGAGTGCTGTGTCTGTTTGAGCTCGAGGATTTCGATGTCGCGCTTCTTCATTCGCTGGTCCTCTGTCGAGAATATTAGAATGTGTGCTGCGCTGTAAAGGAAGAGTAGAAGGTTTTACCGTGAATCTCAGCGACGTTCATCCGGAACTGGTTGCGCTCCTCCAGGACTCTCCTCCTGCCCTTCTCGATGAAGTCGTCAAAGCGGGCGGTGAACTGGTTCATGCGACTGCGCAGCTCGTCGAAGCCGAAGTTGATCGAGGGCAACTGGTCGGCCATGGACGGCGCATCGTGCGACGATGCGCGCAGGCTGGCGCTGAGCGAGGGTTCGAAGGTCGTCATAGTTGATGTGCGTGTCTGCAACTGTATGTGGATATGCTGGTGAGCTTCTTTGGCGCAGCCGTAGTCGTAGTAGGGTGGGTAAGGCGGTGGTCGATAAGGCGGGGAGTGTTTACATATGCGACAATAAACAACGGCGCCGGGATAACAAATGACCGAAATGTTCACGTGAGTGCGCGCTTTTGGGTTAGCGCGACAAGCGGGGCATGCGTGAACTCTGTCACCAGTCGTTCTTACCTCTCACGCGTGCACGTTGCATCCGGGTTTGCTTTCACCACTTCGTTCCCAGGAGTACTTTGCAGACAGCATGTCTCTCCTAGCGAATGCCCTTTTTCCCCAACCATCCGCCGCCCGAAAACGTTTCCTCGTCCCTTGAAATGACTTCGCCGTCGCCCTCCCCCTTGCTCGAAGATCTCAACTCAGACGCCGTATCGCTTCAAACGACTAGCCGCCTTGAGTCTGGTCTGAGACGCGATGAATTGGCCTTCGCATGGAGGCCCAGGCGAGAGTTGAACTTGCTGGGCTGTTGGGAGACAGTCGTTCCTGCAGCGATACGATTTCCAACTCGCCAGGTCTTCAGGCCAGCACGCAGCATCCACCAGGCGGCGACGGGCCTCATCCGCGACCATGCCGTTCTTGCCGCTCTCGCGCCGGACGAGAGCCAGCTTGCCGAGCTCGAAAACATCTCCGCAGCAGTAGTCTCCGCTACGTCGACATACGATGCTGCCGTTGGCCACCTACTGTCCCTCGGTTGGATCTCCTGCGAAGGCCCTTGCGACCACCAACCGCTCCGGGTACTCGCGCTGCCGACCGGTGAGCTGGGCAATATACTCTGCCTACACGTGCTGACCACGGAGCACCATGGCTGGGGACTCGACAAGAGCATATGGCTGGAGGGCCCTTCAATGAGAAATGGAGAGAGCGGATACTGGAATGAGGAGGCGGCACCTATTCAACAAGTGTGCTTTGCTCAGTCCGAAGACCGGCATTCCTTTCTGGCCGTACGGCTTCCGCGGCGGACAGTTCTGTTCCATCCTGTCTGCGGCCATGTACGCAAGCCCGTCGGGGCGTCTGACCACTTTGCGCTCCCGCCCTCCCCCATAGCTGCACGCCCAATTGGGCACATTGCAATGGAACAGACGGGAGGTACGCCCCACGCCGACGTCGCTTTCAACCCGCACAATCAGCGTCAGTTTGGCCTTGTGGACCAGCGGGGAAACTGGTCTGTCTGGCACGTCCACGACGGCGATGAAGAGGGCCAATACACGTTGACATGTAACAGCCAGCACAGGTGCACTTCCACGGAGGATGAAGCCATTTCGACGCCTAGTCCAGTAGAGGATGGTTGGGCACGCATCTTGTGGCTCACTAAGGAGACGATCGCGGTGTATGACAGGCGACAGATTGCCGTCTTCGATGTGGAGTCAAGCCTGATACAGCTCGAAAGCCCGAGGCTGATCGCAGAGAACTCGTCTGACTGGATCCTGGATGTTAAGAAGCACCCAAAAAATAAACGCCAATGCTACGTGTTGACGTCGTCGCGACTTTTCTTACTCAACGTATATGGTATCAACGAGGCAGCTGACGCCGGTTACACCGCGGCGGGAGCTACTACCCTTGACTCATGGTGCCATTTCCGGTCTCCGGAGGACATTACACTACAGCTCAGCGTCCATTCAACCCACCAAGGTAATATAGTCGCCTCGCTCCTCGCTCACCCGCTGACCTGGGGCAAGCAGAATTCCTCGTCTTCGTTCACTCGCGCCTGAACGCCCTCGTCACGACTTTTCGCTTCGAATATCATGCTTCCAAGCCCGCACGGTCAATTTTGAGCTCCGATCCGACTCTCCTACGTCTGGATGGCTTGGACCCGGAAAATGGGCAGCAGCGCATCATCCAATTTCATCTAGAACCGCTCTACTTCGGCGCAAATGTTGGTGAAGATCCAGTATCGGGGCCAGGGCAAGCATACTCGAAGAGTGGTATTGAGTTCTATCAACTTTCCGCGCTGCTCTCCGATCTCACCGTCCGTCAGGTGATGCTGTACTCGCTGTCGCGTTATTCCAACCGGGAGCACGACTTTCCCTTGTTCGTTGAGCCCACTTCCTGGACCGAGATCATCCGCAGCCAGCCCGAGGCGGAAGTGGTGGACGACTTCATCGTCCCGGATATGTTGGGTGATACAGCAATCCGGAATCTGGAGAGGAGCCGATATGACCTATCCGAGCCCGTCGAGCGGCAACGCCGACGAGCCCCACAAGATTCTGTCGACTATCGCTTTCTTTACGATGCTCTGCTCGTAAATAAAGTCTCGTCAATCGTTGAAGATACACTTTTTCCAGAACCGGTGGACATGTCCGCTGTGGTCGCAGAGGCGAGGCAGCTGTTGGTAGAAGAAAAAGGCCCAGTGGACGTTCCTCTAGGAACACTGTAAGTACTTCGTTTGCTTCAGCTCGTGCAGGCTAATCAATAAAGGCTAGATTTTGCCGGGCTCGACATAAGTCTGTCTGACGTCGATGAGACCTCATCGAAGCTGCAGGATCTGTTGCCCCTGGAAGATGAACGAGAAAGGCTGCAGCTACAGCGTATTGCGTGTGCTCATGTTCTTAACTTGGCGGACGGACTTGCAGAAGAGCTGCCTACCGTGTCGTCCCTCTACGACACCCTGCTTCAGAACTGGATCATGCCGCTGCCGACAGAGGTCCCGATCCGAGCTCGCCAGAGTAAAGAACGCCTTTCTCGACGTATCGCAGCGGAAGCCGTGCTAGCTAGCCTCCGCATACGTCGTCCACGGGCGAGTCAGGAACCAAGTGGCTCTGAGCCTGCCTCAAGCCGCAGCAGCGTTTCTCTGTCGAATACGTCTTTCCCTCCTCCAGGATCTGCCCGTGTGCTGTCTTCACTTCCACCCCGTACGAGCAAGGCGTTTTCGCCGACACCCTCTCCGGCAATTACTCCGGGATATAATCCGCTCAGTAGCCTGAGCGAACACCTGCTAATGGGCCAACCGCAACCAATCACCGTAGCGGCTAGTATCAACGAAGTTCTGATGCACTGGCAGCCTGGAGCGGATCCTGCTACCTACGATTGGGAGGCAACCGAGAGCAATCTGCAAGATGAGTGGGAAGAAGACCGAGAAGCAAGCCAGGTATTGCGTGACAAGGCGAGAAGAAAGAAGCAGCGGCAGGAGAAGAGGCAGGAAAGAGAAGAGGAGCTTTTCAGAGGCATGGCAGCGACACAGCCACAGCCGCAGCCGCCGACTTTGAGAAGTTCACCAGGGCCAACGCTTCATGCGACTAGTAGCCAAGCGGCCCCGCAGAGTCAGAGCCAGCCTTTTGGCGGATTTATCGTGCAAAGCCAGGTTGAGCCAGGTAGGCATGGTGGTAGACCCTCAAAGAAGAAGGTGAAGAATAGGATAAGCGGGTTTTAGAGCGCGGCCGCGGCCGAAAGGAGCAACAGACTTCAATCGTCGAACAGGATGCGCCATGCTGTGCAGTAGGAGCCACTAAAGCCGGGTCCGGCCTCGTACCTGATGACGGCGTGTGAGAAGTGGGGCAGTCGGCGGGGTAGCTTTGAGCTCTGGGTCGGATCCGTAGCTTCCTCACCTCACAAATCGGCAGACATCCTACAAAATTGTCCTCATATCCACACCAGTCCTTCCTACTCCTGCTTCCATTTCAAAACCACCCCATCGATCAATTGCAGCCAGCAAGATGTCAGGTTTCCCAAGCCTACAACCCGCGTTCACTGTGCGCGTAGATATCGACGCGCCAATGGCCGTAGGCGCACAAGCGGGAAGACAATTAGCTATTGTGGTAAGTACAAGCCCTGCTGACGAAGACGAGAGCCTTGTTAACGTGGTGATAGCCAATGGTCAGCGGGACCGTAAAGAGTGAGCCGGGTTTCGAGCCAGCGCTTGACGCCGAGCTGTACGTTTGCATCCAGAAATCAGATCCGTGCACAAGAGGGGAGTTATTGATGGTATTCCAGACATGGCGTCGGCTACGACTACATCCACAACGACGCCGATGACGGTAATATGCGTCTCGATGTGCGCTCGCAGGTCAAGTAGGCTCCTTCGTTTCCTCTTCCCATGCACTGCACCTCACTGACGCGCTGCAAGGAATAACGACGGCACCATCTTTGCGATGTATTACAAAGGCACTGTCGCTCTCACCGCGGGCGTCAAAGCCGTCCTGGGAGGTACGCCGGACGCCAAAACTACGGACTATGGCGACTCTTTTGTCACGTTCAACTTCGAGACGGGATCGGCGAAGTACAAGGAGCTGGTGAGCTAACTCCGTGGTACAAATATCATTTCGAAACATATGCTAATCGTACTGCTACCTTAGGAGAATGGGACGTATGTGGCTGCGGGCCATTTTGTCAAAGAGTCGGGCCAAGGCACGGTTGTGGAGTACAAGGTTAGCAAGGTAGTTAAGGGGTAGGTGAGTGCGATTGGAGAGATGTACTGAGGGGAGTACGAAAGGAAGAACTGACGATATGCAGAGCGTCTCGCACAGGAAGTGGAGGCGCGAAGCTTTAATGGAAAAGGCGCTGCGATGGAAGTTCAGAGATAGCGGCTGCGTCGAGCGGGTTTGCTGGGCTTCCTCTTCCACTGCCGATTTGAAAATGGTTATGCTCAAGTTATACATGCCTTAACGTCGTCCTTACTTGTCGCTTCTGTCGCACATTTACTGTCAGCCTTCTACCCTGAATACATGCTACTCTCCCCCAGGGGTTACACGTACCACACTTACAGCTCAATTCAGAAATTCGAACAGCTGGCATGGCGCCATAAAAACCGCTCCAGGTCGTCGTCCGGATTGCCTACCCGCGCGAGAAGTTCCCGACGGACTCCGAGCCAGAATTGGAGACAGCAATCAGCTCCGTTAGCTTCGTGCACGCGTCGAACGATGGGGAACGACGGGATGAAGCGAAAGAACGCTGACTCGGAAGAAAAAAAAAAGCATAGCAGCTAGGAAGAGCAGAGGGTTGGGAGACAATGCATCTGGGCCAAGCTAGAGAAGAGGTTTGAACGGGAGAAGTGGAGGCGCGAGGCTGCTGAGAAAAGGGATAGACAGGTAGACGAATACACCGAGGTATGATCGCGACGACGCTGTAGGGCATTCGGCTCTCCCTTCTCCCTAAGACATGTCGCCGAGTCAAATCGGACTCTAACGCACGTTAGTACCCCTTGGGCTTGGCTATATGTGACGGTCTATCGAGGGCGTAAGCGCTTCTAAACGACGATAGAACGCGACAGGGCGTTTCGATGAGTGCCCCGGCGTTTCTGTACCATTCCTTCACGATCTAGCTGCGTCAAGTGCTGACTTATCTTTCTAGTAGGCAATTCCCGTAGATGATTGGGCGCTGCTCGAACCGCCTCGTGCAGACGGTGTTGTCGTGTGGTCCTTCAGCCTCCGACGCCGTCCTCGCAGTGTGTTATCAGGTGGCGAGACCTCAACTGCTGATCAAAGCCGCAGTGTATCCATCGGCCGTAGCGCTTAAGGCCGCCTTCATTGTTGCTCCGCCGTCGAGCAATCCTCCCGATGCGACATGATGCTCCTCTCACGTTGACGCGGTATCATGTGCACCGCTTAGAGGAAACCCGCGACAGCTCGCACAGAGCGAAACCCCTAGAATCTCTCCCAATGAACCGGTGCTCTCTATTCTTCTCTTAGCAGCTATCGCCTGAGTATAGAGCCCCGAAACACCTTGAAAGCGGACCGCCGTCCACTGCAGGGCTTCGAACGTCGAACCCCCGCTTCGCCGCTGCGCTATCACGCCATCGCCGGTGTGTCCTGTCACAGCGCAGTGCCTGAATCGGAGCTGATCATAGCGCAGCGGTGCAGCGGTGCCGCGACGTCGCTAAGCCCCCGCGTCGCGCATATTTAAAACTTCGACGTATCGCCGCCTCGACACATCGACACACCGACACGTCGACGCAGATTCAGCCCACCCCACACCCACTACACACCCACTAAGCGCATACCCCTCAAACCGCTATCATGTCTGAGGACAGCTACACGCTCAATGAGCTCGTCGCCTATGGCAAAAAGAACTTCCGCACCGAGTACGCGGCCGTCGCTAACACTGCGCTGTACAACATGCAGAGCCGCGACATCGAGGACACGGACGGCGACACGGACACGACCGATGTGCTTCTCGTCGGCTTCTTCAACAACAAGTCGTCTAACAAGCAGCTATGGGCCGTCTACGTCAAGGATAAGGCGGGGCAAGGCGGGATCATCTTGTATCAAGGCAAGGTTGGGGAGCGCTTGAAGGAGGTCCCGGAGCGGCAGAAGGGCAATATCCGTCTTGACGAGCCGTTTCTGAGCATCCACGGCAAGCATCAGACTAAGGAGAAGCGCGAGGCGGGGCTGGAGCGGCTCGGGGTGTTTGTCGAATTTGTGAGCATGTTGATGGGGAAGGTCGACGTTCTGAAGGTATGTCTTTCGATATTTGCGAAGATTGGCCTGAGGGCCTGCAGCTGTAGAGGACGGACGAAGCGATCACGGATGACACGTGCTGACGGTGATAGAAGGTATCGACCAAGAACCCACTGGAGCTGTTCCAGAAGGCCTGCAAACTCGCTGCTCGCGGAGTCCAGAATATGAACACCGCCGGTGGGGAGCGGAGTACCGGCTCGGGGGCGGAGACGGCGGCAAACGGAGGACGTGATGTGTCTGCCGTGGCCCGAAAGCGCAAGCGCGCCCAGGGAGATGATGGAGAGGCCCCCGAGGCAGGCGGTAAGATCCCCTTCTTTGCGTAAAAATTTCGATCTCTAGGTCTAACAGAGGATGTATAGGACAGGGCCTGCGGCGCAAGTTCCCAAACCTTCCCCTTCCCCGGAAGACGAGGAGCACCCAGACCGACGAGCCATCTCAGGCCGTCCAGCCATCCCAGGTCATCCCCTCCTCTCAAGGCACCGGCTTGATCGCCGCGGTTCAGACCTACATCAACGGCCTTGAGCTTGATCTAGTCGCTGCGAAGCAGGATGCGAACGATTGGAAGAGCAAGTACGAGGAGCTCGAGAAGAACGCGGCGAATGGGGGCGCTGAGGCCGAGGAGCTGAGGAAGCGGCTGGACGAGGCGAACGCGAGAATCGCATCATGGACGGAGACGATGCAGGGTCTTTTGGACTAGGAAGTAGGGCTTGTCGTCATGGGTCCTGGTTGCTACGGTGGTTTATTGGCTACGTGGCGCTGTCTTCTCTTCTTCCGCAGTGGTTTTGCACAGCGGAATGCGGCTTGCTTGATGGATGAATGATTGCCTTCCTTGTAGAGGAGGCGGTATCGATGGATCTCCATCGCGATACTTAGGGATATATTAGAAAATGGATGGATACATTCCTCATGCTGCAGCTGGCTATCGGTGACCGTCTTGGACAATCTTATGCCGCATCTTCTTCGACAAAAACTTTACTATCTCAAACCCCCTGCCCACATACTAAGTCCTCTCAGCGTTGCTTTACGATTCATGTTCTACACCACGGTCATCATCATCAGGGATTGGAGTACCGCTAGTATGAACACATTCTACATCTCATTTTATTTTTCAATGTACGCGTACTACGAAGACGTGATATACATCCCCACAAACAGTGACGAGGGCGCCAGAGGCTCGGATCGGCCCGTTTCCACGCAGGCACGACCATGTGCCTGAGGCAGCACCAGCCACTTCAAGGCAATGGCCGACTGCAATTGACCTAGCCGCCGCGTTCTCTGCACGTTACCTCTGTCTGCTTTGTAGATTCGCCACGCACTCCTCCCATTGCATCGGTGCCGTGCGGACGCTTGGGGACAATCCCGAGCTATGTACCTTGTCTAAAGTTTACGAGAGGAAACTAATTGCGCTGATCGGAATTTGGCCTCGTATGTAACCTACGCAAGCAGATCGTGAACTGCCTTTCCCTAAAAGCATAAAAGCTGCGGCTTACTTCTGGACTGGTCGTACATAGCGGGACTGAGCTGCTCTATACCAGTCATTCTTTTGAAATAAGTCACATTCGTTTAGAAGCTCATCATTGCGTACTGTTGCTACCTCCACCATGCGCTCCTTTCTTCTCGTCGCGACCCCATTTCTTTTATCAATCGCATCCAACGTAGCCGGCCTTGCCATTCGACAGGCCAACAGCTCAGGAACATGTACTACCAACCAACGCAAAGCATGGTACGTCGCATTGCTGCGCTATGAGGCGTCACCCATACTAACTGGACTCAGGCAGAACTTGTCCGACGACGAGAAGGCGGCGTACATTGACGCGGAGCTCTGCTTGATGGGCTCGCCTCCGCAGCTCTTCGACTGGGCAAAGAATCGCTGGGACGAAGTGGTCTATGGCCACGTCGTCCAGTCGAATGTCATCCATGATGTAGGCGCATTCCTGCCGTGGCACCGGCTTTATATGCGTGCCCATGAGTATCTGCTGCAGACGGAGTGTAACTATACCGGCGCTCAACCGTAAGATCTTCCCATACATAGCAAACTATTGGAAGATTTCAGTTCGCTTCTACCCCTCCTCCCATACAGCCGTCTAACAGCACACAGATACTGGGAAGAATCGCTCGATGTCGCCAACCTCGCCGGCTCCATAGTCTTCGACCCCGACACCGGCTTCGGAGGAAACAGCAACGGCTCCTGCATCACCGACGGCCCCTTCACCCAGCTCGAGCTCCACATCACCCAGTCCACGAACTACGCCAACTACTGTCTCACGCGCGACTTCAACACAGACGGCTTCCAAGGCGCCACCCCCTCTAACGTCTCCTCATGCTACAACAGCACCACGTACGAAGCAGCCTACACCTGCTACAAGTCCAGCCCGCACACCGCGGGCCACGCCGGCGTCGGCGGCACTATGCTCGACGCCGTCGCCTCCCCCTCCGATCCGCTGTTCTTCCTGCACCACACGAACCTCGATCGACTGTGGTGGGAGTGGCAGCTCGCGAATCTGACGGCCCGCTTGACGGATATGAGCGGGAGGAATGTGCCGCGGCCGAGCTATCTGGCGCAGAACAATTTTACGTATCCCGGACCGGAGATATTGGATTATGATGGCGATGAGGGGAACGTTACGACGCTGCATCATAACCTGTGGATGGTGGGACTTATTCCGAATGCGACGATTGGGGAGGTTATGGATTTGAGGGGGGAGCTGATTTGTGCTGAGTACGTGTGAGGGGAGGCTTGTTCATCTTCTGTGGGGGTTTGATCTTAGTGCCGTGGAAGCAGTTCGTGTGAGTAGAAGAATATATGGATTTGGATAGCTGGCGTACGGTGGGCGTGGCTCTGTGCAAGGAAGAGACGAGGCTGCCACGATGCATATCGGAAGCAGATCGATCGGCGGCGTTCATAGATGCGCCGAAACAGGCAAGGACTCACCGAGATGCAGCCGCTTCCCCACCTTTGCACGCGTCTTTCCACCCCAACCTCCCAACGTCATCTGCAACACAAGCCCACTATTGCTATCAGGCTGTTGCACTCACTTTCTGTCGTCGAGTCCTTCCTCCGACGTCCCTGCATTAGTGCATCGCGATCCTGCGAATCCGACCCATCGCACGTGGCTGACCCGACCTGTGCGATGCCGGCTGTATAAGGGGCTCCGCCGCGTTGGGTGCTTCGCAAGCACTTTTCCCGACGCGTAGTTCTCGCAGGCCTCGGGGGCATGGCGCCGCGGAAGGGGACACGCAGGGCATGCGACCCCTGCTCGATCAGAAAGGTCCGATGCGACGGTGGCCAACCCTGCTCACGATGCGAGGCCGCCAGTTGGGACTGCACCTATCTTAAGACGCACGGCAAGTCGGGCCCAAAAGGGCCTCGGCGAACAACTGAGGCTGCCATCAGGAAATTGCAAGAGCGCAGCAGAAGCAGCCTCGACCCAGGACCTAGGAGCGAAAGCGACACGAGTCTAGACGATGCGAGTCCAAGCACTACTGACTTCCCTCTCCTGGATCCACTGCCTCCTACCAGCGATCCGCCGTTGGACGGCCTAGGATGGCCGGATATCGTCAGTCCGACCTTCGCGGGCGCACCTCAGCAGCCTCAGCGAATATCCACGTCCTCCATCTCGCAGTATCTAGAAGTCTACCAGGCTCGCGGTTATCCGATATGGCCAGTTGTGGATACAGAAATCCTGATCGCCCGCCTCCTAACCCATCCGGATGACTTGGAAGCTTACGGCCTCGCTACAGCTATTTGCGCAGCTACGATAAGCCAGTTCCGAATCGATGCAGAGCTAGGAAGCCCCGGGGACGGACACTTTCGGGTTGCAAGCGGTGTATTTGAAGCCGAAGCGAAGAGAGCACGCAACGAGTCAGATCACCGAGAGAATGTGACGCTCTGGTCTCTCCTGTCCACCTTCTTCTTGCACGTATATTCTGCAAACATTGGTCGTATGGCTGCATCGACCGTCTTCCTTGGAGAAGCGATCACGAAAGCGCACATCATCGGACTACATAACCCTTCCTACTATCAGCCCATGCACATCGAACAACAGCAGCATAATTTAAGGATATATTGGCTTTTGTTCATTACTGAGAGGTATCCGTCTTGACCCGAAAAGCGTTCAAGATTACTGATGGATGTTCAGAGCCCATTCGATCCAACACGATGTGCCCACCATGCTGAAGCGAACGCCGGAGCTCCCATCGCTAGACAATCTAAACGATGGCTCCATCACGCCCGCATTCATCCAGCTTTGCCACCTCTTCAATATTCTAGATGTAACGATGACCGCCGACCCAGCTACTGCCCGCAATGCGCTAGCCTTTGCTCACCAGCAGCTCGCAGATGATGAATCTTCACGCAGCTTGCAGAACGAGTTGCAACGTGCCGATATCTCCATGACACAGCAATGGATGCGCATCTTCCTCTGGCAGCATGCCCTGAGCGTAACCAGCCTACGCTCCACGGACGAGAACGACGAATTTTCTTTCTCGTTCCCCGCGAAGGTTGCGCAGATGGTTCTCACTCATGTGAGCAGCTTGAAGAAAGCGAGCTTAGAAGCGCACGGTCCTGGAATGGTTCGATGCACCTCTCCTACAACAAGACACCAAGCTGACCTGCGACTAGGAGTCGAAGTTATTTGATATCGCGAACTCGCTGGCGGACGTCATGATCTTCGTACCGTCGCTCAACCAAGATGCCGGGTTCGGCATCGGACCAAGAGACCTGATTCATTCGCTTTCTTCTCTGCTCGCATCCTTTAGGGGAGGCAATTCCGCAGTAATAAATATCCTGCAGGACAAGTTGACAACGTTGGGCATCTCAAACGTCTCACCTCAGAAGCTAATCGATATATCCTCGGAAGACGAGCTCGATGAACGGAAGGACGGCACACGACGCTCCGGAACATGGAGCGACAACGGGGCCTACACGCTACCAGCGCCCATAATTCCAGCTTTCCCAGCGGCGTTGGATGCGTTGTAAGTCCACCGCCAGACACTCTTCCAAATATGGGGGTTCGCTGGTTTCCAAGATCGGGAACCACATCACGTGACTGCAACATCTCCAGCTTCGTAACGATCCCCACTCCCTAGCGTCAGACGTTAAGCTTATGCAGCGTCTAAAGCTTGATTGGAGCGGGTTGCCGCGGTATCTTCCCCTCCACCTGTTTCTATGCAATCTGCCCTGTCCATTCTCGACGACACACCGCGTCAATCGTGCTAAGGATGACGTGCTAACCGAAGCGCCCCGGCCCATCCAGGGCACCAATCAACACGCCCTATACCGACATGACAGTCTCATGGTTATCAGGAATCCCGATTCCACGAAATACTACTCTTGGATGATGCCATCTGCTGACAATGACAACTGCTGTCGCACCTTTCCAACCTCCAGCAGGCGCTCTGCCTGCTGCGAGGACAACGTCGACGATGACTCCTGCGACGCACTTCCTCCATTAAATCAAAGCATTCGGTATCATGTTTCAAGTTCCTGACCTTGATCCCAGCTGCGCGGCATCCAACATCATGGCATGGACCGGAGACGAAGAGCGTCCCTTGCTCTCACGATCCACCTCGCCAACGGAAAGAGCGAAGACGGTGTCTGGAAGCAGGACGGGAGAGGGCGTGACGCGCTCTGTCGAAGACGATGTGCTACCGGAAACCTCGATCCTAGGGCGAACGCTCAACTGGCCGAGCGCGTATATTCTCGTCATCTCGCGTGTCATCGGCAGCGGCATTTTTGCGACACCTGGAGTGATCGTGAAATCTGTCGGCAGCGTCGGGCTTAGCCTCACCCTCTGGGTCATCGGAGCCGTCATTGCAGCTTGTGGTCTGGCGATCTCCTTGGAATACGGGTGTATTCTCCCTCGGTCCGGCGGCGACAAGGTCTATCTAGAGTTCACGTACCGCAAACCGCGCTTTCTCGCATCGACTTTGGTAGCCGTTCAGGCGGTGCTCCTCGGATTCACGGCCAGTAACTGCATCGTCTTTGCGCAGTATACGCTGTTTGCGTTCAACGTGGAAGGAACCGATTTTTCGCGCAAGTCGCTAGCGGTCGGTCTGCTCACAGCGATTACTATTGTGCATGGCTGCTTCCTTAAGACCGGAATTGCTGTCCAGAACTTCCTTGGATGGCTCAAGGTTGGGCTCGTGGTCTTCATGGTCTTTGCCGGGCTCTTCGTGGTCATGTTCAGACCGGCGGACTCAGGGCAAAGTCACTTTCCAGGGGGAGCAGATCTTTGGAGGGATACGGAGTGGAGCTGGGGCGTCATCTCTACTGCTCTCTTCAAAGTCTTCTATTCCTATGCCGGCCTAAGCAACGTCAACAACGTCCTCAATGAGGTCAAGGATCCGGTTCGAACACTGAAGTCGGTATCAATAACGGCGCTGCTCACTGCATGCGTTCTGTATCTTCTAGTCAACGTCGCATACTTTATCGTAGTTCCCCTTGATGAGATCAAGGGGAGCCGGGAGCTAGTTGCGGCCCTCTTCTTCGAACGCTGTTTCGGACCGGGGCTAGGCAAGATGATACTGTCGTTGGCGGTGGCGCTATCGGGCGCTGGAAACGTTATGGTGGTTACCTTCGCTCTGGTGAGCACTCACAGATATTCCTTCAGAATGGCTTACTGAAACTATTTAGGCTCGGTTAAACCAGGAAATTGCTCGTCAAGGCTTTCTTCCCTGGTCGGAGATTCTCGCTTCTTCGCGACCATTTGGTGCGCCTATGGGCGGTCTGATAGTGCATTACATTCCCTCACTCCTAGTCATCGTCGTGCCGCCATCCAGCGAAGTCTACTCCTTTATTCTGGAGGTCGAGGGCTACCCTGGCCAACTGTTCGCTCTGGCAATCTCGATCGGTGTGCTATGGTTACGATACAAGCGGCCAGACTTGAAGCGACCATTCAAGGCTTGGATCGGAGCAGTGGTCTTCAGAATCGCGCTCAGCATAGCTCTATTGGCTGCACCGTTCTTTCCTCCCAAGCATAGAACAGGAGGAATTTGGTACGCTACGTATGCCGTAGTAGGGATCAGCATGTAAGTCGTCTAGATTTTTTGCTGCGATGGTGTACTGATTGATCGTAGTATCATATTTGGCATCATTTATTGGTACGTCTGGATCAAACTCATACCAAAGTGGAGGGGGTACCGTCTTGAAGAGGATACCAGTGTGCTCGATGATGGCACTACGATTACCAAACTCGTTCATGTTCCTAGATAATCCGAGTAATGTTGGTATCTCACTGGGGGCGTCTGGCGAGCCCCATTTCCGATTGATCCCCGGGTAAAGGAGAGCTTCAGTGCCACACCATGATAATCACAAGGACTGCGCCGGTCTACCCATTTTCGTACTACAAAATGCGATACGTATGCCGCTTAGAAATACAGCGTCTACTAATCTGACAGCTATGCTCTGATGCGTGTCGTGAACTGATAGCACGCTGCATTTATCAGCATGCACGTCGTTCAAACGACTACTGCTAACGCAAAGAGACTGGCTGCCGAGTCCAGCGCCTACGAATATGCAACACATCAACAGTGGGCTCTTTCCAACGGACGAACAACGGATCGTCTGATCGTGCATTCAGCTTTGAAATCGATCACGGAGGTTTCTTAGCCGATTGCGTGCTTGCGGGGAAGCAGGGGGAGTCGTACATACTACCCAAAGCGCCATGTCAGAATGTCAGACACCACGTTTGAACATATAAGAAGGCGCAAAACCACCGCCCAAGTAACCCCCTCTCAAAAGCAATATCCTCGAATTCAACCCAACGCATACCAATCGAAGTACCATCAACATTTACTCCCAACATGGCGACAGCAGCAGTCCAGCACCCGCAATCACCGCCCTCCTTCCCCCACCAAATCCTCACCAGCACATCCAACCCGCCCGCCCCCGAGCCGCAAGACGTCGCCACAGTGCTGCACTACCACAAGCCGAACGCGGACGGCTCCCCGCCAGCCCCCACATACGTCGACCGCCCAGAGACCTACGACCGCCCCTTCGAAGCGCACCCCGTCACCGTCCGCGACGTCGCGGGCCGCGAGGCCGAGTACTCGCTCGACGGCAACGGCTTCCAGTTCCACAAGCACACGAGCACCGAGAAGGAGTTTGTCGATGACGAGAAGATAAAGGCGGAGTACTATCCTGAGACGGAGCAGCTGCTTAAGGATGTGTAGGTAGACAGACGCCTAAGCCGTCCTCCTTCCCAGATAAATGCATGAGCCCAAGCGCCCAGTCACTCTAACGAGCCGCGCAGCACCGGCGCCTCCCGCATCTTCATCTTCGACCACACGATCCGGCGCCCGCCGCCGAGCGCAGAAACCACGGACCACCGTCTGCGTCTGCGCGGCCCCGTCCAGCGCGTCCACATCGACCAGTCGTACAGCGCGGCGCTGTCGCGCGTGCCGCACCACCTGCCCGCCGAAGCGGCGGAGCTGCTCAAAGGCCGCGTGCAGATCATCAACGTGTGGCGCCCGATCAAGCCGGTGCAGCGGGACCCGCTGGCGGTGGCGGACGCGCACAGCGTGAGCGATGGCGATTTGGTGGTGACGGAGCTGATTTATCCGAATCGGAGGGGGGAGACGTATGCGGTAAGGTACGGGGCTGGGCATCGGTGAGTTGGGTTTATTTTTTCCTAGGGATGTTGGTTGGATTGGATTCCCGCGCGAAGAGGCATGGACTGGGCTGATGAGTGCGCAGGTGGTTTTATAAATCTGGGCTTGCGCCTGATGAAGTGATTCTTATTAAGTGCTTCGATTCGAAGCTGGATGGGAGGGCGAGGAGGGTCCCGCATACGGCGTTTCATGTGCCGGGGACGGAGGATAGGGAGGGGAGGGAGAGTATTGAGGTGAGGGCTTTGGTGTTCCATGAGGATGATAGTTTGGAGTGAATGGGGTGATGGGACGTTGGATGGATGCTCTTTGGATTTGGGGTAAGGAGATAGGGCATGATGAAGCCGGATGAAGGTTTAGAATCTCCTGGATATCACGTGCACTCTGTTAACCTTCTTTTTGGGGCTTTGTATCCGGCATGGGTTCTGGCGGAAGACGTGGCCTGACACTCATTATAGTAGATAATGCAGCGGGGTTTGCATATTCTCTACTAGATGACGGTCGTTGAGTACCCCACAAGCAGACAGTCCAAGTTATCCATTGGCCTGGCCTTGAAGTATCTTGCCGATGCGCATGCGAGAGCTGTCGCATCTCATCAGCGTAGGAGATTGTCCATGTAAGCTTTGAGCCGCAGATCGTTTATGGCTTAGCTGTGCATATCTTCGCTGTATCAGATCGCTGCAGCGTACGTTGGCGGTGATGGCCTCCAGGCGCCCGTATCAAGTAAAAAAGGCCAGTGTATTCGGTTCCAGGTTTGGCTTTGATATGCTGGGCATGAAAGACAGCAGTAAAATAGAGAAGATCAAGCGAAGCGCACGTATGCATGTGAACACTTGTGAACGAAGTGAAGAACTGAGGGTGTGATTGATATTTAGCGCAGGACTGAACGGGAGATTGAAAGAGGATTTAAGAAATAAAGTATAGAGAAACGGAGTATTAAGGGACACTAAGCGACTTTCGAGAACCTCCCTACCCGGATTTTACGAGCGCATCCGAACTCCAACGCTGTTGAGACAGGCTTGTACAGTGTGATGATACAGAAAGTGGAGAGAATGCAAACCGAGAATGCAAACCGAGATTGCCAAAGTGAACTCCGAGTACACACCAACGTGCTGCTAGCCTAAGAAGCGTGATCGTCCCATCTCATTTGGTATGTCCTTCTCCCGCGCGCATTCGCTAGGGAAATGACCACTTCTAGACTAGAGACCCTTTCCGCTCCCGCGTTTCCTGATTCCAAAAGCCATGAAAGCTGATCAGCCATCGTGTTTCCACGAGCCATTGTCTCTAGGCTTCTATGGCGGGACGGCGGACGACGCCGCCTCACCGCGACACCAGAGGCACACAATGCGCGCTGCTTCGGACTGAAAAGAACGTCCACAGCTGCACGCGGCTGGTGACAGGAGCTTTGCGCCACGGGAAAATTTCTTGTCCGCGCTTATCTCGCGTCGATAACAACACAAACAGAGCCAGCGATCCAGAAAGCGGGCTCTTAGAGTGCATTGACATTCCTTCGGATACCCGTTGCTGATAGATTCGCATTCTCGAAGGAAACATCTCCCGCAGAACGATCGCTTTCGTTGTTCGGTGACGTCCCAAAACGGTTGAAGTACAGGTGACGGATGAGGCGAGTCGGAGGACCGCGAAAACTGCAAAGGTCCGCTTCCCAAGTTGAAGTCGAGGATCTCGGCGACCGACTCCGGCGCCGCGTACACGCCTGCTTCGAGAGGAAGGTCGAGAAAGCCTTGATCGTGGTGTGGTTTCGAGCGTGTGGCGGACGCGTCTACCCAAGATGCAGTATCGTTGCGACCGAGGTGAAGAGGGCTGATAATTCCCATCTCTTGTGACGACAGCAGGGCAAAACCGGAGAAGTTCGGCAGTTCGTCTGGCTCGTCTGGAGGCTGGTAGTGGCTCTGATACACGCAGTGAACCCGACACTCGTCGCAAGTAGTGCGCTTGCACGATGTACAAGGCCGACTTTCGACTTCACGGTTGAGATCGTGGGTGCCGCATTGGACGTAACTAGTGCAGTCGAATTGAGTGAAGTATTTGGATTTCTTGTGTAGCGAATTCCGGAGGCGGACTCCCTTGCCGTCACACGCCATCTTTTTGAGGAGGGTCGAACGGCTATCTTTGCTCGAAAAGATCATCCTATGGGCGGCCTTCGATGTCGCTGCAAGAGCGAAAAGATCCTTCGGGAATAGGTAAGATGTTATGCCTGACAATAAGCCGTACTGTTGGAGAGCTTGCAGCAGCCGACATGGTTCCTTGGCAGCGGTGTCGGTGACGACGTTTGATGGTTTCTTCTGCGGGGCCATAACGGCTATGTCCTGGGACCTCTTTCTTTTCTTCATGGTCTCGAATTGGTGGGACCCGGAATGAGCGCTGGGGCGCTGCGGCGGATGCAGCATGTGCACTGACGTGGGAGACAGCGCGTTCAGGACATGCGAGGCCGGATGGTCTTTCCTGCGTAGATTTGTCTTTTCTGCAGCGCCACAAGAGAAGGCTCAGCCAAGGACTCGCAAGATGTATAAACAGAGTAAATCAACGGCGACTGAAGATAAGCAAAGTGAAGAGCGCATGTAGACATGCACGTGTAGGTGAATGAAAGGAAGATCTGATACTTGCCGCTAAAATGCTGTAGAGTAGCGGAAAGTTTGGAGCTCTCAGAGATATAATTAAGCCTGGAGTCAAACGAGTGCGGTAGGGGACGAGGCTTGTTTTCACACCGGGCAGTCGAGGCGGATGGCAGCCGGAGGACGGAGGAATGAAAGCGCAGCTTAAAGGCTCGACATCACAGCGGTCAATAGAAATCTCGACACGTACATGTTGGTCTCCGTCCTGCTTGTCGAAGCGCTCAAAGCGCCTGCTTCTGAACGCTTTGCGCGCTTTTCACATCAGGGTCCATGGCAGAGAGAAAATTTTTCGGGCAGACTCGGGAAGTGCGCCTGACCCGAGGGGAGTCGGTAAGACGGAAGAAAGGTCGGCGCAACGATCAACCTTAGACCGATTGTCACCGAAGATGCTTGTCTTGAGTAACATGTGCTGGTTTTGCAGAATCGTCGTCTGCGATGATGAGTCGGCGCAGATGCGGAGATGGGTTGGTTTCCGTAGACCCTTGTCAGAACTTATGTAAGCAACACCGCTTCAGCTAAATGCCGCGGCCCGCGCAACATTCATTCCATTCCTCTTCCTTGACCAACACGTTCTTGCATCGTATCTATTGCAGAGTGTCGGAGTACCCGCAACTCACTTCATTGAAATGGCTTCACCGCGTCCGGCTGATCTCCTGATTAGAGGTTGCCCGGGCATCCTGTGGACATCAGCACCACGATTCTGAGAGACATCACGCCACACTTCAATAGTTCCCATCAATTGTCTCGATTTCATGGCTAGTCTCTTCTGTTGTTTTGTCTGTTGATTCACTCATCTCCTGGACCAAGGCCCCCTTGTCCGCTCGCTTCCTTTCCCAACTTTACTCCTTCGAGGGGATGTCGTAGCAGCACCCAATGTCCAAGACGTTGTAGAAGGTGCAGTCTCTTTGGACCCAGAAACCGCCCAAATCGTAGCACTTCGGCTTGGTCGTGCAGATACCGGATGGATCGGAGCGGCCGCAAGGAGCCGGGTATGGGTCCTTTGGAGAGGCAAGCGCGACGGCGAAGAGGGCGGCGACGATAGCGAGCTTCATGTTCGCTGTTTGGGTTTGCGGCGGTCTGGAGGGGTGGCTTTGATCGTTGGATTCTCGATGGGATGGTCGAAGTTCGACAATGGTAACGTTGTAAAGAACTGAGAGCTTGGTACTGATCCTACTCCGGCAGCGTCGATCTCTCAATTTATATATCCAGGAACTCTCGCACCACCACGGTCGATGACATCGAACACCTGCGTCTGCGCATCTACAACACGAGGTAAATATAGCGCAGCTTCCAGAGTGCGACCACTCCAACGACGACGACCAATACATTCGCAAGGATGGGAAACGAATTCCCAACCTGCACTAAGAAGTGGTAACATCAATATCAACCCGTCTATCAACGTCTCGTATACGGCTACGTTCGGCTTCGCGAAAGCCATATCTACATTGGCATTTCATCAATGCAAATTGCATGACATCACTTAGCGAGATGCACGACGGAACGACCCCGGATTTCTCGACCATGCTCTCGCGATAGTCACGATAAGGCTATTTCGACCGTTCTTCCAGATTGCCTGTCCTCGTATTCAAAGCCTTCGCTTCGAACGACAGGATGGCCGTTGCGCAACGACTATGGGGAACACGACTTCACCATTCTTCCACATATGTGACCTATGGAAATCGCTGTTTCGCTTCAACTACAGTAGCCATTTCTTGAGCGACCGGCAAATTCTATAAATAACCTCGCCAATATATATGATTTGGCCGATTCCTACCAAATGGCCGAATACTGAGTTCTGATTGGCTGGAGCCCACCAAGTCCACGCCCTACTTTGAGCGCTGGCGAATCTATGGACGCCTGATAGTACCTTGGAAAACCGGCACGAGCAAAAGCACGCAGCCACGGAAATCCTCGCACGTTCACATTGCCATGCCAAATCAGATTGCGATAAGCGATTTTAGTCAAAGGTACAATGCCAACTTGACGTGTTCATCCTGATATAAGTTGAACGCACTACGTGATAGAGAGCGCGAGTTAGGAGAATAGTAACCTTGTGGCCCTCGTTTCCGGTGAATATTACTCCCTGTTGACTATACTAGCAGGAACTGGGTTGGATTTCCGAGCATTTCCCTATCAAGCGCGCCGTCGATACCTTCGATGTGGCAGCCCCCAATAAGAGAAAAGCTCTGCTCTCTACCACATGTAGTGGAAGCGGTAGTGGACGGCCTAATCACGAAAGGCTTGTCCTCTGGCGCGAAGAGTACAATGATATCCCCGACCTCTGTGTCGTCCGGGCAGTTCATCAGCTCTTCCTTCTCGCTTATGAAAAGAGAACGGCCTTTCATCATCCCGATCAGTTGCTTGGTACAGGATCGCATCTGCAGTATGAAGTCCGTGATGCTGGATGTCTTTGTCCCTGATTCTTGAGCTTCGTTGTCATGAGCAGAAGACTCGTCGCTCTTGGGTTCGAAAACTGCATTGCTGTTCAATTCCTTCGTGCTCTGCTCCTTATTAAATAGGAGATCAACAAACTTCTTTGGCGGGTAAACACCGCTACCCACCCAACGCTCCTCTTCCAAGTTCACGTAATCGAAGAAAGTAGTATACCGTGAAGCATCCGAAGTCAGGTCTGTCACTGTGCCAGTAACTCGTTCCTTTCGCAGACTGATATAGGATCTCCACCACTGCTGGATGGTATGCTTCAGCTGCTCAAAAGAGAATATCTCAGAAACGACACCTGTCTTCTTTGACACGATACTGTGCCTCCAGCCTTGAAGGTACAAAATTTTCTTGTCGTCGGACACTTTCCAGTCATCTTCTTCGCCACCGGCTTCGGAAGGTGAACTCGACACTGATGAAAAGCGCATATCGACCCTCCAGTCCGGGACCCAGGACGGAATATTGGCGGCAGTCCTTTCGTCAGGCCTGAATGCTCCAGCGCTGTGTAGTATCTGTCCAAGTCCCCAGGGAGTACGTTCCATCAGTTTCAGGGCTAGAGTGGTGTATACCTGCTCGGCGCCATCCTCATAGTTGATTGGTATCTCGGTTGTGTAACGCCTGCGCCTTTTGTGGGCGTGATCAACATCAGGCTTCGATACGAGATCGTCACTCAGTCCGAGGAGAGCGTAGATCCTGTCCCTATCATCGGAACATTGCGCGGCATGGTAGGTATGTAGTAGTTCAAGGATTGGAAACCTGGGGCCTACAGAGCTCATGCCTCTTTGAGACCTCGAGTCCTGGTGCGCTGCAAGAGACTGGAGTATACTAGTGATGTGATCGTCCATCATGCACCGTGGATCGAAGACGTGTCCTTCCCGCTGCTCATAGAACAAGTTTATGATGTTGGCGCAAAGAGCAAAGTCGAAAAAGCCCATGGTTGTAGAACCACAACGGATGATCGGTTTCGCTGCTAGTGCTACCTCCTGGATTATCCAGCGTCTCTTGAACCAGGGTCGCAAAAAGATCTTTCGAATAGCTGCAAGATCGCGTCTGCCGAAAGTCTCGCAAATGCTCTTCTCAAGGGTTTCGATTGCCCCCGGATCCGAGTCTAGATATATTGCACGTTCGAATCCGCCAATCATGCTGTCCACTCGCCAAAACTCCTCAATGTTCTTCGTAAAGAAGAGAAGAACTTTCGACGCATCATCATAATCCTCACCGACCCAAGCGATTACTTGGCGAGCCCTGCGATAGATCTCAGACATAGCTCGGACTTGGCGGGATTTTTCATCGGTGTCCTCTTGGTTGATGCACACGGCGTCGACCCATAACTTTCTCGTCCCTGAAGGCTTTCGAAGAGCGCGGAGGAGCGCATCCAGAGAGGACGCGATTTGAATATGTTCATCATCACTATCGCAGAAGAGGGTCCCCGTGAAAATGGGCGTCCCCCACGCGTAAGAGACTGCCTCGCAGGAGAATGTCTGCTCCTGGCAGTGCTTCAGGTCGCAACGGAGGGGCGCAGCGTGATCTGTGGCGGGGTGAAGTAGCAGGATGCGAGTGAAATCGCCGTGTTCGAGAGGATGGTATTTATATGGCTTCATCGCCACAATATTGGAATGACTAGATTGGATATCCAACAGCAACCGGAATGGTCTCTGGGCCCGGTGGCTTGGCATAGAAAATTTGCGGAAAGGCTTGGCAAAGAGGTCCGAGCAGACAGGAGATTTTTCCGTTTTGCAGCCGACCTCCATCGAATGCCAAAGAGAGTAATACTTGCTGTAGCACCATAAGACTATAAGCCACGCTAGTTGTCGCGATATCGAGATTCCTTAGTACCAGGATATTACATTTATTTAAGCGGAGACTTCGCGCGCCCTGGGTTATTACTTTCTTGCTCGATGCTTCGGACGGAACTGTCAGAAGATAAAGTGTAATAAAATCAGAGACTCAATTGGAAGAGAGCTAGTAAAGATTTAGGATTGTGAAGCGTGATGAAGTTAGTTATAGGTAACAGTACTAGATTCTAGAGGCCCGCAGGAAGAGACGAGCAGAGTCAACACCAAAGTATCCCCAAATCCTAATATCGCTCTGGTCGAGTAGCGGAAACTTGAACTCTTGAAATAGCCAAGCCTCGATTCACCTGGCAAAATACGCTGAACGAAAAGTGCCAACGAAAAAGCCCGTAGTCAAGAACGAGACTAGTCCGAGTCCTCCTGTGGAGCGTAGAGTGTAACTTGGCCGGTAAAGAAGATCACGATCGAAATGATGGCAACAATCGTAAACGTGAGCGCAACCTGTCGCCCATCCACAATTAGCAACTCAACGCAAGGAGAAGAGCGGCAGCATACCTTCGAGTCTGGACCCCACCAGGACGCATGGTCAAGGTGTCTTGTCGCACTCCATACATGCAGAAACATGCCGAAAATCATGCAGATAGTAGCCGTGGTTAGAAACATGACGGGCATTTGCCAGGTATATATCTGGGCCGTACTGGGGCGTAGCTGTCCCGGCTTGTGCTTTCCGTTCGACTTTGCCAGGAGCTTTCTGATGTTGCGATATCCATCACGGTGGGAAGAGAGGCGGTAGAGGCGGACGGTTTGGTCCGCCGCCGTGAGGATACTGAACAGGGAGAGGATGATACCGCAGTACCACGAAGTCCGAACGGGCCAAGGAGATTTTCCGCCGTTGGGGAGAATGTCTGGCCAGGATCCGGTGGATGTTAGGACCCCAGCAAGTAAGGCAGCCTAGCACTAGTCAGCTTCGAACCTATACATGTACTGGAATCTGTCGTGCTTCGATTTTGGCAGTTGAGGTAGGTAAAAGCTCAGGTAAAGTCACGTGATCAAACTATCCGCCGGGAACAATAACGTACCACAACTCCCACGAAGCCCAGTTCATTTAATCTATTGTCTCTCCATTTCTCAGTCAGTCGGTCCCTCTCCTCCACATCCTCGGTATTCAGCAAAATCTCAATCGGTCCGTACGTCGACGCATCGGGCGCATAGATCCCTCCCCAAAGGAAATTGAGAACTTTGGGGAACCATCGCTTTCGCGTCCTCGTTTCCGGACCACTGGAGTTGTGGCTAAGCAATGGTGTGCGCTGGTCGGTCGGGTCTTCAGGATCCGAGTACGTCATTGTTCGGGAGGATTCTCGGGACGACTGGGGATGCGAATGCGAATTGGAGGAACGCAACATGTGGCCGATTATGCTTTCTAGGGTTCCTAACCACCGATAAATGGGAGCCGAGCATGGATGAAGAAGGCAGCCTCTGCGTATGATATACACTGGCAAGTATGTGGCTTTCTGTGGTGTGCGAAGTACCGTGACCAATGACGTAGCGGTTGTGCAGCTCAAGCAGCCAATCGGCGGCGTGCTTGACGGAAAGCATGACCGGTGAACACTTGGTATCGCGTTCGGCGGTTGCCAAAGAGATATTCGGAAAGATGTCTTGGGGAGCAAAACGTCTAAGAGTTGGTGTTTGAGGCGGCATCGGCAGGTCGTGCCTGCACCCTCGCAAAGGGCCCACAAAAAGCGCCTGCAGTGACGTGCAGATCAAAGTCAGCACAACCTTCTCTACTCTTACGATTCCTCCTCCACACAAAGTTGACATGGCTTGCGGCGCCGCAATCGCGAACATGTCTTCTCGTACGAACGCTGAGATGCGCGGTCTGCACATCGGCACGGATAGGCATGCGTGGTGGAAGGAGGCTGTTGTCTATCAGGTATGATTTGAGAGATGCGAATGGCGGGGACACTGCGCTGATGTTGGGTATAGATATATCCCGCTTCCTTCCTCGATACGAACGGAGACGGTTGGGGCGATGTGCCGGGTATCACAAAGAAGCTGGATTATCTCAAGGATCTGGGCGTCGATGTTATATGGGTATCACCGAGTAAGCTCGGCAGAAAGCATCTTGACTATATTGGCGCATAGTATTGACTGGAAAATAGTCTATAAAAGCCCGCAGGCGGACATGGGCTACGACATCGCCGACTATGAAGATATCGACCCTAGTTATGGGACACTATCGGACGTCGACAACCTCATCAAGGAGATCAAGAAGCGCGGCATGAAGCTGATAATGGATCTGGTGGTCAATCACACCTCCGATCAAGTATCTCCCCCCGTCTCTCAACCGCTCCACTACGGCTAACCACGCGCAGCATGCATGGTTCCTAGAGTCTCGCTCCTCCAAATCGTCCCCCAAGCGCGACTGGTACATCTGGAAAGCCCCCAGGTACGACTCACAAGGAAATCGCCAGCCACCCAACAACTGGGCGCTTCTCCTCGGCGAAGCGAACTCCGCCTGGACATGGGACGAGAACACGCAGGAATACTACCTCTCGCTCTTCACGCCTGAGCAGCCAGACCTCAACTGGGAGAACCCTGCTGTGCGCGAAGCGGTCCACAACATCCTGCGCTTCTGGCTCGACCGCGGTGCGTCCGGCTTCCGCATGGACGTCATCAACCTGATCTCGAAGGTGCAAACCTTCCCAGACGCGGAGGTGCTAGCACCAAGCCATGCATACCAGCCGGGCGACAAGTTCTTCGCAAACGGTCCGCGATTGCACGAATTCCTGCAAGAAATAAACCAGAAAGTGCTCTCCAAGTACGACACCCTCACCGTCGGCGAAATGCCCTTCGTCCGCGACGAAGACGAGATCATCAAAGTCGTCGGCGCCGAATCAGGCGAGCTGAACATGATATTCGCCTTCGATCTCGTCGACATTGACAACGTGCCCGGCGAGTTCACATTCACGCTGCATCCGTGGAACGCGCGCGATCTGAAGCGCTGCGTCGCAAGACTGCAGCGGCTTATGCTGGAAAGAGATGGATGGAACTCGCTCTTCGTCGAAAACCACGACCAGCCGCGCAGTGTCTCGCGGTACACGGACGACAGTGACCAGTGGCGCGAGTACGGCGCCAAGCTGCTCTGCTTGCTGCAGACTACGCTGGCGGGCACTCTGTATGTGTATCAGGGCGAGGAGATTGGGATGCGCAATGTGCCCGAGAGTTGGGGCCCGGAGGAGTACAAAGACATCCAAAGCATTAATTTCTTCAAAAAGTGCGTCACCTTGCTTCTTGGTAAAAGGGTGTCACAGCTGATGAGTCCAGATACAACGAGATGTACCCCGATAACCCGGAGAAAATAGCCCTGGCGCGGAAAATCATGCAGCGCAAAGCGCGAGACAACGCGCGCACGCCCGTGCAATGGACCGCGGACCCGCACGCAGGCTTCACCTCACCTTCATCGAAGCCCTGGATGCGCGTAAATGACGACTACAAAACCGTAAATGTCGCTGCGCAGCTCGCCAATCCGAATCCCCAACCCGGCACGCTTTCCGTGCACAGCTTCTGGAGGCGCGGACTGGAGCATCGGAAGAAACATAAAGAAGTGTTTGTATACGGAGACTTTGAGCTTATCGACGCAGAGCATGAGAGCGTGGTTGCGTACAAGCGGTGGAGCAAGGATACGGCGTGTGTCGTTGTGCTGAACTTCAGTGGGGAGACGGTGGAGTGGGATGGGATGGGAGAGATGAGCGTTAAGCGGTGGTGGGCGGGGAATTATGATGAGCGTGAGTTGGGGAAGAAGAGCACGGGTGGGAAGATTGAGCTTAGCCCTTGGGAAGGGCTGATTGGGGAGTTGGAATAGGCGTGCGCCTGATGTAGGGGGGGGGGGGGGGGGGGGGGGGGGGGGGTGCAAGTTCGCACATGTTCCATTATTAGAACTCCAGAGCGCGCTGATATGCCCACGGTCATATCAAAGCCGGATGCAAGCTTCCTTATTCCTCGCCACTATGTTCCATCGATGTTGCGCTAGGATAGCAAAGAACCTCCGCATTCACGAGCCCCTCCTCTTCTCCACCCTCCCAGTGATTTTCTTCTCGAACACATCCGGATGCAGATTCCTGCCCGTCTTGTCCTTGAATCTCCACGCGACCCGATCCCACACCATCGCGCAATCTTGCTGCAGGATCCTCGCAATCAGCCTCAAGTCTTGCTGTGAGAAGGTGTCGTCCGGCGAGACCTTGATCTCGATAGACCGGCCGTTGCTGTGATTCTGGGATGGATGCACAGAGCCGGCGACCGAACCATGCTTGGAGCCAAAGACTTTCTTGGAGTTCGACTGAGACGGTGCTTTGACGGAGTGCTTGCTGGAGTGCTTGGCGGAGCCGGCCTTTGAGGCGGGTTTGGAAGCTGATTTGGTAGCAGGGGCTCCCCAAGCGTCGACGGCGTTGCTCCATCCAGTATCCTTTTTGTTGTTGGAATTGTTTTTCTCGGTGTTCCACGCGTCGCCGGCGGCACCATTGCCTCCTCCGTTATTGTTGTTCGAGCCCCATGCGTCGCCAGCAGCCGCTCCAGTTTGGTCGTTGGAGCCCCATGCGTCCCCAGCCGCTGCTCCAGTATTGTCGTTCGAGCCCCATCCATTATTGTTGTCACCACCAGTTTTGCTGTCCCATGCATTGTCCTTGCCGCCTCCTGTAGCATCGTTGTTGCCAGCCGTCCAGTCGCCTCCACCGGCATCCCAGCCTCCGCCGTTGTCACCGGAATTGCTCTTGTTTTCGCCGGAATCGCCGGCGTCGTTGTTGCCCCCAGCATTGCCCCCGAAGGCGTCCCCGAATAGATTATCATTGTTCCCATCACCACCGGCGTTGCCGTCGCCGGCACCCCAAGCAGCGTCCCCAGTTCCCCATGCACCAGACGCATCGGCGCCACCGTTGTTATTGTCATTACCCCAGGGGTTTGCGGCATCGCCGCCACCAGATGCCGCCTCTTTCTTCCCTTCCTGCTTATTCTCCTGGGTATGGTTCCTGCCCTTGCTCTTTTTCCCTTCGCCGCCGCCCCCTTTGTTCTTGCCCTGGGCATTGGCTGGCTTCCAGTCTTTCGGCTTGACAGCGCCGAAGCGCTGTTTGCATGCACCGGCATCTTTGCCGATCTCTTCTCCAATCTTGGCCCACGATAGGTTCGCATTAGCGCTCTTCAACTCCAGAAGCTTTTCGTCCTGCTCCTTCGTGAAGCCATGTGCGTTGTTTGCTTCCGCTGCCCCATCCCCACCCCCGGTATCGCCCCCTCCTGCATCGAACCCACCCAGTAAGTCGCCAAGGCCGGCCAGGTTGTCCTCCGCGTCGCCTTTCTTCGAAGCGGCCTTGTATGAGGTCGCCTTCTTTGACTCAGCTTTCTTCGACTCCGGCTTCGCAGCAGCTTCCTTGACTGACATGGGCTTTGATGGAACCTTCGCTAGATTGCCTGCAGTAAGACGACGCTTGCCATCGCCGGTAAGTGCGCCTCTGCGACCATCGCTAGCCGCCCATTCAATGACGGCGCCGGGCGTGGTCATCTGCGCAATTGCAATTAGCACTATATCCTGTACTGGAGAACTTCAGCGTACCATCCGGACGCATTCGCTCGGTTTCGGGGGCTTTGGCGGCGGCGGCGGCGGCTTAGGCTCCTTGAAGGGCTTGTTGCTGAAGCCAAGGATATATGCCATGGAGACGCGTCGGGGAGGCGGATTGGACGTCATGGCGGAGGTTGGGGCTCGAGTAGAGATTTGAGAGGGTGAACGACAGGCGTCGGGCGGACGAAAGAGCTCAGCGAGAAATTCCGAAGAAGTTTAGAATGAGAAAGCCAGACAGCATGCTGGCCAGAGCCTTTGGAGTCGGCGGGCGTGGTGGTGAGGTAAAAGTGAGTGCACGCAGGGTCGTCTTGGCAACGAACCATTTGACGGTGGCGTCGCGCAAGGCAACGCTAAAGAAGGCTTTGACGGAGAAAAATACATGAAAGAGCGGCACATGGCCGGTGCTGTACACACAATAAGATGCGGTATTGCGGTCCATGGAAAGCTTGCATAAGGAATAACGAAAAATCACCGCGTAGCCGACGGAAAGTCGTTCGCGGATTCAATACAATAAGAAAGGCATGTATTATAAGTCGATAATACGAGATACCAGGTGCTTTGAACATAATAATCAGAGAAATAAGGCAATAGGGTGTACTCAGCGTTGAGGCGAGTTGCCTAAGAATGATAGTGGAGGAATTGAGCAGGGGCTGCCCGTGACGTTTTACCTATTTAGATTTTCTAGGGCTTGCATTTAGCCATGTTTGTGCCCTTCTTTTACTATGTTGCCTCGAGCACATGCACCGCTGCTCGAGGTCCTTGGGCGGCATGATCCTAGCCCGACCGCCATAAAGCTGCCTCCCAGAAAAGATATGGACCATCGTCGAGGATGCGGACTAGAGACATGATGATGCGCGCAGGAGACAGTTTGGAGTATGTCTGTGAAAGGCGGTCGCGCCTGAGACAAGATGATGTCTAGCTACCACGGGCCGACGTTTCTCCGACCCATTCCAGCTGGCAACTTCGAGACCCTGGCGCATCTGCAGAAGTTCGGCCATCGCGCACAACACGGCCAGAGCAGCACAACGACCGACGCAAACATGCTGTTCCCCTCGTTCGGCTTCCTCGCTGCGGCGGGCAGCCTGCTATCCCTCGTCGCGGCACACAACATCCAAATGAAGGCGCACATGCGCGAATGCTTCCACGAGCAGCTGCACAAGGACGACAAGATGACGGTCACGTTCCAGGTTGGCGACCGTGAGTTTGGAGGGAGCGGAAACCTGGAGATTGACTTTTGGGTGCGGCAATTGCTCACAGCGAGAGTGTCTAGGCCATGTGCTAATCAGTGGCTGTAGATCGAGACTCCCTCGCGCGGCTACGTAGTCCACGAACGCGGCGTGTCCTCGGGCGACCATTCCTTCGTTGCGCAAGAAGACGGCAAATACACATACTGCTTCAACAACGAGCATTGGGGCGCGAATACGAAGGAGGTCTCGTTCAACGTCCATGGCATTGTCTACGTACCGGAGTCGGAAGCGCCGCAGGATCCGCTGGAGAAGGAGGGTAGGTGGAAGCATGACGCAGACAACAGAAAAGGGATAGCTGACTATGTTGCAGTGCGGTCATTGTCGGAGCTCGTGGCGCAGGTCAAGGACGAGCAGGGCTACATTGTCGTTCGAGAGCGCACGCACAGGAACACGGCCGAGAGCACAAACGCGCGTGTCAAGTGGTGGAGTATTTTCCAGCTGTGCGTCTTGGCCGGAGAGGGCGTCTTCCAGGTCTGGTGGTTGAAGAGGTTCTTCGAGGTGCGATAGCGTCATCCCCATGCCCAACTCAATCCGTCCAGGCTGCGAAGCTGACAACTGCGTTAGGTCAAGCGCGTCGTGTGAGAGTCGTCAGTTATCCGTTTCGTTCTAAACCCCATCCAGCATTCGAGTCTATTGCCGCTTTGGTACCTGTAGTTGGGAAAGATTTGCATAATTATCTGTCTTGGCGTTTAAGCGCTGCCACGCGAAGCTGGCGACACAGGACGGAGTCAGGCGGACCTTTTGGCTGTAGCATCACTAGAGCGGGCATATCATGGGCACCTTGCTGGCATCATTCGAATATCGCTTGTTCAGTCATGACTCATGTGATTGGTGAGTCCCAGTCATTCACGTTCTTCCCCCAGGAGTCATAGTGGGAGTGGCAAGTATAAATCGTCGGTTCGTATTGGAGTCTCCGCTCTTCTCTCGATCCCTCATATAGACGCTCGACCCCTAAGGCAAGAGCAAAGGAGCTTCACTCGCGCTAGCTCAATCTCCCTCGCAGACGTGCGGGGCCAGGTGAAGGAGTTCACCAGCAGTTGCTATCGCTCCGGCTTCAACACCGGCGAAGCGGTATATGTCCGTTGCCACGGTAGCCGTACCTGCCTTCACTCGACCGCTCTTTGCGCTTCCGACGTCACCCGCAATTTCCCGTCGACGACCTCCCCGCCGACTATAAAACACCAACGCTCTTCCACCAACCATGGCAAGGCTGGAAGGCTCAATTCATTCACACGCACGGATGCAACAGTCTCGCCATGCACGATCCCGACATCAACGCAGCCGGCCACGGGCCCGCGCACGCGCCGGCCGACGACAACGTGGTGAACGCCTCCAGGCCTAATTATTCGGAGCCACATGACCTCGACGCGGGCGCGCCTACCGTCCCGTATCAAGCCAACCGTCAGTATCCAATACTCCCGCCCCCATGGAGTGTAGCACCAAACCTACCTGCTCTCTCAACCGCCATAGCTCCAGCAAACAACGCTGCCAGCGCATTGCCGACCCCGCCATCACAGAGCGAGAATGCCTTCAGCCCATTATTCGAATGGCACGCGAAAGAGCAGGCAGAGAGCGCTGGAAGTGAATGCAACCAGCCTCTCCCTACGCAGCATGCGCCCAATCAACGCCCACACTTCCGAGATCCAGCTTCTGGATACTACCCGCGGGAGCCTCAATGGTATACAGGCCACGCCAGGGGATTCCCCTACCAGCCCCCAATTTCACCGCCTCAGCAGTATCCGGCATGGAGTCCTTCACCCTATAATGCTGCGCCACGGAAACTCCCACCTCTTGTTGGCCACATTCCGCAGCTTTCATCAGACGTCCAAGAGCAAACTTATCCGTATGGCGCCCCGCAGGATCCCATACGTCCCATTTTTGCTCACGAGCCTGAGTTCAGTCCTATGGAGGGGGGAGTACGAAGTCTGCCACCTATTCAAAACTGGCCGGTTGGATCACCACGTCAACAGCCCGGCCTTTCTTATGTGGACGGCATCGCAGCTGCTACGCATCATTCCAACCAAGTTCAGCAAGGTACGTCGACTCAACACGTAGCTCCTTCCGACCAAGTGAGTAAAAGGCGATTGGATAAGCGATCCCTCCGCAAGCAAGAGGCCTACCGAAGGAAGGCGGAGGAGAAGAAGCGGCCCATATCCGACGGCTCCGCGGGCTCAAAGGCGCCTAAGCCCCGCGCCTCCAACGCAGCTAAAGCTAACGACCAAGATGGCGCGAATGCAAGGATACAAGACTTCAACCGTAGCATCAGGCGCAAAAGGCTCCCGGGGACGCAGCAGCTGACACAGCCAACCTGCCCGCCAGGCGCTGCAGCACAGAATCACGCCCATGAGGGGTCACCATATGCCGATGCCAAGTTCGGGCCGTACGCCTCCACGCCGCCGTCGGACATACCAGCCTATGTATCTCCATATGACCACGGGCAGGTTCACTTCGGTCAAGGAGTCTTGATACCTTCACACACTCATCAGCCAATGCCCTACCCTCCGGCTCCCAGGCAGCCGACCTGGGATGACTTTGAGCAAGCTATCGTGGCGGATTACGACCAGTACAAGTGGTCTGTCAGACTCTACCAAGTCGACACAGCCAAGACTGGCTACGATTTCGCCCAATCGTGGTTGGAGGACCAATTCACTACTCTCGACTTCACGTACCGCTGGGCAGCTCATACCTCGTACGGCTTCGTAAAAGGCGGTGATCGCCTGACTTTCCTTGTTCTGCACAATGCCGCGAATCCTTTCCAATTGGGTGGACCCCCGCAAACAACCACGTCCATCGGAGTGTACGGCTGCTATTGGTACGAACACAGCGAGATCCACTGGAAAACCTTCGCACCTGGCTTGCGCTCTTTAATCGAACGAGTCGAAGCCGCAGGACTCATCAAGGAAGTGCAGAAATGGCACATCGGCATGAAAGCCACCGAGAAACGCTTCCACCGCGCGTACTGGCTCTGTGCCAATCGGATCCGGCTCGGCAACCTTCTCCCAATTCGCCTGCATCTTGACGCCCCGCACAATGGGGTCGAGGACGATGTTGACGACTTCCAAGTCACTGAAGCTGATCTTAGCAACCACTGGGCCGACGTTTCCTACGAGGACACGCTTCGGGCGTGGGAGTACGTCCTGGACGAAGCGAGCAAGCCGCCGCCGAAGGACTGTGATCATGTGGCTACTTGGTCGACAGAGTGGTGACTGTGGGTGGCAAAGTCCGCGCCAGGAAGCCGAACCTAATGACTCTGCATGCACCACTAACGTGTCATGGGCCTAATATATCTTCAACACGGAGAGCCCGAGGGTGGCAGCTTTCCTCACACCTTCTGAAACCCTTCATAGGCATGCGGCCTCGGCATAGGCAGCGTACTGGTGGTAAGTGTGCGATCCCTGTCTCTTCTCCCTTGCTCCCACAGCATCGCGACCTGACCATGTTGCCACAGCTTTCAAGGAGGAATTTCGGCCGATGAGGGACGTCGGCGGTTTCCAGTATATTGGAGGGGGTTTGGGAGCGGATCTAGTTGGCGTTCTCCATCTTTCACATGTACGGTGAGGAATTTCTGCTATGGAGGTCGGGGGTCTCGCCATCGATAGCGTCAGAATCACGGCACGCGGGGATACATGCTCGCCTCTGAAGGGAGTCGAAGGCAATGGCATTCATTGAACGGGACTGCCTACACCATACAGTATCCAATGTTTCTAAAATGGGCCAAAGCCCATCTCCACAACAGCCAACCCACGACTACAAATCCAAAATAGGCCGAAACTCGTAGCACCTCTTTCCAATGGCCTCACTTGATACCTACTCTAACTCCTCCTCATGCAAACTCAAAGTTTCCACGCTGCCCTCCAACCCCGTACTTTCCCCCTGGAGCAGACTCGCCTTTTTTCCCTTCATCCTGGCCTTCCTCTTCTTGCCGCCCGTGCCCTCAACAACACTGGGCGCCTCGCGCACCCAGCGTGAAATCGCCTCGGCACGCTCCGTCGAGATGGGGTACTCGCGCCCATCGTCTTGCGCCCACCGCTTAGGCGCCGGCGCAGGAGAAGTCGGGCTGCTGGGCACGCCGGCTCCGCCGTTAGCGGTGGAGGGACCGGGCGAAGGCGAAGAGCCATTCGAGTGCGCACGAGTGCGTTGGTCGGCTTCCTCGTCTTCGCGGAAGCGGCGCTCCCGCGCGCGGACGGCGCGCTGGAAGGACTCTTCGTCCACCACTCGCTCATCGGCCAGGGCTTCAAGGATCGCTTCGTGTTTCTGGCGCTCGCGCTTCTGGCTTTCTGTTTCTTGTCTTCCTTGGCCGTTCTTGGACGAGCAGTCGGGGGAGCCTTTGCCGTGGCCGGGGAGTGGGGCGGGGCGGCAGAGATTCTCCCAAGACATGGAGAGATTGATCCAGTTTCCGGCGCGGCGAAGAACTTCGATCCAGTCTGCGCGGGCGGGGGAGCGTGCGGCGAGGAAAATGGGATAGCCGTCACAGACGCGGGCGATGCGGGCGGCGTTGTGGGCATGGCGTTGAAGCTCTTTGGGAGGAGTCTGGATGAGTGCATGGCAGAGCAAGAGGGAGTGTAGGGCATCCGTCAGTAGGGGGTGGTAGGTGATGCTCTCATGGGAATCAGCGAAGGCGGTTGCGGCTGCGGAGGCTGCTGATTCGGCGGGACTCCTTGGAGCCGGCTGAGGATAAGGAGGGAGTGAAGCTGGCGGAGCCGGCTCGAAGAGTTGCGAGACTTTGAAGATCTCGGGTGGTGGCAGCTTGGGCCAAGAGGGCCGGTCATTGGGATGGCCAAGGGACCGGCGGTGGGGCACCAGCGCTTCGGAGACAGACGCAGAAGTTGTAGACGATTCGAAGAGGCGGTGTAGAGAGGGCTTTTGACCCTCCTTTGAGTAGGAGCCGTTGGCCGCACTTCCGAGGCGGCGCAGAAATTCTTCGGCGACCTCAGCGGAGATGCCGGGTGTGTAGTCAAAGTGGGAGAGGAAGGCGGTGTAGTCTCGCAGTGCGCGCTTCGCATTCGTTCGAACTTGCTTGCGGGCTTCAAGACGGTGGGAAGTTGCTTCTGCCTCTTGTGGCGATTCAGGTGATGGTTCGTCTCCCGCTGCAACCTGGGCCTCCCTTTTCGCCTTCGCTTCTTCCGCTTCCTTTAGCCCGGCCAGGGCAGCGTGAACGTGCTGACATGCTATGGTGAAATAGACACCAGCACGATGGAACAAGAGCTGAGTTTCGAGAGAATTCGGTTGGTCTTCTTCGGCTATCTTGACTTCCTGCCTCCAATCGCGACCGTACTGCTCCTGCATAGACTTGGCCAAGATCAACTGGTCCTTGCCCGCTCGATGCTGGGCCAACATATATCGTGCCGTTACAAGTGCCTCCGACAGGTCCCTCGCAGAGTTGACGTAGTCCTCTTTGAATATCCGCGTCAGAGCCCGGGTGCGTAGCGGCGACCCGTCGTTCGGCCGTTCAGAGATGATTTCGTTCAGCGTATCCAGCGGTGTGCACTGGGCCATCATGCGCGACGGTATCTTCTCGTGGAAGAAGTGAACGTATTTCGCGTCGACGTCGGTGGGATTCCGCTGCAGCACAAGGTGCGCGACGTCCTCCAGCGTCGACGCCGACTGCATCGTGGCCACGCTCGCTGCGATCTCGTCCAGGTGGTATGCTTGGCTCAGCTTTGCCGTCGCCAGCTCGCGCATGCGGTGCTTGCGCTCTCTGCTCAGCTTCGCATTGCCGCTGCCGCCGCCGTAGCCAATGCCCAGCGCGGCGGCACTCCCCAGCATGCCATTGCCCGCGTTCAGCGAGCTGCTGAGGGCGGCGGCGGTGAGGCCGCTCGTCGCGCGCACGGCGAGGTTGGTCGCCTCGTCGACGGCCTTGCGGATCTTGACCAGGTCGTAGAAGACGGCGGGGTCGATGGGGTGCGGGCGCGGAGAGAGGTAGTTGCTGTGCGCGAGCGACTCCAGCACTTCGGGCGGGAGCTGCAGCCACGGGCCGTGGAAGGACGAGATGTAGCGCCAGTGTCTACAATGCCGCTGTCAGCACCGCCTCGTCAGGGAAGGACGCCAATAGGCCTGCCAGTGATGTGCCTCCGCAGAGACGTACTTGTTGCGGCAGATGATGAGCGCCGACGTCGAGGGCTCACCCGCCACCTTCTTCGCGCTGCCGTTCGCGGGCGGGATCGCGTCTGTCTGCGCGCTCTTCTTCTTGCGCGCCATGCTGGGAATGAGTGCGGTGCGGCGGGATAGCAATGGGGCGGCGTGCGACGGTGAGGTCTGCATCCATAAATTTCGAGCTTTCGACGGTTGCATGGCTTGGCGCCGCGGCCGGAGCTTGTCGCCCCTGGCCCGAGCTTGTCTTTTCTTCCGTCCTCACCACCCTCACTCCTTTGCTGGCCTGCCCGACGCCTGCCACCATCGTCTTCGTCGTTCTACCTTCTCGCCAGTCCTGCGCGCTTGCGCCACCGTATTTGTGCCCGTCCCGGATGTCTTTCGATACAGCAGGGGCTCGGTGCAGGAACCCGCAGCCCATGCGGAGATTAACTGAACCAGCGAGATGCACACTTTCGATCAGAGCGAGACCCCACTGCGGCTCTGCTTTAGAACGATAAAGCATTGGCTAGGCTTTGGGTAGGTAACCTTGGAGCCACGTGCGGCTCCAATCCATGGATATGTCGAAAGCACGTGACTTAACTATCCGTTTCTCCCGTTCTCACCTCTCCTCTCCCAAAGTCTTCGTACATACGTCTGCATTCTCCCCAGTTGCCGTTCTTCAACTTGCTCCAATTCTTCTCTTTCATATTTTGTTCCCGCTTCCAGATTGTGCTACGGTTGTCGCCATTGTGGGGCTTATCACATTCATCCCGATACCGGTGTTGCTGATTTGACCCTCTCTATCGGCCCATCTGGATAGTTTGACGTCTTTCTCCTTTCTACCTTCTCCTTTCTCCCGAAGAAGTGACGAGCAACCCCATAATGCCCAGTAATCTCCTTGGTACTCTCAAGATCGCCCCCTCTATACTAGGGTAACGTTGATACCTAGTGCTTCTGCTGATCTCAACAACCTCCCGGCACTCTCTCCCGATTCTTGGCCCTGGACGATCTGTTACATCTGTTTTCCTGCCGCCCTCATTGCATCATGCACACCTGGCCCATCTACAGCTTCGGCCACAATGCGGCGCATCGACGCACCGATCAGATAACCCATGGGACGAGGTATTTTTGGGACATGTATCCCGTAGACGATACTTGACGCTTCCGAAATGGAAGTGTCATTGCCGGTTTCCGCTTGTTTGGATGTTTTCGTTTCCTTCTTTCGAAACCATGTGCGCTTCGAACGCGGGTGATTGCCGACAGGGGCTATTCGCCAATCACCGTGCCAAAGCTTGTTCGGGAGCTTCTTTTGCCTCCGGAGCTTCTTTTGTTCCCGATACCTTCCCTCTTTGACACATCTGTCAGCGGGGAAGCCTGGTTGCGCCACGACAGCGGTTGGTTAGCTGCCGCTGATTGCGGGGTAGGCCCGACTTACTGAGGACCTACTCCGGAGCATCTCGTTTCAACACCTACTCCCAACCGCACTCGATCTCCAGAAATAGCTCAACACGGGGCTCGAAATGTCACTCCAAAATCACGCTGCTGCCCTGGGTAAACGAGTAGGTTCGACTTGACTCGTTACACTCCAGGCCTCTAAGCTTTTCGACACTGCTGATCCTGGTGCATCCTTCCCACTTCTATGTATGCAGTCATCCCGGTCCTTGCTTATGCCTCCCTGCCGCACTTCCTAACGTGGCTAGGCTTTCTCCCCTCAATATACTACAGATAGCGCTTGAACTCACCCCCGTCTGGCTCTGTACAGCTCCAGCCCCTTGCGCCTCGGTTCCCTTAGGACGGAACGTGACCTTCCCCTCCCGCCGAGAGGTACTACCTACGATCGCCTTGAACCATATGTACACAATTGGTAAGAGCGTGGAGATTCTCCACCAAACATGGGAGTCAGCGCCCACAACATCCCACCGGTCTTATCTACCTCGAACCTTCGCCGCGTCGGCTTCTAAGGAGCTAGAAATAGACGCGACAGAGCCATGTAATCGGGAGGTGTGTCTCAGCTTCTCTCTCATTCGAGAACTGGGTCTAGGGTATGCAGAATTGTGGATACTGCCGGACGCTGACGGCAGTATCTATCTCTACGCTGGTTCAGCTGTATAAGACTAGTCACTGTGATCACCTCTTCTCGAAGTGGTAATTGTTGATTAGCAACGTCTGCGGTACGGACACACTCCATACCATCAAACATCAACGCTCCTTTGCACTTACCCGCAACAACTCTGTCGAATCCCATTCCCACCATGGGCTTCTTTGGACGAGCCCGCGAGTCGGTGTCCAATGATCACACTCTCCTGCGAGCTAAAAGGGATGGTGCCAGAGTTGCTCGCGCACTCCCTTCAGCAACCGGCAACTATCTCCTCGAGAAGGTCCCGGTGATTCACTGGCTGCCCAAGTATAACCCACGATGGCTGCTCAACGACACGCTCGCTGGCATCACAGTCGGAGTATTGCTCATTCCTCAGGGGCTGGCATACGCGAAGATTGCCACTATTCCAGGAGAATATGGCCTCATGTCATGCTGGCTTCCGAACTTCCTATACTTCATCATGGGAACGTCCAAGGGTATGCGTCTGAATGGCTAACAACGACAAAAGCTGACGACGTTCTTGTAGACTTGTCCACTGGACCCACCTCGCTTTTGGGTCTGCTCACAGCGGAAATCATCCGCGACGTTGGGAGTGAGGGCTTCACTCCTCAGGCCATCTCTTCCGCTGTCGCCATGTCAGTAGGCATCTACGCCCTTATCATCGGCCTGTTGAAACTTGGATTCCTCCTCGAGTTCGTCTCGATTCCAGTGCTCAATGGATTCATCTCGGCCGTTGGTATTGTCATCATGCTTGGTCAGATCCCCTCACTCTTTGGCGTCAAAGTGGGCACCGGCACTGCAACCATTATCCATGACCTTTTCTCCCAGATACCTGACTTCAAGGGCCCCACGGTTGGCGTCGGGCTTGGAGGAATCGTCTTGCTTGTGGCTATGCAGAAAATGGGCCAGAGGTGGGGTAAGAAGAGCAAGATTATCTGGCTCGTGGCCCTTGCTCGAAGTGCGATCGTTCTGGTGCTCTTCACTGGTATCTCTTATGGGGTCAACAAGAACATTGATCTTGAGAATGACGACCCGGTCTGGGAACTCAGCAAAGTCAAGGTACGTTTTCAACCTATGGCGCCCGTTCATCTCAGTATGTCGGCTGACATGGCTTCTCGCAGTCAAACGGCATCGCCACGCCTATGATGCCTCCGCCCAGCCTCGTCTCCAAAGTGTTCCCTCGCGCCATCGCACCGTTTCTTGCCGGTGCTATTGAACACTTGGCCATCGCCAAAGGCTTTGCTCGCAAAAACGGCTATGTCATCGACCCAGCGCAAGAGCTGGTATACCTCGGAGCGACAAACTTCTTCAACAGCTTCTTCTCCGTCATGTCGGTCGGCGGCGCCATGTCCCGCACAGCCGTCAACTCCGACACCGGCGTCAAGAGCCCTGTATATGGCCTTGTCGCCGGCGGCGTGGTCGTGCTCTCTATCTTCTTCCTCAGTCCTGCACTGTTCTGGATCCCAAAGGCAACGCTGGCGGCTATCATCGTCGTGGCTGTTTGGCACGTCGTCTCCCCGCCCAAAGTATTCTACGCCTACTGGAAGACGTCACTGGTTGACTTCGTCGCCTCCATGCTCGGCTTTTGGGTCACGCTCTTCGTGTCCACCGAGATCGGCATCGCGTCCGCCGTTGGCTTCCAACTCGTCTATCAAATTCTTTACACAGCCTTCTCGCGCGTGCGCCGCATTAACTCGCTCAGCTGGAAGCAGCCTGTCTATGTCGATGGCGCTAGCTCCGTGCCTCCGGACGCTCAAGTCTTCAAGCCGCATCAGTCACTCATCTTCTTCAACGCCTTCTCCATCAAAGAGCAATGCTTCGACATTGTCCAAACGTACAACTCGGGCACCGTCGTGACGCTGCAGGCTCAGAAGGCAGACCGCAACTGGAGTGTATCTGGTCAGCGCCGGGTTGCACAGCTGCGCAAGCGGGCCGAGATCGTGCAGGAGCCGTTCCCGATCCAGATCGTCGTTCTGGATATGGCAATGGTGGCTACGATTGACACGACGGGGCTGGTGGCGCTGAAGGACTTCAAGGTCGACCTGGAGAAGTTCGGCGGGCCGACCACCGAACTCAGGTTTGTCGGCATCCACGACGGGGTGAGGGAGAAGTTTGAGCGCTTTGGCTGGGACTTGTATGATGAGGACCGCGTTAGCCCGGAGGCCAGAAGCAGCATTAAGGGAAGTCTCGTGTACAGGAGCGTGACGGACGCGGTCAGTGATCGGAGCGGGGTGCAAGGGCCCGCGGAGATCATGGTCGTTGGCAATGAGAAGGTCTGACCGAGGTCGTTGCTTGTTTGAAGGATAGAGGATTGGGCGTGCTTTCATGGTGGGTAGCATACAGTCTTTTCCGACGTGTATAGTCCTTCGGTATGGTCGTTTAGTTTCTGCTGTCACTCTTTCCCCAAACCCCTCCTTTTGCAGACTGTTGCTGGCCAACAACGTCGTGCCTTTCCTTCTTTCTTGTGTATGCTTTGATGGGACGTACGCGATACATGACGGGGCATCAAATGGACTATCGTTCATGGGAGAGTGTGCATTTCTCTATTTGCAATTTTTTTTTTTTTTTTTTTTTTCGTAATAAGATACCCTTAGCTTTCCGTTCTGGTTCTCACTTCCCTGGTGCTCGCGCTATTCTCGTGGAATTGCGTTTCTGTGCGGCCAACTCTCATTGTCGCAGCTATCAAGCCATTAACGACGCCACCGCCTGTCCGTCTCCGGCTCTGAGTCTAGCCTTTTACCCTCACGCTCCACGCTTCCTAGGTTCTAGATATGACACCCAAGCTCTAGAAGCAGCTACTTAACTTACCTCCCAACCCCCTCCCCACCCAGAAACACCACATCCACCACCCCATACAATCATTCACCCCACCAAGCCATCTCACACCCCCACCCCAGCGAGCTCGTCAGCACACGTGAAAACAATCTTTCCGCGTATCCGCCGCGTCCCACTATCCGCTTCTGGTGACGGCCTGGGGTGCGCAATGTGCGAATACAGCGGGGACGGGATCCTCGAGCATAGACGCACAGGGTGGAGTTTATCACTGGCTTAGGTTGATGAATCGCGGCGGGGGCGGGAGAGCGGGTATGTGAAGCTTCCCGTTACGGAGGAGGCGGATGCGGATGAGCACTCGCTGGGGGAGTCGGATAGGGTGGATGCGGGGGACCAGAGGGAGTGGGGGGAGGTGGAGGATGGCGTTGGGCTGGGGGTGGTGGCATGTGGCGAGGCTGTGACGAGGTGTGGTTGGGAGTCGAGCGGTTCTGCAGCTGCTAGCGAGAAGGGGGTGCGGGTTGTTCCTGGGGAATGGGAAGTGCTGGTTGGTGGGGTTTTCGCAGCTTAGCTGGAGAGTGGCGGCTTGCTGGTTGCCTGCTTCTCGTCTGGCTCTTCGGGAATGTGGAGGGTGCTTTTTGTATCTGTGTGGACCGAGGGCTTTGTAGAGGTATTGGTTATCTCGGGCTCTTGGGGCTCGGTCCCCGACGGAATGGTGAAGAGGATGGAGGGGTGGACGGGGAGAGATCTGGCTTGTCGCCACACAGCTTCTGCGACCTGCTGGCATCGCGCTGAGCTGGGTTGTCGCGCCCTGACGGAATCATGAGCTTCGTTTTCGGTAGTGGCTTGGTAGATTTGGGAAGAATAACGTACGGCTCTTCACGGTTCTGTGCATCCTCTAAGAGAGGCGTGCTGTTAGTAGCTGCGCTTCCACCGTCCTTCCACTCCAGAGAGTTATAAACAGGCGACATATCCGTGACCTCGGACTTCGACGGTGCAGCCTGAGTCTCCATCCCCTCAGCTAGAACCGACCCATTCGCCGCTTCCGCACGACGCACCTCATCTCCACCGCGACCGCGCATGAGCCGAGCCGCAATCCTGCGAAGATGCATCCTGTTCCCACCCCTAGGTGCATGTACCCTCCACGCCCGCCGCTCATAACTCTTCGCCACCGTTTCAATCCGCAAACGCCTACCCACAATCCCTTGCTTTTCTTCCTCACTAACCACCTTCCTCCTCCGCCCAACCACGCCAACAGCCCGTCCAAACTTATTCCGCTTCGGCGCATGCAGGAGCTTGGCATCGACCACGGTGACGGTATTGCAGAGGAGGTCGTGCGGCGCATCTGGAGGCGTGATGACGATCTCTGGTATGTTGATGTTGTTCGCTGGGACTTCTCGGCTGCGAAGGCAGAGGGACAGGTGGTCAATGCAGGCGCTAGATGGGCAGAGGGAGGATAGGTCGATGGCGCAGACGGGGCAGGGGAGGGAGGGCGGCATTGTTGGGTTGGTGGGTTGGTTGAGCTGAGCTGAACTAAGCGGAGGGGTTGTGGAAGTTGGAGGACGATTGATGGTGGGAGGGTCTTTAAGGATAGCGCTCGAATGTGGGCTGAGATAGGAAAAGGGGGTGAAAGGTTGTGGTATCGTATAAGTCGTCTTGTTCGTCGCAACTAGAACCTGTGTCAACTCGACTACTTCCGTCACAAGGAATCACTGGCTCACTCATTTCCTGCCTTACGCAACTTTCTCTCTCGTAATGACATATGAAGAATACGGGCCTGCAGCCTGAAGCAAGGATTTCCTGAAATGGCGCAGTATGAACGGTCACTTACTAAGGTCCCCTTTCGTTCCACTTCTGCCTCGACATCAGCGAACTACTTCTCTAATCAAAAGCAAAATACGCAGTAACTTGAATGAATTTATCCCACACTCTTGCGCAACTAGTAACTACTATACTAAGCCTCCGTCTCCTTCTCATGAACCTTCTGCACCCCCTTCCTCCCCTCCAGATGCACCTCAACATGGTTCGTAAAGTACTTCGACGGGTCCTTAACCGCTACCGCGCAAAGAATAGCAACCACACCAAACGGAATAGACGCCAGCCAAGTAATCCGAAAGCCGTACGCATATCCATACCGCGCCGCCGTGACACACGCATCATACACTGAAGACGGGATATCCGGAAACTTAGCCGCGCCCCCCGGGATCCCCAGCAGACTCAAGTCGACGGACTCGATGAGCTCGCCTACGCTGGAGGCAGACACGCCACCCGCGAGCGCCGTCGCGCCGATGCGCTTAGCTACTTCCTTCTCGGCGGTCTGATCGAACACGGACGAGAAGATGACGGAGCCGATGGACCCGCCGACGGAGCGGAAGGTTCCTATGAGGCCGATGGCGACGCCGAGGTCGCGCTGGGGCACGTTGAGCGAGGCGGTCGTGTAGCAGTTCAGCGTGATCCAGCCGAAGGGGAACATGGCGAGGAATTGCGCGGCCATGAGCCAGTTGATGTTGGTTGGGGTGATGAGCGCGGCGAGCCCGAAGAAGAGGGTCTGCATGAAGACGGCGAAGATGAGCTGGTAGTTGACGCGCTTGATGTAGTGGACGAGGGCGGGCACGAGGCAGCCGCCGATGAGTTGGCCGAAGCTGCGTAGTGTTAGCGGTGCTGGGGGGGATGCTGTTCTGATGCAAAGGACTTACCCAGAAGGAAGCGAGTATAGCCCGATCTTGACCGGGTCGGGGGTATGCAGGTAGAGGATCGTCTGGGCGTTCAACGCTGAGGCTGCGAAGAACACCATGCCCGCGACGAAAACGAGCACGATAAGGGCGGAGAACTCGCGGAAGTTCTTGAACAAATACCACGGGAACAGCGGGTCCATGGGCACAAGCGCGTCGTACACAAACGCCGAGATGAAAACGAAGAAGCCCAGAACCAGCGGCGCCAAGCTACCCGCACTCTCCCACGGATACGTGTTGCCGCCGGATTCGAGGCCGTACAGAAAGACCACCAGCCCTGCGACGAAGAGAAACGCGCCGATGAAGTCGAGTTCCTTGAACTCTTGCCATTTGGTCTTGCCGTCGGGTCGGGGATGGCTGGGCGGGAAGTACACGAAGAACGTGCCAATCAAGGAGAAGGCGCCGTAGCCGATGCACAGGTAAAACATGATTTTCCACGTTGCGTTGGAGATCATAGCGTTGGCCAGGATAGTCGATGGGACGGCCCATGTTGCGAGATTGAGCTCAGTCCAGGCCAGGCCTATGCCGCGATACTTGTTGGGCAGGATCTCGGAGATGCCTGCTTCTCGTCAGTTTACTAGGCTTAAGACTCGGGTTCCCACACGTACCGGCGTATGCAACAGAGATTGTTCCAATCGATGCCCCAAGGATTACTTCGCCTGCGATGAGCTGGTTCATCGTCTTCGACGTACACGCAATAATGCCGCCTATAACGGTCAAGAATTGGCCAAACAGGATGACTGGTCTTCGCCCGAAGATATCAGATAGCCTCCCTGCAACTGAGAATCCTACAGCAGCAGCAGCGCCCCATCCTGAAGGGATCCAGAAGCTAATGTTCTCGCCTCCGATTTTCTGTGAGAGCTGGACCAGGATAGGAGTAACCAGGATGAAGCCGAACATGATAGGTCCTGTGAAGGAGGTACCGAGAAACAGTGCGGAGAGAATGACAGGTAACGTGAGTTTTTCGGCATGTTCGGGGTTGTCTTCTAGCGCGGCTCTGTGGGGGTCTTCGTAGCCCGCGGGGACGTGAACGTGCTCACGATGTGCGATTTCCAGCTCCTCCTCGACATGCTGCTTGTGTTCTGGTGTGTCTTTCATCGTCTTTCTCTGAATCAAATGCTAATAGCTCCGTCGGAGACGAGGATAATAATGTGGCCGGGGATAGCTATGGTAGCTTGGGCTGGGGCCGAAGGGGAGACTGTCGCGGTCCGCCTAAGCAAAAGATGGATGATGGAAGAATGGTCAAGCTACAACAAGCTCCAAAAAATGACGGGACGGTAGATCTTGGAGATATTAAACTCCGTGGGAAACTTCTGCGTACTGCCCGTGCGGGGCCTAGCTCGGCGCTATAATATCTGGGGCGTCGGATGTTAAAGCGAGGCTTTCAGGGGTGCGTCCACGCCTGCGGGGAAATGTGGGGTTGTCACCTCTCCTCCGTCCAAGCATCAATTTCAGCCAGATTGCGAGGAAAGATAAGCATTTCAGGGCTGCCGGGGACAGGACCCTCAGACAGCACGGGCTGCGAGAATCACGTCCTCGGGCGTTCCGTTGCCATCGAAAGACGCGTTGGTGGCTATCCTCTCCCTACTCGATTTCGTTCAACGCCCATTCCAGATACCGTGCGACTGCGACTGCGATGTGGGGCCTTTGAAGATTTCGACTTCCGTGACTTGCCGCTCGAACCCCGCTGATGCTGATGAATCATCTCCAGCAATCCTCCAAAGCTCGAGATATTTGACATGAGCGACAACCCTCCAAGCTTAGCTTCGCCGAACGCGAACGCCTCTTCACCACTACGCTTTCCGGGCTCCGTGGGGCCCTCACTAATCCTTCGGCAATTCGCCGTTCTGAGCGCAACGCAGGACGAATCCTCTCGGAGCTGTTAGCCAGGCCTACTACTAGGAGTATCAGAGACGTGCCCGACTCTGCGCAAAGCATGACTCTCCTCGACGGCGTCATCAGCGAGAAGCCGACCCTGTTCTACGCGGCCGTGCTTCTCGCAGTCGCGTACCCGCTGTATAGCATCGTATACGGCTTATTCTTCTCGCCCTTGAGCAAGATCCCCGGGCCGTGGTTGACGCGCATCAGCAGCATTCCCGAGGCCAATGCGCTGAAGGAGCAGCGGCGAACACAATGGGTCAACAGCCTGTTCGAGCAGAACCCCGGCGCCGTGGCAGTCCGGACAGGGCCAAAGTCCGTGTCTTTCAACCACCCCGATGCCATCAAGGCCATCTACGGTATCCCCCTCTCATCTCCTCGCATATCTCTCAAAGTGCTAACCGCGTCCCCAGGCCACGGAAAAGGCCACGAGGAATTCGGCAAATCCAGCTGGTACGATGCCTTCTCGACAACCGGCGAATCGCTCTTCTCCACGCGCTCCAAGAAGCGGCACGCCATGAAGCGCCGCATGGTCGCGCACGGCTTCAGCGCGCAGAGCCTGCAGTCGTTCGAGCCGTACGTCGATCTCACCATGGCCAAGTTCCTCAAGAAGATGGACAAGTTCGCGCGCACCCAGGAGCCCTTCGACATCTACTTCTGGTTCGAGCTGTTCACCATGGACGTCATGGGCGAGCTCGCGCTCGGCAGCAACTTCGGCGTGCTGGAAGCGGGGAAACCGGCGCGGTATTCGACGCTCGTGGAGCAGTCGCAGCGGTTTGGGAATCTGAGTGGTATGCTGCCTTTCGGGAAGGCGAGCGTTAGGGTGCTGAGCTGGGTGCCTATGCCGTACGTGCAGCGCCTCTGGAAGGCGAGGGTGGAGTATCTGGACTATGCAAGGCAGGCGCTGGAAAAGCGGTTCCAGGAGGATCGGAAGCAGGTACTGCCCAGCGGCAAGCCACGTCAGGACATCATGCAGCGCTTCATCGAAGCCCGCGATCCAGAAACTGGGCGGCAAATGGACTTCGACGAGCTACGCGCGGAGACGTCGTCGCTAATGTAAGTCACGTGCCCCGCTCTCTCCCTAGCATTCCGCTGATTAAGTCCCAGGGTAGCAGGAGCCAGCACCGGCAGCGTAACCATGAACTGGATGACATACTACCTGTGCAAGAACCCTGAAATCAAGACGCGCATCGTCCAGGATCTCGAAGCCATGTTCCCCGACAACCGCGACGGCGCAAACCCCCTCCCCTACACGCGCCTGAACAACCTGCGCCTGCTTGAGCACGCCGAAATCGAATGCCTGCGCCTGCACCCCCCAATCGGCTACGCCATGCCGCGCGACACCCCGCGCCAGGGCGCCGAAATCTGCGGCCTGTACATCCCCGGGGGCGTCGCGGTCGGCGTCCCCGCCGCGACCATCGGCCGCAACGCCGCCGTGTTTGCGCGCCCCAGCGCGTGGGATCCCGACCGCTGGGCGGACGACGCGGCGGATCTGGCGACGATGAAGCTGTGCTTCCTGGGCTTTGGGTATGGCAGCCGGCAGTGCATTGGGCGGAACGTGGCGAATCAGTTTGTGATTAAGATGATTGCGAGCTTGCTGCTGCGGTACGAGGTTGAGCTGGAGGATCCGGGGTTGGTGCTGGGGACGAGGGAGTTTACGATTCAGAAGCCGGATCGGAAGTATCGGGTGCGTATTAGGCCGAGGAAGGTGTAGTGCCGCTGGCTGGGGAATCGCATTTGAGGGGCTAGCTACGTGGAAGGATGGCTTGTAGATGCGCTGGGGTCTTATGGGATAGATGCAATGCTCCGTAATGAGATAGAACCTTGGAAGTGTAACACCGATGGGCCTTGGTATAAAACGCCGGAGTGATCCAAACGTGAAAATCAGAACAGTTAGCAACGCCCCCGCATTCGCTTCGCATCGCAGATATTTCAACGGCGACGAGCAACTACAGCGCCGATAATAGCAGCGGTAGCGATGAAACCAGTAGCCTTCCAAGGCGAGACGGATATCGGCCACCAGTCCAGGGCCATCTTCCCAGGAAGATACGATGCCAATCGAGTAGAAGCCGGCGATGTGTTAAAAGACTCTGTTTCCACAGTCGGGGTCGCAGGCGTGTGGACCAATTCCAAGGAGGAGGCTCGATCGTCCGGTTCAAGGAACGTGACGTCGATATCCGCGTCGTCTTCGGAGGTGGAGCCAGCACTAGGCGTGAATTGGAGGGTGTATGTGCGGGTTGCGAAGGTAGATGCTGCTGAGATGCCAACGATGCTCGCACATTCAAATGCTTTGTCGAAGACGTTGTTGTCGCCTGCTTCCGAGTTCGGGGTGGTCGGCCGCGAGGAGGGACCAAGTGATAAAGAGTCAAGGGAGTCATCTGCGGCTTCAGAGCGATCTGTGTCCTCGTCCACAGCAACATCGGTACTGATCGCATCATCCGAAACGGTTGAGGGCTGATCGATAAGAGCGGCGATTTCAGCAACAGACCCCACATCCTCCTTAACACCCCCCACAATCGGCGAATCCGGCGGCGTCATCACCAAATCCCCCAAATCTTCCTCAGTATTCCTCCTCGTAAGCAGCGGCGTATCCTCCTTCTCTCCATCATCTTCCCCATCCTGATCATCCTGAAACCGCACTTCCTTCTTCAACGAGGAACTCTTAAGCAGCATCGTCTCGCACGCCGTCGTCTTCCCACACTGCACCTTCATATCCCGCCAATTGGCATAGTAATTCACCCGTTTGCGCTCCATCACCACGCCGTCCTCATACACGCTCATCTCCTTGTACGCAGGCGGGCCTGGTACTTCGTTGACCATGGCGTCGTAGCGGCGCCAGTGCGCGGATGGCTGCTCCTCGCCCGTCGGCCAGTCCGCCGGGTGCGGCGAGAAGTAGGCGGCGTGGGAGCCTGGGAGCTTGAAGGCAGGCGGCGGCCGGGCATCGAGCGGCAACGAGGGCGCAACGGCGTCAGCGGGCTCTGCAGCAAGGAGGAGCGGTGGTTCGAGGTCTTCATGCTGTAACGGGCGCTGGAGAGGCCCGAGTTCTTCGAGCGTTGGGGGGGCGAGGTCGGCGGTGGCCGCCATGTACTGGTCGAAGTCCCACTCGTCGTCGTCGTCGTCCGCCCAGTTGAAGCTAGAGAGGGGGCGGTTGCTGATGGTGGCCATGGTGTTGGTGTCGGGTGGTAATTGATGGGAGGAAATGGCTGGATGAATTCTGGGTGTGTTTGTGTAGGTGTGTGTTGTTGAGCGGGCTGACTGTGGTTGGTTTGCACAAAGATGGTAGGAAAAGTGAGAGCTCTGACGCAGGGAAATTATGCTGGGAGTGGTAACCTGTTGCTGGAGGGACAGCTGTCGGTCGATATTGCAGTGTTTTGCGAAGCAGTGAAAGTATGTTTACCAGTGGATGCTATTTGCAATGCTCTAGGGTTTAGGCGGCCAATACTTTCACTGTTGCTTCGGAACGGGATTACCTTTTCACTCCTCTCTAGCATTCTTCTGCGGTGGTTAACAGACGGCTACCGAGAATAACAAGCGGCCGCTGTCATAGAGATCACTCTGCCATCACTCCTTACAGCCTTTCTTCGGCTGCTGCTCTAATAAGCCGCAGTACTTCGAGCCTCTTGCGAAAACTAAGGCCAAGCATCTGGGTGGTGACCGGACCTATGGCCTACATGCCGTTAACGTAAGTCTGGACGCATAGAGGAGCGAACACTGAGAGATTGATCTAGGTTTCCATTTCTTGTGTACACCACACGGAGTAGCGATATATGTTGCGGTCGAACGATAGACGCTCCATGTATTCAAAGTATAATATTGTCCACCTCTATAATTTTTCTTTACCTCTGACCGGCTTCTTGTACATAGCACCGCCCGTTCCCGCCTGTGACTCGTCAGTCTACTGTGCAGGCTTCCTGTGCATCACCGTGGCCGCAGCCTTCGACCCATCAGCGACATTCTCCGAACGAAATGGGTGCACTCACCTGATGATTGGGGAAAATCAGCGTATCCGCAATAACCACATTCTCCCTCCTCCCAGCTGTGAACACAACGACCTCGGCGATATCATCCGGCGTAAGGGGCTCCACCCCTTCATATACTTTCTTCGCTTTCTCCTGATCCCCATTAAAGCGCACGAGACTAAACTCGGTCTCCACCTGCCCCGGATCAACCTCAATAACCCTTATGCGCGTTGAGATCAACTCCCTCCGGAGGGCGTCGGTGAAGGAGCGTACGGCGGCCTTGGTTGCACAGTAGATGGAGCCGCCCTGGTAGGGTTCCCGACCCGCAATTGATCCAATGTTTATGATGTCGCCGCGGCCGCCGTCGGGGCGTGTCTTGAAGGTGGGGAGGATGGCTTGGGTCATGTTTATGAGGCCGGTGACGTTGGTCGCGAACATGACGTCGATATCTTCGGGGGCGATATTGGGCGCCTGAGCCACGCCTTTTACAAGGCCGCTATCGTGGTATTGTCAGCCTCTTAAGTTGCAATAGACACGTCACAAGGGGGGTGGGGAGGAAGCTCACGCGTTGTTGACTAGGACATCTACTTCCTTGAACTCATTCGGCAGCTCTCCCACAAACTTGTTGATCTCGTCCGGCTTGCTCACATCTAGCTTGACAGGGTGGACCTTTACACCCTTCGCGAACTGCGCTATTTCGGTTGCAATCTCTTTCAGCGTGTCGATGCGTCGTGCTGTAAGGATGAGTTTCAGGTCGTCGGGCTGTGTACGGGCGAATTCGAGAGCACAGGATTTGCCGATGCCCGAGGAGGCACCAGTAATCAGTACGGTCTTGCCTTTCAGGCGGGATGCCATGGAGGACATGTTTGCGGCTTGCTGGAGGGAACGGCGCAGTGGAGCGAGGTGGGGTCGCGCGGGTGAGATGCGGAAGGGAGCTTGAACTAACGCAGAGGTGGTACGGAGGAGGCGACAGGAGCGTGAAACAAGATGCATATACGCTTCAGGGGCTCAATTGAGTTGTATGCAGCTGTACCGCCGTGCGATGTGGGTAAGACGGCGAGTTCAGCGGAAGCGTGGGAGGGGTGCTCGGCCTATCTCGGGATATTTCCGACGCGAGTCATGCGCGTCCGGAAGCGGTATAGCGTCGGAGGGAATCTGACATGGAGGTCTGCCTCGTCCACGGGCACTTTTTTCTACTTGCGACGGGCCTTTCATCGCTATCACGCAGCTACCTACCGCCCGAGTCGTGTTCGACGCGTGTCCTGCTTCATATGTACTCTCTTCATGGCCCTCATCGCTGCAGAATTACAGCCCCTGAGCACTCTCCGAGCGCTCAATACCTTGTAGTGTCAATCGAGTAGCCGTCAGGACCACGGCTGAAGAACACATATCAGGGCTTCCATCTTGAAGCTGGTGTTCTCTCTGGACGTGTTTTCAAGCTTCCTATTCGGTCGCAGCTTATGGGGGCGAGCCAGGAGGAGCGGCGTGCGGGATTGAAGAGTTATTGGACGAGGCTGCAGCATGCAAGGAATCAGCACATCTCAGCCGCGCCAGCGGCGCTTAAAAAGCAGCTCCTCTTCTCTTCTTCTTCTTCTTCTTCTTCTCCTCGCCCTCTGAACTCTTGATTCTACAGCTCATCTTCCTTCGATCAATCCGCATTTCCAGCCAGTTCCACGGGCGCCGCCTGTAGAACAGAGGTCTCCGAACGCCGCCGTGTCCAGCCTAACCGCTGCTGCTCGCAGCCTTGTAGTCTCCGTGCAATGCTACACAGCCTCACACCAGCTTCCAACTTCCAGCCTTCAACGTCCGTCCCTCGAATTCCTTCTTAACCAGTTCCACCAGATACTCCGAACCCTCTACCGTCCAACGGCTTCCTATGGATTGGCTCTTACGTAAGATTCGCCATGCGTAGAGGAATAAAGAGCTTCCTCAAGCGGGGCAAGCATCCAAGCAGCGAACCCGACCGGACAGGGAGCTCTCAAACCCAGGAGCCCTCGCATTCCGCAAACGATACGGACGTCGAAAGAAACGATCATGTCCACAGCAAGTCAGTACTGGCAGACACTCCTCCTATTGAACAAGGCGATAATCTTGGTGTGAAGCTCCTATATCAGCCTGAGAATCCGAAGGATGCTCGAGCCGACATAGTTTTCGTTCATGGTCTGGCCGGAAATGCTTTCAGCACTTGGTACTACAAGGAACATGCCCTTCATTGGCCAAGCACCCTCTTAAAAGAAGATATTCCTGAGGCGCGAATATTCATCTATGGCTATGATGCAAATGTCGCAAGCTTCTGGGGTGGCGCATCGCAAAACCGATTGGTGAACCATGCGGAGAGTATGGTAGGACATCTTGTCGGACGAAGAGAGGATACCAACACGGTTAGTGTTACACTCTGTTATCCTTAAACAACTCGAGGCGTTGGTCTTGCCAACTCAAGAACCAACAAGGCTCTGAACGCCTTTACGAAGGGGGATTTCAAAGGCCATTTCGGACGTCGGGTGGCTAATATGCGTTCTTGGGGCGGTCTAGGAAGACCGGAAGATTGTTTTCGTCGCTCACAGCCTAGGTGGTCTTGTGGTCGAAAGAGCATTACAGCTTTCGGAGAACAGCGCCGAGAAGCACCTCCGCCAGATCGAGAACTCGACAGTTGGTATAGCATTCCTTGGGACGCCTCATGCTGGCAGTGGTTTCGCTCCCTTTGCGAAATCTGTAGGAAAAGCATTGAGTTTCTTGGGCAAACGCGTGAACACGGATATCCTTGAGGCGCTGAAGAGAGATTCACAAATCCTTCTAGATGTCGAAGACTGGTTTGGTCATTGGCGAAGGCGTCGTGCGGAGACCAACCCAGTGCAGATCACGTGCTTCTTCGAAGAGCTGGAATTACCTGCATTCGGGAAGGTGGTGGAAGAGACTCAAGCTAGAATTGCTGGCTATTCGTCATACGGGATTCATGCAAATCACATGGTACGTAGATTGCAGCACGCCTACCTATGTCTTGGACTGTTGAAGCCCTTCTCAAGCAGTTTTTCGCGGCCGGCATTCCAATTTCGTAATGGTATATTGTAGCTAGCATCGGTCGCTAACATAGCAAACCGCAGAACATGACGAAGTTTTCTGGGACAGAGGATCCCGGATACCGCGCCGTGAGTAGGGAGCTTCGCAGATGGGTTAGGGCCGCAAGCGAACAGCAAGGTATGCCTAATTTGTATAGTGTGTACTGATGCTAATCGATCAGTGTAGCAAAGGCTGTCAGGGACCCTAAACGGGAGGAGCGAGTCAACAAGTTCTTAGCCAAGCTCTATACCTGCCCCTACGAAGAGCGGAAGAACGTGAACGACGATCGAGTACCAGGAACCTGCCAATGGTTCACTCATCACGAAAAGTTCAAACACTGGAATGAAAGCACAGAGTCCTGTCTTCTCTGGGTGTCCGCCGATCCTGGATGTGGCAAGTCTGTGCTGGCGAAATATTTGGTGGACGAAGTCATCCCAAGCCAAGAGAAAACCATCTGCTATTTCTTTTTCAAGGATGGCTTCCTAGACCAGCAATCTGCCTCCAACGCCATTTGCGCGATCCTACGCCAATTGTTTCGGCAAAAGCCGCATCTTCTCTCAGACGGCGTTCTAAGCCGAAGTGAACAGGACAAAGACACCTTCTGCCAGTCATTCAGTGGTTTATGGTCAATCTTCACCCGCGTTACATCGGAAAAGGACGCTGGAGAGGTCGTATGCATACTAGAGGCCTTGGACGAATGCCGGCAAGGTGATTTAAAACAGTTGGGCTCGGAAATACGTCGATTGTTCTTGCTGCGAAGAGATTCCCGGCTGAAGTTGCTACTCACTAGCCGACCCTATCAGCATATACGGTGGGAGTTCCAAGCATTGGAAGATCTTATGCCCACGATTCATCTCGCCGGAGCGAATGAGGTCGAGGTCGAGAAGATTACCAACGAGATCGACCTGGTCATCCGAAGCAGAGTAAAGGCTATCGCTGCGAAGAGAAGGCTAAGGAAAGATGAGCGCACCCATTTGGAGAACCTCATGACATCAATTCCCAATCGAACCTACCTGTGGGTTACCCTCACGTTGGACGTCATTGAGAGGATTTCAGGCTTCACCCGAGGAAACGTTGTCAGGACTGTCCAGAAGTTACCCAAAACTGTCGACGAGGCGTACGAAAAGATCCTTCAAAAGAGCCCCGATGCCCAGCAAGCACTCAAAGCATTGCGAATTGTCACCGCGGCGACCGAACCGTTGTCTGTGAAAGAAATGTCCTTCGCGATGGCAATCCAGGAGAGTCATAAGACATTCCACCATATGGAAGAGGAACTGGAGCCTGAGTCACGATTCCAAGATACGCTGCGAGATTTGTGTGGCCTTTTCTTGGTGGTCATCAACGAGCGACTGTATCTGCTTCATCAGACCGCACGAGAATTCCTAGTGCGAAACTCTGGTCCGGGAGAACCACCCGAGGATCGCTTCGTCGTAGGAGATCGCAACAAAATAATATGGAAGCACTCCATCGACATCAAAGTCTCCAATGGAGTCCTCGCACAAGCTTGTGTCTGGTACTTGATTCTCGCAGACGCCTACCTTTCCTTTTCGGAAGCCGATTTTAGCCCGATAAGCTACGACAGACCGTTGGTAAGGGACGACATACTGTACGGGTTTAGCAGATACGCCTTCGATAACTGGAATGTTCACTTCCGTCGATCCAACATAGAGAGCAAAAACCAGATCACTCAGGCGGCTTTACAGCTCTGCCAACGTCAATCTGATCCCTTGTACCAATCGCGGTTCGGGACGCATAATGAAATAATGTCCCCCTTGACGGGACCGTCGAGCGGGAACCCGTTAAGTAATCCTATGTCAACAGCTGCCGTTCTTGGAGTCTACCAAGTTGTGCAACTTTTGCTAGACACAAAAGAATCCGATGCGGCTGCAACAGGAACCGATACTCGGACACCGCTTAGCTATGCTGCAGAACGTGGCCATGTTGGAGTTGTGGAGGTCCTAATCGCACCCGAGCTGGCTGACTTGGATCATCGCGATGAAGATGGCATGACGCCCCTTCATTATGCAGCGAAGAGAGGTCACCAAAAAGTCGCGGCACTTCTACTCAGGGCTGGAAAGGTCAACGCGCAGGTAGTGGCGACTGATTACCTAAGACAAACTCCGCTCGCATTGGCCGTAGCACATGGACAAGCCTCAGTCGTGGATCTGCTAGTCGCTACGGGCCAAGGAGACATTAACTTGGGAGACCAATCGGGTAGAACGCCTCTAATGGATGCAATAGACTTAAGGCGCACAGAGATCGCCAAAATGCTCCTTCAGACCTCCGAAGTGGATGTGAACGCGAAAGACAAGGATGGAAGAACGGCTTTGAGGATAGCGGCAAAAGCTGGACATGAAGAAATTGTAAGATTGCTTCTACGGATGGGAAAGGTGGATGTGAACGCGAAAGACCCGACTGGAAGAACGGGTTTGATGATAGCGGCAAAACACGGACGTAAAGAAATTGTAAGATTGCTTCTAAGGACGGAAAACGTGGATGTGAATAAAAGCGACGATTCCGGTATGACTGCGCTCATAACAGCAGCCAGATGCGGACGCAAAGGAATCGTAAGACGCCTTCTCCAGACGGGCACTGTGGACGTCAATGCGGCCGACATTCAAGGCAACACCGCATTTACACACGCGGCATTAGCTGGGGATGAACGCATCACGAGGCTCCTTCTTCAGACAGGACTGGTAGACGTCAACGCGACCAATCTGGGCGGCGAGACTGCTCTCATACTGGCAGCCGGCCATAAGTTTGCAGAGAGCGTAGTTCAAGTCCTTCTCCAGACCGGGAAAGTGGACGTAAACGCAAGGGTCCATGGCGATGCAGATTACAGGTCCTCTAGAATCCGGGACGGCGATACAGCGCTCATATATGCAGCCGCACAGGGAAATGAGGAGATTGTACGCCTGCTCCTTCAGACTCGAGCGGTGGACATAAGCATAGCGAATGTGGAGGGTGAGACTGCTTTTTCATGCGCAGTGGACTGCCAGCATCCGGGTATTGTGCGGTTACTCCTGGAGACCGAGCAAGTGGAGCTCGACGAAGTCAAATCAGCTCTCTTTCCCGTACGCATGCCCCACAAAGTAAATGAAGGAAGAGGGGTGCGCGAGGAGATTGAGAGGCTTCTGATGCGGTACCTACGCACCAGAGGGAAAGGATCCAGCACTCCAAACCAGAGTGTGAAGTAGTCGGAGCTGAGGACAGCCGCTCCTCATGATGAGTGGGGAGCTTTTTTGTTGTATGTTGAGGTTCTGTGCACAAGTCAAAATAATGGTGGGGACGCTGCTTCACCGGATCGCGGTGGGGTTGTTTGAAGGGTGATTGCAGGGAAAATTGGGCCAGCCAACAAGAGCAAGAGCGGGCAGGAAACCCAAAGCATTTTCCGCACCATATTTTTCCACGGATCCGATCGCAAAGACCAGCGAACCAGCATTCGGGCTACCATTCCATTCTTCTACAGAACCTCACGATTCACGTAGTGATTATACACACAGGTCTAACGAGCCCAAACCCCTCCCATGCCACGCAGCGTATCTATTTCTTCCCCGGCAGCGCATCACCCTTGCCCTTCCGCCTCAGCTCCGCCTCCTCTTCCTCCCTCAGCTCCTGATCAATCTTAGCGCCTTTCGACGGCTCGTTGCCGTGCGAGCGTGCGGGTAGCGTGGCGTCCTTGTGCAACATGGCCGTCTCCTCGTCCTGGGGCTCAGGCTCGTGCTGCCGCTTCTCTTCATGAGCGAGCCTGTTCATGATGGAGCGCTGGTCCTCTGAAGGCGTGTTAGCTTTGAGTGAAGGGGGGGAGTATGGACGGGACTGGCTGGGGCGTGCTTACTGGAGTCGTTGGGGAGGTGCGAGACGGGCTTGCCCTCCTTGTATCGCTCGGCCGTTTTGAGCTCGCTGTCTTTGTAGTGTCGTTGGTCGCCGGCTTCGTAGACGGTGCGATTTCCGACCTAAGTGGGAACAATGTCAGCATGGCTCCTGTATTTCGTGAGGGTGCACTAACCGATGAGTTTGCAGACATGGTTGATGTAAAAAGGCTTGAATGAAGTGGTTTAGTGGCAAATTGGAGGGTTAGAAAAGCTGTAATAGAAGCTTGAGGACGTGTAGTTATTTCGTTGAGCGTGTTTTGTGAGTTTGGCGGCTCTGACTTTTTGTACTTGTCGAACTGCTCGCGGTGTTCATAATGACGTAGTTGAACCCACTGTGGCCACCAGGTGGGTCCGGCGTCATTCTTCTGCAACACCAAACCTCTGGCATCGTCTTTGATGCCCAACCCCAGATTTCGCGAGTCCTCGGTAAGAATTTATCAATTCGTTCATCTGGGGTTTCCTGCTCAGGATGATTTCAACATCGGTATTAGGAACGCTGTCGGAAGTACCCGGCTCTCGGAAGGTAGCCTGGGATTTTCAATGCGCGTACATATCAAGTGTCGTCCAGAGGCACTCTCCAATTTTTCTTCAAAATATCTGGATTCGAAAAGGCGAGGGTCCGCTGGCACACTCTACATTAACTTCACTATTCCTCCTTACCTGAGACCAAGCGCAAATAAACCTATCCCTATTACATCCCCCAACGACACTCAATCGCTCCCCTCCCCAAAACCACAACATCAGTCTCAACTTCCGCGCTCTCACTCCCAAACTTCCCCCACAAAATCCTCCAAATCCGCCAACATCTCCCCGGGCCTCTCCAGCGCCGGAAAATGCCCACCCTCCTCATGCCCTCTAAACCAGCACAACCTGCCCGTCCTCCCCACCCAGCTCCGCGGCATCGGCGCCAACTCCCTCGGAAAATACGAATAACCCAGCGGCTTATCGACAAACAAATGCGCCTGCGCATGGAAATACCCCTTCGGGTGCGGGACCTGCAGAAAGTCCTCTTCGTACGGGTAGATGCTCGTCGGCATGCACCCTGTGAACCAGTACAGCGAGACCTCGGCCAGGATAGTGGATAGCGGGAGCCGCGACGCCGCATCGCTCCACTCGAGGTATTTTTCGCCGATCCAGGCTAGCAGCGCCACGGGCGAGGCGCTCAGTACGTGCCCGATTGTGGCGGGGCGCGTGCCGTGCTCGCGGCCGTAGGCGTTCCCTGTGGCGTTGAATGCGTCGAACCGCTCGAGCCCTTTCTTCTCTGTGTCGCTGAGTTCGCTGGCCGACGCGTCGTCTGGGGGGAACATGAAGCAGTAGTTTAGATGCAGCGCTTTGCACTCGGGATACGTAGCCGCCATTGTTCGGCCGACGGCCGCGCCGATGTCGCCGCCTTGGACGACGTAGCCGCCATCTCCGAAGCCGAGATTCAGCATCAACTTGTGCATGATGCGCGCGGAGTCTGCGATCTTCCAGGGCCGGTCCAGCGGTGGCGGAGAGGAGAGCGTGTAGCCTGGTAGTGAGGGGACGATGATGTGGTACGGGAGGTCCTGCGGAGAGTATTTCTTGCGCAGCAGGTCGAGCACAGGGAGGAATTCTTGGAAAGAGGCGGGCCAGCCGTGGAGACGAGTTGTTGGGATCGCGCTTTTCTTCTCGGAGAACAGCGCTGCGAAGTGGATGGAATAGATGCGTCCGTCGTCGTCTACGATGTCGGCTTTGTAGTGAGGGAACGAGTTGATGTATTCCTCCTGTTTACGCCTGCCAATTATCAATACGTGTACTAGGAGGCAGTATATGAAAGGGGGAGAATAAATACCAGTCAAACTCGCTCTCCCAATACGCTTTAGCTTCCAGCATCCAAGCACGTGTCACACCTAGGCCATTGTGCCCCTCTCCCCGGTTCTCATAGCATTCCTTCGCTACTGGTGACAGCCTCACCAGCTGCTTGAAATCCCGCACCTGCTGCTCCTCGACGTGGAGCTCGAATTTCTCTATCTTGCCCTGCACATCATGGGGTAGCGTTCCGTAAGATACCGTGGAGGGGGCCATGGTGTACGTCATAAATGTAGTAACTGAACAGAAAATGAAGAATTGTCGGGATGGTGATTTAAGGCTCTGAAACACACACAATACCTCGATTTCTAGGGATATATTTATATCTATGTTCTCAAGTACATGTGCTCCAAAGCATGCTGCGTAGCTGCTATGACGATCGCTGACAAACGCGCAAGGAGAAAGACGCGAACGCGATGCCGAATCGGGAAACATACACGCGTGAGATGTTGCTAGTATCTCGTTAGTTAGGCAGCAGTTACAGCAGCAGTCGGTGCTGGCAGGCTCCCCGCATCCTATCACACGTCAAATTCAATGCGGAGGAAATGATTGATAATCCGGGGTTAGACGTTTCCTGTGAGGTTGCCGTTGCGAGGAGGGTAACTGGCCGCGGTTTGGCAGCAGTTCGGTATAGAAGAAATCCTGGAAGATGATTCATGTTTTCATTTCTAAGCACCGGTACTTGGCCTGGTTGGGTATCATGTCGTCTAAAGTCTATCGTCTATTGCTCCTTTGCAAAGTACCAAGCGTCATAGCTATCACCGCTCGTATCCCAAGTTCACCGCCGAACGGGCTGTTGCATCACCCGTCGGGGCTACGTCTACTCCATCTCAATTGTGCCTGGCGGCTTGCTCGTGACTGGAATATGTTAGCTTGTGGGACTTTGCAGGAATGGGCCAGAGGAGCCTTACTATCATACACCACTCGGCACACGCCGTTAACCTCGTTCACGATCCTCCTGGACACCTTCTTCAAGAAGGCGCCATCAAACGGGTACCAATCCGCCGTCATAAAGTCTGTCGTCTCGACCGCCCGCAGCGCGATAACCTGATCGTGCACCCTCTTATCGCCCATGACGCCCACGGCCTTGACCGGCAACAGCGCCGCAAATGCCTGGCTGATCTTCCTGTACAGGCCCGCGGCCCTGATCTCCTCGATGAAGATGTTGTCTGCCTCCCGTGCAACGCGGACCTGCTCGGGGGTGACTTCACCAAGGATACGGATAGCTATGCCAGGTCCGGGGAACGGATGGCGCCAGACGAGATCTTCCGGAATACCAAGGTTCTTGCCCAGCTCTCTGACTTCGTCTTTGAAGAGCTCGCGAAGGGGTTCGATGAGCTTGAGATTCATGTCCTTGGGTAGTCCACCGACATTGTGGTGTGTTTTGATGGTAGCAGACGGGCCTTTGAAGGAGATGCTCTCAATAACGTCAGGGTAGAGGGTACCCTGAAGCAGCCATTCGATGCCGCCGGCCTTGTCGGACTTGTGGGCTTCGGCGGCAATTTTCTTGGCCGTCTCCTGGAACACTTCGATGAAAGTGTTGCCTATGATCTTGCGCTTCTTCTCGGGGTCGTCGGTGACACCTTTTAGCCGGCCTAGGAAGCGCTCCGAGGCATCGATGACGGTGAGTTTGATGCCCAAGCCTGCCGTCAATGTCTCTTTGACCTGCTGTGCCTCATTCAGTCGCAACACGCCGTTGTCAACTAAGACAGCATGGAAGCGGTCGCCGATAGCTTGCTGCATCAGCTTCGCGGCGACAGTGGAATCCACGCCACCACTGACGGCCCCAATGACCTGCCCCTTATCTCCCACCAGCTTTCTGATTCTCGCAATCTCTTGATCCACGAACTTGCCCATGGTCCAGTCTGTGCGGGCCTGGCAGATGTCCACAGCAAAGTTCTTGAGCACTATCTTCCCCTTGGGCGTATGCGTGACCTCGGGATGGAACTGAATGCCGTAGTACTTCTTCTCCCTGTGCGCCATGCCCGCAAATGGCGCATTGGTGGTAGTAGCCACGGTGATAAAGTCCTCAGGCAGGTGGCTCAGCTTGTCGCCATGGCTCATCCACACCTCCATGTCGTCCTCCAGGCCCGCAAACAGCTTGTCTACGTGTCCGCCCGCCTCCCCGTCGCCATGCCTCTCGACCTTCAGATACGCGTGACCGTACTCCCTCTTCTCGCCTGCAAGCACGTTCTTTCCAAAATGCCACGCAATCTCCTGCAGTCCGTAGCAGATGCCCAGGATGGGAACGCCGAGTTCGAACACAGCGTCGTCGACGTGCGGCGCGTCGTCCCAGTACACCGAGTATGGGCCGCCGGAGAGAATGACGCCTTTGGGGGTCCAGGACAGCTCTGAGAGCTTCTGCGTGCACGGGAGCATCTCCGAGTAGACATTGAGCTCGCGGAGACGGCGCGTGATGAGGTGCGAGTATTGGCTGCCGAAGTCGAGCACGAGGATGGTGTCGAAGGTCTTGTGCGGGGGGATCGGATCGCTGCCGTCGGTGGCCATTTTGATCAGCGTCGCTCCGGGCGAGCAATTGGGTCTGTATGGAGCGGGAGGAGAGAATAGAGGTGGTCGTAGGCAGCGGAGGTGCTCGGTGACTCCCGCCAGAAGGAACGAAATTTTTGGAGGGGCAGTTGCGCCCACCGCCCCGCGTCCGTGCGGCTTCCCAAAAATTATCCATCAACGCCGCCGACTCTCCTCCGGCGAGCTGGCACACATCACTCGCAATGGCAAAGCGGAAATCGCAGAAAGACCCGGAGGACCTTCCCGATGCGCCGGAAGGCAAGGGCAAGAGGAAGAATGAGGATTCCGACAGCGACGAGGACATGGACCTCGTAAACGTCGACTTTGAATGGTTTGACCCCCAGCCCGCAGTCGACTTCCACGGCCTGAAGACGCTCCTGCGCCAACTCCTCGACGTCGACGCGCAGCTCTTCAATCTGTCCGAACTCGCGGACCTCATCCTCTCGCAGCCGCTGCTCGGAAGCACTGTGAAAGTAGACGGCAACGAATCCGATCCGTACGCCTTCCTGACCGTGCTGAATCTCACCACGCATAAAGTCCGCCATGCCCTGCGCTCTTCTCCAACGACACCGCTAACGAAGCTTAGGAGAAGCAGGTCATCAAAGACCTGACCGCATACCTTACCCGCCACTGCGCCGCGCCCTCGTTCTCCGCCTTAAAACCCCTCCTCGAGGACTCCTCGCCCGCGCAGATCGGCCTCGTCCTCACCGAGCGCTTCATCAACATGCCCCACGAGATCGTGCCGCCCATGTACACCATGCTGCTTGAGGAGATCCAGTGGGCACTCGAAGAAAAGGAACCCTACGCTTTCACACACTACCTCGTCCTCTCGAAAACCTACGCCGAGGTGGTATCTACATTACCGTCTTCGGATCAGCCACCCAGTAAAAAGAAAAAAGGAGGAAAGGAATTCGGGGGAGAGACGTTCTACTTTCATCCTGAGGATGAGATATTACACAAGTATGCGCGGGGATGGGGAAGCTTTGAGTACGAGACGCCGGTGGATGAGGGAGCTAGTGACAGTAAGAGGGCGTTCCAGGAGTTGGGGGTGAAGCCGATGGGGCATCTGATTCTGATCGAGGCGGATAAGTTCGCTGGCGCAGTGGATGCGGTGAAGACGTTCTTGAACGGCGGGTAGTGGGCTCCTCCACTATTTGTGGATCGAATGGGGCGGAATTCCAGAGAGCCATCCAGAACTTCGACCGAGAAACGGGACCAAGAATAGATACCCTAGCGCGTGTAGCTGGAGATGGGGTTGCAGGGCTGGTTGGAGGGATAGATGCCAAAAAAGGGCATGCCCTGGCTATAGTCATTAGCGAGCCTTCAGAGAAGGATTGCAAGACTCTAACTTAGAGGTACATTCCTACTGCACACAAGCCGAATCTATGGAAGACGACGTTCAAAGAAATTGTGATGCATGCTTCGCCTATCGACACAGCTCCCGCAGCCGCCCGCCCCTCTTCTAATTTGTACAAAAAACTCAATTAACCGATGACCACCGTTCCATCCTCGGGGAAGTCGTACTCTGGTACCTCGAGATTGAGCGGCGCAGGTCCCTTTCTTATGCGGCCGGAAATGTCGTAATGAGAACCATGGCAGGGGCAGAACCAGCCACCGAAGTCGCCGGCCTCGCCGATGGGCACGCATCCAAGATGGGTGCACACGCCTGTACATCGTTAGCCTCCTGCTATCTAATAAACGAGGGTTATGTACCAAGCATGATCAACCACTCGGGCTTCTTCACGCGCTGGGAGTCTGGTTCCGGGTCTCGCAATGCCTCCCACTTGGTATCCTCGGCCTCCTTGATCTCGTCCTCGGTGCGGTGTCGGATGAAGACGGGCTTGCCTCGCCACTTGATAATGACCTGCTCTCGTCAGTTTCCATGTCTCTGGCCAAGTGTAGCATCGAAACATACGTTCTTGCCCTCAGGAATGGCGGCGAGATCGACTTCGACCTTGGCTTGAGCGAGCACGTCGGCGGAGGCGGACATGTTGACGAGGAAATCTGTGTCGCAAAATCGTTAGCATCTGCATTCCCCATACCGGCACTCGTCCAAATCATCCGCAAAACAGCCAATGGCATTTCTGCGCCTTCCACGCCCTCGACTCTGCCATTTTCCATCGTTTCCCAAGCTTCCTCAAGGTCCGCGGGTATTTACCTTGCACCGTCGCCTTCGCGCCCAAGCTGGCCAGCGCACCCATGGTGCCCACCATGAAGTATTGGAACATTTTCGGGCCGTCCTCTCCAGATGCTTTGCGCCTGTAGGCGCCGAAGGACGGGATCTTGGTGCTGCTGCCGACGCCCTTGAAGGGGCTATCGAATGAGGACGTGGCGTGTACCTCGGAGACGTTGCGGGTCTGCATGGCGGAGCAGCCCGCCCGCGCGACGGGCAGCGAGTGGGCAGTCCATGAGCGGGCTATCGCACGCGTGGAGTTGGCGAGGGCGGGCATCGTGGATACGGCGGTCGGGGTGGTGTGGATGGAGCTGTGTGCTGAGGTCCAGGAAGTTTAGGAAGACGAGGTGTTATCGGGTGAGCGCTGATTGGCTGCTGGGTCCCGGGCCGATGGCAAGGCTGGCACGACTTTTCGCGCAGCGTCATCGCGCGACATTAGCATTATTACAGTGTATACAGACCTCTCAGCACTGCTCTGAACCTTGGAACTCCATCCGTACCGGACACAGTGCCCAATGGCTGCGTACTGTGAATGTGCCTGTCACCAGCATCTGTGGCTTCAGACCCTGCTTGGCTTCTGCCTGCTTCACCTTCAAGGCTGAACGCTGTGACTGACCTTTACCACTAACCTTCAACACAAACAAACTTATTACTTCGCAAACAAAACCCCAACATACTCATCAGACGCGTGGTGATAGAGACCAACCGCAATGGCCGGCGAGGACATTCGGACGTACTTCTCAAAACAGCAGGCAGCTCGCCCAGCACCCTCCATCATGTCCTCGACCAGCAAAAAGGACGCCAAACGGCCAGCGAGCTCTCCTCCAGAGGACTCAAAGGAGCCCCCAGCAGCTCGCCCAAAGACCACGCAAAACGAGCCTCCTCCAGAGGCCTCCGCACCAGGGGATGCGCAACCAACGACTCTCAAGCTCACCTACCACGAAGGCGACATCTTCGGCGCTCCCGACAACACCGTGCTCATCCACGCATGCAACACCCAAGGCTCTTGGGGCGCCGGAATTGCAGCCGCCTTCCGCACCAAGTATCCACAAGCCTATAAAGCGTACCGCAACCACTGCCTCGCCCAGCACGACCCCAAGACGGACCCAGTGCGGACCGGTACATGCCTCCTCATTCCGCCGTGCGAAACAAATCCCAAGACGGCAAAGCACTGGATCGGCTGTCTGTTTACGAGCGCAAAATACGGCAAGGCGAAGGACAAGCCGGCTGTTATACTGCGGAATACGGCGCCTGCGATGAGGGATTTGATGAGGCAGGTTAGCGAGGCTCGTGAGCAGGATGAAGACCAGCCCGTGGAGAGCTTCCGGATGTGCAAGATCAATTCGGCGAGGTTTGGGGTGCCGTGGGAGAGGACGGAAGAGGTGCTTCAGGGCATAGCCGTGGAGGAGGGATGGCCGGAGAGCATACAGGTCTGGAGCATCGAGTGATGGGAAACGAGGCAAAGTTTCTTGCTCTTTGATTTTGTGGATTATTTTGGTGGGCTCATCCTCGCTGGAGAGGAGAGCTCGTACGGTATACCCAATCCATGGCTGAGATCCGCGCAGAAATGTCAGAAAGAAACTTCAGCTCGGGTCCATGACATCTTCCAATCATCATGATGAATGGTCCCGTGTTCAGACCACAGTAAACCATAAGAGAGCAGTATCCCATCCCTTCCATGCCCGTGATATTCCTTGAACGCCAAAAGCCATGCATGGATGCTCCAAAGCCCGCCTAGGCAAAGCTCCTCATCTAGTACCGTTGATCGCCGTGAAACCACTCGGCCGCCTCACCTCCGGACTGCCATTTGTTCTCGGCCCCCGCATCTCCATCTCGATCTGCATCGCCGCGCCGTCCTCTTCAGGCTCGCTCTCTTCCCTCTCCCTCTGGTCATGCCGTGCTTCCTCTTTCGAATCGTCCACGTCCATAGCCTCCACATCCTCCTGGGTTTTGTCCTCCTGTGAAACGTGAGACTCGCGGGGGGCCCCATTGCGGGTTTGCTCTTCTGCCCTGGCTTCAGCTCCATTAACCACAGGCTTGACACCAGACCCACTAGGCCCAGCAAATGCCGCTTGTATGCTTCCCTGTTCCGCCGCCGTCTTCGCCTTCTCTTGCTTGGTAGCTTCCTGCCGCTTCTTGAACTCCTTGTACGTCATCGTCTTGGGCACGACGTCTACGAGGAACTCGAGGTTGTCTGTCTTCGCGACGGCGGACGAGACGTCGCGGTACTGCAGGTTGCGGCGCGGTTTGCGCTCTGCTTTGACGACATTGTGGGTTGTGGTGGCGAGGTGCTGGATGAACATTTCGGTTGCGAGGGCGATGGCGAAGGCGGCGTTTTTAGACGTGTGGAGCCGCTCCGGGTCGGCGTTTATGATCTTTTGCACGCGGGCGACTGGTTTGCGGTTAGATGTCGAGTCGAATTGTAGGGGTATAAGGTCGGAGGGGAGGGGCTATTGCTGTTGTTCGGCGGAGGGAGTTGCGGGATTGAGAAGAGTATGGAGACCCATATTGAGAACGGAGATAAATGGGGTAATCTGAGCGGCGGAAGGATTCAAGAGGGGGCTTTTCGACTTACGCGGAAGCGATACCTGTCCGCTGATATCCTTTGGAGGAGCGATTGGGGTGTTGTTGTAAGGCATCTTGGAGGTAAGCTGCGCTCCACCAGTTCGAGGAAGATGCGTGTGATATTTTGAGGATGCGCGAGCTACTAGCTGACAAGAGATTGTAGAACCGTTTGGGAACTAGCCGTAAGCCGTTCGACGCCGTTGGAAATCGAGATTTGCGATGGTGCCGTTCTAGACGCGTGGGTGGGCAGTCGTGGAGGAGCACGCGAAGCTTCGTCAAACATGTGGCACGTGCGCTCGAGCTTGCCCGATGTGGAAGGTACCTCGATACCGTACTCCGAACTCCATTATTCCGAAAGTCATCAAAAGTCGTCACAGCGGCGCGCCTAAACAAACGTGATCCGAGCTTTATAAGTATGGCCTAAGCTGCCATTCAAACTATTCTCAGCGCTCCTCCCAAGATTTAGTAGCAGGTCTACGAAGGCGTCGATTGCCGAACTGAAGCACTTCACTCCCCACAATACGCCGCCTCATCCATCTCAATGAAGTTTAGATTCGCCTTGCTACTTCCTGCAGTAGCCTCTGCCACACTCTTCTCACAAGTCCCGTTCCAGGACACTCCGGAGGTGGAAGCCTTCCAAATCTACCAGAGCCAATACTCTGAATATCACTCAATCCGCATCAAAGAACAGCAAAATGACACGCTCTGTGATGCACGCTCCAAGCAATACACGGGCTGGCTAGACGTGGGATCAAAGCATCTCTTCTTCTGGTACTTCGAATCGCAAAGCTCGCCCTCCGAAGATCCCCTGGTTCTATGGCTTACCGGCGGACCTGGAGGCTCCTCCATGATCGGGATGCTACAAGAGCTGGGGCCGTGTCTGATTAACGAGCACGGGAATGGCACGGTGTACAACAAGTACGGCTGGAGCAAGGACACGAATCTCCTGTTCATAGATTCCCCGGCTGGTGTCGGCTTCAGCTACCTAGATGAGGGGATACCGCTACCAGCAACAAGTTTCACGGCTGCAGAGGATCTGCATCGCTTCCTACAGCTGTTTGTGAGCGATGTGTTTCCTGAGCTAGCAGACAGAGACTTCCACGTGACTGGAGAGAGCTACGGCGGCCACTATGTTCCAGCGCTGGGCGCCCAAATTATCTCGCAAAATCTTCTGTATCCGAAGCGACCGCAAGTCAACCTAAAATCCATCTTCGTGGGAAATGGTTACGTCTCCCCCCTGGACACCACATTTGGATACTGGGAGACTCTCTGCACCACGAATCCAGGCGTCCAGGAGCCCGTCTTCAACCAAACGCGCTGTGACATCATGGCCTCCAACATGCCTCGCTGCATGGAGCTCTCTAGGGTATGCTACAACCACCCGGACCCGGCAATCTGCGAGGCGGGCTTTATGGTGTGCTGGAAGGGCATCATCGAGCACTATGATGGCGAGTCAGGAGCGGGCGGACGGAATCGCTTCGATATCACGCATCCGTGCTATACTAAGGACGACCTGTGCTACCGCGAGAGCCAGTGGGTTCAGGATTATCTGAATCTGCCATGGGTCTGGGAAGCACTCCATGTCCCTAAAGCTGTCAACAACTACAGTATCTACAACGGCGATGTCGGTATGGCGTTTGGGCTCACGAACGATCCGCTTATCACCATGCAACCACAGGTCATGTATCTTCTCGAGAGCGGAATTGATGTCCTGTTCTACCAGGGCAACTTGGACCTTGCATGCAACACAGCGGGTAATCTCCGCTGGGCTAATTCTATGGAGTGGAAAGGCCAGCCCGCTTTTGTTGCGCAGCCGAAGAGCGCGTGGACGGATGACGGCGAGGAGATAGGATGGTTTAAGGAGGTGAAGATCAAGACAGCAAGTGGAAGGGAGACAACCTTTGCATTGAGCACTGTTGATGGCGCAGGCCACATGGTGCCATACGACAAGCCGAAGCAAGCATTGGCACTAGTGAAGAGGTGGTTGAGCAAAAGAAGTTTCGCTTAATTTGCTGTGCATGTACGAGGGCAATAAGAAAGGCAATCTTTTGGGAAAATGTAGAGTAGGAGAGCAGCTCCAGCGAGCGCAGCGTTCTAGCTTTGTATTACATCCTGCTCCTTAACTAAACTTATGTCTATGTTCTGGTCAGCGCACAACGGCGCTCGAACGGCATTCGCGAGCCAGCCATTCACTCGTAAACGATTTCAACGCCCTTCCAACCAGGGATGACCTCCTCTCTTGTCATTCCCTGACCAGCAGAGTTCCCAAACCGCTTCAGCTCCGGTCTGATCACCAGTCTGAGAACTCTGCGGCCCCCACTCGGCGCACCCAAGACGTCTGTAGCAGCCGGTGGAAGGATTAAGTGCAAACGAAAGCGCTGGGTGCATGTCTCTAACCACGTCTTTGCAGATAAATTTACCAGATCTTTCAACGCCTGACGCTCCTTCAAAGTTAGAGCGGCGACCTTTTCCAGCGGACGCGTCATGGCGTCCACCGCGGCGGCAGCCGCAACCTCGTAGCTTCTGTGACTTCTTTCTGCCTCTAGGCTCTTATTGCCGCGCTCGATATTTTCAAGGAAGGACTTTGCGGCGTCATATCGCCTTTTCTCTGCTTCGGCGGAAGCTCCTGACGGACTGATCGCCGACGATTGCCCTGCTCACGTTCAGTGACGATGCATAGGGAGAGAAACTCATAGGGGGACCCACGTGCTGCATAAACATTGAGCCACTCCTTATCGGCATCTTTCCCTTCCTCTCCCATGATTCGAAACGGCGTCCGAAAGACGTGCGCATGGAGTAATACCCAGAGACAATTCTGCACAATCTGCTGCTTCAGCTTTCTCGTATTTTCTGGATGCAACTGCGATAGGACATGCTCCGGAAACGGCCAGCCCTCCTCTCGCCGGTTATCCCATCGAATTCTCGAGAACTCTTCCACTTGGCCCGCCAGACGCTTGAATCGCGTACTCAGTTCCGGATCGGTGAATCCCTTGAAGTGTTCCCTCGCGACCAGTGCTCCTTTATACTCTTCGATGTCGGCCCGCAGTTGCATCGTATCGGCTTGGAATTGCTGTTCGCGCTTCCTTTCTTTAACCTTGGCTTCTTTTTGAATTCGTGCTTTCTCGATTTCTGCTTCCTGCTTCCACTCCTCTAACTCTCTCTTCATCTCAGCTATCTCACTTTGATGCTCCTCGCGTTCGGTCTCCAGCCGTTGGCGAGCTTCGAGTTTCTGGACTTCTTCTTTCTCCTTCCACTCGTCTACCTCTTCCTGCATCTCCGCTATCTCACTTTCATGCTCCTGCTGTTCTCTCTTCAGCCTTTGTCTAGCTTCAAAACGCTCGCTCTCAAGGCGCTGCTCAAATCCTGCCTGCCTGATTTTGAGAAGCTCGGTCCACTCTGACTGCAATGCCTGGATGACTTGTTCATGCCGATATTCCTCAACAGCGGCACTTTCGCGCATTTGTCGAAGGTCATCCTCGTGGTTGTCACTTAGCCGGCTCAGGTCGCGTCGGAAGTTGATTCTCTCTCCGTTCAGTGTACTTTCATGAGTTCTGCTCAGCTCTTCTTTCTCTGATTTCAGCTTCGCAATATCTCGATTGAGTTGATCCAACTTCCGGTCATGCTGCGTCCTCTGGATGGACTCATCAGTCTTGAAAGCGTCTAGTGTCCTCTCTAAATCAAGCTTTCGCGTATTGCTGTGCCGTAGCTGATTCTTGAGATCTAGCAGCTCCCGCTTCATCGCCTCCATTGGCTTCAGCCTTTCTTCCAAGTCCCACATGCCGCCCGTGAGCATTTTACATAGCTGAAGTATCCGAACTACGGCGGCCTCTGGAGACTCGCCTTTAGGTCCTCTCAGGTCTCGGCAGTCGAGCGCGGCTTGCAAGAGATGGTCGCGGATCTGTGACAGCTGCTTCGAAGCATCTGCTTCATTCAATCCCTGACACCTCACATCAGTTCATCCACAATATACTTAGGGTGTCGAATGAATGAGGTCTCTCTTACAGTGTTGACGGTGTGTTCATTAGAATCTTCCACGGGCTCCTCGTTGTCGTCATCTTGAAGGAAAGTACTGGGGTTTTCCTCCGTTGAGCCCAATGACGCCGGCTTTTGTGACAGCGATGCATGAGGGTCTTCGTGTGCGAGATTATCACCAATGTTTAGAGGTAGGTCTGATGTATAGTCGGTTTGTGTCGCCGGTAGTTCGAATGATGCTGGCTCCCGTAGTTGTGATACGTGCGGGTTTTCATTTGCGGGGCGGCGGCCTATGTTCCCTCGGGATATCGCTGGTGCATAGTCGGCTTCGTAAGATGGCTTGGGCGCTACTGGCACAGCAGGCTTTTCATATTCCCAATGAGCGCCAGGTTCAGACGCTACAGGCAATGATGAAGATTGAGGTTTCCTCTTTACTCGGATGCCCTTTGGCCATTTCTGATACCACGCGTTTTGAGCTCCAGTTACTGCTTGGTGATTGAGTCCCCGGTTGTCATTCTTTCCGCCGACGGCTGAATTAAAGGCTCCAGGAGAGTCGCGGTCGTGGTTGTCCACTCCCTGCTTTCCTTGTGTTCTGTCTCGGCGGGATCTGCGCATCTCGTCGTGATGTCGAAGGCGACTTTCCAGGAACGCTTCTGCAGTTAGGTATGCGTGAAATGGGACTTTCAACTCAGGCAATGAAACCCAAACTCAGTTATGCTGAAATATGTCCGTGCGAACCTTTTCAGATAGCAACTCTGCCTGGTCTGGTGCCTAGCGTTGGATGGCTGCAAGTGCGGCATGCAGTGCCACATACCGCCTCCTTAGTGGCCGATAGAGCTTGCTACGAGAAGGCAGTAAGCGCGTGGCGTTTTGTATGCAGATAAGAACGCGAAGGCGATGTTGCCCGACGCGGGGCAACGAATCATGACAGCAGGCTGAAGTTCAGCCTTGCCAGAGCAGCGGCTCATTTGAGTCGTTGGAATGAGAAATTCCAAGACCTGAGATCCTTTCCGTGGATTCAGGCGTCCAGTCGTCGTTTTGACCTTGCTTTAGTTCGTCCAGCAAAGCCATGGTTGGCAAGCTCGTTACCATTCGCGAACATCGCAAGCCAATGAAACAAGCAACACGCTGTGAGGCCATTCTTATATTCAAGGCTTGAACACCCACCCCTGGTTCGTCAATTGATTAGGCCAAATATACAGTCATTCCATTTCCGGCGGTTGCATACACGCGAGCTTCAACTTGCATGCAAGGCTAGGCCAATACAGGATGCATCTGCTGAAAACCAGTGAAGGCAATACACCCAATCATTCCACGTTAGCGCCATCCTCCTTCAGTCACGAAAACCGCCCACGTCGATTCAGCCTATCCTACCTGAAGGCGCCCGGGGATCATGCCCCCGATGGACACGACCTCATGAAGCCTGCAGCTCAGCCCCGCATCCCCTTCAGCCTTCCACGTCGACCCCAAGTAAAATAATAGCATCCGCTGCCGTTCAGTGTCGGATCGGCTACGCCGGGGATAGGAATAGCCACCATGGAGGAAAGCTCATCCTCCTCTGTACGTCCTCCGTCGGAACGGGAGGGGATGATTGTTCAGGAGATTCTGGAACGACGTCTAGTGATTGGACTAGACTACGGCACGACTTTTACCGGTAAGTTCGTCACGAATGCGGTACCCTTTGTAGTGCGCTAACGCAAATTCCAGGTGTCGCGTATGCAACGCCCGCCGGTAATCGATGTGCACTTCGCGAAATCGATGTGGTCACCGACTGGGGACCTCAGATGGAAAATCACGACAAAGTACCCAGCGTGGTCTCCTACTCCCGTCCAAGTACAGCCCGCGAACAGCAGTGGGGCAGCAGTCTAAGCCCCAACGCGGTGACTATGGTTCATACCAAGTTAGAGCTTGATTTGGAAAGCGTGGCTGGTGAGCTTGACTTGACATTGCAGGTGTTGGACGGGATGAAAAATCTCAACTTTCTGCGAATAATGGGGGACCAAGAAGGGGATGGAATCCCTGCGTACAGCCACAAAAGCCCGGAAGAGATAGTCCAGGATTATTTAAGCAGGGTATTTCAATATCTGGGCAAGGTTGTCGAGGGATTTTCGACCGTGCTCAGAGTGAGGATACCCACTGATATCGTTGTCACTGTTCCGACGGTATGTTATTGTATTTTTGAAAGCTCCAGTGGCTGTTGAGAAGGATACTGAACGCATACAGGGCTGGTCGTACATGGCGATGAATTCCACATATCGCGCACTGTCGAAGGCTGGTTTCAGTCGGACTTCAGTACGTAATATTGGCGCACAACGTTTACGTTCCTCATTCTGGGCTGGGAGCTACGGGTCCCCTTCTGCAGTAGAGTTTCGCAGTCCGCAGGGACGTAATGAAAAGGGGGAATGATGGCTCTTCCCCCTGTCCAACAGAGCTGACTTTGAAATCTCGCGTTTAGTTTCCGATGCTGCAAGACGTCGTGTTCGTAACGGAACCGGAGGCGGCAGCTATGTACACGGCACGTTACTATAGCGATCAGCGGCAAGAAAGCTTTCTCAGGGTAAGGCCCTGTGCTCATGGATGATCACAAATCGTTGATTTCTTTTAGCAAAACCGCTACTTTATTCTTTGCGATGCTGGAGGCGGAACTGTGGTAAGTTGGAACCGAAGTGCTGTTCTACAGAAGTAGATTATCGTATCGCTGATACTGTTTTTTTTTCTGGACAGGATGTGATCTCGTACAAAGTGAAGCAGCTACAACCGACCCTCCAACTCGAGCAGATCGGCAATCCTACAGGTAAAGAAACCTCTCCCATATGCATGATAAGATACTGAACAAGTTCAGGACGTAAATGTGGATCAATTTTCATCAACCTCGAGTTCAAAAAGTGGCTCAAACGTTTGATAGGAGAAGCGAAGTATCGGGAGCTTGACCCCGATCTGGACGTGGACAAGAACGCAGCTCACGCCTTTGAAACGACATCGATGCGACAACTCATGCGAGATTTTGATACGCTCAAGCGGGATTTCCAGCCAAACTCGCATCAAGACTTTCACCTGGACTTGCCTCATCCTCTTGCAAATCTGGACATTCCAGATGTGGTTAATAAGGGCGAGATTACGATTACATGGTACTTTTCCCCATCTATGCGTTCGCATCGGTTAATTGTGACACAGCGCCGATATGGAGCATTTCTTTGATAAATGCGTTGGACAGGTTGTGGGGCTGATCAAGGAGCATGTACTATTGATAGCGAAACGTGGAGGGAGCCCAAAGGTACCTGATTCCCATCTGGCTCGTGATATGACTCTAATTTCCCGGCCAGGATGTAATTCTCGTGGGGGGATTCGGCGAGTCCAGCTACTTGCGCGGTCAGATCGAAACCACCCTGAGAATGTGGAAGCTTCAGCTCCGCCGCCCAGAGACCTCTTGGACAGCTGTTGTACAGGGTGCCGTGATATGCGGTATTGAGAAGGACAACATCTCGAACTTGAGGAGAGCGAATACGTGCAAGTACGACTATTGCATTCGTCTCGATCTACCATTTTCGGACGTCTTTCACACAATGGAAGACCTCAAAAACTCCAACGGCGGGTCGTATGCTGAGCATCAGCTGGACTGGCTTCTGAGCAAAGGCGACCTGGTTCTGTCAGATCGGTCGCACAGGGTGGAGAGGGAAATCACAATATCTTTCTCGAAGAAGACGCGGGGTATCAAAGAGGTGCCTATATATAGGTACACAGAGGATGGTGAACGGCCCAGTCGGTTCAAGAATGCTGTAGATGGTGCGTGTATACCATCTTGTGTTTGTTTCTCCAAGGCTGACTTGCCGTAGAGCTTGAAGAAGCATGTCTGCTAAGCATCGATCTAATGCAGATCCCTTTGACGGGTTGTGAGATAGATCGAGGTTGGGGTATTCGGCCTGATACTTATGAAACGGTGGTCACTCTCGTAACGGAGTTGAAGTGGGAGAGACTAGAGGCTTGCGTGAAGTGGAGAGATTTGGAGCTTGCGAGAAATAGCGTTCTATACTGACAAGTCCGGTCTCCTTCCTGCTCCAGGAACAGATTATCATAATAGCTTTTGAGGCAAATACCACAACTGATGAACATGCATATCGGTAGTTGAGTGCACTAAAATGCAGTATTATGACCTCGTAAGGCTTGGTCGCTACTGTGAATCGGCCTTGAGAATCTAGATTACAGCGCGGGGGCGCGGTTCGTAAGAGGGTTAGCAGGTACTGCTGCCCGAGCGGGCTGAAAGCGGGTAGCTAGGGCGTGGCGTCTAGAACGGGGGCGAATCATTTAATGAAGCGGATTTGGAGGCGCCCTCGGCGGGTCCGTCCGTTCATTGTGCAGTGCATCCAGTCAGGCTGGAATCTATTTTAAAGCCATAGCAATGCCACAGCCTCGCAGCCCTTGAAAAAGTACGGGTAGCCTCCCCAATTGTACAATCCGCGTGAAAATTCCTGCCAGCTTTCGACTCGTAGTCCATTCTATATTCCTCGACTACGACATCGACCCACAATGGTCCAGATAGACCTTTCCGCAAAATACCTCCTTACAAGCGAAGCTCTCGGCTCATCCAAAGCTCTTGCTTCAACCGGCAGCAACGACTCGCTCCTGATCGAGCCCACCGATTCGGGCGACAGCCAGCTATGGTACTTTACTCCGAGCGCCCTTGAAGACCACTTCCGACTCCACACCATTCAGAAAGGCGATTTCGCAGCCTTGGACGTCTACAACTACAACGGCCGAAACTCGCTCGATCTCCATTTCTATGCCAACCAAGAGCTGACCGGACAATACTGGCGAGTTGATGATTGGGGCGACGGTAGTGTGAGGCTCAGCAATAACTTCACGGGGCCCGATATACACTTAGAAGTCAATGCCGATAACTGGAAATTAACTCTTGCCGGCGGCGACACATCAGGTCAGCATTGGACTCTCAGTCTGCCTGGGGAGACATCTACCGCTGCCACTTCCCGAACACCTGGACCAAAAACCAGCTTTACCACCAATTCCACTGGCTCATGCACATCGAGTTGCTCTGCGACCGCAACTTCTGGAGCTCAGAACGACCTTTCGAAAGCACAGATTGGAGGAATAGCAGGCGGCTCAGTGGCTGGAGCTCTTCTCGTCGCTGCAGGCGCGATTTTCTGGTGGCAAAGATCGAGGAGAAGGGCAGGTGTCGAGCGACCAAGGAAGGAAGCGATGCGAAGCAACGGCCGAATTGATTTCAAATGAGAGGGTGCCCACTCCGTGTTCTTTCTTGTTCGTGAGATTTCTGGTGACGAACTGGGCTGAGGAGCGGCAGCCTGTAGTAAGCGCTGTAAGCTCTCGCATGTCTGGCAAAATATTCCTTCTAGCAGATATGTGCATAGTAATCAGCCAATCGCAAACATATCTGTTGTTGCGGAACCTTCGTGTCGCCCAATGAACCGTATGATTTCAGCGAGTGGCGTTCCGGCCGGGACTAAATGCATGCAATGTCAACCGGCGAAAACGCATCTAGTCGGAAAGAGCGAAGATGTCTTAGGACAAGGCAAACTCCACGGGCGGCTAGGCAGGCTGACCACGAGGCTGAAGAGGGTAGCGCCTCACTTCGGCGGCATTCTTGCCGCCCACCCCCGCCCGCTCTCTCTCTTCGGACTACGTGCTAGCCTGTTAGCCTGCTCGATTGCTTTGCTCCTCAAGGCTGCCTCGGTTCTCATCGTTGCAGAGGTGCTTGGTCGCCTTCCACTCCATCCAAGCCTTCTTTTGAAGTAGGCTATGTGAAGATCTCCGGAGTCTGAACTGCGGTATGTTAACTCCGCACACAAATCACGAACACAAATAACTTAGTCCTCAGGTGTCCCGGGAATGGTCATGGAAAAATTCGGCAAGCTCGTGAAACGAAAGAAGCCCAGCCCCCAACCCGCTGTCCCTCCCATCGAAGCAGCTCACCACCCAAAGCCGGGCGATATACCCATAACGCGACGGAAGCGACAACTCATCCAGCCAGCAGAGTTGCGGCAGCTACGAGAGCTAATCCGCTGCCGATACGCCCTCGACGTCGAAATCTGGAGCGACCGCAATGTGAAGTTCTACCAACGAGATCGCGCTATCGAGAACATGAGGAAATCGATGGCGGCGCTGGCAAGGATACAAAGGACTGTTGAGGCATGGGACAAAAGGGATTTTTTCGCCAGCGATGACGAGTATATGAAGTTCCGAGAGCTCAAGAGAAGGGTTCTGGAGGAGGGAAAGAGGGATTGGGCGAGCCATCCGCCGTGGGAGAAGGCCTTGCAGAACGGGAATGCGAATAGTCATGGGGGACTTGGTATGCTTGACCAGGACAATTACAGATGATTCACCGCCGGAACTTCCAAGGTTGTTGGTAGCGATGTATCCTGTAATGTACCTCGGTTAAATTTCCCTTTCGAGAACACATAATCACGACTCGTGAGCCCATTCTGGCTTGCACGGTCGATCAATGAAGGTAGATAAACCCGTTTTTAAGAGCTCAACTGTTGCTGAAGTGATTCAAGCTACAATAAAAGACTAAGTTTGCACGGTGAGAATATTGTGGCGCGGTTGATGTGATTGGTCCAGCAGTGGTGTGGCGTTTCAGCCTCATTGATCGGACCTCCGAGACGGCGGCCTGAAGCTCTCCAACAAGCTTGGAAGCTTCCAACATCACACGTCCTGACCATACTCTGGCCATGCGATGAATCGCAGCTCGTCCTCCCACTCTCGGCCGGGCGCCCAACTAACCCGCTCATCCTCCTCCTTTGCGCCCTCCCTCCGCCGCCGCAACACGTCCATCTCCTTCCAAGAACCCGACCCCTCTGACCCGGAAGCCGCGCAGACGGCGCACCACGACCATGCCATTGTCGAGGAAATTGCCGAGATAAAGCGCTACGAGGACTTTACTACTATCGACTGGGTGCAAGACGCGGCTCGAGAACAGCTCCGCCGGAAAGCGCGGCGGAAGGAGCGTGCGGGCTTCTGGGAGAGAGAGCGCAGGATTGGATGGAGACGTAGGGTCGCCGAGGCATACGATGCGGGGCAGGCGTGGATTGTGGTGACGCTGGTGGGCGCAGCCATTGGGCTGAATGCCGCCTTCTTGAATATTGCAACCGAGTGGTTGAGTGACGTGAAGCTGGGGCACTGCGAGACGGCGTTCTATTTGAACGAGAATTTCTGCTGCTGGGGTGCAGAGAGCGGTATGCTAAAAACCTACCTGGAGCTTTGGGGAGCTTGGGCTGATCAGACGCAGGGTGCTCCGAGTGGAAACGATGGAGCGGCTTCTGGCCGATCAACTACGTCCTCTATATCCTCTTCGCTGCCCTCTTCTCCTTGACGGCTGCCCTGCTCGTCAAGTCGTTTGCGCCATATGCTGCTGGATCGGGAATATCGGAGATGAAGTGCATCATTGCAGGTTTCGTTATGAAGGGCTTCCTGGGTGCCTGGACGCTGGTGATAAAGTCGATTGGGTTGCCTCTCGCGATCGCGTCCGGACTCTCGATTGGGAAAGAAGGGCCAAGCGTCCATTACGCTGTGTGTACCGGAAATGTCATATCGAGATTCTTCGACAAGTATCGCCGGAATGCCGCGAAGACGAGGGAGATATTAAGCGCCAGCGCAGCGGCAGGGGTCGGTGTAGCTTTCGGAAGTCCGATTGGAGGGGTGCTGTTCTCCTTGGAGGAGATGTCAAACTACTTTCCTCTGAAAACCATGTGGAGGAGCTATTTCTGCGCGCTGGTGGCTACCGCCGTGCTGGCCGCTATGAACCCCTTCCGAACCGGCCAGCTGGTCATGTTCCAGGTCAAATACGACCGGTCCTGGCACTTTTTCGAGATCTTCTTCTACCTGATCATCGGAGCCTTTGGCGGACTCTACGGCGCCTTCGTCATCAAGTGGAACCTCCGCGTCCAGGTGTTCCGGAAGAAGTACCTCGCCAAATACCCCATCATTGAGGCGGTTACACTGGCTGTGCTTACGGCTATTGTTTGCTATCCGAACATGTTCCTCAGGATTGACATGACGGAGAGCATGGAGATCCTCTTCCAAGAGTGTGAAGGGGGTCATGATTACGACGCGCTTTGCGAGTGAGTGAGTACTTTTCCGGGCTAGAGTGCTGTGGCTAATTAAGGGCAGTGGCAACAACCGTTGGCATATGATCTTCTCACTTGCCATTGCCACTATCCTTCGTACGCTGCTGGTCATAATCTCTTTTGGGTGCAAGGTCCCAGCAGGTATCTTCGTGCCCTCCATGGCTATCGGAGCCTCTTTCGGGCGTATGGTCGGTATCTTTGTGCAACATCTACATGAGAGCTTCCCGAATTCTGCCTTCTTCTCCGCGTGCGAGCCCGACGTACCGTGCATTACGCCGGGCACGTATGCTTTCCTGGGCGCTGGCGCTGCTCTTAGTGGCATCATGCATATTACGGTCTCGGTTGTTGTCATCATGTTTGAAATCACCGGCGCCTTGACATACATTCTACCGACTATGGTATGTTGCCATTAAATCTCGATGAGTGGATTCGCTAACCGCAAGCAGATCGTTGTCGGTGTAACCAAAGCCGTCGGCGAGCGATTTGGCCATGGCGGCATTGCCGATCGCATGATCTATCTAAACGGATACCCTTTCCTGGACAATAAAGAAGAGCACACGTTTGGCGTCCCAGTATCACAAGTCATGGCCTCGCACGTCGTTTCTCTGCCGGCCACTGGGCTTGAATTACGGCAACTGGAGCGTATTATGAATGAGAATCAATACCAAGGATATCCGATAGTGGACGACGCAAGCACAAAGACCCTCATCGGCTACATGGGCAGGACAGAGCTCCGGTACGCTATCGACCGGGCAAAGAGAGACCAGATGGCGCCTGGGCACGCGAAATGCTTTTTTACCTCATCTGGCACCGGTACAGACGCACGCACCCCCGCTTCCACGATGCCCGCTGTCACGTTTGACACCATGTCGGCCACCTCGGCGCAACTGCGCGTCGACTTCTCTAAATTCATGGATCCGACTCCACTCACAGTGCACCCACGCCTTCCTCTAGAAACCGTCATGGAGCTTTTCAAAAAGATGGGACCGCGCGTCATTCTCATAGAATACCGCGGCCGGCTCACGGGCCTCATCACCGTGAAGGACTGTCTCAAGTATCAGTTTAAGGTCGAGGCTCATGAGAATCCGCGGGATGCCACTAGCCTGGACGAGCGGCAAGAGAAGATCTGGGGCGTCATCAAGGCCGGGGCGGAGTGGGTTGATGGGAGATTTAACGGGCTGAGGAGAAGGCTGGGAATTGGTGGGCAGGATATTCGGTTAGTTAGTCCGACCAGTGCGGGTAGTGCTGAGCGAGAGCGGTTAAGGGATAGCGACGAGGCGACTGAGCTGGAACTGGAAGACCGGGAGAGTAGTGGAGTTAGATAGATGGTAATGTTCAAACGCATTGTCTGAACCCCTTGGAGACCCCCTTGCGATGTTTGTGGTGCAGGCAGAGACTTGGCTACAGGCTGTCATATATTGCCCTCGTCGGATCCCGCACGGTCGCAGCCTTGCACAGATGAAAGATGAGTTGGTGTTTCGTGTTTTAGCCGAACCGGGTTAGATAATGCCGCTCGTGATCACGTGCACCTCAGTCGTGGCTTCCTCCTGGCATATGCGGGGCTATTGGTAAACACCAACAGCAGGGCAAAACAGCAGACGAGCGTGAAAACGTAGCAAATCCGCAACGTCAACACGATATCAGCATCGTCGGCTTCTGGAACGGTTCGATTGGTGTTCCGCCGCTCTCGGCACACGAGTCACGACCGATAGATCGGGGGACCCCTGCAGCCAAAGCGGGAGGCGCGTGCGCAACGTCGCGTCGGCCGTCTGGGGTGAACTTGATCAACTCTTGCAAGTCAACACAGCGCACCTCCATCCACCAACAGGCCGGCCAGCCTTTCTCCTTCACCTTGTCTACCTCATATCTCGTCCCTTTGCAGCCCACGCAAGCGACGAGACACATGCCTTCTCCCCGACACGCAACCTGAACGACACCATGGAGGGACCGCTGGCTCCAGGGGCGGCCAACGGCAGCATCCGCACACCCAGCCCGACACCGCCAGCAATAGATGCCCAGATCATCGTCGACTATCTAGAGAGGGTTCTCGAAGCCAGTCTCGACGCCTCGGGGCAGGACCTGCGCGCCCCTGGCAGTCTGCTCTCGCCCGCCAGGCTCCACGACACCCTGCAGCGGTGCACCCGGTTCGCGCTTGAATCGCAGTCTGCAGCCCTTTACGTGGTGAAGGACAGAATCGATGAGACTCGCATAGACGGGCTGGATGGCGCGAATGGCAAGTGCTCCCCTGGGAAGGAAAGAGCGACTCCACTGACTGCCTCCCCAGGCGTCTCACAGCATTTTACATATACCCTCGCCTCCGAACTTACGGCCTCTCCTTCGTGCGCGGCGTATATTGTCATTTCCAAGCGACCGATACCCATAGACCTTGCGATACCCCTCAGCGCCCAAGTGCAGATTGTTACTCTTCCTGGCTTTACACTTTCTAATAACAATGCATCGCAAGATGCATCCCCCTACGATATCTTGGGCTCGATACTACAGCACTCGGTTGAGCCGTACTTTGACAGCTGTACGAAGAGCCAGCGCAGCCTGACCGGCACGTACAGCAAGGGCACAAATGACGCCAGGACGGGCATCTCGGCGGCCAAGAAGAAGATGACGGAGCTAGGACTAAGCCTGCAGCATCTAAAGCAGAACGTCGAGATCCCCGAGCTGCTCCTCCCGCTGCACCCTTTCATCCAGAATGCACTCGAGACGGCCGAAGAACGCAACGCCAAGCCCTCGCCCGAGCTGCTACCGGCTGCCATCCTGACCGACAGCAGCTTCCTCAACGGCTTGCAGGCGACTGTCAACGGCTGGATCAAGTCGATACGGAATATCACGAAGACGACAAGAGATCCGTCCACCGGGACGGCGACGCAGGAGATCAACTTCTGGCTCTCAATGGAGTCAAGGTTGGACGACATTGAGGCGCAACTGAGCAGCCCTGGGGTGAAGCTGACGCTGGATGTGCTCAAGAACGCAAAACGTTTCCAAGCGACTGTCAGCTTCAGCGCGGATACTGGACTCAAGGAGACGTCAGACCTGGTGGCCAAGTACAACCAGTTGATGCGGGATTTCCCTATCGACGAGCTGCTCTCTGCGACGTCGTTGCAGAAGGTGCAGGAAGCAGTCCAGCAGATCTTCGTCCATATGAACAAGAAGCTCCGCATCTGCCCGTATCCCGTGCGACGAGCGCTTCCTCTCGTCGAAGCCATATCCGGCGACCTCGATCTGCGGCTGCACGGGCTGCTGATTGGCAAGACCCTGATGTATATGGACTATCCGGAGTTCCAGGCTGTCATGGACGTTGCGGAGAGCATCTGGCGCACCTGGGAAGAAAACGTCAAGGAGTTCACCAATGTCGCGCGTGAGGTGACGAGGCGGAGGAACGAGAAATTCATTCCCATCAAGATTGCTGCTCGTCACCGGCAAACCGAAGAGCGTCTTCGATACATCACGACTTTCCGGAAGAACCACGAGCAGCTGCAGCGGACCATCGTCAATGTGCTTGGCTCTCAGTCATCGCTTTCAACTCTTGCGGACGGCGCACAGGTCAAGGAGTCCGTCATTGTTGAAGAGATCGGCGATGTCGACGCCGTAGAGGAAGTGAAACAAGCCTACGGTGTTCTGAAGGATGTTGATGTGCTCGACGTCTCGCTCGAGGGTACCCGACTTTTCGAGCAAGCAGAGCAAAAGTACAACGAACGGACCTCCCGCGTCGAGAACTCTATCATTGCGCGGCTGAGAGATCGCCTTGGTACTGCCAAGACTGCCAACGAGATGTTCCGCGTCTTCTCCAAGTTCAACCCCCTCTTCGTGCGACCCAAGATCCGAGGAGCTATCTCAGAATACCAGACCCAGCTCATCGAGAACGTCAAGCAGGACATTTCGGCTCTCCATGAGCGCTTCAAGCGACAGTATGGTAACTCTGAAGCACATGCTATGGCGCAGCTTCGCGACTTCCCTCCAGTCTCCGGGGCAGTCATCTGGGCTCGGCAGATCGAAACCCAGCTGGAAAACTACATGGGCAAGGTCGAGGATATCCTGGGTAAAGATTGGGCGCTTCACACCGAAGGCCAGAAGCTGCAGGCTGAGAGCAGCATGTTCAAGAAGAAGCTCGATACCCGACCCATCTTCGAGTCATGGCTTCAAGAAGTCGCGCGTCGGAAGTTGTCCATATCCGGTCGACTATTTCTGATAGCCAAAAATCGTGCTGCTGGTAACATCCTAGAGCTGCACGTCAACTTCGATGCTCAAGTCATTGCCCTCTTCAAGGAAGTGCGAAATTTGACATGGCGTGGCTACCAAGTTCCTCACGGCATCAACAATATCTCGAAAGAGGCGAAGCGAGTTTACCCATACGCCGTCAGCCTCATGGAGAGCGTGCGAACCTATACCCAGACGGTGCGCTCCATTGCTGAGATGGCTGGTGTCGCTCTGCTGCTGAATGGCTACCTCAACGACGTGCAAGGACTCGTCGGTAAGGGGGTGCCACTCAAGTGGGAATCTTTCGTCCATGCCTACGATCTCCACATCCGACAATCCGCATTCCCCACGGGAGCACCTGGGACCGTTCGGAGCGAGAGCAAGCACGTGCAGTTCGTCCGAGAATTCGCGGCGGCAACTTCGCTTTTACAGGCAAAGGTCTCCACGCTGGTCAACATTAACATGAGCGTCGAAAAGGCCTTGAAGGATCTCGAGACATGTCCCTACAGCACAGAAGCCTTCCGCCAGCATCTCGAAATCATCCAACGTTCCGTCGACCAGCTGAACCTCGAGAACTACTCAAACCTTGCATCTTGGGTGTCGGACATGAATGCGCGCATCGAGACCATCTTGCTCATACGACTGAATCGAGCCATTGCTCAGTGGATAGACGTCTTCACTAATGCAGACGAAGAAGACGAAGAGCGACGACCATCCAGCCAACCGGGTCTGGTCCATTCGGCTGAAGAGAAGCCTACCCTCTCAAGACTGACCCTAGAGATATCCATGCGCAACCAGGTCATCTACCTCAATCCACCCGTCGAATACGCCCGCGCGAGCTGGTTGGAACAGCTTCAGCAGTGGCTCGCGGTCATCTGCACCCTCCAGAAGGTCAAGGCATCGCGATACGAGATGCGATTAGAGGCAGCGGATGATGCTTCCGCTAGCCAGTTTGCCGATCTCCCTAGTCGATGCACGGATGCGCTCATGCAAGTGTACGGTGCGGTTGAGGGGAAGCTTCGCGAAATATCGTCGTACGTGGATGAATGGCTGCAGTTCCAGTCTCTCTGGGATCTACAATCCGAGCATGTGTACGATATTCTCGGCGAGGACCTGTCCCGATGGCTTCAGCTACTTCAGGAAATTCGGAAGACGCGCGCTACATTTGACAACTCTGACATCAACCGCCGCTTCGGTTATGTTACGGTCGACTATGAGCAGGTTCAGGTCAAGGTCAATGCGAAGTACGACCAATGGCAGCAAGAGATTCTTGGCAAGTTCGCTGGGCGCCTTGGTCAACGCATGACAGATGTCTACGCCCAGATTGAGAAAGCGCGCAAGGATCTGGAAGTGCAGACTCTGGAAGCTTCCTCTACCGCACAAGCCGTTTCTTTCATTACAGTTGTGCAGCAATGCAAGAGGAAGGTCCAGGAATGGGAGCCTGAGATTGACATATTCCGGCAAGGACAGTCCACCCTGATTCGACAACGCTACCATTTCCCATCTGATTGGTTGCATATGGAACAGATTGATCATGAGTGGCAGACACTCAACGACGTTTTGGAGCGTAAGAGCAAGATAGCCAACGACCAAGCTGACGGTCTCCGAGCCAAGATCATCGCCGAAGACAAGGTAGTCAACCAGAAGATCGCTGACATCACGGCGGAATGGTCTGAGGAGAAACCGGTAGCTGGTAACATCCGTCCGGCCGACGCATCGAACATTCTGGCCAAGTTCGATCAGAAACTGAACCAGCTGCGAACAGAGTCGGAGAATATCTCTAAGGCGAAAGAAGCGCTTGATCTTGCACTATCAGCGGACAATGTCCTCACAGCCGTACTTGAGGAAGTGCAGGATTTCAAGTCTGTGTGGGCATCCCTGGCTACTATATGGAACAGCGTCGATGACCTCCGAGAGACCCTCTGGAACAGCATCCAGCCCCGTAAGCTCCGCCAAAATATCGACAATCTCCTGAAGATGACCAAGGATATGCCGAGCCGTATGCGGCAATATCAGGCTTTCGAATATGTCCAGAACACTCTGAAGCAGCTGCTTAAGGAGAACGCCATTCTCGGCGAGCTGCGGTCGGATGCGGTTCGGGAGCGACACTGGACCAGGATCTTCAAGCAGCTGAAGCCCCATAAGCGCTACTCGCCCATTTCCATGACGCTCGGCGATGTCTGGGATCTCAAGCTGGGCCCAAGCGAGAAGATCATTCGGGATGTCATCACCCAGGCGCAAGGCGAAATGGCACTGGAAGAATTCTTAAAGCAAGTCCGCGAGACCTGGCAGAATTATGCCCTGGAGCTTGTCAACTATCAGAGCAAATGTCGCCTTATCCGCGGTTGGGACGACCTGTTCGCCAAATGCAGCGAGAACCTGAACTCGCTGCAAGCTATGCGTCACTCTCCATACTACAAAGAGTTCGAAGAAGATGCGTCGGCGTGGGAGGATAAGCTCAACCGCGTTCACGTCTTGTTCGACGTCTGGATTGATGTACAGCGTCAGTGGGTGTACTTGGAGGGCGTCTTCACCGGAAATGCCGATATCAAGCATTTGCTACCCATGGAGTCGTCCCGCTTCCAGAACATCAACTCCGAGTTCTTGTCCGTCATGAAGAAGGTTTCCCGACAACCCTTCGTCCTGGAAGTCCTCAACATCTCGGGCGTGCAGAAGTCGCTCGAGCGGCTTGCCGAGCTCCTGAACAAGATCCAGAAGGCTCTTGGGGAGTATCTCGAGCGCGAGCGGGTGTCGTTTCCCCGATTCTACTTTGTTGGTGATGAAGATCTCTTGGAAATTATCGGCAATAGCAACGACACGCTCCGCATTGCTAAACATCTGAAAAAGATGTTTGCTGGCATTTCTGGCCTTGTTACGGACGAAGACGGCATCATTAAGGGCTTCACCTCGAAAGAGGGCGAAGAGGTCATGCTACGAAAAGACATTTCGCTGATCAAGACGCCACGCATCAATGAATGGCTTGGAGCCCTCGAACTCAACATGAAGACGACGCTTGCAGAGCTGACTTTCGAGGCGTACCAGGAATTCGAACAGCTCATAGCATCCGAAACAATGGACCCAGACGCGTTCGATGCTTACATCGCGAAGTACCCGGCTCAGGTGGTTGTTCTCGGGACTCAAATCGCCTGGACGCATGCTGTGGAGAAGTCCCTAGCTGAGGAAGGGGTGTCCCTGCCGCAGCTGTACGAGAAGCAAGTAAGCATTCTGAAGCTGCTTGCTACTGCTGTCCTCGGTGATCTGGAACCAATCCATCGGAGGAAGTGCGAGCACCTAATCACTGAATTCGTCCACCAGCGGGACGTCATCCATAAGCTACGGAAGGTCGGTGCACGTTCGCCCACTCACCATATGTGGCTGCTCTCTATGCGCTACGTTTACGAGCCGGGAAATGACTTGCTGCAACGCCTCAAGATCAAAATGGCAAATGCAGCCCTCGACTACGGATATGAATACCTAGGTGTCGCTGAACGTCTTGTCCGGACCCCTCTTACGGATCGTTGTTTCCTGACTCTCACCCAAGCTTTGTGCCAGCGACTTGGTGGCTCGCCCTATGGACCCGCCGGTACTGGAAAGACAGAATCAGTCAAAGCTCTGGGTGTGCAGCTCGGGCGATTCACTCTCGTCTTCTGCTGCGATGACACATTCGACTTCCAAGCCATGGGGCGCATTTTTCTCGGTATCTGCCAGGTCGGTGCTTGGGGTTGTTTTGACGAGTTCAATCGTCTTGAAGAGCGCATCCTTTCCGCTGTGTCTCAGCAAGTCCAGAACATTCAGCTCGGTCTGCGAAAGGGTGCTGAGGATGAGAAAGCGCAGATTGAGCTGATCGGCCGCCAGCTCAGCGTCAATGGCAACACTGGTATCTTCATCACTATGAACCCAGGCTACGCAGGTCGCTCGAACTTGCCCGACAACTTGAAGAAGCTCTTCCGGAGCGTTGCCATGTCCAAGCCGGATAAGGAACTTATTGCTGAAGTCATGCTCTACTCCCAGGGTTTCTCACAAGCCAAAGAGCTGTCCAAGCAAGTCGTCCCCTTCTTCGACACATGCGCAGCCAAGCTTTCGAAGCAGTCCCATTACGACTTCGGACTCCGTGCCCTGAAGAGTGTTCTCGTCAGCTCTGGTGGGCTCAAGCGCGCCCGCATTGCTTCGCAAGGATCGCAGTCGCCTGACGAGGCAGTCATGGAACCGCAGATCATCGTTCAAAGTCTGCGAGAAACTATGGCGCCGAAGCTTATTCGATCCGATGTTGAAATTATGAAAGCTATCGAGGAGGACTCTTTCCCTGGGGTTGACTATATTCCCGCGCCGCTCGAAAAGCTCCAAGAGGCTATCCGCAAATCCGCAGCCGATTCTAAGTTTGTTGTCAGCGACGTTTGGATGTCGAAGATCCTCCAGCTTTACCAAATTCAGAACTTGCACCATGGTGTCATGATGGTGGGTGCGTCCGGGTCTGGCAAATCGGCAGCATGGAAGACCTTGCTCGCAGCCCTTCAGGCCGTCGAAGGCGTAGAAGGTGTCTGCCACGTTATCGATCCCAAGGTTATGTCCAAGGAGATGCTTTACGGAACCCTGGACAGCACGACTCGCGAATGGACGGACGGACTCTTTACCAGCATCCTCCGCAAGATCGTCGACAACCTCCGTGGTGAGGACACCAAGCGCCACTGGATTGTCTTCGATGGTGATGTCGACCCGGAGTGGGTAGAAAACTTGAACTCTGTCCTTGACGACAACAAACTCCTCACTTTGCCAAATGGCGAGCGTCTTAACCTGCCTCCGAATGTCCGCATCATGTTCGAAGTCGAGACGCTCAAGTACGCCACGCTTGCCACTGTCTCCCGTTGCGGTATGGTCTGGTTCAGCGACGACATTGTTGAGATCGATATGATGATTCAGAACTACATTGAGAACCTAAAGACCACGCCGTTCGAAGATATTGAGGATGATTCGGTGGCACCAGGCCAAATGTCCCAGAAGACTCTTGCCACTCAAACCATCATTGCCGACTTCCTGCAAATCAAGCTGACACAGGATCGCTTCATCGAGAAGGCGCTCAGCATGGCTAGAAAGTTCAACCACATCATGGAGTACACCGACATCCGCGCCCTGAACACGCTCTTCTCGCTCCTCAATAAGGCGTGCCGCAATGTACTGGAGTATAATGTTCAGCATCAGGACTTCCCGCTGGAGGACGAAAAGATGGAAGTTTACATGTCGAAGAAGCTGCTCCTCGCCATTGTCTGGGCTCTTGTCGGCGACTGTCCCTTGTCGGAACGCAAGCAGTTCGGCGACCTCGTTGCCGGCCTCACAGACGTCGAGCTACCCGCGCTGAATGAGTCCACGTCTCTCATTGACTACGACGTGAAGCCTGACAATTCGGATTGGGACATGTGGCAAAACCAGGTCCCGAACGTCGAAGTCAATACTCACTCGATTATTCAGACCGATGTGGTCATCCCGACGCTCGACACTGTTCGCCATGAAGACGTTCTCTATTCCTGGCTCGCCGAACACAAACCTCTCCTGCTTTGTGGTCCTCCAGGTTCCGGTAAAACCATGACTCTATTCAGCGCGCTCCGCAAGCTGCCCAATATGCAGGTTGTGGGTCTCAACTTCTCCAGCGCCACGACCCCGGACTTGCTCATCAAGACATTCGAGCAATATTGCGAATACAAAAAGACCCTCAACGGAGTGCAGCTCACACCTACCCAGGTCGGTAGGTGGCTTATCATCTTCTGCGACGAGATTAACCTGCCGGCTCCCGACAAGTATGGTACTCAGCGAGCCATCTCGTTCCTGAGGCAGCTCGTCGAACAGAATGGCTTCTGGAGGACATCCGACAAGACTTGGGTTACCTTGGACCGCATCCAGTTCGTCGGCGCCTGCAACCCGCCAACGGACGCCGGCCGTACCCCCATGGGTCTCCGGTTCCTGCGTCACGCTCCTTTGATCATGGTCGACTACCCTGGGGAGCAGTCACTCCTTCAGATCTACGGCACCTTTAACAATGCTGTACTGAAGATAATTCCCACTCTGCGAGGTTATGCAGACGCCTTGACGAGGGCAATGGTGCAACTCTACGCAGAATCACAGAGGAGGTTCACACCGGATATCCAGCCGCACTACGTTTACTCCCCTCGTGAGCTAACACGTTGGGTTCGAGGCGTATACGAAGCCCTGCGCCCACTTGAGACCCTGCCTGTGGAAGGTCTTGTCAGGATCTGGGCCCATGAAGCTCTTCGGCTGTTCCAAGATCGTCTCATTGCTGAGGAGGAGAGGAAATGGACTGAGGAGTGTGTGCATCGCGTGGCTAGGGAGTACTTCCCAACTATCGACGAAGAGAAGGCCCTCGGCGGTCCTATCCTGTTCTCAAACTGGCTGTCGAAGAATTACGTGCCGGTTGAACGCGAGCAGCTTCGAGATTTCGTGAAGGCACGCCTGAAGACATTCTGCGAAGAGGAGGTGGATGTCCCCTTGATCCTCTTCAACGACGTGCTCGAGCATGTACTCCGTATCGACCGAGTATTCCGCCAACCACAGGGACATCTCATCTTGATCGGCGTCAGCGGCTCCGGAAAGACCACATTATCACGCTTCGTGGCCTGGATGAACGGCCTAAAAGTGTATCAGATCAAGGTACATGGCAAGTACTCTGGTGAGGACTTTGACGAGGATCTCCGGAATGTCCTCCGACGATGTGGTTGCAAAGGCGAAAAGATCTGCTTCATCATGGACGAAGCCAACGTTCTCGACTCTGGCTTCCTCGAGCGCATGAACACCCTCCTGGCGAACGCCGAAGTGCCCGGTCTCTTCGAAGGCGACGAATACGCGTCGTTGATGACTCAGATCAAGGAAGGCGCGCAGCGACAAGGCACCATTCTTGACTCGCAGGAGGAACTGTACAAATGGTTTACCGAGCAGATCGTCAAGAATCTCCACGTCGTCTTCACGATGAACCCGCCTGAAGAGGGCCTTTCGTCCAAAGCCGCCACTAGTCCTGCCTTATTCAATCGTTGCGTTCTCAACTGGTTCGGTGACTGGTCTGACCAGGCACTGTACCAGGTCGGCACAGAGCTTACTCTATCTGTTGATCTGGATCGACCCAACTATAACGCGCCAGACAGTATTCCCGTCGCCTACCGTGGGCTCAACCTACCACCTTCCCATCGCGAGAGCGTCGTTAATGCGATGGTCTACATACATCACTCTTTGCATGGCTTCAATAACAGACTGCAGAAGCAGCAGAACAGGAAGACATACCTCACGCCTCGCCATTTCCTGGACTTTGTCGCGCAGTACGTCAAGCTCTATGACGAGAAGCGTGAGGATCTGGAGGAACAGCAGCGCCATCTCAACGTGGGTCTGGAGAAGCTTCGCGAAACAGTGGACAAGGTGGAGGAGCTACGGGTGAGTTTAGCCGAGAAGAAAACGCAGTTGGAAAAGAAGGATGCAGAGGCGAATGAGAAACTGCGACGGATGATTGCGGATCAACAAGAAGCCGAGCAAAAGAAGGCAGGCTCCATACAGATCCAAGCCAAGCTTGCCGAGGATGATGAAGAGATCAAACGGCGCCAGCAGGTGGTGATGAACGACTTGGCAGCTGCCGAACCCGCTGTCTTGGAAGCCCAGAAGAGCGTTCAGAACATTAAGCGACAACATCTCACCGAAGTCCGATCCATGGGTAACCCGCCTAATGGTGTCAAATTGGCGCTGGAGGCCGTCTGTACGCTGCTTGGTCACAAAGTTGACAGCTGGAGGACCATTGTGTCTATCGTCAGGCGTGATGACTTCATCGCTAGTATCGTTCAATTTGACAACGAGAGGCAGATGACGGCTGCGCACCGTAAGAAGATGCAATCCGAATACCTTTCCAAGGACGATTTCACGTTCGAGAAGGTCAACCGTGCTTCCAAGGCTTGCGGTCCGCTCGTACAATGGGTGGTTGCACAAGTGCACTACTCTGACATATTGGATCGTGTCGGGCCTCTGCGTCAAGAGGTTGAGAAGCTGGAAGCTGATGCACAGGCTACCAAGGACCAGGCCAAGGAGACGGAGATCCTGATCAAGAACCTCGAAGACAGCATTGCTCGGTACAAGACGGAGTACGCGGCCTTGATCAGCGAGACCCAGGCCATCAAAGCGGAGATGTCAACCGTCGAGTTCAAGGTTGACCGAAGTCTGAAGCTCCTTGCCAGCCTTTCTTCAGAGCGCACGCGATGGGAAGAGAGTAGCAAGTCGTTCGACTCTCAAATTGATACCATTGTCGGAGATGTCCTCGTCGCAGCCGCCTTCATTGCTTACGGAGGTTACTACGACCAGCAATACAGGAAGAGCATGACGGAGGACTGGTTGCACCATCTCTCGCTCTCCGGTATCACCTACAAGACTCCAAATCCAGTCACCGAATATCTCTCCAGCGCAGACGACAGATTGACGTGGCAGCACAATGGCCTCCCCGTCGACGACCTTTGCACCGAGAACGCTATTATCCTCGAGCGCTTCAACCGATACCCATTGATCATCGACCCATCCGGCAGGACTTCTGAGTTCCTGCAGAACGAATGTAAGGATCGCCGGCTCACGGTCACTAGCTTCTTGGACGATTCCTTCACCAAGCAGTTAGAGAGCTCATTGCGTTTCGGCAACCCGATATTGATCCAAGACGCGGAACATCTGGACCCCATTCTCAATCATGTGCTTAACAAGGAGTACCAGAAGACGGGCGGTCGTGTGCTCATTCAGCTCGGCAAGCAAGAGATTGACTTCTCGCCCTCCTTCAAACTGTTCCTTTCCACGCGCGATCCTTCGGCCAACTTTGCTCCAGATATCTGCAGCCGCAGCACTTTCGTCAATTTCACGGTTACACAAAGCAGCTTGCAGACGCAGACTCTCAACGAAGTGCTCAAGTCTGAGCGCCCAGATGTGGATGAGCGGCGGTCGAACCTCATCAAGATGCAAGGAGAGTTCAGCGTCCATCTTCGCAAATTGGAGAAGCGCCTTCTTCAAGCTCTCAACGAGTCTCGCGGCAACATTCTTGATGACGATCGCGTCATTGAGACCCTGGAGACGCTGAAGAAGGAAGCTGCTGAGATCTCAGCCAAGGCGTCCGAAACCGCCGGCGTGATGACAGAAGTCGACAATATTACAAAGGAGTACACTGTCGTTGCTCGCTCTTGCTCGGCCATTTTTGCGGTCCTAGAGCAGTTACACCACCTCAATCACTTCTACCAGTTCTCGCTCCAGTATTTCACGCAAATCTTCGAGACGGTGCTCCGCAAGGTCAGGAACTCTGGCATTTCCGGCCATGCAGCTCGAATCGATCAAATCATCACGGAGCTATTCGTCGATACCTACCGTCGTACTTCGCTGTCCCTGCTCCAAAAGGATCGCGTCACGTTTGCAATGCTCCTAGTGCAAGCCGCACCTTACAAGATGGACAAAACGCTCATTGACATCATCCTCGACAGTGATTTGGAGGGCGTAGATGTGTCTACCCAAACCGAGCGGAAAAGCGAAGCAATGTCTCGGGCTTCCAAAGTCCCAATTCTCAAGGCCGAGGTTGACAAAATCGGCTCAAGCGTTTGGGAGACTTTCCTCACTGAAGAGCTCGGGGAGCGACATGTGCCTCAGGCATGGCCAGAGGATCTCAACAAGTTCGACCAGCACCTTCGCTCATTGATTCTGGTCAAACTTTTCCGCGTCGATCGCTTTGTGCCTGCTGTCGAACGCTTCGTCACCGGGGTGTTCGGAAAGGGTCTGCTCGACGCTAGCGGTGACTTGGGCGAGATTGTGCAGCAAGTCAACGCGACCACGCCCGTCGCTCTCAGCTCCAGTCCCGGTTTCGATGCCAGCTACAAGGTCGACAACCTGGTTGAGAGGGAGCGCGTCACCTGCTCCAACATCGCCATGGGTTCGAACGAAGGCGCCGCAACCGCCGACAAAGCCATCAGCAATGCCGCCACGACCGGCAACTGGGTCCTAATCAAGAACGTTCATTTGGCTCCGCAGTGGCTTCAGTCACTCGAGAAGCGGCTCGAAGCGCTCAAACCCAATCCTGACTTTCGCCTCTTCTTGTCCATGGAGTCGAGCCCGAAGATCCCGGTCAACCTTCTCCGCGCGTCTCGCGTGTTGTCTTATGAGCAGCCAGCCGGTATCCGTGCCAACATGAAGGACTCGTTGTCGTCCTTGACTGAGAAGGCCAACAAGCAGCCGGTTGAAAAGGCTCGTGTGTATCTGTTGCTGTCCTTCCTCCACGCAGTCGTGCAGGAACGTCTGCGATATGCGCCCAGCTTGGGATGGAAGGGGTTCTGGGAGTTCAACGACAGCGATGTAAGTTCAATCTTTCCCATCACCTGCTCAAAATCATATGCTTACCTAGGTCTAGTATGAATGCTGCAGTTTCATAATCGATACGTGGATTGACTACGTTGCCCAAGGCCGCTCCAACATCGCTCCTACCAAGATCCCATGGGATATGATCCGCACTCTCATCACCGAAATGTACGGCGGCAAGATTGACAACGACGCTGACTTCCGCACGCTCGCTTCTATCGTCGATAGCTGCATGACGCCGATCGCTTTCGAGGACAACTTTAAGATTGTCAAGGACACAGAACAGGGCGAGGGGCTGGAGCTGCCGAGCAGCACCGGGTGGAAGGACTTCATGAAGTGGGTCAATGACCTACCTGAGCGCGAACCGCCTACCTACCTAGGTCTGCCGGCGAACGCAGAGAAGTTGCTGCTCGTAGGCCAGGCTAACGAAATGGTCGGCAACCTCAAGAGGGTGGTGGATATGCTGGATGAGGGCGAGCAGATCATGGCGGAGGCCTAAACGCCTCAACTTTGGGCTACGGCTCACATCATTCATGTATTGGCTCTACATGAGCTTTTCTTTTGTTCTCAAGTGCTCTCTTCTAGCCTCTACAAGGCACATATCGGGTGGTTTGGCGCAGCTTTAGTGTGGGACATGGCTTTCGGCGCAGGCGCGACACAGTCTGCCATCTGCTGCATGGGATACGGAGTCGGTTCAATCTCTTAGTGTGGGGTTGCATTTTGCTACACGCAGATATACCCATCTCATTTGTTTTCGCTTTAGCGCTTTAGAATGGCTAAGCACGCTTTCCTTCTTCCAGGATGTATATATTTAATACGATTTCATCTTACCAGGGGAGTGCGCTGCCTAGGTAGTGACCATGATGTCATGAGGTGCGGCTGATGGATGCCTGGAAATGGGCGAGCGTCAGCGGACGGAGGGGTGAGAGCGATCATCAAAGTGAGAGACTGGTTGGTGTCCCTTTCTCATCGACCATTTAGCCTACCCCGTCCCTTGTTAACCTTTCGTATGCGACGCCCTAAGCGGACAGCTTTACTGGTCGGCAATAAGTTAGACCTTTCGTCTAGCCTTGCTATCAGACGGGCCATTAGGAAAGCATCCACTTCTTTTACAACAGAGCTTTGCCCTCCTCTGGAAGAAGTGTCTACTTTTCTAGTCGGGTTACGGCAAGACAGCCTGTTTGCTAGGCTTGCATGGGTTCTACGGTCCGGCCTCTTTTCCTTTACTTTCTTACGCTTTGAGAATATCTTGCGAACGCTTACTGAGAGTAACCGTTTACCCTCATCGAGACACCTCGATTTCCGATTTCGCCGAGCTGAGACTCCGGACTCGGTGCAGCCTAGCCAGCATGTCGCCCTCTAAAGCTATGACCGGGCTAGACGCGCTCCACGGCTACCTCGACCGCCACGGTCTACTCGACGCAGCCAACAACCTCCCACACCATTCCGCCATCACCATCACCCCGCAAACCGTCTTCCCTTCCGAGCACCCGTACAAGCTCCTCCTCGGCATGCTCCACAGCCGAGAAGTCTGGATCGCCCTCGGGAATTCCCCCACTTCTAGGCCCTCAGCAGCGCCTACGATGAGTCTGTATCTAGCGGGCGCTGGCTCGTCTCTGAAGAGCCTCAGCCCAGCTGAGTGGGACCACGTGAGCATGTTCGAGCCGTTCAGCACGCTGTGGGAGACTACGAGGGATTGCGCGGGGAATGAGAAGACGTGGGCGGATAATCGGAGGGGCATGCTGAAGGCGCTGGCTTATTGGTACTTTTTGTGGGCCGCAGTTGAGAGGGGTGGCGCGCTGGATGTGCCGAAGACTATTCCGAGTTACTTGAGGTTGGCGTTGGGGAGGTTGGAGACGGGGTCGCTTTTCCCGGAACATGGGACTGGTTTGGTGCGCGAGGTGGGTGGGGAGGGTGATGGGAGGGGGAAGAGAGAATGTGAGCGAGGAGGAAGAGGGATGGAGGGGAAGAGGCGGGATGGTGAGATGCTGAATGAGCGGATTCATGATCTGAAGGAAGGTGGCGCTGCAGAAAGGCTTAGGGCAACAACAGGGGTTGGGACGACCGGCGAAAAGAGCGGCTTGGGCCGGATAGAGTCTCGGCTCCGCGGCCCACTCCGAGAGAAGGTCCAGCACAAAGCTGGAAGGGAGATCCTAAGAGGCAACGAACCACATGCACAGAACCGCCTGAGCGGCGTCAATTTCGCGGAAGATGACACAGAAGCAACTACGGCCGAGGAGCTACTGGCCGCTTTTCAAAAGCCTGCCTCTCGTCATCCCTATCCCGCCCCTCAAGGTTTGTCACCGTATCCACACCCAAGCTCATCACCACCGGCAGCTAAGGCAGGAGGTCCAGAACAACGCACATCCAAACTAAAGTCTGGTTCGCTGCCATGGGACCGCCAATCAAGAGCATACACCCCCTCGTTTGAGCGGAGCGAGAATCCACCGACCTCCCTTGTTCATCCAACCCCTCGTCCTGCGGGACCGGTTGATCCAGCTCGACTTCTACCTCCGCCCGATGATGAAGTCTTCCCGGAGCTTCGGCAGCTGCTGGACATGGAGGCAACATTATCCGCTGAGTATGACAGCTTGAAGAGGAAGGCGGAGAAGCTTGAACGGAGGACGGAGGAGATAAAGCGGAGGCTTGAGGAGCAAAGACGGAAGATTAGGCGGGTGGGGTTGGGTATGTACGGCGGGGAAGGTGGATGATGAGTAGGGGAGATGCGAGAGGAGGTCTAGTCTGCGGGTGGAGGAGTGAGCAGGTACGGAATCCGGAGTATCTTTAGCAAGGACTGGGCGTTTGTATCGGCGAGGGGACGCGTTTTAGTCAAGCAAGGAATGCATGCTGCATACAGAGATATTTGCATGATCGGCTAAGAATGGTTTGTGTGCAATTCCTCGGCACTTGCGGCAACCTCTCGCACCGCCACTGGACTAAGCGCCACCCACAACGCGAAATCGTCGCAATGCAGGTGGTTGACCATGCGACAGATGCCCTCGCAATAAAGACGTGCCGAACAACACACTCCTCTACCCCACCGTCGTAACACTGTGACCAAACGGCTAGGATTAAGGTCCTGCGCGAGGAGCTCGTGCAAGCCAGTGAGAAGGCGAAGCGGCGCAAGACCAAGATGACAGGATAAGATAAACGAGGTGTACCAGCTAACGAAACGCGAGATGCACGAGGCTACGACGTAATAGACCTGCAGGGAACCCGGGAGGATTTCTTTGTGAAATAAGAGCAGCGTGGTTGCACTTTGGGCCTCCAAGCCCATGACGAGCTTGGAAGGTGTGTTTTCGACATGTTCGATCGCTATGCTGTCTCCCTACAGCGACAAACTGGATGGGATTACTCGGGGCCTCGCGGACTTCTCGCCTGCGCTTTAACCTGATCTCCCCTATTGCATAGTATAGGAATAGACCTATGTCGTGGCACGCGTAGGGTAGGTGAAAACGCATCGATATGGGTGTGCCCCAGGCCCATCAACCGCCTTACTGCTCATTACAGTCCCCTTTTCAAAAAATTAATGTGATGGTCATTGTTGGGCTAGTAAACATAGGCGTGCTTACATGCTGCAGCTCACCGCTTTTATCTCCATCCTCCCCTCCTGTTTCACCCGCAGATCCCTCCACTAAGCCTCAAAGCTAGACTTACGGCATAGCAGCATATGCCAAAGCAACCACTAAAGACCTTATCCAGAAAACCGGTAGATCCTGAACAAAACAAGCAGTAAACTAGCCGAAGCCGTTCTTCGATCCAAACCAATACACGTATACAATACAAGCCGAAACAACGAAGTCGGTCTTCAAGCTGGAGGAGACAGTAAGGCTGAGTATCATCCAGCAACAAGACGCAGCGTGACGTAATAGTTTCCGGCCGCGATGATCCCGCGTCGTGAATCCGCATGCTGGTACCCATCACTCCTCCATATCACTCTCCTCCTGTGCTAGCTCGGTAGCAATCTTCAAGCTCTTCCTCTTGAACTTCTTCCTCCAGCCCTTGCGCTCATTATCCAACTTCCTCCGCTTCTCCATAAGCGCGTGCCGCTGTATGTCTAGGATATCCAATTCGTCATCGACAGCGTTGATCTGCCGTGTGAGCTGCTGATCCTGCGTGACTATCTGCGCGAGGCTTTCAAACTCGGCGTCTTCTGCGGTGCGTTTCTTGCCGCGCGGCAGCTTGGCTTCCGGCATGGGCTCTGGTTGCGGCTCTGCTTCCGGTGCGGGTTCTGGCGGCGGCTCACTTTCCGGTGTAGGTTCTGGCTGCGGCTCTGCTTCCGGCGTTGGTTCTAACTGCGGCTCACCTTCTGGTACTGGTTCTGACTGCGGGGTGTCCCCATTCATTCGGCCGTGCTGCTCGTTGCCGGTATCTTCTGAGGTCGCGACTTCGTCGAGCGTCATCTCGATCTGGCTCACGTCGAGCGTTGTCAGGATCTGGCTATCGTCGATGTCGTCGTCATCCGTTAGCATGTGCTCCTCCTGGGGTTCATCCTCCTCCTCCTGGGACTCATCGGCCTCCTTTGGAGGCTTCACAGCCGCCGGACCCATCTTGCGCGCAATATATGCCAGCGCGCTGCGGAACCGATGCGGATAATCTCTCGCCTCCTTGAGTACAGAGTTATTCGCAATGCCCGCCGCGATAAAGTACCACTTGACCATCAGATTAAGCCGTATCTTGTCGCTGCGATCGATCGGATCCACATTCTTGTCGTAGGTCTTATTGAACGGATGCCAAACCTGCTGCTTGGCAAGCACATGTGCGGGGATCTTCTCTGGCGCTGTGTGTCCGCTTTCTCGGTAGAAGTGGATCTCGTGGCGCTGGGCCTTTTTCTTTATTATGTGTGCGTAGATGTCGTCGCCGGAGCTGATGTGGCGGCCTACGAAAAGCTTCTTGGGCCCGGAAGATGGGAGGAGTGTTTGGTCGGCGAATTGCATTTCCTCCGGCGTGGGGATGTTCTCGAGAAGGTAAAGCTCGCGGTATTCAAGCAGATAATCTCTTAGCTTGGTGTAGTCAGACTCTGAGTCGGATCTCGAAGATGATTCTGGAGAAGGTGAATCTCGACGTGGTTGGGGAGAGCTGGTTTTCCTGGAAAGACCGGAACGAGATTCGACACCCACGAGGTCTGCAAGACCTGCGTCTTCCTCTTCTCCCTCCCCCCTTTCTCGCTCTTCATCCTCTTGCGCTTTCTCAAACTCTTTCTGAAGGTTTGCAAGGTGTGCTCCCATTTTTTTTACTCGCTCTCTGGCAAGTTCGATGGTTAGCGGCGGGTCCGCCGCTCGTTTGGTCAAGTCATCGAGCTCCTCATCCTCCCCCTGCGCTTCTTCAGCCTCACTTTCTCCACTGACCGCTTCCTCTCCATCCTCTTGCTTGTCCCTGTCCCCCCGAAGGTTCGCAGGCTCCTCATCCTCCTTCTGTGCTTCTTCAGCCTCGGTCTCTCCGCTGTCCGCCTCCACTCCTTCCTCTTGCGCGCCCTTGCCTTCTAAAAGATTCACACCCTCCTCATCCAGCCGCTCCTTAACAATCCGCAGCCCCGCTTCAAACCTCCTACAAAAGTGCACCGGCGCCCCGCCGCCACCGCCCTTCACAAACCCGCCCGCCAAGAAATAATACTTGATAAAAATACCTATCTTGCGTTTCTCAGACGTCGACGGCCCCGCGAGATACTTAAACGGCGCCACGAGATCCACGCCCACGATCTCGTCCAGGAGCAGGGCAGTCGGACCGCTGGGACCGTGGCTCTTCGTGCAGAAGCGCAGTTCGGGGCGCTTGTCCCCCTTCTGCGCCAGGAAGGCGTAGACGTCTAGGCCGCCGCGGGTTCCGATGACGAGGGATTTGCGCGGCGAGACCCCGGAGTGGTGGACCCATTGGAGGCTGCTGGCCTTGGGCAGGATGTCTAGAAGGTGCTCGGTGCCGTTTGCTTTGAGGTAGTTGTGCAGAGCCGCGAGAGCCATGCTGCTGTTGGGGGTGTCTCGGCGCCACTCTGGTACTGGGGTCGCAACGCGTTTGTGTGAGGAGCTGTGATTCGTAAGGGCGGAAAATAGATATTGCTATGTGCGAGGCACGACAATCCGTCATGGCGATTGTTGGGGTTGCTAGCGAAGGGCTGAGCCTCGTTTGTGGACGCGTCGAAGCGCGTCGAGCCAAGCGCTCTTGGGGTTCATACGGGACTAATGCTGGGCTAGCTAAAGTCCTTGCATAGGAATTGATGCATGTCCGCTCTTTGGGGAAATGTCCGCTTCAGATGAGAGATGTGTAGTGTTGTGAAAACGGTGGGGATGCGACTGAACAACGGATGGACCGAGCGCGCGCTAGCCAAGCCCAGCGGCTCACGTGCTGACGGGATATCCATGGATTTATGGATGCTAGACGACCTTCAGAGACTCAAGAGTCAATTCTCGCTGCAAATATCAGCGTGAGAACTATGCAAAGAAGACCTGAGTCTCAAGTTTTGCGTAGTCGGTGGTGAACAAACGTGATTGTAGTCTACCTTAGATGAACCACATGAAAGCGGCGAGCCAGTATACAGACCACCGCTTCCGACCAACGCCGTACTACACGCAAGGCCTCACGCCAAATCCCTTACGAAGACAGTCCCAGAAAAATACCTCCACGAAACAAGCCATCAATCCGCCGTCGCCCGCTGGGCTTAACGCACCACACCACCACGCCATCACAGCCCGACCTGCCCCTCCCAAGCCAACCCACGCCCACATCAGCGCCTCTTCCTCAAATACTTCCTGACCTCCTTCGCGCGGGTCTGCATCAACCGGTCCATAGCCTGGTCCCGGCGCGTCCTCCGCGCCTTGAGCAAGCGCCTGGCTTCCTTCAACCGCTTCCTCAGCTTTCTGTCCTGGGATTCCTCGTCCTGGATCTGCGCCATAATGTGCTGGAGGTCGTTCCCAGGTGCCGCGCGACGTGTGCGGTTTAGGTGGCGAAGCATGGCCTTGGCTGCGGTGAGGGCATCGTAGGCGGTCTCCTTGGGAGCGTTTCCTTGTGAAGGGTTTGATGGGAGGGGGGAGAGCTCATGGGATGTGCTGCCGGAGGCTCGTTTGGGCACGGTTGGAGTGCCTGAGCCGAGCGAGCTCGACGCTGGGGTCGGCGAAGGATTAGAAGATCCCTTTGCGACCTTTGTGCCGGAAAGAATGGATACCGCACCGAGCCTTCCGCTGAGAGGATGCGACAGTGGCTGAAGCCGGCGTTTCGATCCAGACAGGCTGCCGGAGGCTCTTCCGGCGTCTTTGCCCTGGGGTCCTGGAGAAGCATCTGGGCCGCCAGGACTAGAAGCCTCTAGCGTGCTAGGGAGTTGAGCTTGCTGAGCTCCGTCTGGCCCTTCCAATTAGTCAGCTACATAACACCGAAGGTCGAAAAGTCTCACCAGTGGTTTTGTTGTGGAAATCCCGGATCCGCCTCAAAGCGCCTATGACCATGACATGCGTGTTGCTCCCACTGCGGGCAAAGACAGTGTCCTCCAACCTCTTTAGTAGAAAGACATATTTGATGAGTGCCTTGAGTTGTATATGCGCGTTGGGCCTGAGGTCTGGAGCGGTAAAGATGCTAAAGGGCTCTCTAAGAGGTAGTTTATGCATGTCCTCGATCGTAGCGTATTGGAGGCTCGTTGTCGTCTCCATGTAGAAGATAACCTCGACATAGGTCGCGTACCTCAAGTATGCCCATGCTGTGTGGTTGTGGCGTTGTCCGAGCAAGAGTCGCTTTGGGTGATATTTTCGCTCTCCACGTCTGATAGCCTTGCTGTCTGGTACGTCATCGAAGACGTAGTCATTCTCCGCAGGAAGCAAGTCGAAGACATGCCTCACTCCGCGCTGCTTGGCATATTCGTAAAGATCCTGGAGTTGAGTTGGTGGCGCTGGGCTCGTGTTTGAGCTCTCGGACTTGATTTTGCGTAGGCCGCCATCTCCTACATCGGTCAGACTAGAGTGTTGTTTCAGCAGGCCCTTCGTAGACGTACTGGAGCTCGTCATGCTCGCCTCTTTCATGTCGGCAAATGTGGCGTCGAGAACGAGTCCGGTTCGCGTTTTGGTTGCAGGTTTTTGCCCCGTTTGCTGCTTGTAAGAGGGCTGTGTGCCTACCAAGACGCGGGGTCGTGGTGAGCAGGCAATGTGTTGACGAGGAGCTCCCGGATAAACTTTCGGCCCGAGAGTCGCGTTGCTAATCGCCTTCGGCTGAGTGAAAGGGATGTAGGAGACGGCCAAGCGACGACCAGATAATCTCAGGCACTTCCTACGGTTTTGAACGGGCGCCAAGTGTCTTTACAAACTATGATTATGAATTTAATTTTGCTGGCTCTTACATCTCTGCTGCCGTGCCCACGTCAGGAACTTGTCTTTCCGCCATCCGCTCGTCCATCGCAGCAGCTCAGTCTCCCCGTCAGTCTGCACCTCTTTCGGATCCACTTGAGCTCCGAATCTCATGCTCCTGCTCAGGTGGCATTTCGTGTTGCCATTCTCGTTGTGATTGGGCGATGGAATAGTCGAGTACGACCATTGGACGCAGAGGCTACTCTCATTGCAAGAGTCGCGGCATGCTTGCCATGACTCCTCGCCGTCGTGGGCTTTTCCTCCTGCGTCGCTGTGACGGTGGTGATGGGAACCGTGCTCGACACTGTCGAACAGGATATTCCACTGCCCGTACTCTGGGCCCGATGAAAGGTTGTCCCAGTCTTCCCTCGGGTCGTCTAGGTTTTCGGGCTGCATGAAGCGGATCCAGATGTCTGCGAAAAGGAGCGGTTCTTTCAGGTGTTGATACTCTTCTCGGTCTCGTTCAAGGCGCCACACCTCGCTGGCGAGCTCTGTCGGCATGGATTGCATGGCCATGATCTGCTCGCACCACAGGCCCGGGCCGTAAGGGATGGTGGCCGGATTGAAGCCCGAAATGCCTGGCCAGGTCTTGTTCGGGCCGAGGCTGAGGGCAGTGGACAGGACCGCGGTTAGCACGCCGTAGGCCGAATTGTGGTCCGTAAGGCGGGAGTCGAAGTGCGGAATGACGTCGGGGCGGTCTACAATGAGCGCGCGCATGGACGCCTCAGAGAGGATGAAGGTGCTGCCGCCCATAGCAAAGGGGCTGCTCCAGGCGGCGAAGGGAGGGTTGGCGAAGAAGACTGGCTCTGCCGGGTCGAACTGGCCGAGCCAGGACAGCAGGTTCGAGCGGACGAGGTAGCTGTCGGGTTCGACGAAGGCGTACCACCGCCGCGCCGGGCGTGTCTCCCACGCGCGTTCCAGCATGCGCAAGACCTTGTACTTGTCCAGCCTTGCCAAAATCTCCTTCTCCTCGTGTAGCTCGTGGGCCTTGAGCTTGCGGAAGTCTGTGCTCGTGAGGGCGAACTCGAGCTGCCGTCGATAGCGCTGCAGCTCGTCGTTGGCGGCCACGAAATCGGCACTGTAGCGGTCGAGCACGTCGTGCACGTGGAAGGCGCCAAGGTCCATGTGCAGGTCTCCCATTAGCAGCAAGTTGTCGTGGTATTTCGCGTGCGTCAGGAGTAGGAGGGGCGGGAGCGCGGCCCAGGCGTCGGAGGCGGTCGTCTTGACGGAAACGACGAGCTGGTCGGAGTCGACGGCATGCGGAGCGAGCGAGGGCGCCTTGGGGCGCTGCGACTGCGGCAGCTCCTCGTCGTCGTACTGCCTGGGGAAGCCGCTGATCCAGAGGAGGACGCAGACGACGGTAGCGAAGACGACAAAACGCGCAGCGAGGCGCAGGCGGCCGGCGGGACGAGCGGACAGCATCTCGCTAGAGCGCTGTGGGCGTGATCTGCTGCATCAATTGTGCTGCTGCGGGGGTCAATGGCGTGGGAGGTCGGTCGCTGCGATGCATCATGGCTCCAGCGGGTGGAGAGCCAGGGAGCGGAGCCCCTGAGAGCCGCGCCCGGCCGGCGGGACCAATGGCTCTGGCGCAAGGGACACGCGGCGTTCCATGGCAGAAATCTTCGCCTGCGAGCCGCACAGCGCGCAGGAACAGAAGCTCGTCGAACGACTCTCGATATGTTTCAGGCGAACGGCGTCTGCTTCAGCCGCTGAGCTGCTCTGGGCGCCCGCTCTTGGCGTCCGGCTAACCGGCGGAGAATCTGCTTTTCCGGCTTCCACCCCGCGTCCGACGCACATCACGGCTTTCCATACAGTAGTCTACCTAGGTACTGGCAAACGGCCCCAGCGCTAGAGACGCCGCAATCGTCAGTCCTCCTCCCGCAGCAACGGCGAGGCCGTTGGCGCTGCATGACGCAGCCAAGCATTTCCTCTTTCAGTGCTCACGATGCGAACCAAGCCACCGCAGGCCAGCGCCGTGGCGTCACGATCGACAAGCCTTAGCCCGGAACCGCCATGGCCGGCAAAGCTTGTCTCCAGCTGCGACTCCCATGCCCGATTCGTCCAAAGACCCAAGCATCTCGCAAGATACCTCTGCACTCTAATGGCATATAAACGCTGCAGGTGGTCCTTCTGTTCGCTACATCCCCACTGCTTTAGGTATCCTCCATCACAGTGCTGTCGCGGCTTCTAGAGCAATTGAACCATGACCGGCGTGATCAAGAGTAATCGGTGTGGGACTTGCAGGAAGAGGAAGGTCAAGGTAATGCAATCCACTCGCTTATCTCTCCTCTGACTAAAGAGCGAGCAGTGCGACGAAGCCAAGCCGGTCTGTGGACCTTGCCGGAAGGGCGGCCGCGCCTGCGAAGAACCCGTATCTAGGGTTAAGTTCACAAAACCAAAAGACCTCTCTGGCGCCGAGACCCACCAACTCAAGCCCGCCAACAAACCAACGAATGCCCTGCAGCCCTGTGACGACATCGCCGTCATCCGCACTGCTGGGACAGAGCATGGCGCCTCCTTTCAGACCCTGCGGCTTGGCCGCCTCAGAAAGCCTCTCGAGAAGACCAATAACCGAGACTCCGGGCGGACGGCTGCAATAATACGGCCTCCCGCACTATCTCCCGTCGAATCGCTCCAGCTCATCCTCTTGGAGACGTTCAGCTACGCAAATCCGGGATTGCGCCTCGCCTTTGTCGCAAATTACCTGCGGGAGGTACCATCCCGACTGGGTCACTCTGCTGCTTTGGATAACGCCGTAGCGTGCCTCGTTCATTCCCATACCCTCGCGTGCAGCAGGCGCTTCCCGGGCAATGATCGGAAGCAGGGTAGTCTTTACGCCAAGACTCTGCAAAGCTTACAAGCAGCCCTGGTGGACCCAGTCGAGGGGTATTCGGATAACACCCTGGCAGCTGTGACTATCATGAGCAGGGTAGAGACGCTCGGTGGCGGGCCCGACGGACCTCATTTCATAAACCACGCTGGAGGGGCTTCAAAGCTAATCCAAGTCCGAGGACCATCCTATTATCAAAGCAGCTTCGCTAAGCTCCTGTTTTTAAGCCAAAGAGGCCCTTCTGTCAGTTAAATGGCCTACCTGTGCTTGTACCAGCTAAACTTTGCAGGTCGCTGTTGCCCTCGTTCGGGGCGAAGATTGTTATCTCGACGCGCCGGAGTGGAGGTCCATTTCCTGTGCCGACGTCCACTCGTGCCAAGCAGATTGGCTGGCCGATGAGATGGAACGGGAGCTTACCGCTTTACCGTCCCTGATGAGGAGGGTTCGGCAGTTTCATTCATCGTCTAATGCAGCCGAGCGAGCCTCAGTCCTCAAGCAAGCCCAACAACTGCGGAGAGCAATCCAGGCAACATCCGAGTTTGTCACTCAGAGCGTTGAGAACAAAGTCGATGTCTTCGAAGTTCCGTCCAGGGTCGGAGATACCCTTTTTCCAACCATTTACCAGTTTTCGACTCGCACCTTGGCCGATGTTTGCGCCTTCTACTGGGGTGTTACCATCATCCTGGACACCATAATCGCACGCTTCCTTCCTTTAACCTCCCAGTCGGCCATGGAGATCCTCCGCGATCGCTGCATTCGCGCTCGCCAGCAAATCTGCATGTCGTATGAGTACTGCGAGCAGTTTTGGCCTATGGGCTGCATGTACATGTCTGGTCCGCTTATCATGGCATATCATGGCGCTACTGCGGAAGAGAGACTTTGGATCATGCTGAAGTTGTGGAGAATAGGGGAGCTCATGCCACAAGTGCAGACTTTTTGGGGCCCTGTCGGCTTGGAAATCGCGTCGAGATATTTCTTCGGGGAGCCGTTGAAGCTGGTCCGAGATAGAAGCGATGGTGAGGATGCGTATCGGATGAGCTTTGAAGAGAATATGGATGATATGACGAAAAAGATCAAGGCTCTCTGAGGTGTAGAGATCGTATTTATAGATTAGTACGCCGGCGGAAATGACTTAGCGTTGTTCGTTTCTATGCTTACCCGCGAGTGCGTGCTGCTGATACCCATCCAACAAATTAAAATGAATTATCGGATATCTAGAAAGAATTATGAAAACCCAAGATGTGCACCCTCCACATTCCCGGGATTCGTCTTGGCTCTAATGGACGATTTGTCAACAGATCATTCGCATCTGCCGAGTCTAGAATCGAAGTCTTCGTGTACTTCTTCGAGAAGAGCTGGAAGCGGGCTTCATCGTCCCGCGAAGAGTACCTCGACCGAACAGGTCCTTGGTTTCAATATGGGAAAGCACCGCCGGGAGCTGTAGAAGCTTACGGTGAAAGATAAATACTTGAGTTTTTCGAAGAAATGGAATCAGAAGAATGCGTCGACCGAGGCATGACTCCCTCCTTTCACCGCACCAGAGCTCGGTCGGCAGACTCTTACCGATTAAGCCATCCACCCGCGACTCGAGCATGCGCGACGGCCTCCGCAAAAAGACGCAATCTGCTACCTAGTATATCTGCCATCACCGAACTTGAGTAACACCTCGTAAGTCTCCGACCGCCCGTAGCAAGTGCCCCCTGCTTCCCTATCCGCATTTAGTTTTGCTCACCCACGCCAATCCGCCTTCAAGCTGACAGTAGCACAGCAGCATGGCGGCCAAGCGGCCTCACTCTCCATCCCAGTCACCTCGCCCGAGACCGCTCGCACCGGCGCCACCGCGTGGTGAGCGAGCAATCGAAGCAATCAGCGCGCCAACGAGTGAAGACGAGGAATCGCAACCGCCGACGCCTTACTCGAACTCTGAGACTACCGATCTGGGCCCGCCCTCGCCAGAGCTTGATCCTTACGCGGTAAGCCCGGTGGTTACCACGCCCAGCGTGCTCCGCGTGATAGCGATGCTACCCCACGGATATCGTCACCGCGTCGTTCTCGCACCCGATCCCGCAATCGGACCCCGCCGCCCAGCACCGAACTGGACACCATACTCAACGCATCGTCCGACCAAGAGTTGGTGAACGAGTACATGCGCGCGGGAGTCGACGCGGATGTCGACGAAGCCGAACTCGGCGCGATGACCCAAGACGAGGTCCTGCTAGCCAACGCGGAGATCGAGCTTAACGCGCCCTTCCAAGGTTCGGACAAGTACGACGCAACAGGTGCTATTCGACTGCGTAAGCGGCTCAGGCGCCCAGTCCCCAAACCGCATACACTGGTGCTATTTCGTCACACATCTTGAGTAAGAAAATTGGTAGGAGGGTAATACCACTATGGGAGACCGATACCATTAGACTTGATCCTCATTCATACCCCCACAGCACATTCCCATCCTCTCATCGCATAAGCATTCCAAAGAAACCTCAACCTCAACACTATCTTCAGTCCCTCTACCTAAACTCCCATCACCGCCACCAAACCGCTCTGTCCTATTTCCTTGCCAAAAGACTCAATCCCTCACACTTCACCGCAACCAGCCCTCCCAAGCCTCACGCCTGCGTCTCTGCTTGCCCATAGAAGCACCCACCCCAAAGAAAGCCACCGGCGGACTACTCGCCGGCGTGTCATCACCCAGCAGCGCCCGCCTCGCCGCCGGCGTTGCAGGATGTGCTGCGTTCGCAGGACCCCTACGAGAAGGGGTGACTGGGAATTGGGCACCCATAGGACCTGTCGGCAGTGACTCTACTCCTAGGATGGCTTGACCACCGGGGAGCGAGGTGCTCTGCTGGGCGCTGGGAGCTGGGAGGCTCGAGCGAGCGACGCGCCTGACTGGGAAGGGGATGGGGCCGATCCGGGGACGGGGCGGTGTCGTCTGCTGTTGGTCGTTGGATCTGCGCTGTACGGCTTCTTTCTTCCGTACCGTGAGCTGGCCGGTTGTAATTGTCTATGCAGTCGAATCTGTGGGATTCATAATACTCACTTCTCCATTTCGCGGTGCGGCTCGAGCCAGGAACAGAGCGATAGCCGGCGGCATCGCGTACGTAGGCGCATTCCGCGTTCCTCAAAGGACTCGTTAGCATCGTAACACACTTCCCTCCGGCGACGACTTACGGTCAATGTATACCTGAATGGAAGTCAGCGAGTAGTCCGGCAGCGTTGGCGCGGCGGGCGGCGCTCTTCGACCTAACATTCGCCTCCGCGTTCTGTTTCTTGGAGAGACCCTTGGAAGCGCTGGACATCTGAAGCATGGTTTGCGTCTTGGCAAGCTGGAAGAGTCGATAGGCACGCCCGTTTCGGAGGCCAACGGGGACGCCGCTTCGGTGAAATGGGCCGCTCTTCTTGTCAAAACCGTACTTGCGGATTTGGACGACAACGTACGCGACCATCTCCTCATAGTTGAAGTATTCAATGTCGTCCCCTTCCGGAGACGCAAACTTGTCAACGCCAATGTCGGCTCTGGTTAGCGGGAGGATAGTGGCTTCCCATCCAGGGGGGTGTTGGTTCACCTTATGCCACTTGCCGCCAAGCACGATCTCCTGGACGAAGTTGACTATTTTCGGCCGTACGTACTTAGACACCATGAAATCCTTGATCTCTTGCTCTGACTTGTTTAGGTAGGGAACCATGGCGCTCTAACTACGGAGCGACTTGGGGATCGATTGATTGAGACGCGCGTCGAGGGGTGTAACCGGGATGGGAGCCATGTCAGCGGGAGCCATGTTGGCATCCTCCTCGAATAGGTCGAGTAGCGTATCGCGTCGACGGCTGGGCAAGGTACCTTGAGTTATCCACACCGCCCAGAAAGAGCAAAAGTGAAAACCTCCTCCCCGCAGAAATCCGAACCACTCCCCCACCCCCCAAGGCAAAAACGTAGTGAAAACCCCATCCCAGCCGCTGCCGCTCTCCTCCCGCAAATTCGCCAACCGTGCACCCGCCCCAGCAAAGAGTGAATGAAACCCAAACTCCCCACTATTTAAACCCCTCTCCATCCCGCAAGCCTCTTCCTCAACTCCCACAACGAACCTGTGCTAACATGGCCCCCAAGCGCGCCGCCCCAATCGCAGCTTCGGAAGCTGCGTTCGCCCTCGAGTTGCGCGACCCCTTCGAGACGCTCTCGCTGCTGCGCGGCGCGCTGCCTCTTCCGCCCCGAAACGCATCGTCCGGCAGCGCCAATGGCGCAGGCCCCATGCCCGCAGCCCCTCAGCCCGCTCAACCAATCGCCCGCCGCACCACCGAGGAGGGCTACCTCCTACCCGCCTCGCCTTCGCCGCCGAAGAAAACTCCGCGAACCCGCGCCCCCGTCCAGTTCTCGCTCGATCCGGGCCCGCCGAGCGCCGTAGGCACGCCGGCGTACTACAAATCGTGGGCGTATCGGAAGAGGCAGCGGGAGAAGAAGCAGCAACAAGCTCAGGAGGGTCAAGAGGAAGAGGAAAAGCCATCCCTCGTCCTAACCTTCGGCAAGGGCAAAGTGCGACGCGCAAGCGAGGTCGACGAGCGGGCGGAGAAGAAGAAGTCGCTGGTTCTGGTCTTTGGGAAGGGGAGGGGGAATGTGAGACCGGCCAGCCGGAAGCGCAAGGTTGATGAGAGGACGAGGAAGTTTAATCGGCGTGTGTGAGTATGATGGTGGATGAAGGATAGGGAGATGATGCTGACTGGGTGTAGGCAGTTCTTGAGGGGGGAGTGAGGTAGCGCCGTTGAGACGGAAGTGGAGGCGGTAGGGTGGGGAGTGTGCGCCAGGATTTGTGGACGGAATGCGCTGTACAGATCTCTCTCCTTGTTCGACATGCTTGAACCGGTGGGGTGGGATGGGTATCGAGAGCGTTGTCGGGCTTCTGTGCACAATACAGTATGTGTTCGACATGCACGCGGGAGCGTGTGATGGGACGCGTAGGGCGTTGTTAGACTCCTGTGTACCTCTTATCACGGCTCAATATCGACTGGTTCCCCCGTATTCTGGCTCAAACCTGGTGGCAATAGTGATGCTGTCGTGTTTAATGAGCAATGGGATGAGCAAAGAAGGGTGGGTTGGAAGGTAGGAACCAGAGCCGTGATGAGAAATCCACCGTGACTCATTGTTCAGCATGCTGAGGGCTTCGAACGCATCCGAACCGCGTATGCTGGATAAGCAGTCCCAGTGTGAAAAAAACTAGAAGTGAGGGCTCTATGGTGACTGATCCAGGATGTGAGAGTGACTAGGTCGCAGGATGCAGGCACTGAGTTTGAAGTTATATTCGATTTGTTGCTGCTTTCACTTGCTGAGGTTTCGACGTATATAAAGAAATAGTGTGCTATAAAAAGCTAATCTACACATCAGAGGCGACACCAACTCGCAACTATGGACTCGAGCAACCAAGCAAATGCATCCACGGGCAGTGGTTCATCCCCCACATCTTCGCCACTTTCGGAACCACCTACAACCCCGCAACTCGACAATACTGCCTACACTTTGGACAAGGCACATAACCACGAGTTCAAGACTTCAACTACTTCATCAATTGGATCATATGGCGGTCGATCCTCCCTAACTTCTCGAGCATCTACTCCACTCTCATCCCCCCCTCCAACTCCATACCTCGACAACACCGCCAGCGAACTAAGCACCCCGGACAAAACACCTTCTCGAGCATCCAATCCCCTCTCATCACCCCCTCCAACCCCACACCTCAACAAAACCGCCCGCACCCTGAACGAGTTACACGCCCACTCGTCCGACCACTCTCCCACTCTAGCAATTCGATCCCGTCTCCCCAAAGTTACAGGTCTTTCCTCAACCTCCACCTCGCGACCCACACAGCGCCATGCTCCACGCCGCCCACTCAATCTAGACAAGACAGAAGGCTTCATGCCCTCTGCCGCGAATGGATTTAAATTCAAGTACGACAGCCCGTCCGGCCGGACTGCGGAGGAGTTGGATCTGCTGTTCGAGCTGCCTGCTGATCCTCCGGAAGAGCCGCGATATAAGCGGATGATTATGCGGTATAAGCGCTTCGGAGAGCTTCCGAAGTCGGGGGATGCGGATGAGCCGGCGCCGGAGGGGTGGGGATTAGGGAGGATAGGCGAGTAGTCTTAAAGACTTATGGGATTTTCCATGGATTGGTCTGTGATAGGTCGTGGTGGATTCTTGAGCTTGCGTACTTTGCGTTCTTCTCATGACGTGGCGGCTGTTGGGCGCTATTCACTCTCAGAGCCTGAGTAGAGTTGTCTTATCCTCATAGAGGTAGAGCCCAGCTTAAGGCTTGCTTGTTAGCCCTGTTTATGGGCCGAAAATCTATGAGAGTCACCGACAAGAACTAGGGGTGAATACACAGACATATAACCGTGTACACAAGTCGACTCTTTCATCAATAACAATACTAAACCTTCCCTTGCATGCTCACTTGGAATTCTCCCCGCACTGATTCCCCAAACTCCACATAACCACAACCTCCCAAGCTCACACACACAAGACTCTTCACCCGCACCAGTACACGTACTCTCTTATCTCTCCCACCTGGAGCAGGAATGTCGGCCCTAGTACACGCCGAACTGACACCAAATGTCCCCCAACCAGCTATCCTAACCAAGGCTGTCCGATTGCTCCGAATGAGCGAAGTCTTCGAGCTAGGACGACGCATGTGTGAGGCGAACCTTGGAACGCCCGCCGCGATCAAACGCCTCGTCGAGCAGCGATTACAAGAGATTACGAGCGACGAAGAAGCCGGGTGTTCGAACACTCCAGCAAAGGAATCTAAAGGGAGCATCAGCACCCCGCAACCGGTCTACTATAAAGAAACGGCTCGCAAAAGCAACAGCGAGCCGAGCCGGTCACCTGTTGACGAGGCTGCCTCCACCAACGCTTCAGATGAAGGAGACGCACCATCTACATTCTCCGAAGCCAGAGCGGACCTCCAAGACGCACTAACAGCATACTGCATCGAGTACGCCAGCGATCAAAACTGCGCCGACTACAAAGAGATCACCCAAGCTTTTACAGCTGGAATCAACGAAGCTGCAGCGCGGCCGCGTAAAAGCCAATCGCCCCAGAAGTTGTGGAAAGAAGTCAGCACCAGCGTGCTTGCGTCGGCGGAGAAAGAGCGATTGCGCCGGGAGAGAGTGGTGCTTGCGTCCGCGGAGAAGGAACGGCTGCAGCGAGAGAGCGGCGCGCGGGCACGCGCTACGAGTATCTTAAAGCGCGGTTGTACCTTAGGGTCGGTTGCACAGTCCGATGGAGGACCGGGTTTGGATTTGGATACTGACTTCGAGGCTGGAGAATCAGACGATGATGGATACGAGTCGCCGACGCCTTCTGCCGCGATCTATCGCAAGCGGAAGCGTGAATCCTTCTTGGGATCAGTAGCAGAGAAGCAGCTTGTGGTACCAGCAGGTAAACGGCTCCGTGTGAAGACTTACCAGTCCGCGGTAGGCGAGGCGCAGTTCAATGCCTCTGTACAATTTCCACCCAACCAACAATCCCCCGCACCCCTGTCTACACCATCAAGCCATAGCATGACCACACAGCAGCCGCTGCAGGTTCATACTCCTCAGGGCTGTGCGAATCCGACCGCGGCAGGAAAGCAACTCACAGGGAACAGCCACAAAGCCGGATTTTTACAGCGGACCTCTATGCCATCACCACCTGCGACTGGTGGCCGGTTCCAAGAGCCGCGATCTTACAACTTCAGCAGCCCTGCGCTCAACGGCGTCCCATTGCGCGACACGCCCGCCGTAATGCAGAGCTTTTTCCGCAACACGGTTGAGGAGGTGCTGGAGAATATCCTGGAGAACACAGAGTCTGATGAAACGCGGGGAGTCGTGCACGCATACTGGAAGCACATCGGGGAGGAGGTACCGAGGTAGCAGCTAGAGTAGGTATGTAGTTGGGAGCGGCGAGAGCCGCGAATGCGGAAGGGACGAGAATTGGAATGGGTTGCCTGAGGTCGGAGGATCTGGAAATGTAACAACTTTCAAGCCTTCGAACCGCCGCAGTGAGAAGGCAAGAACGGATCATGAGCGGTAATAAGAGTAGTGTGCAAGGGAGAACTTGACTGCATTCATAAGAAAGTACGCCTAGATATCGAAGCGAGCTTTCGCAAGTCGACGCTTCGACTGTATGCCAGGAAGCGAGCTTTCGTAAGTCGACGCTTCAAATGCATAGCAGCTAAGAATGGAATCCAAGACCTCCGTCTCTTTACTCTTCTGTCTTTCCTTACACCGAGCGCTCTACGGTCGTCGCCCCGTGCTTCTCACCTGCAGGATGCTCGTGTTCCTCGTGTATCTGCTTCTCTACAGTCGCAGCTTGCTTCTCAATGAGCGCCTTATCTTCGAACAGGAACGCAAGCTCCTCAAGCGTGCGGTTGTACGTTTCAGGGTAGAAGAAAAACACGGTCAAGAACTCGAACGTAATCCATCCGCAGTAGATGGCGAAGAACTTCCAACCAATGGCGTCCAGGGCGATGGGATTCACGTTGACGGAGAAGAAGCCGCCGAGCTTGCCGAAGATTTGCTCGACACCGATGCCCATGGTACGCTGGGCGTAGGGGAAGAGTTCGACGAGGAAGGCTGCGCTCGGATGTCAGTAATAAGAAGCGGGAAGAGAATAAGAGAGCGAGACGTACTGTATGTGAGCGAGTTGTTTCCGATGTTGTAGCACGGTGAGTAGGCGAAATAGAAGAAGAGTGCCGCGATTGCAGCAGATCCGTTCTTGGTGCCGGCATCCTTTGCTACGCGAAGGCTGTGGAATGATACCGTCATGCCAATGAAGACGAGTAGCATGCTTGTAGACGACAGCATGAACATCCACCGACGTCGGAACCGGGTCACAACCAGTGCGATGGTCACACCATTGATCAAGCTCCAGCACTGATTCGCAATGTTGATCCTGGTCTTGGCATAGTTGGTTGTGTAGCCCATCATCCCGAAGAGCAGGTTGGAATAGTATGAGAGCAGAGTGTTGCCGCTCATCTGGGTAAATAGACCAAGCATGCATGAAATGAAAACACGGCGACGCATGCCGGCGGTACGGAGCATGTCCATCCAAGACTGCTTTGAGTTTTCGAGTTCGAGTTTAATGGTCGAGCGGATCTCCGCCATTTCGGCTGCAACGATGAGGGAATTAGGATCCCCTTCGGCATGGTACTTGGTAAGGATGGCGTATGCTTCGTCGTGACGGTCCTTGCTGACAAGCCAACGGGGGCTTTCTGGAATCAGGCTAGAGTCGGATCAGTGATAGTTCACGCAAGGTGTACCCACGCTACCTACAAGACACAACAGATCTGCAGCAATGAAGGGCAAATCTGTAATAGTGATGGAATCCTCCAGCTCCAGTCTCCTACAATATCGACAGTCTTGATAGAGATGGCTGCCGCAATGATAGCGCCAACGAAGTAGGAAGCGTTGAACAGAGAAGTGAGCACTGGTCGTTCTTTCGGGTATCCCAATTCTCCAATCAAGGCCGATCCAGAAATGATGGCGAAGACGATGCCGACGCCGAGGAGCATACGGGCGATAATGTACATACCCACTAGAACATATGTTAACGGATTATCCTGAGCCATTCGGCAGTATTGGACGTACCATGCTGAGAGAAGCCTTGGAGGATGGCCCCAACAACCATGATCAGAGAGCCTGCCATGATAGACCAACGTCTACCAAAGCGCTGGTTGAACCACGGAGCGACAGGAACAGCAAGAATGGAACCGAGCTGGTAGCAAGACGAGATGAATCCAAGGAGGGCGGGCTCGATGGCGGGCTTACCATCGTCATCCACATAGCCGTCGCCGAAATCTGCTAACGTTAGTAGCTCGTTGCTGTGCTCGCAATGAAGGAGTCCTACATTTGTTGAACGGCCCCGAGAATTGCAGAGTGTTGATGAGCTGGGAATCAAATCCAGAGGTCATCTCAACGCCCATGCAGCACAAGAAGAGGAAAAAGTACATGTAGCGCAGGTTGCGCTTCCTGTACCATGGTACCTTGTCCTCCGCGACCAAGCGCGTGACAATGGGTTCTCCAGTCTCTCCGATTTTGATGGTCACCATGGTGTTGAAGTCTCGAAAGGCGCACTCTTCCGGATTGTGGGAAGCAAGCGGCTGAACCTTGACCTTATAAACGCGATGTGAGATACCGATACCCCGGCTTCCTTCCCCAGACTTGCCCAATGTTATGCGCACCAAGACGGAGCGGTGCCCGCCTGTACCGTGAGATGATCCAATCTAGACATAGCGGCTGGGCGTCTGGAGGCGGGCCTGGTCTCCGGGTAAATTCAAACAGATTATCCTCCAATTACCCGCTATGCGCCAAGTGAAATAGGGTCGCACAGGGTCGCTAGGGCCAATAGCAGCCTGCGAGTAATAACTGCCGTGCATGAAAAATGTTACCTGTGTCTTGTTCGGTAGACATCGGTAGGCGCTTCCAGTCCACATAGGATGTCCGCACCTGGTGTCGCAGCTCCCAAGGCTCTGGATTGCAACAGCGACCCTGGATATGCCGCGCTCGCTAAGATGTGGATTGGCTGCTTCGGTTGTATGGAAGGCTTCTCGAAATATTGGATGCATGGCTTACCGGACGATCAGTAATGTAGAGGAAGGTGTTGGCAAGGGACGGACCCGCATATTCATTGCGGCGTAGGAGTTTGACGAAGTTGCGGATTGCCCCTGTCAGCGTGCGCATCCGATAGATTGGAAGGATAACAGGCTAGAGCCGGTCAATTGCCTCATGTCGGGTACCATATAGGAGCACGCAGGTCGCTCCACTGCAAGTGAGGATCGACCGACCTTTGCAGAGGCGCCTTTGCGTTGACATCTTATTTTGTGTCTACCTTCGTAGAATGCGGTCCGTTTAGGTTACCCGGGATGAGCAGCTCCCAAACTCCGCCTTGCCCAGCGGATTCCTTGAAAAGAAGGTCGTATAAGCGTTCATTTGGCGACTCATCTAAAAGATCGCCTCCCCGACGCAGAAGAGAGGCACAGCGGCAAAGCACAAGACGGATCTCGGCTCGGAACGGATGCCCACCGCGAGGCTACAGGCTCGGCAAACGCGTGCAGCGACAAATGCTGCCGAATCGCGCGAGACATCAATGCCGGCAGTTCGCTAACGAGTGCACGCAACGGTTCGTGGTTGCGCAGAGCTTGATTGCGCCAATGTTTGTGTGCCCTCCTCGTTCTGCTCAAGTGCCTACCATCGCCCTCGCGTCTAAACAAAGGAATAGAGAAGATTGAAGCAAATTGGGACAGAATGTGGAGAAGTCGAGAGGTACGAGATCGATGAGTAGGACGAAGAGCGAAGGGAGAACGATACCAGAACGGGCCGAGGCATGCTTACTACCTCCGAGAGCCAAGTTATGGAAAGGCTCGCTCGCGATTAATGCCTGATTCAACATGTTGACGGCTGCTCGAGAACTGTCATGCAGCGTCGTCACCATCGGGGCAGTGGTGGTGAGGCTGGGACCGCAGCAGAATCGACAAGAGCAGGGAGCGGCATGAAACCTGTGGCGGGTGAACGTATAGGACCCATGCCATAGAGGCGGCTGCAATGACGAGAAGATGGAGGAGAGAAAGGAGCTGGTGAATGAGAACTTGAGACAGCGCATGAAGAAGTTTACAGGCACGGCGAGTCCACGATGGGTGATTTGGAAAACGCGAGAATGCGAGACACGCTGGCGGGAGCCAAGCCACAGCTCGGCAAGAACTCTCCGGCAGCCAATCAAACTGGTCAGCTGACAAAGATCCCGGCCGCAACGCCACACTCGCACCGGCCAAGATTTCTTGTGAGCCGGAAAATGACGTAGGCAATCGTGGCAGGCCTCTTCACTGGTCATGCCACGCATATATAGAAGACATGATGCGCGGCTTCCTTCGTAAAAGCTACATCTGCCCTCCGCGCTCGTCGCACGTTCCATCTGCATACCCATACGTGAGCTCACAGCCGATTACCACCTGCCCACCGTACCGCAGACGAAAATGGCGTTCTGGGAAGTCACCGTCTTGCCTCTACGGGCCGTCCAGGCCGTATTCTCCATCATCGTGCTCGGCTTAACGGCCTACAGTAAGTCACATGCAACCCCGCCTCCTTCGAGCGCCCCGCAACTAACGGCAACGCAGTCGTCGATGCAACCACCGGCCCGTGGTATTCGTGGTCGCCGGATAGCGTCAACTTCATGCTGTTCACTTCGGTCTGGACCCTCCTCGCCGTCGCCTACCTTGTTCTCGCGCCCGCACGCTTCCCCGCCGCCGCCCACAAGTATGCCATTGCAGGCGTCGAAGCTGTGACCATGATCTTTTGGTTTGCCGCTTGGGTTGCCGTCGCCGCGCTTTGGGGAGACATTGGGTGTGGGAGCAGGAGCGGCGTGTGCGGTGCCGGAACCGCCGCCATCGTATTCGGAGCTTTCATTTGGTAAGCGTCATCGCTTGTGCATCAAATTGCGGAACACTGACGTCTACAGGCTCGCCTTCGTAGCTACTACTATTATCGCCGCGTTGCATGTCCACAGGACGGCTAGGAATGACACTACCGCTCCTCCACAGATGCAGGGCGTCTAAACGCCTGCCAATATACGAAGTCCAGGAGCTGCGGCCGCGAAGCCGAGGGTAGCTCTTCCTTCGCTCTTGCAATGCTACTATTTCTTAATGACGCTTGGGCCAAATTGTTATGCCAGCGTGGTGTTTATTTGCTTGGAGATACCCCTTTCTTTTTAGGATCCCTTTGTAATCGCCAGTCTCGTGTTGGGATTAATGAATAATATCAACGTAAGAAAGTGAACATAGCCGATCGAACGAGAAGCGCATGCTGATACGCCTGAGCAAATACCAGCATCCGCAGTGGTCCAGACGCAACTCCACCGCGAAGCATTTGCTCACAATTCGGTAACACTGAGTCATCCCTTCGAGTGGCTCCGGTCCTTGGAGGGCTTAGAAGAGGTCTATGGGATGCGGTTAACTTGGCGGAGGTATTAAAGGAGGAGCGAAACGTGGGAGTTCGCACGTGAAAGCGTTGTGAAATCCCGCACGCTAGTGCTTGTTACGGTTAGCCGAATCCCGACGCCATTTCCCCGCTCAAATGTCCGAACGTCCAACCTCCTGTCTTCAACGTGCCCTGACTTTTGCCCCCGTTCCAGGCCTGGCATGCGATGACAGGATTACGTAGTGTCGCCCGACTCCCGATACAGCGACCTCTGCGCACAGTTTTCGTGGTCTGATCCCGGAAAACTATGACCAAGGCTGAGAAAGAAAGCCAATCACGAGAGCAGTAGGTATGAGGGCTTTCCGTTTGCTTTCTTTCTCTATCCTCTGATACTTGGCATGCGTTAGTCACTTTCGTCCCGCTGTCCTTGCATGCCGCACGACGACTTTGGGTTTCGTTGGACAAGGGATGCCTAGGATGCCCTACTTGTTCCTGTTCCTGGGCTAGCATATCCTCCAAACTCTACATTTTTCACAGAAATCAGCATTCTGTTCGCAAGACTTTGTTCAATTCCTTTCCCTCCATGGTGTGGAGAGGCCGCGGGGCACGATATCCAAGGCAATGGTTCATCAGGAATGTGGCGCTGAGCCATCCCTGATGCGGCGTTCGCATAGCCACAACAGCATGTCAAAAATGCCTCACCCCAATGAAACGCACCATCAGCACGTGGTTGAACGATGCGTCAGATAAGCTCTGCACCCAAGCAACCAACCAAGAGCTGCGTTTCCCGGCTCGAGCTTGTTACTACTTGCCTTCTCGTACAGGACCGTCGGCTGCGTCCAGGTAACACCGTAGTATAAGATCCAACAGCAAACAAAGACAGGTTGTCGGTACCCTTCTTGCTCCTATACTGCCCACCCATGGAGTCCACAATACATTTCGCGAACGCTCCGCGACCGAGGAGGTCAGCGGATGACTTAGACATCGGCGGCGTGGTGCCACTTCGCACGCGCTCCCGGTCTCGTGGGAGGAAGAGCTCCGTCGATATCCTCAAGATCGGCCAACTTGAGAGTGCCGAAGATGAGGATGCAGGTCTTCGGGACGAGCGTGACTACAAGCGAAAGCAGGTTTGTGACTACTTAGTCCTTCGTAGGTAATCTCTTATCTAACGGCGACGCAGATCTTCAGTATCAAACAGATGTTTGTGCTTGCCTACCAATCCATCGGAGTCATCTACGGGGACATTGGCACTTCTCCCCTCTACGTGTATTCGTCAACGTTCATGGAAGCACCTAATCGGCCAGACCTCTTAGGCGCCCTGTCGCTCATACTCTGGTCGATTACGATGATGGTCACCATCAAGTATGTCCTGATCATCTTGCGCGCCGACAACAACGGTGAAGGCGGAACGTTTTCCACGTACTCCTTGCTATCTCGCTACGTGAGTTCCCGAAGGCACATTTCGACTTACCTGAGCTAAGCTTAAGCAGGCAAACATCGCGAATCGAGATCCCCGCGAAGCTACTATGATTCGTATGTCCTTGTGCATTTTTATATCCTAAAGATACTGAAATGTTGTAGGTATGGAACGTCACCTGACCGGAGAATTGAGCCGCTCAACCAGGGGCGTTCGCTCCACTATCGAAAAGACCAAGTTCTTCCGCGGCCTTTTAAAGACGATCGGAGTGCTCGCCGTCTCCATGGTCATGGCCGATGGCGTGCTGACTCCAGCTCAATCCGTCCTTGGCGCTGTCCAGGGACTGAACGTGGTCAAGCCAGACATCGACAAATCTACCGTTATTGGAGTCACATGTGCCATTCTCATCTTACTGTTCCTCCTCCAGCCTCTTGGTATAACCAAGATTACGGTCGTCTTCTCCCCGGTCGTCATCATATGGCTTGCTTTCAATGCAGGGTTCGGCATATATAATCTCGCAAGGTAGGCCGATGCATCCAGCTTGCCCAAGCAAAGCCAGCTAATACTTATAGATATGACTATGCAATCCTAAAGGCATTCAACCCGTTCTACGCATTTGACTACCTGATACGCAATAAGTACCAGGGATGGCGAAGCTTAGGCGGCATTCTTCTTGCCTTCACCGGTGTCGAAGCTCTCTTCGCCGACATTGGCGCCTTCAGCAGGCATGCAGTGCAAATCAGTTGGCTTGGATATGCCTATCCCTGTTTGCTGCTTGCATACACTGGCCAGGCGGCGTATATCAGCGAGCACCCGGAAGCGTATTCGAATCCCTTCTATAACTGCGCTCCGGACGGCTGGCTCATTCCATCCCTCGTCGTTGCCATTGCCGCAGCCGTTGTAGCATCACAAGCTATGATAACTGCTACGTTCCAGGTAAGTTTGTGCTACGGCCTAGCCTGTTCCGCGTTGACAAGCATCAGCTCCTCACTCAGATCATGAAACTGTCCTACTTCCCCCAGATCCGCGTGGTGCACACGTCGAGGACGTATCACGGACAGCTCTACGTTCCTTCGATCAATTGGCTGCTCATGATAGGTACTGTGCTCGTCGCGGCCATCTACAACAACACCACCTCCCTCGGTAACGCCTACGGCGTGTGCGTCATGTTTGTCACCTTCTTCGATAGCTGCATGGTGACTCTAGTTGCCATCGTCGTCTGGCGCATCAAGCCTTACTTCGTCTTCCTGCCGTGGCTGACCATCGCATGCTTGGACGGCACTTTCCTCTCCTCGGCACTGCTCAAAGTCCCGGATGGCGCCTGGTTTACCCTCGCGCTCGCTTCGATACTTGCTTGCATCTTCATCCTTTGGAGGTTTGGCAAGGAGCAGCAATGGTTCGCCGAAGCCGGCGATCGATTTCCGACTACGCATTTTGTCCAGACCCGCGACGACGGAAGGCTGCAGCTTAGCAATACGTTTGGCGGTAAGGCAATCAGCTCGATCGAAGGCTTCGGCATTTTCTTCGATAAGGCTGGTGAGACGACCCCTATCGTTTTCAGCCAGTTCATCCGAAAGTTGGTCACTGCTCCAGAAGTCATTGTCTTCTTCCACCTTCGTCCTCTTGATGAGCCCTCTGTGGCTCCGGGAAATCGATACTTTGTCTCCCGCCTCGCAATGCCGAATTGCTACCGCCTAGTTGTCCGCCACGGATACATGGATGAGGTCATCACCCCCGATCTTGCGTCCCTCATATTCGAGAAAGTGCGCGATCATATCGTAACCCGCGCACTGGACCGCGAAGGCGAGAGGCAGCCCGCACCTACTACTTCCGGCATCGACCTCGGCAATCCCAAGGAGCTCCACAAGTTGAACGCCAAGCTAGTCCCCTCCGAGAAGGATGGGTCCATGCCTTCCTCATCTGACCCAGAAACCAGACAGGCACCTACTCCCACGCTGAGCGCATCAAGCACCTCCGCCAGGCTTTCCGCTCTCGAGCGCGCTTTCAACCACGAAGTGCTCTACATCGTGGGAAAAGAGCAGATGAGGGTGAAGGGCGGCACTAATTTGTTCAGGAAGGCGGTTTTGAAGCTTTTCCTCTTTATCCGGGAGAACACAAGGACAAAGATTGCGAGCTTGGATTTGGACCGAGACCGGGTGATCGAGGTTGGATTTGTCAAGGATGTGTGAAGGCTGGCTTGCGCATGTGCGCTTCTTTTCGGTATGTATTTTAGGAGCGCGTCTGTAGGGTTCGAGAACTGGGTAAGATAGCCACTCATTTTATCCCTTATGCGGTACATATCTCCTAGACTGCAACATGAGTCTAGCTCGTTCCGCCATCGTGGCTTACTATTGGGTGAATTGCAGAGTATTGAGACATGAGTTGATTGATTGAGAATACGAGAAATATGGCTATATCTACATGACCAGGTCACGTGAAGTAGTAACCATATCCGGCAACACTTACTCTACTACGAGCACCTCCACATCTTCACAATGCAGTGCTTGCCACACACATAAGGTCCGAAGTCAGCACACAGCCGTCCGGCGTCCCTTCACATCTTCACATTGTGTATATGCATCGTTCAGCGCCGTTTGGATTGTTCACTTTGTAGTATAATGTTTGTTCTCCTTAGTATTTATCTTTCCCTACCAGCTAACTCGTCTCATAGTGGTCAGCCCCGATTGAATCGGTAAAGAAATCTGACATATATCATGCATTCCCCGCCCCCGACACCGCAATTCTATCTGGAATCATATAGATTGCGTCTTCGAGGAGGGGAGAACGAGCAGGCTGGCCCTGCAATGGCATGTCGTATTGATCGCGCTGGGGAATCGGATGCTGATCTGTATGATGGTATTGATGACCGAGATCAGGAACTAGCTAACCTGAGGCAGGAGGTTCAACGGCTCCAGCTGGAAGTGAACGTTGCGCGCTTCAACAATGACGAAGCCGCGATGAAGAAAGAGGCAGACGAGTGGCGGGCCAGGTTCCAGGAGGAGTACAACAAAGTCCAGCATATTCTTCGCCTGAACCTCAAGCAGGGAGAGAGTATCCATGATATGGAGCTGGCCAATGATCATCTCCGCCGGCAGCTGGAAGACCAAGAGGAGCAGCTAGAATGCTTCAAGGCCCGCTTGAATACCGCGGCTGCTGCGAACTTCGAGCAGTGCCAGCTCACGACGGAGAGCACGCAGCTGCGGGAGGACTTGGTAGCTAAGGGTAAGGAGATCATGGGCCTCAAGACCCGTGTTTCTCATATGGCGAACAAGATTATTGCGGCGGAGAAGAAGGGCAGAGCTGCTGAAGCGCTTCAAGTCAATGTGAACAGACTGCAAGCGGAAAAGAACGAGCTTGAAGAAGTTATCAAGGTGAAGATTCCGGGCCTCGAGCAGACTAACCGACAGCTGCAGGCCGAGCTCGGCACACATCATTCTGCTTCATCAATCCTCTCTAAAGGCTCCGGTAAGCTCGCAGAGCTTGCGAACGCGCGAGTCGTCGAAGCAGAAGCGGAGATAACGGATCTCAAGGAAAGGCTGAAGATCGCGGAGGCAGAAGCGGTCGCGAGGGTGGCATCGCAAGACTATTCCGAAGCTCTGGAGTCCCAGAATAAGCTTCTGCATAGCAAAATCGCGGCTGCGGTGCGCGAGTTCAAAGCCAAGGACGCTCTCATCAAACACTGGGAGCATGAAGCTAAGCAGCGGGAACAGCAGGTTGCCGAGATAGAGATCTGGAGGGGCGAGCAGGAGATGGTGAACGGGGTTGAGGAACGATCGGTGGAGCATCCACCTATCATCCCTACCCCGGCCGAACGCGAACCTCGCGAGCTCTTCGTCGCACCGGGAATAGCAACCTCACCCATCGAGCCCATCGCCGTGCCGCAGAAGCTCGGATTCGCCTTCGCAGCACAAGGTCTAGAGCCCATCCCTATCGAGCCGTCCGTCACCAGCACCGCAGTCCAGACTTCTCCTCTGCACGAGGACATCAACATCACAATCAACATCGACCCCGGGGACCGCAAGAATTGGATGCTCCTCCAGCGCATGCAAGCCGCCCTCTCCAAGGAATCCGACCTGCAGATCTTCGGCCCTCCGCAGCTTGTCCGCGAGCTGACCCGGAAGATGGAGGAACTGCAGATGGACCACGCAGCCAAGGCAGCCAAAGTAGAAGAGCTGCGCAAGGCCCTCGTTTCCCAGGCTAAGGAGATTGGCCGCCTGGAGAAGAATCACTGCACTGTTGCCACGCATCGCAACCTTGCTGATGAACTCATCGCTAAGGACGCCCAGATTGCGATGCAGGGTTCGCTTCTAGGGTCGTATGGGCAGAGTTTGGCGCGGTTGAGGAGGGCGCAGAAGGATCTTGGAGTAATTGGAGCATGATATTCCTCATGGGGCTTATGGTTCGTAGTGATGTTTTTACGTAAATCCGTGGCTTGGGACCGATATGGTGGCTCTTTGTTGATTTCGTGCTTTCACGATTTTGGGTTTCTATTGTTAGATTCGGAATATAATGAGAAGAACTTTTTAAGACTATGTACATGAATGCGGTAAACACTCGGAAAACCTGTCTAAGAGTCTACTACATGGTAGGATTTTCGCTACTGTGCTCAAACTTGTAGGTGCGTGGCGCCAATGTGTATTGATCGTCACGTGGATTGGAGGTCCGTGCGTAGCGTCTCGTCCAATGTTGCTGCCTCGCGCTGGGCTGCAGTCATCGACCATCCATCAAAGCCACGTTGTCCTTCATCCTCATGCACACTAGGCGGTCATCGATATGCCGCCTTAGACACTGCGCTCTCTTTGCTTCGCCTGGAATCACCTGAAGCTGGCGTTCTCGCGTGCAGCCTTTCGCCACTCTCATCGCTTGATCTTGCCTTGCGTCACGACCACGTACGGCCATCGCACCATGTCCACCTCCACGACTACCCGCAGTCTCAGCAAAATCAACACATCCAAATTCTACCTCGAATGGAAGGGGCATCCCATTAAGGACCTTGCGAAATTGCGAGAGCTAGTTCTCCAGAACCGCCCAGATAAACCCATTGTGTATCTCGCAGGGGACTCCTCTCTCGACAACAAGTACTGGGTACCCAGTGCCGGTGCGGGAGGAGAGGAGCTCGGCGTCGAAACACCAGAAATCTACCACCAGACGCTCGACCGCCCGCGTCCGAAACCCGATGTCGCATTCTGGCTCAATCATCTGCTCGGCGACAGCGCCACGTGCATTAATGCCGCCATCGAGGAATCTATGCTCCGGGAGCGCGACTTGCACCTCCTCTCCCACGATGTCTTCATCCGCGACAATATCCGCCCGCAAGACATCCTCATTGTGAGCGTTGGCGCAAACGATGTCGCTCTTCGCCCAACCGCTTCTACTATCTGGCACATGGTGCAACTGGCCTGGCTCACCTCACGCTCTTCTCTCGAGCACGGGACAGCTTCCTCTCTCTCGTACTTCAAAGAACTATTCGGTACCAAGGTAGAGGACTACATCACGCGCCTAACCCTGCGCACCAAGCCTCGCGCGATCATTGTGTGTATGATCTACTTTCCACTCGAAGCGAAGTATGGGCAGCAGAGCTGGGCGGATATGCAGCTGAAGGTGTTGGGCTATAATCGGAATCCAGAGCAGTTGCAGATTGCCATTAGAAAGATGTATGAGATCGCAACGCACGAGATCAAGATTGAGGGAACCGAGGTGGTACCTTGTGCGCTATTTGAGGTTCTAGATGGGTCGAGAAAGGAGGACTATACGGCGAGGGTCGAGCCGAGTAAAGAAGGGGGTAGAAGGATGGCGGAAAGGCTGAGGGAATTAGTTGACGAGGTGTTGGAGAAATATCGTGCAGCTGTGTCTGGTTCACCACAGCAGTGAGCTCGAACCATCAGACGGGAGTGAAAGCTCGATCCTATTCGATCAGTGCTCTCGATGGTAACTCCCGCAGCAAAAGCATCAGCCCCTACACACTTTCCCAATACCATTTTCCTCGAGTCTACTCCGATCTTTATCTTGCCTTTTCTTCTTTGCGTTAAGTGCTTGAGCTAGTCTCTACTACGGCACACACACAGCAAACCCTCACAACCCATGGCCCACCTGTTCGATGGCATGGATCTCTCGCATCTCATCAACCTCGGCGCTCAGGTTTTCGTAGCCTACTTGGTCTGCGCGCATTTCAAGCACTCGGCGGATGCGTCGAACCAAACGAAACACGCTGTGAACCGTGGCAATGACCTTATCAATTGTTCGCTCAATACTCTCAACAACTCGTTCGACAAAAGAATCGAGGGTGTTGACCGCAATGCGAGGCATTTCTACAGGCTCTTGAGGAAGAAAGACGAACAACTAAGGCGGGCAAGGCGATGCGCATCGGGGCTTCGGCACAAGATTCAACATCTTACTCTCCGAAATCGAGGTCTCGCGAAACGCAATGGGAGGTTGAGACGGTACCTTAAACGCCAGGTTGATGTGGTACAGTTGCAATGCCCGCAGACTTATGCGGTAAAGACGGATGCTGCTGATCAATTGACTGGCGTTGAGGAGCTAGGTGGACGGATGACGCAGGAGAGAAGTCTAAGTTCGAGGACTTCCGACTTAGCGGAAGAAAACGCTGGAACGGAAACGGACCGGGAGACGCTCTCTGACGACATACTTATTGACATACGCAACAACCTACAAGAAAGAGGAAATGCTCAGCAAGTCCTTCAGGGCTGCCTCGAATCGACACAAGAACGACTGCAATGGAGTCAAACAAGGACTGTCAAGCTTGACGAGCTCGTCGAATTAGGGCGCCGCGCCTTGAGCCACTTCAGGGACATTACAAACTTCGAAGGCCTGCGACGCGAGCATGATACCATAGTCTGGCACCGCGCCTCCCTATGTCAAGAGCTGGGTCTAATCCTCACAGTCCTCAGCACCACTGCCTTCAGGACCAACAATTCGACGCTTGACGTGATCCGCGGCACCGAACTAGACCGACTGAGCGAAGCGTCAAGAAACGTTATTTGCAACCTCGATGCTCGCTTTCTCCAAGCCGTGATGAATTCGCACCGCAAGAAAGACCAGGACACTGCACTCATGCTCCACGAGCGCGAATCAGAAGTCGCTCGTGTGAGGAAGGAGCGGGACGCTGCGCGCTCCGAAGTACGCACCACCGAAGAGCGACTGAGAATCCACTCTGAGGAGAAGATGAAACTCGGGCGTCGCATGACCGAACTTTACAACAAGGAGACCGAATACAGACGAACCATCGAGAGCCTCCAAAAGCAGAAAGCAGGTCAGAACACGACGCAGCCTATAACCGCTTCGCCGCCTTGCACTCCCAATTCAACTGCAGGCACTTCTTTCCATCGCAAGTATCCGTCCCTTCCTATCCGTGTCGATCCGGCTATGCTACCCACTCCGCCAGAGTCCCCGTATTCGTCATCGACAAATTCGTCGAAGCCGAATGGTCAACCGATCCCTAACACTCCAAGTAGAGACCCCTCGAGAGTCTTGCATCGGCGCTCCTGGGCTTTCCAACCAACGCCTTCCCCCCTTGGGCCTGGGGATGCTGTGAATCCTTCTGTGGTATCTACTTCTTCTCCGCTCGGTGCGGCAATTGAGGATTGGCGGTGGCATGACTCGTCTAGGGATGGACAATGATTAGGTCGGGGGTGTGGTGCTGGTGGGCTCGTGGATTCTTGCGAAGTAGATGAGAATTAGGGAAATACGAGCATGTTATATTCGTTAAAATGGAGCAGAACAAGTCTTCGCATTGAAAGTTCATTTTTGTGCAGGCTCAGAACAGACCGGCACCTCCCGGTGCGGAAAAGGACATGGGCTGGACCTAAAACAAAGGGAACCCACATAACCTCAAAGAAGGTTCCAGATGATGGGGGCTGACCTTGGATAAAGACACAAAGGAATTGCTCAGAAAAGAGATGTCCGTGCGTCCCCCCACCTGCAGACTAGAGAATATGACCCCCAGTGAAGCCACTGGATGCTCTAGGTCCCACATCTAGAAAAGTTTTCTACTTTTCGTACCAGTCGTTATTAGCGTGACGACGAGGACTCAGTGAATTGCAGGAGCCCGCGCAGCCGAACAGGTTCAGTTACATCATAGTGTGCTTGCGCGTATATGGGCACGTGCAAGTGGATTCACTCCATGGATGCCAAGCTCGCACCGCCAGGGCAACCCCGCTCATAAAGCTCCCCACCCACCCAAAAATTCCTGCACCGCACACCTGCGTACGGACACAACCGAAACCAATCGACCCGCGATTTGGTCCGCTCGCACGCAGCTACAACGGTGATACCGATCACCCACGTCCGACAAAGCCTGCGACTAACTGGAGGGGGCCTTCCTCGCCATGTCGGACCCAATAATTCCCCCGTTCTGCACCATCACCATCATCGCCGTCGCCTTGCTCTTCTTCTTCGGCGCCCTCACGGTATGGAACTTCCGCAGCCTCAAGAGCGAGACCCGCCGCCACAAGTCCAGCAATAGCTGGCTCAGCAACACCATCGGTGGCATGAGCACCTTCCTAGAGAAGATCGACACCAAGATCGATAGCATCCAGACCGTGCTAGACCAACACCGCGAAGAGACCAACAATAAATTCGAGGCCGTCGCGAAGAAGCAGGAGCAGACAATCAAGATTGCGCGCCGGCGAGACCGACACGCGATGGGGCAACACGTTCGCACTCGCGTCAAGAACAAGACGCTCGAAGAGGCGCTCAAGAAGGCGGAGCAGAAGCGGCGAGCTGCGCTTTTGTGGAAGAAATTCTACAAGAACGCGTTCCAGATGAGGAATCAGGACTTCGAAGACGCGCAGAAGCGTGCTGCCGAGCGCCCCGACAAGCTTGAAGCGCTTATCTCGGCGCTCTTGACTCAGAAGATGCTGGGATTCGAGAGCTCCGTCCCGCAGAAACTCTCACCCATCGCTGCAGCCACGGCCCAGGAGACGGTACCCACACCTGTCCAAAAGCTTTCGGTAGTGAGCCCCATCGCTGTGCAACAGACAGAACCGGCAGCAGCAGTGGCTCCGAAGATGTCACTGTCCACCGTCACCTTTCAAGAGACGGCGCCAGTCGGCCGAGAGTCCATCACCAGCAGCACGCAGACTGAAGAGCGGACCGTCACCGCCAGCAAGTCTGCAGACAAGGAGATGGCCTCAATCAAGTCTGACCGCGATAAAGCCTTCAATGAGCGTGACCAGCAGAAGGAAGCTCTTTCCCAGCTAATCACGGCCATCTACGCCTTGGAGATCAAGCGCAATGGATCCTCTCCGGATGGCACTGCTCTGTTCCGACCAGTGGCTCCCGGCAACAACAGGCTGAATATCAGGTCCAGTGCTTGTTATGATACCCTTGTCGGCAGGATCACGGACGCTCTGACGGAGTTGGAGAAGCAGAGTGAGGGATATGTCGAAAAGATCAAGTCCGCTGAAGCCGACCGGGATGCCGCACAAGGAGCTGTGAACGATAGCAAGGGAAAGGTCGCAGAACTCCAGAAGAAACTGCGAGACATGGAAGAGAAGCACCGTAATGAAGTTTCTACCCTCACCAAAGAGAAGGAAGCCACTGCAGAGGAGATTCGCAAGCTGACCGACAGCATCCCTGACATCCGCAAAGCCGCAAGAGACGAGTCAATGGAGCTGTTGAAAGAACAGTATGCAAAGAAGAAGTCCGTGCTTGAACGAATCCATCAGGACAAGATGGCCAACGTGGAGGCCGAGCTTTGTGCCATTCACAACGTGACCGCTCACGCCGCCGAAGTTACCCAGGAGCGCGACGCGGCCAATGAGAAGCTTGCAACTCTTCACGCCACCCACAAGAAGGATATGGAACTCGCCAATACCGAGAAGAACAAGCTCCAGTCCGATATTGCAACCCTTCGTGCTAGCAATGAGCGAGACATAGACGTCGCCAACACCGAGAAGAACACGCTTCAGTCCGAGCTTGATGGTGTCAAAGACAGGCTGGATCGATTGGACGCCGAGAAGACAAAGCTCGAGGCCGATTGCAAGTTGACGGATTCGCAGCTCAAAATCAGCCAAAATGAGCTGGAAGAACAGCGTCGCTTGAGCGCGCAGAAGAACAAGACGATCGAAGAACTCAGCGCCCAGTTGCGTGGCAAAGACGCTCTTCAGAAGACTTGCGACGAGGCCCAGACCAGGATTCAGCAGCTTCAGGTCGAGCTGGAAGGCGCCAAAACTGAGCCCGCCCAGTCGCAATCTCTCAATACGCAAGACCAGCAGGAGCTCGCGTATCTACGCCTCTACGTGTTTGGCACTCAGGAGCGGGAAGGTCTGCACCAAGCTTGTCCGCGATTGGAGGGTGAGCTTCTGGAAGCACAAGCTAAGGCTGAAAGGCTGGAGCTGGAGCTGGACGACGCCCGTGTGGCGTTGTGGATGGAAGACCAGGAAGTACAGGAGAGTGACGATGATAGCCAGCTTCAGGAGGACGGAGAGGAGGCTACCCAGGACGAAGACAAGGAAACATGCGTCCAGGATAGTCCGCCCAACGAAGTGAAGGATTCTAGCATCGGCGGCGAGCGCAAGCGTCCAAGCGAGAACCGTCAGCGGTGGGCCGACGATGTCGAAGCCGCCATCAAGAATGGCGAGTTGTCTCCACCTAAGGAGAAAGCCAAAGGCAAAGCCACGGTTGAAGAGCCTGCGAAGAAGGAGAAGGCCGGGGACAAGGCCACGGTTGAAGAGCATCATAAAGAAGAGCTTGATACGTCAAAGACCAAGGCACCAGAACCAGCTCCCACGACCCGGCTCTCAGAATGCAACAAATGCCACCAGCACGTCGAAATCCCCTTTGGCAATCGCCCGGATGGCACCAAGTACTTGGACTGGGCGGACCACAACCGTGTTTGCTCGCCGCCAAACAAACTCCATCCCTCCATTAAGGACTCAGACTTCTGCAAGCATTGCGGCATGAAGATCACGGACCGGGGCGAATTCTTCAAGAAGCACATGCCGCAGTGCTCCAAGAATGCTAAGAAGGAGGGTACATACAATGCCTTCGATCCGATTACCGGTGAGCGTATCCAGCGCCGGCAGTTATACGATGGTGTAGCGCCTACGCTCGATTTCGGGGGAGTTAGGGGGATTAATTACCAGCACGACAGGCAATATGTCGACGAGGCGCATGCTCGAGAGGGCTCGGGGGCGTCGCCAGTCGGTGGCAGGCCGGCAACTCCTGCTCCCGCACCTGTGCAGACTCCAATTCATGCACCTGCACGGCCTGCTGCTCCTGCACCTGCGCAGACTCCAATTCGTGCCTCTGCGCGGCCTGCTGCTCCTGCCCCTGCCCGTGCGCAGACCCCCGACGTTGCTCAACGGGTACAGACTCCTGCTCCTACCCGAGCGCGGACACCAGCAGCAGGCCCGGTTCCAAACACGCCTAACACGGCCAACAACAACGAGGAGCAACTTCTCGACCCAGATGATCCAGCCGTGATAGCGCTTCAGCAGACGATGAGACCGGTTACTGGAGTCCGTCTAAAGCCGGCAGAGTTCATGCCAGGTATGAAGAAGGGTGGAATGGCGGCGAGTCGATATGCGGACTAGGTGTGACCTTTATTGGAGGGCTGAAGTTAGAGAAAAGTGTGTGGCTCGAAAGAGTTTGTGTTTAGTGTTGGCGTCAGTCAACGATGCGGGAAGAAAGTTATGGTTTATTCGTTTTTCAGGATGCGCTCGTCAGGGCCATTATATAGAGTGAGGAGTAGGGTACTGGGAATATTGCTTTTCTGTCCTGCGTTTTGGGCTGTGGGAGACGACGTTGCTCCCAGTTTTGCGGTTCGGGTCTCGAGGCGTACGTCATAGACTAGGTTGCATTTTGAGGCGCAATATGACATTATTAAATGGAATCGATCACTTTCCAAGTCAACCTTACGACGGATTTGTTTCTATATGGGCAGCAAAAGTGCGTACAAGATGGGTAGAATATCGGGGAGAGTCACGTGTAAAGCGACAAGATAGGTTAGCGTCCCCGTGGCCCCTTTCAGTTCCACTGGGCTGCGGGCCCAACCCATCTCTATCGCACTCCATCTCATCTGCATCCCGTCTGCCCTTGCATGCTCCCACCGTATCTATGTGATGCCTGCCTCTAAAGCGCTGTTTATCCGGGTACCCGGGGTCTTAGGGCTGCTTGGCACTGTTACCCGTCTTTCTTGTCCTCCTTGACCACCTGCTCAATGAGGCAGCTCGTATGCCGCGCCAATTCCACATCATGCCTATCACCAGTATTTAGGAGGCGCAAACCTCCCGTCCGTCTTTCCAGGAGCCTTTGCGTCTCTTGCAGCTCTTCTCGTGCCACCTCTCGTTTTCGTCGCGCGGGGAACCGTCGCGTCATCGGCAAAGCGAGATAGATTGCAGCGCGAGTTGGCAATCTCGGAACGGACGCGTCGACTATTTTTAATATTCATTCGCCCCTGCTCGAGGAGACTCTGTCATTGTTTTCCAGCTCTGCGCGTCGTTCTTCGATATGATACTCTCCCTCGCGCTTTTGGCGGCTGCCGCCTCGCTGATTCATGCGATTGAGCCACCGCGATCCCCACACCAGCCCCTCGGAAATGGGACTAAACGGCTGACCTATAATATCACCACGGACGCTCCAGCCCTGGCTCCTTCTAGCAGGACGCTAAATTGGGTCAGTACCGGTAAAGATGGTGATTACATCTATACCGGCGGCGACGGATCCTTCATTTTCGAGAACATCGCGACCGGGGAATCAACAACGTTTCTCTCCGCTGACAAGATACCCGCGGATTACTGGGATTACTTCATATCTCCCGACGCGAGCCGTGTACTTTGGGCTATCAACTACACCAAGCAGTATCGCCATTCCTACTTCGCCGACTACCTCGTGCAGGATGTGGAGTCAGGAGAAGTGCGACCGCTCGTTTCAAACTCCTCCGGCGATATCCAATACGCGGAGTGGAGTCCGGCTTCTGCCTCGCAAATAGCTTTCGTTCAGGGCAACGATCTGTTCATCTGGAACGAAGGCGAAATCGCGCAAATCACGAGCAATGGCGGCCCTGATTGGTTCAATGCTGTGCCCGATTGGGTCTACGAGGAAGAAGTCTTTGGAGACCGATACACGCTCTGGTGGTCTCCAGACGCGAAGTACATTGCCTTCCTCACCTTCAACGAGACCGGTGTGGAGACTTTCCGCGTACCCTATTATATGGACAACCAGGCGATTGCTCCGCCATACCCTCGCGAATTGGAGCTGCGATACCCGAAGGTCGGAACGAAGAACCCCACGGTTGGCTTCAACCTACTCGACGTGGATGCGCTCACGGTTACGAACCTCCCCATTGATGCCTGGCCCGAGGACGACCTCGTGCTTGGAGAAGTCGCATGGGTCACGCAGGAGCACGGCAAGGTCATGTATCGCGCGTACAACAGAGTGCAAGACCAAGAAAAGCTTGTATTGGTGGATGTAGCCTCCGGATCGTCTTCAGTTGTGCGCGAAAGGGATGGCTCCGACGGATGGCTAGAAAACTACCTAGCTATTACCTACCTCGGCTCTGTCGCAGGCTCAAACGGTACTTACGGAAACTCGAGCGGCGACTATTACTTGGACTTTTCCGATGAGAGCGGCTGGAACCACCTGTACCTCTTTCCAGTCAACGGCGGCGAGAAGATCGCGCTCACATCCGGCGAATGGGAGGTCAGGTCTGTTTTGAAGATAGATGCCAAGCGCAGCCTTGTCTATTACACGTCAACGGAGCACCACAGCACGGAGAGCCACGTCTACTCTGTTTCGTACAAGTCCGGCAAAAAGACGGCTCTGGTCGATGATTCTATTCCTGCATACTGGACTGCGTCATTCTCCTCTGGTGGTTCCTACTACGTTCTTCGCTACGCCGGTCCAGACGTTCCATACCAGGAGCTGTATTCCATCAATTCTACGAAGCCTATCCGCACCATTGTAGACAACAAGAGCCTCTGGAACACGCTACAAACGTACAACCTTCCCAACATTACCTACCAAGAGCTCCAGCATCCCTCCGGTGTCACGCTCAATGCCATGCTCCGCTTACCACCTAACTTCGACGCCAGCAAGAAGTATCCCGCCATTCTGCTCCCATACGGCGGTCCTAACGCCCAGGAAGTCACCAAAGCCTTCAACACCCTGAATTGGAAAGCTTACGTTGCCTCGGATCCCGAACTGGAATACATCACCTTTACCGTCGACAACCGAGGCACAGGTTATAAAGGCCGCGAGTTTCGCTCTCTCGTGACCTCCAATCTGGGAGATCTCGAAGCGCAGGACCAGGTCTGGGCGGCCAAAGAGCTTGCCAAGAACTCCTTCGTCGATAGTGACCACATCGGCATCTGGGGCTGGTCATACGGCGGCTATCTCTCTTCCAAAGTCGTCGAGCTCGGCGACCCCATCATATCGTTTGCTATGATCACAGCCCCTGTCAGCGACTGGCGCTTCTACGACTCCATCTACACGGAGCGCTACATGAAGACACCCACTCTCAACCCCGAAGGCTACAACAAGTCGCGTGTCCATGACACCGCCGGCTTCAAGAAGATTGCGGGAGGTTTTCTGATCCAGCACGGTACTGGCGACGATAATGTGCACTTTCAGAACACGGCGGCGCTGGTGGACCTGCTGATGGGCGATTCGGTTAGCCCGGAGAAGATGCAGCATACATTCTTCACGGATAGCGATCATAACATTCGGTATAATAATGATGGGAGGTTTCTGTATCGGCAGCTGAGCAAGAAGGTGTTTGAGGAGAAGCAGAGGACGGGCGACTTGAAAGGCGGGCATCAGTGGAGTAAGAGGGGTCAGAGGGGGCAGAAGAAGTGGACAGCATGAGAAGAGGATAGGCGACTGACCGTAATTGGGCTCAACCGCATCGTTCCTCATAAATTCAACTACATGCCTTCCCGTCAATCCTTCCCTGTCGCTCAAAATGGACCCTCATGTGACTATATTCGCTAGCGGGGTCGATGTCACGGAGTAACCCTGCGCCCATGGTAGTCGCCTTTGCCTTCGATGAGTTTGCAAGCGTAAAAGCCAAGAAGCAAGCCTCTTCTGATATAAGAACCGATAGACTCGGCGAGAGCATTCATACCGGCGCACTTTCATATCGGAGGGCATTCATACCGGAGACCATTCATACCGGACCGCTCCCGGTATGAAAGGTAGTTTCACTGCGGAAGCTTATCGATAGGGGACTGAGTTTCACAACGGAACTCGCGCTCCTCCGGTAGGAAACCAATTTCCTACCGGAATGGTTCCGGTTTGAAACTGCCTTTCTATGCGGAGACTCATAACAGGGCAAATGCCCGAGCATATTAATCTATCCAGAGTGCCAGTGGAGGCGGGCGAGATACTCACTCCTCATCTGAATCCACGCTCTCCTCACTACCCTCCACCGCACTCTCCCGCCCCCGCTCCTCCCCCTCGATCTCCCGCTCCCCCATCCTCCCCGGTCCCAATGTCTTCTGCGCCACCAACCTCCCCACCGCCAGCTCATTGCCCTTCCCTATTGCATGAGAGAACGCGCTCTGATCCTCCTTGGATAAACTGCTCGTCACCCACTCCGGCAGCGGCCGGATGTGGTGCCGGTACTGGAAGAGGCAGCGACTCGCCCGATGCCCCTTGGCTTCTTCCGATACTGGTAGTTCTTCTTGCCCGGCGCGCCGGCGCAGAGATGGCAGACCTGCAGGTCCTTGTTCGGACAAATGTCCGCAGGGTGGTCGTCGGCGATCTCGCAGTAGAAGCAGAAGAGCGCGTTGCCGAGGGTGGGCGAGGGTTGCTGCTTGCACCATTGGGAGAATTGGTCGGGGATGTTGTTGAGAGAGAGCCCGTTGAGCGAGGAATCGAGGGGGAAGCCGGACGGTGTGTCGGGGTAGAGGATTGGGAATAGCCCGAGGAGCAGCGTGAGGACGAGGCAGTATACTGTGTCGTTTCCTGCGTTGCGAAGCCACTTCGGCTCGATGCCGAAGCTCTCCATGATGTTCTCGAATTTGGGCTCGTTGTCGAGCACGCCGGCTTGACGAGCGAGCTTCTTCATCGAGTGGATCCAGTAGATGACTAGTCGGAAGCGTTGGGCGTTCAAATCTCCCATTGCTGGTTGTTGCCTACACTGAACCGTGGATCCTTTCTGTACTAAACCGCTGAACCTTTTGATGATACCCCTTCTGCCTGCGGAGTCTAGAATATGGCGTCTTTTTTGCTGGTACTGTATATGTAGTATGCTCGCATCTTCTTTATGATGAGGTCGAGCGAATTAATGACTGCGTCGAGCCCGCCGACGCTGAAGTCGAGGTTCCATTTGCGCTTCAGCATGCCTCGGTCGTTCTGGAAGGCGTGGCCGACCATGGCGACGGGAGCCTTGCTTCCGTCGTCGCAGGTTTGCGCATCCAGCACATTGGTTAAGATCTGCTTTGCCTCGTCGACAGTGACAAACACAAACCGCGTGTAGCCGAACAAGAAATTCTTCTCGGCATCCAGGCCCGACTTCTTGTTGTGCATGTGGCAGGTTTCCTTAACGCAGTGATACCGGGTCGTATTCTTGAGGAGACCTAGCAGGTCCGACTTCTCTGGGTGGTGCAGCAGATCCTCGACGCGCAGGATTGTTATGCCAACCTCTGTGATCTCACCCTCCGGCTCATATTGGTGCCATTCAAGGTCAATGCTGACGAGAACAGCCTTGAGCAGCTTCTCCGGTGCGTTGACTAGGCCGTCGAGGGTAATGCCTGAGAGGTAGCGGATGACCTCGAGCATGGGGCGCGACTCGCAGTACTTACGGAGGTCGTCGAAGGAGTTGCGGTCATCGGCCAGGGAGAGACTGCTCACAGCGGCGTCCAGGTTGGGGGTGTTGGATTTCCCCATGATACACACTAGGCTCACGTTGCCCATAAGAGGCCAGATGAGTGCCGGGGCAAAGATGGTAGACGAAACCCTCATCGTGTACATACGTTAGCGCGAGTACTCCTTATTGGATTATGGGGCTGGGTCGATGTTCTTGGCGACGTCGCGGGTAGAGTTGGGAGTTGCGTTAAAGTGAGTATAGGGTTTCGATAGAGCGATTGGACGTAAGCTCAAACATAGGGCGTGCCCCGAGGCCGAGAAGTGAATACATTACTGCTGCCTAAGAGCCCGCCGGGGAAGCCCCGTCATTGCCATCTATGGAATTGGAAATGGGTGAATTCCTGCCTTGGGCCGGACAGTGCTCGTGTGCAGTCTAGTGGAGCTTTAGACATCCGGGCCGTTAGCATGGAAGGTGAAAGCTGCGGCGCGTCGCGATTTCCTGCCGGAGGAGCGTAAGCCCCGTAGTGAAACTCCGTTCTTTCCACCTTTCCTACCGAGAGCGCTCCGGTATGAAATCGAGAAATCGATTTTCTAGCCATGCTTTTCCGCAGCGAAATTCCCGCAGTTTCCTACCAAAGGGCCGTAGATCTCCGCGGTAACACTAGGTTTCATACCGAAAGCTGTCCGGTATGAAACTCATTTCCTATTGACGATGGTAAGCCTCCGTTGCGGAAACGGAATTTCCTACCGCTGGTTCTCGCGTTATAATCTATGTGTTTCCCTACTACCTAGGTAAGGACATTGGCCTCCGCTGTAGAAAGGAGTCCCGTACCGACACTTTTCGAATGGAAATTCAGTTTACTATCGGAACTACTCTACTACCGGAAATCAGTTTACTACAGGCTGCACGATGGCTCGCGACTGCCCCTGTCTAACGCTTGCAAGAGTAGTTTGTCTATATGTACGAGCCACGCTCGCCAGCAGAGATCAAAGAGGGTGGTGTGACCGCTCCAAGTGTTGAACTCATTAAAACCCGGTCCTGTTGAGATAATTGGCCTGTTGAGGATTATATGCCGGAAGCCTACATCGTCGCGGTGTTGATGGGTTAGGCGGAACCGAGGGAACCACGGTACTAGGACCTGGCACAGCACGGTAGCGCTGAGAGCGGTGAATGCGCTCGGCGGTGAAGGGGAACACGTCAGGCAGGTAACACTTGAACGCGACATTTGTGCAACATTCTGGACCGTGCAGGGTTGCTGCCTAGCCCGCGGGCATCATGTGATCACGCGTCGCCGCATATATAACCCCGCCGCAACCTGCGTTCCTTTACTTCCTCTTCTCACCCCCACACACACGAGAACTGCGCACCAAAATGGGCCAACGACACCAGCTCTTCGTAATTGCGAAGATCCAAGGCCGCTACCGCAGCCTAGCTGCCGTGCATCACCAATGGCTCTATGGCCTGTCCGCGCTGAAGTGTAAGTTCGCGAACAACCCTCGCAGGTCGGCCTCAAAACTAACACCTGACAGCATGCGATCGTCTCATCAAGATCTTCTCAGATCCTGGAAATCGTCATGTTCTCCGTCTTGAGCTCGCGCGCGCCTCAACGCTTCCGGCTGAGGTGTGGAAGAAGAAGCTTGAATGGAACAACTGCATACCAGAGTTCCCCTTCGTGACAACGTGCCTCACGATTGGTGCTGGCGTCGACTCCGACACCGGAGACACCAGTCTCGTCATTCCTGAACGATGGAACATGGGCTTCGACGAGGGCGACAATAACGATGGCATTACTGTTCTCGACATTACCAATCCGGAGGGTGTCCGCTACTGCTTTGTGCAATGGTTATGCGGAGGCCGCGACTCCATGGTGCCATTGACCGGAGAGGACTATCTGACAACATATTACGAGCCGGCCGACCACACAGCGGAGATGAAAGGAGTAATGCAACGCTTGGAGAAGCTTCCGCTTATCGGTTCTGGAGATCTGCAAGACGCGTGGCCTGATGGAAGCTGGAAAACTCGCGAACAAAATGGCCTTTCTCCGGTCGACAGCGACCCGTGCGCATCTGATACGTCGCCACAGACATCCGCCGCCGGAACTGGATCGCTAACTCGACTAGCCATGGAAAGAACCATTGAGACGCTCTTGACCGAAGAAGATGACCTGCTGGAGGAAGTGGAGCAACTGCCCCTCTTCCTTCCGAGTCTTCGAAGCTACCTTAGCCGCCACCCAGGGGTTGTCAGCAGCAGTCCCTTTGGCTTTGATATGCTCACAAGAGCTCTCCAGGGCCTTCACGAACTCGATTTACATCTCTACCCAGACTTGAGCGGAGAACAGGTCCTCGCACTTGTGGCGAATGCGGCGAGCGAGATCACGATGCTTGACCTATCGGGCAACCACAATCTCAGCCCGGAGCACATCTCTCGCCTTCACCACCATAACAAAATCCTTAAACTGTGCGTCTGGGACAACGACGGAATCCCGTTGGCCGACCTAAAAGCCCTCGTAGCCCAGGGCACCGTGCGCGAGCTGCTCCACCGAGACCTGTTCCTCCAGCCATTCCACGAGTACGAAAAGCGCGCCTCCCGCAGGGCCAAAGCTCACGAGGTTACCAATAAAACAGTCAGCGATTTCCCTGGTTCATGCGCTTCGCAGCTCATCTGGGCCTGGGCCAAGGGCGCCCAGCATGAAGATGCCTCCTGCGAGACCAATCCATTCAGTCCTGAAAGCAGGCTTTACAAGGAAATCCAATCAATGACTCCAGGAATGCAACTTGGGGACCCGTTCGAACCCCTTCCACTCATGGTCCTTCCTATTGGAGACGCCCCGTTGACACCAGAGTCCCTCCTCACCGTTACCGGTAGACTGATCAAAGCGCTACCCCTTCTAAACCCGTCCCCATTTAGCAGAAGCACAACTGGACTTTTCTTCGCCTCTGCCATGGCGCTCAGCGATAGTACGGTAAGTGTACCTATAGCCATGGTCTCGATTCTTTGATCGACTAACTCCGTGTCAAGTCACCCTACACCGTCCACCCTCTTCCACCAAAGCTGTACGCCAATGCTCGCGCTGCTTATCAATCAACCGGCGTGCACCTCGGAGACTCGACAATCTCTGTTGCGCCAGGGAAGTGGAGCGTTCTCTTCATTCAAGTGCTGAAGCAAGGCTTCTCCACTGTCGGAATGCGCACGGCGTTTCTCTCTGCAAACGATAAGGGAGAGCTTCGAGTGTGCGATTCTGCCACATTCATGGCCGAGACTGGTTCCACGCATCTTAGCTCCAATTGGAAGGATGTCTCGGACAGCGTCAACGTTACCGATTGCGACGAAGAGACGGCGAAGGACTTCATCAGATTGGTGGATCTGGTAAACGGAAAAGCCAGCACAAACTGAGTGCGTCGCAGTGAGGAGGATGAGCTGCAATGGCAATCCAGAAGACGGACTCACTGTCTCCAACGGGTTTTATGTAACTAGAGCAAGCAACATTACTCTAGAGTGCTACTGGAAAATGAACAAGCTTAGCGTGGCCCTATAGCAGACCCATGTATAACTCCCTGCTTGATCTAGACTATTCTGAGTCATATTCGACATCCTCATTCTCCTCATCCCGCTCACAGTCACTCCGCTCCCGCACCCACTGCAGCTTATCCACTCCTCGACCTCCCGATCTCCCATCCGCCCACTACCAAGCACCTTATTCGTCATCTCCCCAATAGCCGTAAAGTCCCTCTTATACATAGCCCTCGAGAAGGCCCTCAGCTCCTCCTGGTCAAGGTTCACAGCGAGCCAGCTGGGAAACGAAGGAATCGTATGATTCGGCTCGAAGACGCAACGGTCCGTTCGGTGCGTCTTCGCCTTCTTCGTCCGATACTCCCCTGTTCGCCTTCCCAGGATCAGAGAGGCACAGCGCGCACGGATCCTCCTGTTTGCGGCGCCCACAGGCCTCGGGGTTGTGCTCTTCCGCCGTGTTGCAGTAGAAGCAGTACTGCGCGAAGCCCCAGGGAGGCCCGGGGAGAGCGAGCCGAGCGACAGACCGGCCTGAGAGGATACTGTCGATCGCGCGGCCCTGGATCGACGAGTCGGCGGGGTAGTCCCCGGGCTCGACGGGTAGAGCACGGGATGCATGCCAACAAGGACTGCGGGCACAAGCGCGTAGGCAGAATCGTTAGCGCTGTTATGCTTCCACGCCGCGCCGATACCCCACTCCTCAGCATTCCGTCGAGCTTGCCGCGGCGCTGTCCATGGATGCCTGCTTACCGCGCCAGCTTCGCGACCGAGGCGAAGATGTGCACCACGGACTCGATGCCGTTGAGCCTCAGGCCCCACTGCGCCTTGAGCTTGCCCATGTCTTGGTTGAGCCCGTGGCCGAGGATAAGCACCGGGGCCTTGGAGCCGTGGGGGCAGCGCTGGTCGGCGAGGAGCTCGAGCATTTTCTCTTTGGCCGCTGCGACTGAGAGGAAGCGGGTGTGTGCGTATAGCGAGTTTTTCTCCGCGTCGTTGACGCCGGGCGCGAATTTCTTGTTGCGCTTGTGGCAGGTTTCGACGAGGCGGATGTGGTGCGTTGTGGAGGTGTGCATTAAGGCTTTGAAATCGCCGTTGTTGGAGTGTTGGGATGTCGCTACCGCGGATCAGAGTAATACCTGCCTCTGTGATTTTATCGAGCCGCGGATCCTCGTACCATTCGAGGTCGAGGCAGGCGATGACGCGTGGTTGAGGATATCTGGAGCACCGTCTAGGGGGTGCCCGAAGAAAGTGCTTCCAGATGTCGATTGTGAGGTGCTGGGAAAGAAATTATTTGAGTTCCGCGAAGGTGCTGGTGGGGCTCTCTAGGGAGGTGGTGGCGATGCTGGGTTGGGTCATTGTATCTGAATTTGAGTTATCTGTGTGCCAGTTAGGGTATTATATCTGGAAGAATGGAGAGCCTAGGCGAGGGCTTACTCGTATATACACGCTGGATTAGACGCTTTCGTTCCCACGGGCGTAGATAGAGGAGTATTTGCGGAGTTGGATGGTAGTCGCGCTTGGTATGATAGAGCCGTTGCAGCGTAGTTCGAGGTTGTAGGCGCTCTCCCGTGACCACAACCCTACCGGTTCAACATTTGCGGGAACGACTTAACTACAGTCGTTAGTGAAGAGCGAGGGCTCCCAAGCTTTGTATGGGTGGTTATTATGAGCTCAGAAGATGCTATCTCTCAGGTTTATATCCTGCGAGGGCTTGTGTCACTAGGTGCACAATGCTGACCGGTGGCCACGAGTACCAGATTGTTTCCCATTGCGGGTCGGCGGCTTGAGCGAGTACGTCAAAAGCATGGAGTCGCGATCAATTCTCAAAACTTGCTCATCAAGCCCGTTCGCTCTTTAGCCACTCCTGCTATGTGCAATCTTAGTTCATCCCACCTCGGCCACCCACATTTCCAACCACTCCCTTCAGCATATCTGCAACCGTAGCCGCGGCATCGCCCTTGAACATCCAGTCACCAGGCCAGGCCGTCGCGAGCCCTTCATCACTCTCCTCCATATTGAAGAAAGCGACTTTTGCGCCCGCATTTCTTGCAACGGGGATGTACATCGCTGCTGGCAGGACTACGGCGCTAGTGCCGATAACGAGCATAATATCGATGGGGCCGTTAGAAGTGAAGTTGTAGGTGCGCTCGGTAATAGAAAGAGGGGTGGCCTCGCCGAAGAACACAACGGCGGGGCGGAGAAGGTTGTCGCATTTGGGACAGCGAGGCAGGTCATTAACTCCAACGTCTGGAAGAGGAGCCGCGGCGTCAGAGATGTCGACATCGTAGGGAATCGTCAGGCTCTCGTTGACGGGGTATGTCGCCTCGGTGACATAGTCGCACTTGTCTTTCTCGGCGCTGTGCTTGCTGCATTTGATCTTAAATAGGGTGCCGTGGATTTGTGCGATCTGAGAAGGCGGGAATCCTGCGCGCTCACAGAGGCCTGTAGGGATCAGCACACTGCTTTCTCCAATGCTCTTCATGGCGTACCATCAATATTCTGATTCACAGCAAAGAACCCCTCCTTATGCTCCGCCAGCTTGACCAGGGCAACATGTGCGGAATTCGGCTTAGCCTCTTGCGCCCTCTTCATGCGATCCGAGAAGAACCACCACACCTTTGCAGGATCGTCAAAGAAGGCTTGCGGATCGGAGAGGTCTTGAGGTTCTATGCCTCTCCAGAGCCGATCCGAGCCGCGGAACGTAACGAGGCCTGACCCAGCGGAAAGTCCGGCTCCAAGCAGGGCAAAGATCCTTTTCGATGTCTTCAAGGTCTCTGTGAAGGACGTGAAGTCTTCGAGTGAGATTCCCAAAGAGGGATCAGGGGCAGAAGCACCCTTGAATTTGCGATTAGCTTGTTTCGCTTTCAGTGCTTCTCGCTTCTTGTCTCGTGCTTTTTTAGGTGGTGATTTGGAGGCTTCTTCAACTGCGTGCTGCAGCGGGTCCATATCGAGGCTTTTTGGCGACGGTTGGTATTTTGGGCGTGGGGCAAAAGGCGCACTATTACCCTCGGTATCTGCCGTAGCAATTTCGATAATGGGCGCAGTGTGAAGGTTTCTGACGATATAAATGGCAGTGGGTCACAATTTCATTTAAAAGGTGTACAGACGAAAGTGAGAAGTGACTGTTGGATGACTGTTCACTGCCAAGCCACTAGTCGAGCCTAGCCTCTTTGGGAAATAAGGAACTATGCCAATTTCATCGAAGTTACCAACGGAAGGCCTAGCCGAAGCTTAGAATACAGTTTGCGAATTGAGAGAGTACCTCTGAATGAAAAGTGTTCTTGAGAGACTCTCAATATTCTTCACAACAGCCATGTTCCTTCTGCCGAGCATAACCCCGGTTCACCCCCGCACGCTGCATCGGCCGGCCGCTATGCCGCGGGTCCCGCACTTCCCGTCGCACTTGGGCGGGGGAGGTTGGTAGGCATCGGGAAGCCAGAGGGCATCGGGAAGCCCGACGGAAAGCCACCGGGGAAGCCACTAAACCCTGGGGGAAATCCTCCGGTGGGGAACGGTCCTCCGGGGCCTCCGGGGAACCCTGGGTTCGAGTTCGCCTTTCCGCCGTCTTTCCCATAGTTCGCAGCTGCCATGACAGTGTGGTTGGCCTTGGGGTCGACCCCGAACGCAATCCAGCCGAAGAGGCCGTCCTCCATCTGAGAGCCCAGCATTGTATAGTGCATGATGGGGTCGGTTGTCTCAGCTTCTTGTGCCATGATGAAGTCTTGCTCGTTCGTGGTCAGGGGCTGGGTGTTGGTGCTGTAAGGTTGTGTCTTTTCGACGGCGGAGATAAGGGACTGGTCGAAGAAGACTTGGCCGACGTGCGAGATGGTTCCACCGGTAATCGTGCCGTTAGGGAGAGTGGTGGCGTTCAGGTGAGCCATGACTGCATGCAATCAGTATATAGTTGTTGATGAAGCGAGGGCGCGGAAAAATATGGAGCGAGCGTTATGCTTACCGTGAATGTGAGGGGTTCGGCCCATATAATGTCCAGGGAAGACAGTGTCGAAGATGACAACGCCCTCTTCCTTGCTGGGCTGAATACCTCGCAGCATGGTGTTGTTCAGCTCACGCTCGTCGGAAACACCGCCCGCGTTTCCACCAGCGATGCCACCGTAAACACCCTACTTGTGTCAGATGGAGCGGGAAAGGCGGCGGACCTTGCCTACTGTGCTGTTGCAGTGCCACATCTCTAACATGACGCCCGTCAACGGTTCGCAAGTGTTCACGTCGATGACTTGAACCTCATAAGTAAGTGCAACACCAGGCTCATCCTCAATCACATTCTGGCGAATAAGTTCGCCGGTCACATCTACAAACCGCGGGTCAGCGATGTAACCTCATCGACGGGAGAGTTCCTTACAGTACGGCCCTTCGGTAACCTCCGGAGACAGAATGCAAGAGTTGTTCCCGGCAAAGAGAACATCAGCTGGAGTCTGGGAGGTGTAGTTCTGAGTTGACTGATGGGACGTGTTGAGCGCCTGGCGGAAGTCACGGACTTCTAGCGATCGCTTCTTGCGCAGTTTCTCGACGGTAGCCTGGCGGCGGGCGATGGAGCGTTGCTCGATGCCGCGCTCCTTCAGTTTCTCAGCGCAGTGGGAAAGAGAGCGACGCTCAGCTGTTGCCATGTATGCCGCGCGCTGAGCGACTTCGGCTTTGACATCGTGACCGGGGTGGGCGAGAATACCAGAAGAAAGGAGAGCGGCTGCCAAAAGGGCGATGGACTTGGTAACGAGAACCATCTTTTCGACGTCGATTCAGAACTGTTGGCTGGTGGTGATGGTCGCGGCAGATCTCGCTCTTATAGACGAGTCCTGTTAGGGTTCGAGACAAGCATTCTCGATAGACGCCGTTCTTTCTTGTCTTCTTGCTCCATGGACACGTAAGAGGTCGTATAGTCTAGATTGCGTATCGAACCATCCTTCTTTTCTTAGCTGCACCGAGGATAGCATATCGATGGGTATGCGGGTACGGCAAAATGGAGGCTGGTGCTATAGCTTTCTGCTGCCCATAGACGTCGGAACAAGCATCGACGGCGAAGGGTTTGCAAAGCTGCTCGAGACCCCGGCTAGTCGGTTCCGTCGGCACAGGAAAGGATTGTCGACTGCTCGGAGAATTCGTCAAAATAAGCTCTCCTTCCGCTCGAAGGGCAGCCGTTGAATCCGGGTAAAATATACGACGGTTGAAATGGCAGCCTGCCAAGACATGTGCGTCGTAAGCTATATGGGAGTCCCTAGGAACTTCAATGGGCCCCAGTTTCGAAGAGATCAAAAACCTGGGGTATCTGAAGATAAAGTACTAGCGGTCTTGGGGCTTACGTATATACGATTGCTGATAGGACCATCGCGACTGCAGCCTTAAATTAACTGCCGGAAATCGCCGGGGTGACGGCATTGTGCATGTGCTATTCTCAAGGAAAGAAGTGGGAGAGACCAAAGTTGACGTGAAGAAGAGAAATTCTGAAATGTGAACAGGAAGATGGAATGAGAGTGCATGGAGCACTGAATGAAGTAGCGCAAGATGTTGAAGTTGCCACTCCAGAAGCGCCAAGTAGAGAGGCGTTGACACCATGCACTGTACGCTCCAGGCGAAGTAAAGTAGCCGTCGTGGATACCAGAATGCGCGGCGTACGTATGCAGCCTCATTTCGAATTCCAAATCTGCCCGGTTGCTTAGAACACATTACCTCGGGTTTGCTCAATCTTCTTGAGATTGTGATTCTTCCAGACAATGATGGATGCAAAGAGGAGAGGCATGAAGCATGCGCCTGCGATGACCATCTTTCTCTGCACTTCTCCATAAGCAGCGATGATGCCCTCTCGCACAGGGCTACCCCATTCGTAGCCTAGCTGAATGGTAAGGTCACCGTAAATCGTCATCGCTTCGGCCTTGTGTGACTCGGGAAGGTACTTGACGAGGGCGGCAGGAAGAAGGTTGGTCCACATGGCACCCGATACTGCGAGGCCAACACCGGCTCCGATGGACGCGAAGAGGCCATGTAGTGCTAGCACGACAGCGACTTCCTGGTGGCTGACGGAGGCCATGACAGCAAGAGGCATGGCAATGGAAAGCATACCGCCTGCTGCGCCGTTGAGTATCTGGCACATCGTGATGTATCCGACTTTGCTTCCGGGGTGACGAAAGTAGACGAGTAATCCCGTTCCGAGTGTGGCGAGAGGAACAGCCCCCAACGCGACGGCTTTCGGGCGGCCCGTATAACGAATCAGCCTATGCGGTTCTTTAGCCAGAGTACATCAGCAAATTTCTCTAGACTAACTTACAAGCCACAAAGGGGCATAATAACGGAGGAGGTAAGCGAGTAACTGTTGAGGATGTAGCCAGCGTCTCGAATGTTCACGCGATTGACCACCTGCATGTAGGATGTGAGGTAAATATCCCCTAGAGCGGAGGTACGATTAGCGATGTCTTACTTTGGTATTCGTACCGCAGAGTTTGCTTACAGCAACTGCCAGAGTTAGATTCCGCGAGACAACAGGGGGAAGGGCGCAACTCTTACTAGATAGAAATAAACATGGCAAAGTTGCATATGCAAGAGCCGAGGATAGTTCGGTCTTTAAGATACCGCCAGGGCAAAAACTGTATTGGAGCAAATCGCTTCTCCCAGACAGCGAAGGCCGCAAAGCACACGACACCAATGACGATCATAGAGATCATGCTTCCACTTGCCCACTTGTCTTTGGACGACGAAGCGAGACTCATAGGGAGGAGGACCAGAGCGAACGCAGCCGTAATCAGAAGCATTCCGAGAACTGCTGGGTGTTAGTAGAAAATTGGGCAATGGCTTCTGGACGTACCGTCGAATTGTACGACGTAGTAATGAATAGATTCATGCCAAGTGCGTTCGGAGTTCCGTCCAGCAATCACCCCAAGTCGCTTGGCTTTTCGATGGTTCATCCAGAAGCTGACCATGATTGGCGCTGCAATGACTGGAATGATGATACAGAAGCAGCCAAAGGCCCATCGGAAGTTGGAGTGAGTGTAGAATGCTTGCGCGATCGCGGGTCCAGCAAAGATCGTCGCCAGAGTAGGAGTGGCATTGAGACCAAACATTATGCCTCTGTTTCGGAGAGAGGTCATGTCGGCCACGAAGACGTCAATGATATATCCAAGTCCGGTATGGCCGACCCAGTAGAAGACCGCAGCGGCAGCATAGGTCTGTACATTTTGACATAGGGCCTTCATAAGCATACCTGATCCAATGGTTTAACGAAGCCGATGAGAAAGCTAGGGGTTAGAACTTACCGATGACGAGAAGTCCAATGACCAGGCCAAAGCCCTCGACACGCCCCCAGATATCAATGATCTTAGCTATGGTGAGCTTGGACACACCGCCAATGATACTCGACATAACACTTGTCGTTGCGAGGAGCGCATGCTTGCTGAAGGACGAAGTGATGTAGGGCTCGAGACTGGACTGGGTGTTCTGCATGAGCATGTCGACGAACTGCACTACGTAGATCCTGGGGAATTTAAGCACTGTGATCATAGGGAGTCAATGGGGAGCATCCACTCACATGACGAAAGTAAGCCACAGGGCCTTCTTGGACCACACGGAGGTGACGGCTTCGACATTCTTCACCCCATCCTGCTTGAAGCTTTCCGTCTCAGACTTCTCCAGGTCATTACTGCCCGCCTTGGGTTCATCGGCAATCTTTTCGGCCGTGTGCGATTCTCGTTCGAGATTGTCAGCGGCCATCGTGTTTCTCCGAGACGAGGGGTCACGAAAAGATTTGGGAAAGGATGAGCGTTGTGTTTCCACGGGACGGGTGCCCGCCATATATGTGGCCGACTCGGTATTCTAGGCATTGCGAACGAAGGCAAGGATTTTCCCACACTAGAATCCTTTCCCAGGTTGTTTGTAATAGACTGGACCCTCGTAGTAGCTCGATTGGCCGAGCGGGATGATGGTGGTGGAGATGTTGCCAGAACGGGGCAGGTTCGGGACCGACTTCGGATCTATCAGATCATCAGATATCCACTAGCGTTGTCAGGCCTACTGCCGAGGTCCCGGCTCCGCTGAGGATCGCCTGCAAACTGCGAAGAGACGGTGACATCGTAAATGCGCCTCGTGAGCTGTGCGTTAGAGTTGAGGCTCGACAGACGTGGCGAAGGCTTGGTGGTGTAGCGCGGCGGCAGGAAAGCGCCGCGTGTGGGAGACAGGCCACCAGGCTTGGCGCTAGCGTGGGGTTCGCGATGTCGGACCATGCATCGCTTTCTCTCTTCCACCCCTGGCGCTATCTGCGGGGTTTCTTGTTTTGACTTAGCAGGTGTTGCCAGACAATGCAAAGCTATCCGCAAGAGCAGAATTGACCGCAGCCCGTCCTTGTCCACGTCCACAACCCGGCCTCTCAAGGTGTGGGATTCTCCAACTATGATGTGCGTAACGGCCACCGTGGAGGCCTTCGCAGATGCATACAATGCCACGTAGAGTTACCTCTACGAGCATGTACAGCGAGCACTTAAATCCGAGACTTCCCTACCGCAAGAGCCGCCAACCCTGGCTTTGCGTCCTCCCACTAGGGAGCGTTCGAAGCGTCCCGAGAACCTGAGTTCGGATATGGAGCCCCTAGCTGCACTCTGCATTGGTCTGCTTTTCTGTCCAGTCAGTATACGCTGTCCTCTCCCCGAATCATGCTAACCGCCCAAGCTCAAAGCTCTTGGCATTCCCGCCTGTTGAGGGAGTTAGTAGCTCTTAATTGGATCCAGCTTCGAGCGAAGTTTCTAGGCGTTACTAGTACTCGCAGATCCCAGCGCTTCGCTGCGTGACAAGTTCCACACCTCAGAGGACCACCTACGGCTATACTGCCGGATGCAGACGGAGTGTGAAGCGTTTCACACGGAATTAGCCAACTTTCAATACTGATGTATGGCTGTAGAGTGTGCATTAAGTGTCATAGGCGTTACCGTAAAGGATCTCGAAATAGATCAGTCCTAAGGCAGTCATATCGCGCTTGCCCCATCTAGCTTTCTAGGCACGCGTCATGTGAAGGGGCACTCATCGGTGCAGTGCTAACCGCCAAAGAAGGATATTTATACATGAGGTGACGGGGAATCGTGGGACCCTCTCCTGAGCCTTCGACTGCCATCAGCACGTAGTCGCTTTGTTGTCTTTAGACTAACTCGAGATAGAAATCATCACCATATGGAAGTGTCAATACGACCTGGAGCTTTGAGGGCAAACTCACGCGAGGTCATTTCGTATCACACGAAAAGCTCGGTCTGCATTGGTCGACGATAAAATGAGTCCTGGTAAGAGGTGCGCGGCGAGTTTCGGTGGCATGGAAGGCAGATGCGCTTCTCTCTCGTCACTCCTCCGCCATTCTTCAACATTCCAAGGTTTGCTTGGAAGGTCTGCGAATTCCATTACCACCAAGAAGGTTCTCCGCTGGGCTTTCGCAATCCGCATACTAGCGGACAAACAAGCAACCTCAACCATAAATATAGTCGACATCTACCTTGGAAAATCCACCACTCAAGCTACTTGAAGTAACCATGGACCGCATTCAAGAGGAACTCCGCAAGATAGCCACCGCTACGCAGACCGCTGCCGACGAGGTCGTTAAACTCCAAAACTCTCAAGCCGCCGCCCAGAACCGACCGAGCGAGGAGATTCTGCAAGCACTTGGCCGCATCGATAAGCGCCTTGACGCGCTTGGGCACGCCATCATTATGAGTCTCACTAAGCTTGAGAGCAAGCTGGACCAGATGAAATATGACATCGAGGACCAAATCAACGATCGCATTGCCAAGTGATCCGGGTGGGGTTGAGGGGGCTGTTGGGGAAGTTGGTCCTGCGATTGGAGAGGTCAAGAAAAGTATGGGCGCCAATGCTATTGCTATATAAGTGAAGCCTGGAGAAAGGACGCAGTACGCAACGCTGACAATCGCCGGTCGAGCGTCGGTGTGCATGACTAGGAACAAGGTAGCATATCACTGCGGATTTGGCCATGATGTGTCCAAGCTTAGGACTGCTAATTGGACGGCTTGGGGTACGACATTTAGCCGTCGTGAAGATGTGCTTAATCGTAGTGGTTTGGACGATCTCCTATCGACGGCCATGAATATGGACAGCCTTAACCCTCTCATTCTCCAATTGCATGTTGCTAATTCTCATCCTTACGGCCGCAAGGCTGTGAAAGCCTGATCGCATTCCTCGCTTTCAAGGCAACAGCGCCATTCACGTGATAGCGCGACGCCATGTCAACTAATCACTCGCGTACCCCTCACCGACGCGTCTTGGCTGTCGCACAAGCAGAACAACGAAGAAAGATAAATACTGCCTTTCAGTCCACCTCTTTTACTGTCGCAGCATTCCTTTCGCGAGAACTCCGACGCTCTTCTCACATTCAATCGCCTTCACCCTTGCCTAGCCCCAGTTGTAAGTGCGTCGTCGGCATCGCCCCGCATAGTCTCTCTTATCTAACCCCCCGAAAGTCTTCAGGCGCTACAATGTCTCCCAACAAGATCACCACCTGCCTCTGGTTCGACAGCCAGGCCGAAGAAGCCGCGAAGAACTACGTGTCCGTCTTCCCCAACTCCGAAATCACCAACATCTCGCACTACACGTCCGTCGGCCAAGAGCACCACAAGAAAGAGCCCGGATCCGTCATGATCGTCTCCTTCACGCTCAACGGGCATCCGTTCGTCGCACTCAACGGCGGCCCACTGTACTTCCACACCGCCGCTACCTCGTTCATGATCCACTGCGCCGACCAGGCTGAAGTCGATCATTACTGGAACAAGTTGGGTGAGGGAGGTGATGAGCAGAAGCAGGCCTGCGGTTGGTTGGCGGACAAGTGGGGCGTCTCGTGGCAGATTATCCCGGATCAGTTCATGGAGTATATGAAGGATAAGGATGGCGAAAAGGTGAAGAGGGTCTTGGCTGCTATGATGAACATGACGAAGATGGATATTGAGGGGTTGAAGAAGGCGTATGAGGGGGAGGAGTGAGCAGTTGTCGTTGGCGCTCGGGCTCGGGCTCGGTTCTAAGGGCTTAGCAAGTGAGGGCGTTGGAGGATTTGGCCTGGCTTTTCCTTGTGGGATTGCTGCACTGTCGCTGTACATGAGGGTTTTCAAATTGGAATGTGTTTGATACCAAAAGTTCCCAGAATATCATACCAGAGGTCCTTCGATATGAATTCCAGTTCTGTACCGGACATCCCAAGCCTTCCGCATAGAAACTGGGATTTCATACCGATACCGCCCACGGGGGTCTTCGCTATGGAAATGAGCTTCTTATCGAAATCTCCAAGCCTTTCGCAGAGGATAGCGATTCCATACCGTGGCGTCCAAGCTCTCTGCGTCAGGATGGGGTTTCATACCGGAGCGTTTCCGCATAGAAATAGGAGTTTCGTACCGGAAGCTCTCCGCATAGAAATAGGTTTCATGCCGGGCAGTTTCATACCGGAAGCTTTCCGCATAGAAATAGGTTTCATACCGGAGTGTCCAATCCCTCCGCATAGAAACAAGAGTTTCATACCGGAAGCTGGCCCGCATAGAAACATGAGTTCAACATCGAAGCCGTTCATGAGGCATCCCGGTATGAAATTCATGTTCATACCGAGGCTCTCTAGCTCTCTGCAAAGGTACAGATCTTTCATACCGGGGACACAGCGACGTGAGACGCATTTTCTTACCGAAGACTTGTAATCTTCCGCGCAGAAAAAGGGTTTCATAGCGAAACTGCCTGGCTCTTCGGATTGGAATCAATTGTATACCGGAGTTTGCAGCTAGGTGTCCCCATTAGAAATGGATGTTTGCTATCTATCGCGGAGCGTCGGCGCCTGGCCTCATCGCCTAAGCTGCCGCCAGCTAGGTGCTACGCTCCTCCATCTCAACACAAACGTCAAACGCATCTCCGGTTTTCGCATTCTAACTGAATTTCACACCCGTGATTCCCCCGGATGGAAATTCATCACGATATCGAGAGATGTAGGTTTCTACACTGAAAATAGGTTTTGCCACTGCAACATTTTCCGCAATGAAATCCCCCTCATACCAATGATTTTCAGTTCTCGATATGAAAGGTGGTTTTCGCACAAGCACCTCCCCGGGATTGAAATTCAGTTCTATACCAATGACGCTAATTATTCGCGTCGAAATTCGATTTCCTTATCGATGTCTCTTCCAATTGCTTTCGCGACGAGGGACCCAAGGTCTTGACAGCAGATGTACTGGCTTACCTGCTGTAGTATTTCCACATCAAGAGTCTCATGCGAGCGAACCGGCCTCTAGAGATAACTACTGTAAGCTAGGCAACTGCTCGATGCACTAGCTAACGCGCAGTTCAGGCCTCTCATCGACTACACGCAATCTTACCGGCCGTAGGCCGAGAGCAAGAAGAATGATCTTCTTTGACGGGTTCGACGAAAAGCTACCTACAGCAACGGTGAAGAGTGGGGAAGACATAATCGCTCTCCACACGATCTGGAACCCGCAAGTTGGACGGGAAGGTGGATAGCCGTTCAAACAAAACTGGCGCTGCTTGGACGGCGTACAATTTGCATCGCGCAATCAAACCCCGAGGGACGCCAAGGCAACACGTCCGCAGTCCAGAAAGAGATGGTTTCAACAAGATATCAAGCGCATTCTAACAAGGCGAGCTCGTCATCGCAAGTTTGTAGGCGATTTGAAGACCCAGAGAGCACGATAACGATCACGCCATTGCCCGTTCTGATGACTATGACCTTCGCAACTCCACAAGTCTAGACTGCAGTCAATCTTTCAGGCTTGAGCCACTGAAGGCGACGAACCGTATGCGTGTGGCGCTGAAAAGCTTGACTGGCACGCTGGCGGGGAAAATCCAGTGGGCATAGATAGCTATACTTGAAATAGAGGAATAGGAAGGCCTTGTATCTGATTGGAGGTGGCCCAACTGACGTTCGCCGAGCAGTGTTCTCAACGCTGTTGACTGTCAGTGTCTGGTCATCGGCTGAGCAAGCTCGCGACGGATGTTGGAGGCGAAGCCTTGCAAGAGCAGCAACACTTGGATCACCGACGATGTTCGCTCTTATTCGCAAGGCTCTTCCGCACAAGCTCAGCGTTAATCCCTCCCTGCGCATGTTACCCCAACTTGGGCATCGGAACCTGGAATTTGCGGAGCGGAGCTGCACGTGACCAGTCTTGGCGTACTCGCCTCCAGGGGTCGGGAGCGTTGAGAGATGGACTGGACGCACCTGTTCCACATTCCACAAAACGCCCGATGATCATCCCCATTCTCTCACCCAGTAATGCGCCGCGCTACATCCAGCGCCAAGGCTCGCTGTACCGGCTGTCGCAGGAGGAATGTGGTTGTTTGCGTGTGGGGATCGATCGGGTGAGCTACGTTTCGTCCTCCGGCAGCGTCGAGCAAACCCCCAGCACTCACGCCTATCGAATGCCATTTCGTAGAGTCAGGTCAGCGCTGACGGCCTTGACAGACAATGTGATCCTGATCTCGTACTCCGCTGCGGGTACGGACGGAGAGTTGCCTGAGAAAGCTGTGCCAAGACCTCTCGCCCGACGGCGCCCGGCTGGTCGGCGACGGCCGCCCTAGTATGACAGCGCGTCACTGCTACTTCCTGGGCACGCCGACAGCCGCTTGCTTTCGCCGATCCAGGCATGGCGAAGACTCCCCTCCATATAGCGCTCGCTCTTCCACCTTTAAGTTCTCGCTGGGACGCATACTACGATCGCTATCCAACAAACCGCGACACATCATTGTCGCAATCACTCGCATTCCACAGGTCGTTAGTACTTTTCCATGGACCACACCGCCTCACCAATCCGTTAACATCATCATCATGCCTAGCGGGAGGATAGGGACCTTCTTTCAGACCAGGGTGTTCCACGCTGACCCCGAGAGCCGACGGCAAGAGACGGAAACATTCCAGAAGATTTCCAGAGAGGCCATTGGAGAGACGTTCCTCGAAGAGGACCCAACCGTCGCAGAATGGTTTAGAAGTCTGCTACCTACTTCAGCCGGGGCGGGGCAGTATGTGCAGAACCTCTTCCCTAGCGCACAGTGGATGCGGCGCTACAATCTGCACTGGTTGCTTGGGGATTCCATCGCTGGTGAGTATCTTTTAGAGAGAGTGCCGCATGCCCTGTGCTAACATTTTCAAGGCATAACTGTGGGGCTTGTTGTCGTCCCTCAGGCTATGGCCTATGCGCTGCTTGCCCGCTTATCTCCTGCATACGGCTTGTACACGACATTCACCGGCGCATGTCTTTACTGGATCTTTGGCACGTCGAAAGACATTGTCATTGGGGTGAGCGACTTTTATCCACGTTTCCATTGCAAAGATTCCCCTCATCTTGCGAACTCATGCTAATCATTGACTAGACCACCGCCGTTGGGTCCCTATTAGTAGGCGGCGTAGTCAGCAGCGTCGAAGCCGAACGCCCAGGCGTGTACCCTCCCGAGCAGGTTGCTCACGCACTTTCGTTCCTTGCCGGGCTGATCCTACTGTTTTTGGGCTTCTTCCGCTTGGGGTGGCTCATCGAGTTTATTCCCTACATCCCGATTAGCGCTTTTGTTACGTCCGCCAGCATCACCATCATGTCGACTCAGGTACCCGCTGCCCTCGGCATCACTGGGATCAACACACGGGAATCGCCATATATCGTCATCATCAATACCCTCAAGAGCCTCCCGAGAACGCAGCTGGATGCCGCCATCGGTATTACCTCCATCATCCTGCTCTTCCTCATTAAAGATGTGTGCGCGAGGATGGAGATACGGCAACCTACGAGAAAGAGAATGTGGTCCTTGATCTCTTCTCTTCGGTTGACTTTCACGGTGCTCTTGTATACCTTTATCAGTTGGTTGGTCCACCGGAATACGCCCGAGGAAGCGTCAAAGTTCCGCATCGTCGGTACCATCGAGAAAGGCTTTTCGCACGCTGGCATACCCAAACTGGACACCGAACTATTCGGCTTAGTTGCCCCGCAACTTCCTGCCATCGTCATCATTCTCATCGTAGAGCATATTGCTATCGCCAAATCTTTCGGACGCATATGCGGCTACACAGTCATCCCTTCCCAAGAGATTCTCGCTCAAGGTGCCGCCAATATTCTCAGTCCCTTTGTGGGAGGCTATGTGTGCACTGGGTCCTTTGGTGCCTCTGCCGTTCTATCCAAGGCTGGAGTGCGCACACCGCTTGCAGGGCTTTTCAGCGCCATGGTCCTCATCCTGGCCCTCTATGCCCTGACCGCCGTGTTCTACTACATCCCGCACGCAGCACTTGCCGGACTGATCATCCATGCCACCTACAACCTAATAACGCCACCAAAAAACTTGTACAAGTACTGGCAGCTCTCGCCGATTGAGCTAGGCATTTGGGTAGTCGGCGTAGTCCTCGCTCTTTTCACAGACCTGGAGACATCGATATACGCCGGCATCGCACTCTCCTTCGCCGTCCTCCTCATCCGCATGGCAAGGACACCGGGAAAGTTCCCCGGCCTAGCCAAGGTCACCCGCATCATGCGCAACGGCCAGTGCGAGGTCGTTTCTTCCTCGGCAAGCTCCTTCACCGGCGAAACCGAGACCGAACAAGTCCACGCTCGCGAGGTCTTCGTCCCCCTCCAGGACAAGGGCAGCCACAACCCGAACGTAAAGATCGACCCCCCCTACCCAGGTGTTTTCATCTACCGCTTCAACGAGAACTTCAACTACATCAACCAAGCATACCACATGGACTACCTCCTTTCGTACATCCTCGCCCACACCCGCCGAACACAGGCGGATGACGGTGTTCCACTCAAAGACCGTCTGTGGGTCGACGCCCCGCCCTCAGCCAAGCAAATCACCCATTCAGAGTCGATGCCCCTCCTCCGCGCCATCGTCCTCGACTTCTCCGCCGTCAACGTCCTCGACGTGACCAGCATCCAGGGCCTAGTCGATCTCCGCAACACGCTGGATCGCTACGCCGCGCCCGCAGTCGTGGAGTGGCACTTCGCAGGCGTGCAGAACCGGTGGACGCGCCGCGCGCTCGCATTCGCAGGCTTCGGCTACCCGGCGACCAAGAACCCAGACGCGCTCGGGAACTGGGTTCCCGTGTACACGGTCGCTACCTCGCTCGCCGGCGCGACAGAGGACGACGAGCGCGACAGGGATACGCGCAAGCTGCAGCTGCAGGCCCAGGATGAGGAGTCGCGGCGGAGCACGAGCACGGCGCCGCTGAAGGCGAGTGGGAAGCAGGTCGCGGGCGAGGAGACGCCGCCGGCGGTCGAAGTCACGGAGGAGAAGAGGAAGATGGAGCCGCTGTACGGTGTGGATAGGCCGTTCTTCCATGTCGATCTCGTGGATGCGGTGGATGCTGCGATACGGGATGCTAGGAAGAGAGATGAGCTGCGCGGAATGCATGCAGAGGAGCATAGGGATACCGGGGTGTCGCCTTGAGCCACTTGAGCATGTGCATTGTTTCGGCGTTCTGGGTAGAGTGCGGGTGGACATAGCAAGACTCCCACCTCAGCTGGCATTGTTATAGCATACTAGCATTTTCATAGCATACTAGGTCCACAGTGGCGTCGCCCACCATTGCAAAAAGAACTATCAATTTGTCCAGTTCATTTCTCAGCTGAGCAAATACACTAAACCCCGCAACGCAACCGCAACGCCATAAAGCACAATGCCCCACTCCACCCTATCGCCCACCCTCTCCGCCCGTCGGAGATATATTCCAGATACTAAGGGTTCGGAAACGCTTGTGATCATTCATGGACTAGCGCTAGTGACGTCGAAGGGGGTGAGGTGCTGTTTGACGTGTGAATAGTAATGCAAGTCGAGATTGTGAGGCGGAACTGAGACGGAGCGTGGCGGAGAACACTGCTCCACCGATGGTTTGATCCTCCAACTCCTCGCTGCACTTCAACGGTGAGGTTGCGGAGTAGTGACAGGACCTGGTGGCTAAAGCGTCAGTGATGATCAAAAGTCAATGACATAGATATAGTCTATAGCAAGCTTCGAGGCTCAGACTTGCCTTTTACACTTCTTGCGGTCAACGACTCCAAGAGCCCACCACATACGTACCATCGGCTCAGAAGAATCGATGGAAGAGGCATGAAGCGATGCTCCGGTGTCTCACCGGGTCGCCCAGGACTGGGCTGATGTTCTAATCATAGCCGGAATGAAACTGCAGGAGGCAATGAAAGTGTACACTTACATGAATCACGTCAAGACATTGGTGCCTTTGGTATTTCCGGTTTCCATCTTCGCCGTACGGGCACCGAACTGAATTGCACGCTTTTTCTCTGTGGCAACGCTCTTCATGCCAAGCTTCCATGCAAGGAGCCTCAGGATCCGCTTTCCGGGCTCCAGGAGTTGAGTTGGATCATCTGACGCTGCCGACTGAGGGATCGCAAAATCGCACTTGACACTTACCGGGAGCTCTAAAGCGAGGGCAATGAACTCCTCGTCCAGATAGGGAAACCGAACTTCTTTCCCAGAGTCGCTAATGACGCGGTCATCTCGCCCGAGGTTGCGTTTTCCTAGTCGATTGAAGTCCAGTTCTAGCTCTTCAACCAGGCCCGGATAGCCTCGGCGCGAGAAGGCTACAGCATGGCGCTGGTAGCCACCGAACAGCTCGTCGGCACCTAATCCAGAAAGCAGGACGTGAGCGGCACTCCTGTACGGCGCGGATGTCTCTGCTGAAGCGTGTGTAATGTCGGCGCCCCTGGAGGCAAAGAAGAGAGCATAGGAGATAGAGAGGTCCATTTCGGTATTGTGGGGATGCATGAGTGTCATGACCTTGCCCCGATGAGCCATTGTCTCGCAGTATGGAACGTTGATCTCCACGAAACGCCAAAGTCGTCCTGGGCAGACTTTGCGTAGCTCCGCGAGTGATGATCTTCCCGTAATACGATCCGGGCACAGCTCGTAAGGTGAGGCGCTGGGATCTAATTGTGAATGGATGCGAGGATTCTCAAAGGCCACGTTCAGCAAGTCGATGCGCTCAGTCAATGGAAGCAGTTCGTGTGTCATGCGCGCTAATATCGTGCAGTCGAGCCCCCCAGAAAACAATATGGCGATTCTAGCATCCTGCACTGATTGGTTAGAATCAGGAGGCTCCACGGCTTCTCGGACATGCTGCACTCGAAGCTCCAGTGATGATCGAAGAGCCATTTCAAGCCTACGGACGGTTTCGCGCCCGGGTCGCGGCATGTCTCCATGGATGGATCTGTTCATCGCAGGAAAGGGTAGGTCCTGCGCGCTTTAGCCAGACTCCCAGAATATGGGACTTACCTACAAAAGATGGACTGCTACTTTCGTCGCCGCCTTTGAGACGATGCGGTATATGGACGACAGCGAGCGAGAGCGATTTTGGGGCTTCTTTCAGATCAACCGTATAGATTCCATCAGCCTCTACTTCCGCCCAGAAGTCGCCAGTGGCGTTGTCGCATACGCTGGACAGGATCAACTCATGCTCAGCAGAGGATTTCCGCAACAGCGAGCGTCTCCCCAGGCAGTCTCTGCCGTAAAAGAGACGCTGATTAAGCGCGTCATAAAAGACGAAGGCGAACGGGCCCCGAATGGACGAAATGACGCGAACGAGCCCTTCAACATAGGCGCTCTTTTGATTAGTGGTCTCCTTCGTGCATGTTTCCAGAAGAGCGTCGAAGACGACCCGAGAGTCGTTCCCCGAGATGGAGTGGCCGCCGATGCTCCAGGCCTCGCCGTTCCAGCACAAGACGGATCCGGAATCTTCATCTCTTAGCGGTTGTGATACGAGAGTGTTGCCTCGGAGTGAGAGCACTGTCGATAGAAAGGTGGCATGAAGCTGAGGGGACGTTATATTTTCCTCAGCGTTTACAGGGACGAGTATGTGCTGCTTCCCGATGCTGTCCGGCCCTCTGTTCTTGAGGAGCTGCTCGGTGCTGGGATCGGGGTCTATGTAGCTATGCTGGCTGAGCGAGAAGAAGATGCCGCACATGGCAGCGTGGGGGGATGGCGATAGAGACGCGTGGTTGATGTGCGATGAAGTTGGCGCCCCAATCGGCGCTAGTGGAACGCCGACGATGGCTTGGCCTATGCGAGCAGCAGTCCAAACACTGGCACAGCACCGAACGGCGCCGAACACACTGCACCCTCAGGCTCATCGCATTTTTCACCGAGGACTCCTATGAGGGTTCATGGAAGCTTGCCACCCTGAACCGACCCTTTCCTTAGCGCCGCAGCCGGATGACGGCCTATGTCTCCCCCGAGCCAAACTCCGCAACTCGATGCAGCCCCGGACAACCCCCAGGAGCAGAAGCTGGATGGACTCGAGAACAAAGTAGCTGAAGCAGCGTTATCCCCGACCGAATCGGCGCCAGAGGTCGCACCTCCACCGGACAGCACAGAGAAACACGAGGGGGATCACAAGCCGGCGGGGCAGGCAGGCAGACCTCAGGATGAGAGGCTAAAACCGGAATCGACTGAAGAAAAGGCACGGAATGAGATAGACACCGTCGAAGAGATGACAGAGGAGCCAGCACGGACAATGCTATCCTCGACGCCGCCGCCCGACTCGACCTCTACAGCTGCTGGAAAAGCACCCGTCCGCTCTCCCTCGCCGCCTCCCCCACCGCCGAAAGACGACAAGTATCTGTCCTCCAGCAACGTCCCCAGCCGCACCACGTCGCCCGTATCACAAACCAAGTCAAGTGGGAGGAACTCGGAAGATGCAGAGGCAGCCGAATATGCCTCAAAGTACGAAGGCGGGGAGGACATTGCAGACGACTCGCGGTCGGAGATACAGAGCATAATGGAGCAGTTCGAACACGGCCACGGCGGCCCCGGCGCGGACGAGATCATGTCTCCCCGTCTGGAGATGGCTGCTCCTCTGCTAGAGTCCCCCATAACGCATCCCCCTCGCCGGTCAAGCCTGGTGCCCCTCGACAAGCCTCTGCCTACACCAACCGAGGGCGCGGCGCCCGAGCAACCCTTGCAATCACCGCCGCCACCGCGGACATCCTCCCTCTACAGAGTTGGGACTAATACGTCGCTCAACGAAGCCATGTCACCCACCGGGCATGCTCCACACTACAAACCAGCTCTCCCCGCGCCGGACCCCGAGCCCGACCTCCCATTTGATTTTCATCGCTTCCTTGAGCAACTTCGTCATCGGACTGCCGATCCCGTTGCCAAATTCTTGCGATCGTTCCTCCTCGAGTTCGGAAAGAAGCAGTGGATGGTGCATGAGCAGGTTAAGATAATAGGAGACTTTCTGGAGTTCATCAGCAAGAAAATGGCGCAATGTGAGGTGTGGCGGACCGTGTCGGACGCCGAGTTTGATAACGCGAGAGAAGGCATGGAGAAGCTAGTCATGAACAGGCTGTATACACAGACCTTTTCGCCAGCGATTCCCCCACCAGATCCCGCGCAGCATACGAAGGGGAGGCGGAGACAGGAAACGCTGGGGCCTGGTCGAAGAGGCCAGCATCAGGAGGATGTGGAACGAGACGAGGTCCTTGCGCAGAAGGTCCGAATATATAAATGGGTCAAGGAAGAACATCTGGACATCAAAACGGTCGGAGACAAGGGCAGGAAGTTTCTGCATCTGGCTCAGCAGGAACTGCTCAAGATTAAGAGCTACCGGGCGCCCAGGGACAAGGTCATTTGCATCCTAAACTGCTGCAAAGTCATATTTGGCTTCCTGCGGACATCGCAGTCGGACCAGTCCGCCGACGCCTTCGTTCCACTCTTGATCTACACCGTACTCCAAGCAAACCCTGATCACCTCGTCTCCAACGTCCAGTACATTCTGCGCTTCCGCAACCAGGATAAGCTTGGCGGTGAAACCGGCTATTACATCTCATCCCTCATGGGCGCCATCCAGTTCATCGAAGGGCTCGACAGGACCTCGCTCACCGTGACCGACGAAGAGTTCGAGAAGAACGTTGAGGCGGCCGTGTCTGCCATCGCTGAACGCCACGAGCCGGAGCCCACACCGCAGCTGCGCCTTCAAACCAATCCCCCAACCACACCCGGGCATCGCCGCATGCCATCGCCACACCTGCATCTCTCAGAGAAGTCATCCCTTGCCCGGCCCGAAGTCACGCCCCGCAACTCGCTAGAGGCCGAACGAGCAGGCCCGCGGCGCTCAACCAGCCTACGCAACGGCAAGAGCGAGGCAGAGCAGCCAGAGGAAGAAAACGCCGCCGTGGTAGGCCTACTGCGCACGATACAGCGCCCCCTCAGCACCATCGGCCGCATCTTCTCCGATAACGACACAAACACCTCTTCGTCCGCTCATCCCGTTGCCACACCCCAGCCTGGCAACACCCCACGCTTAACACCGCAACCGCCGCCGCCACTAGGCCGTAGATCCTCCGACTACCCCGGCAACGCACCGCCAGAGCAGCTCAACGAAAAGCAGCGGCGCACCGCAGAAGAAGAGCGGTACCGGCAGCGTCTCTCCGCCGAGGACGCCGCCGCCCGCCAGGCCTCCGCCGAGGCAGAAGAAGCGCGCCGCATACAGCGCCAGGAACACGCCGTAGTCGTCGAGACGCTCGCGGGCATGTTTCCGCAGCTCGATCGCGATGTCATTGACGATGTCGTGCGGTTGAAGGAGGGCCGGTTAGTCTTTATCCCATCCCAACTTGCTCGCTCATCTGGACTGGAGATGCTGACGCGTGTGCAGGGTCGGGCTGGCGGTCGATGCGTGTTTGGCGCTGGCGAATCCTTAGTTAAGTAGGAGCACCCGCGTTGGTGGTTTTAATGGAAGGGAGGGAGGGTTCTGTTCTTTTACAGTATGTTGGGCCGCTCCTGCTGTTCGAATGAAGCATATTTGGGGCGTAGTGTGCGTGCGTTTTCTGAATGCGCACTTGGAGCGTGGCTTGTGTCTGTGTGTATCCATGATTTGCATTGCGTTCTGGTGCTCCGGCGGCGGCTGGCTGGCTAGCCGGCTGGTTGGCGGGTGGTTATGTACAGACTAATATCTATGTCAAGGACGCCAGGAGGAGCGTCGTAGGCGACGATGAAGGTTATTTCCAAACGCTCATGCATTGCTTTTCTGTGGTCTGTCTCCCCGTGTTCAGTTCAGTTCAGCCCTCTCTGGTGCATCTTAGGTATACATCAACAGGACTCACACGAGCAGTAGTAGCAGTAGGAGGAGGTCCGGTAAGAAAACTCGAGCGGGGCCGATTATTGGGTGTGAAAAGCGAGAAAACTTGGGCCGGATTGTAGAGCGCGGAAAGCGAGGAATGCTAACAATAAACGCTTCGACTGAAGTCCATATCTAGTGTGCTAAAACTATGTGTCCTAGGATTCTGCGCTCCAAGACAGAGCTTTCCATACGCCGCGCTGGCGCAACATTCCCAAACCCAAGAAATTAGAACAACAGTAATCACGCCAAATCATACACTTTCTCGCGAAAACAAACCAATAGCTTGCTCATCCCCAACTACCCTGCCCCTGACTCTGCCCTGGATCCAGAACTGGCGCACTCCCAGCCTGGCTCTGCTGCGGAGGCGGCTGCGGCATCCCCGGGCCATATATCAGCGCCTGCCTCACTCTGCCCTCGGTCGGCTGCGGCATATCCGGCATCTGCTGCGGCTGCTGCGGCTGCGGCTGCGGCGAGGGCGTCGTGGTCCAGTCTGGCATCTGCCCCGGAGCGGAGAGCGGATGCGCGCTGTAGGGGCTTGTCGAGAAGGGATTCGGCTGTGGGGGGTATGCCGTGGGAGGCGTGGTGGGGCCGTGGTACATCTGCTGCTGTGGGGATGTAGATGTAACGGGCATAGGCATCCAAGCCTGGGGGTGGTACGGCGTTGAAGCCTGGGTGTGGGGAGGGATGCTCTGAGGGGGAGGCGAGTGTTGGGTTACGGAGGAGCGGTGGTAGAGTTGGGAGAGAAGGGCGCCGGATTCGCGCTGGAACCGGTCGCGCCAGTGGGTGAATCCGAAGCGGAGACCGAAGCGGGAGAGGACGGTGGTGAAGTCGTTGATGGCGTTTATCGCACGCGTAGTGGGATCCTGTGGGACGGTCTGCCCGTCTGGAAGGAGTGGCGCAGGGAAAGGTGGAGCAGAGATCGGAACGGGTGGCGCGAGAGGGTCTTCGGAAGCCGTTGGGGGTGCTGAAGGAGCGGGTGGTGTCGGCGGGATGGGGTTGAGGATGATATCGGTGTTCCGGGAAAGGACGTCGACGAATTGGCGGCCAGTCATATAGGCACGCATCGCGTCGTAGAAGGTGACAGGTGGCTTGGTTGTGTTGGAAGGCTTGGAGATGAGCGCAAGCAGGTTCGTGGCATACGCGATGCAGTGCTCGAAAATCAATCGCTGAGCATATTCTTGAATGTGCGGTATCCGGGGGCTTGGCGATAGGATATATACATAGCTGTAGAGCAGCTCGAGCTCGAAGAACGACTTGATGGCCGGTAAGGTACTTTGCGACATGTCTTGGAACCAGTCTGTCATCCTGCTATACATCTTCCAAACGTACGGATAGGGGTCCTGCCACGGATCGCGCCCTGACTGGAACAGGTCCATGTACCACTCCGATTGGATTTCGCGAATCTTGAATAGATCCAGCGCTGAGTCGAAAGATTGCAGGAAGATCTGGGACTGGGGGGAGGAGTGCCTTGATGAAGCGGCAGAGCTGTGGAAAGGAAGCGCGACGTGAGCCGAATCATCCGAGAAGGAGAAAGCCCGTGTTTGGACGAGTGATGTAGACCTTCAGGTGGCGTTAGGTAAGAAGGATCCAAAAGCACTAGGTTCCACATACCTGTCCAAGGCATATACACACCAGTATACCCGTCGTCTTATCTCAAGCTTGGCCCGAGATATTGGCGTACTTCTCGATGGGTCCTGGTGAATGCCAAGATCGACCATGGCTCTAGAAGCGGCTCCTATCAGGGTCCAACTGTCAAAATGGTGAGGATCCATCGTGGCGTAAATTACAAGCAGGATAAGCGCTTGGATACTGCTGATGAAGCCGGGATGCAAGACATTCTCGGCATGTTCGAGAGCAGCATTGACATGGCCAACCGCGTCCGAATACAAGGTGTCGCCGCGTTGCTCAGACTGTGACAAGCATGCTACGGCCAGTACCATGCGTACTATCCAATGATCAAAGGCCGTTGCCGTGTCGTCCATATGGTAGACGGCGTCGACGCAGGAGTACAGCGTGGCTTCTTCGAAAATGGGCAGCAGTGTGAACAAGTTGTTCAAATAATGCTGGATCAGCGGCGTGGCGGCAAATCTCGGCGGAAGGGCCTTGGTGAGACCGGCCGGCATAGGCTCCTTGGAACTCGCAGACAGGATCAGCCGGGCATACGACATCTCGGTCGTGAAGCCATAGAAGTCTCTTGCCGTCGCGTTGACGGCGCTGGACCGGTCAGTGATGGGGAAGGTTGGATACAAGTGGCACTCACAGCAGGCCAAAATCAGATACGAGCTCATCAATGTCTAATGCTTCCTTCCGCCGTGCTGCACGTTTGGTGATGGGCCTTACTCCCCTTACAGTGTCCACAGACGTCCTTCGTGGAGTCGCTGTGTCAATATCTAGCATTAATACTGAGGATGACTTTCTCCTAGCTCTTGCTTCAGCGATCTTCTTCTCCAGCCTCTCGACACGCGCTTCCAGAGTGGCGACATAGCTCCGTTCCTTCCCTCGGGCGAACTGGTCGTTCGTGCTCGAGCATTCTGATGCGCGGTTTGACTTTTCACATGCCGTGCAGGCCGGCAGTTTTCCGTCACACTTGATCTTGGCGGCTCTACATCTCTGGCAGGCAGCCACCGGCCTGCTGACGCGGAGCAGCGGCGTCTCCAGCACCATCAGGTTGTTGCCGGAGAGCGGAGGGATGTCTAGAATCATGATGGCTGATCAGTTCAGGGCCCACGTGAAGACCCGATTAGGAAACGAGTAGAGTCTCTGGTAGGGAAAACGGGAAATGAACGGGATAGCGGCGGGAAGCTAATAAGAAGCGGGTATGTATACAGAACAAAGGAAGCTGGCAACACGAGGGCATGGGGGTCGGACATGGCTGAAAATGTCTCGAGTCCATGGGAGGGAACGCACTTACTAGGGGTCGTCCGACGAATGGGGCGGGTTTAGCGTGGGAGTACAACGTCGAGGGGAGCTTGGGAGCGCAAACGACGTCAACCACGGAGCCCTTCAGCTCGTGCGTCAGGGTGTGGTGCCGGTTTGGGTGGTGTTGAGGCGGGTGTACAGGGCGTGCGGGGCGCAGCAGCGGCTCAGTGCGCACTCAGCCTCGATTGGCCTCACCGACGGCGGGACGGATTGCGCCTAGGCGTTCCGGAGGTGCCCCGCAGTGCTGTAGTGCAGACAGCGACGTTGGGTTCAGCGCTGTCGGGGTTTCGATGCATGTGCCAGCGGTGAGGGTCTGCGGTTGACGTCTCTTTTGACGGCTGCGTGCTAGGCCCGCAGGCACAGCCTATCAGCGGCCGGCCCCGACGACGACCAACGCCGGCAAACATAACGAAACCCTCTGCCCGCCGCGCCGGCTTTGTCATGCGGCTGCGTTGCGCAAGGCGGCCGCCGATTGGGCAGGCGCGTATCAGGGCGCCGTAATTTTCGCCTGCCCTCCAGGAGCGCCCAAGGTTCACCGTCAACGCTCAAACGGACGACTACTCGACGGCCGCCTCTTTGACTCTGCGCTTGGCTGTGCCACGGCGTCTGTGCCTCCCATCGACCTCCCCCTGGACCGCCGCCTGCCCTCCCCAGATTGCCGACTCCTGCACTGTGATGGACGTGCGCGCCACCGCTATATCCGCACCCGTTCTCCCCGCCGCACTTTGCCCGCGAGCCTCCCCCCGATCACTCCAGCGGCGATAATGGACCCGAACGGCACCCAGAACACCCACAATGGGCTGCCGCAGGCGAAGGACGAAGGCACCACGGCGTCGCCCAGCAGGATCGCCCACACACTGACGGCGTGCTGTCGCTGTCGCACGGTAAGCGCCCCTGCGCAAGAGGAAGCGTGCGGTGCCGTCCAGCACTGAGACTGAGCGTGCTCTCTACAGCGCAAGACGCGATGCGATCCGGGCCTGCCCCGATGCGGGCCCTGCGAGCGGACCAACTCCCACTGCGAGTACTACGATCCCGCAAAGGGTCGCAAGATACCCCGCAACTACGTCGTGCACCTGCAGCACAAGGTGCGCGAGCTCGAGAAGCAGCTGGCCGAGCTGGAGAGAGACGATGCAGAGCCGGATCCCGAGGATGTGATGCGCGGAGCGGCCGCTGTGCGCGTGCAGGACACCGACGAGTCCAAGTTCTTGGGCCCGTCGAGCGGCATCACCATCACGCGCCTGGTGATGCAGCTAGCGAAGCAGTTCACCGACTCCAAGAGCATCACAGAGATCGTGCCGGATGCGCGGGCCAAGTCTATAAAGGCGACGTTCGACCAGGAAGATGCAAGGCCGACCTCCAAGGTCTACCCGCTAGTAAGCGACGTTGCGGCTGAAGAGCTGCCGAATAGAGACCTCACCAATCTGCTCGTCGAGCTCTTCTACTGCAAAGGCGCGTATCCCACTCGCCACCCTCAGCCGCAGTGAGCTAACTCTCCGCAGTCCACCCCATGTACCCCATGTTCCACGAGCCCACCTTTACCCAGGACGTCGAAGACGTCTACAAAGGGTCGACTGACCCGTACCAGAACTTTTGCCTCCGCATGGTGATTGCCATCAGCCTGCAAAAGATGGACACGCAGTATGCGGGGCTTGCCGATAGCTACTATCTGGCCGCCCTGAAGTTCTTCGAGGGGGCCATCAAACCCATGAACCTCAAAACGCTGCAGTGCTTCGCTCTTATCGCGGGCTACTCTCTCCTCACTCCGACTAGGACCGCAGTCTACTACATCATCGGTCTTGGGGTCAGGTTATGTCAGGCGCTAGGTCTACATGAGGAGAAAACAATAACAGGGGGCCCCGGTGGGCGCCCGGCCGATCCGCTCGACGTCGACATGCGCCGCCGCCTCTTCTGGAGTATACTCACCATGGAGTACGGGCTATCCCACAGTCTCGGTAGGCCCAGTCACTTTGCCACCAGGCGCGAACACATCGATGTGAACTTTTGCGAACTAGTCGACGATGATTTCATCACAAAAGAGGGGATACGTCCGGCACCCCAGGCCTCCTTGAAGAAATGGATAGCAATACACTTCTTCAAAATGCGCTTGCTGCAGCTGGAGATTCGGCGGAAGTTATATCAAAGGAAACGAGCAGAGCCAAAGGACGATCAAGACCCCTGGTTTACCGAGATGCAAGCCAAGATGGAGGCGTGGAGAGATACGAGCCCCGAGATGGACGGCGGCTCTGGCCTAAACAAGGTCTGGTAAGTGCCTCGTGCTTCTTTGCCACCACTTCTAGGAATTCTTACAAGAAACGCAGGTTCATTGGCAGGTACAACACCATGGTTTGCTTCCTCTATCGTCCGTCCCCGCAGATCCCACGACCAACGGCGCATGCTGCGGTGCTATGTTACGATGCCTGCGAGTACAACATCTACATGACACGGAAGCAGATCGAGACGAAGAGCGTCGACCTCACCTGGATCTTCACACAGTCCATCTTCATGGTGGTCAATGTCATGCTCTGGACCCTTTCGTATTCGGAAGTGCGTCGCAACCACAACCGCGACGAGGTCGAACGCCATTTAAACGTTGCGCTAGAATCCATCGAACTCGCGTCCGAACGATGGCCCGGCGTCGCCTCTGCGCTAGAGCTATATCACAACTTAATCGGCGCGTGCATGAAAATCTATGACAAGGACGGCGATATTCCCATTGCGGCTGGCTCACCTTCAGACAGCGCCTCGGTCTTGTCCAACAGTATTGTGGAGGGCATTAATAGGTCTCGCACAACCAGCCCAGCGACCGCCTCCACCGCATCTGTGAGCACGCCCTCGGAAAACACACAACCGCCTTTTGGTTATTTACCTACAACCCAGGGCCAGCCGCTCTTCAGTTTCAACGCCTCTCAACCAAACATCCCAGACACCTCTCCAGGAGCCCAATCTACCTCGCTCCATACCTCTCCGCAACAGATGCCACCGCAGCTGTATATGGACACGAGCCCAAAGTCCTCTATTGATACGGGCATTCCAGCCTTCAACTACACACCCACAACACAGTTTACTCCTCTTCCAACCACTTTCGCAGAGCTTCCTCAGTGGAATCCCACGTTCTCGATGCCACACCACGAGTCTTTCGGCATGCCTACCGCCTCTCAACCGCTCACATCCCCGATATACAACGAGAACTATGCGGCCAATCACGGCTATCCTATGACCGATTATCTCTACCCGCAGTGGAGTCAAGAGAGCCGGGGCTCGGGTCTGAACCAAGAACAGCAAATGCAGCTAATGCAGGACTTTGAGGCCAACGAGACGGGCAAAATCGAGGAGATGATCCAGCAGAGTCACCAGCTATTTCGGCCATACGTCCAGTCGTACTGAAGTAGTGTCGGTAGCACAAACCAGACAATGCGTGCTGACTGCTAGCACACTCCCATCAGCATCCGTATCGGTCTCTTAAACCGAAAGACGCCAACGCAAGGGGTAACAAAAGCATCGCGCTCCGAGCGTCGCCGAGATCCACCAGCGCTCGTGAGCTATCGAGGAATGTGGGGCCAGCACACGCGTCCCTAGCGCTAAGTGGCGCCGTCAGATTCCAAACCGTGGATGCCTCCCCTTCCAGGCAAGGGTTGCCGAGGCCTACAGAGTCAGCAATCCGCGCGCACTAATCTCAGGCTGATTCGCTTGGCCTGTTTTATATACTTGTACTCTAGACTTTCGTTGTAGCATTTGGGCAGGGAGTTTTTGTCCGTCGGTCTTTTGAAGCGAAGGTGTTGGCTGGGAAAACTACGACGCACATGACGATATACCACGGGTTTCTGGGGTCGATGGGGGCATTAGACACAGCGTCGAGCGGCGGTCGACGAGGCACGAGCGACGGCAAACAGAAGGCGTTGAAGCAATGGATCAGGTATGTAATGGTTTCATGGTCAGCTGGTCTGGGTATGTCTGCCTCAGTACCTATCTCTTCAAGTCTTGCAGTCAAAAAATTTCGCTTCGATCCTGAATGCAGTCGTCTCCGCATATCCCCGCGTTTCTCCAAAGTGATGTTTCTTATCTGTTTGTATATGGACCTCTTGTGTCGATGACAGTGCTCTTTCCACACAGCACGGTGCCCTATTGCTCGAACCCCAGCTTTTCTCTTACACAAATACACAAATACACGGCATGTCGTTTCCTTCCTCCCTTTTGAGATTCCAGCACTCGCCGGCTAGACTATTCGTGTGCAATTCCTCTTCTCCGAAAACGAGCAATCCGTCGTCGAACTCGTCGTGCATCACCGCTCAGCCTCAACCGCAGCATCAGCACCATTCATTCCCTCATTCCTTCCCCCAAACCCGCTCCCCCCACGCCCCATACGGCCGCTCCCCCCTATCGAACCGACCCTCCACACACCCATACTCCCGCCGCGCATGCTCCTCCAGCCCGCGACACAGCGCGCCCACACCTTCTCCTCCTCCCCCGCCGCCAACATCCCCCCGCCCGTCGTCCTCGTCCTCGTCCTCGCACACGCACCGCAGCGCCTCATACACGTACTCGCCGCCCTTGAGCACCGTCCGGCGCTCCCAGTCATCCACCGTCGGCTTCTCCTCGTCCAGGTTCTTAACCAGGTCCAGCAGGCTGTGCGACGGGTGCGAGACGGCGTCCTCGAGGATGTTTTCCAGCGCCGTGAGGAGGCCCTTGTAGAAGCTGGTGAGTTCGCGCGGTTGGAGGGGTGGGAAGGGCGGGAAGGGTGGCAGGGAGGAGAGGTGGGCGGTGGTGGATGTGGATGTGGTTTCCCAGCTGGCTTCGGAGACGGCGGGGTGCGTGGGTGAGAGCATGGCGACGTCCGAGTCTGGGGGCTGGGTGGTGGGTTTGGGTTTGGGCTTGGGGGGCGTCTTCTTGCGGTTCCGCGGGATGATGATGCTCGCTGGGAAGGAGACTGGGAGTGAGCGGCGGAGGGCTTTGGGGCGGGAGAAGTAGTCGATGGGGACGCGGACGGGGAGTCGGACGATGAGGCGGGGGCGCGGGCTGGTGTTGGCGTTTGCATGGCTGCTGCTGCTCTGCGCGTCGTGCTTTGGGAGCTTGTTGGGTGTGCGCTTGGAGATGTGCTGTGGCGGGTCTTGCGCGCTTTTCTCTTCCCGCCGTCGTCGCTTAGACACCGCAGTCCCCGTCTCATTTGGCCCATCTCTTGCTCCCGTGAACACTGCTGGTGGTGGTGCCGCGACACTCCCCACCGGCGAACTCGTCTCCTCCATTTTAATCTCTCCGCCTCCGCCTGCGTACACCTCACCATTCCCCCCTCCACTCAGCGCAGCATTCACCAGCATCCCCGTCGCGATCATCGTCTCCCTCAACACCACGACGACCGCCTTCCCCGCCTGCAGCGCAGCAGGCGCCTCGACGCCGATCGCATGGTCGAAGATGCTCAGACCCTGGTGGATTTGCGGCGGCGTGAGTAGCGACATGTTCTCCGGGGCGAAGTTCGCCCGGCGCGCGTGCAGGTCCGCGAGGGCGTCGGCGTCGGAAAGAGTTCCGGTGGAGATGGCGGATATTCTTTCTAGGTCCTCGAGCGGTGGTGCGGGGGAGTCTGGGTCCATGGCTGTTCTGCATGCGATGGGGGATGCTGCATGCGGTGCCGAAGAAGAGGTTGAGGTGGGCGAGAAGAGGTGCGCTTGAAGGTTAGGTGTGCCGGCCCGCGAATGGGGAGACTGGAAACGTGCGTGGTGCGTAGTTGCTCCTGCTGTTTTGCCCGTGCTGGTGCTGTGCCTGCCTACGCTGTGGGAACGTGCGCGCGAACTATCGTGCCTAGCTGGGTACGTGAATTGGGCGTTTTGCGACGAATTTGTATGCCCTGCTGTGTGAATTTATGGGCACGTGCGTCGGGCTTGTAATGGTTTTTCTGGTCCCGTGAGATCGAATACCGGCGCGTGGTGAAGCAGTGACATGGCTTGCGGACTGGGACGTGAAGGATATCAGGCTCGCCTATGTCAAACCACCAAGAGTCTGGATATTCATCTTCAACTGACCTCGCTCGTTCGGCTTGTCTTTCTAAGCGTTGCCCTTCTAGGAGTGGCAGCACTAAATTCGGAGAAAAACCACGGGGTATCATGGCGCAAAGCTTGACTTTTTCAATTTTGCATCGAGCCTCCTACAGTGCTGCGGCCCAATCCACAGCCCACAGCCCGAAATGCGCTAGCTAGAGTAGCTAAAGCTAAGTCTATATAGTTACTAAGCTACTAAGAAAGCGCGCCAGTTCTAACACAGTTCACAGCATGTGCAAGTCCCCAATTTACGCCCAAATTGCCACCACGGCGTCTGCAAGCGCCGCAGTCTCCGTTCCTTGGCCCCCGGCCTACTCGAAATCTCGCGATAGCACGTCCGACATATACGGTACTTGCGAATCTCTATCGGGCGTCGGTGGCACTTCTTGCAGAATTTGCTTGAGAAACGACGTAGGAAATACGAAGGCATTGTTTTAGGAACCTTTTGTGTTGTGTTGCTTGAAGTAGTGTTGGGAGCGACGTTTGAGGAGGGGGAAGGGGAGAAGATGGGGAGTAAGTAAGAGCATGTGTGAAGAAGGGAGTAAGGTATATTTTATATACTGGAGCGAGTGATGCGCTGTTATGGAATTGCAGTGTGTTGGACAACACATGAATGTACACTCTTCAAGCTGGTTCTTCACAACGCTGGTTTTGAAGCCCCGTCCGCATGAGCGAGCCAGGACTATCGTCACCAAGAGCGAGCGCATGCTTCCGCCTCCTGCAGCCCAGTCTCTACCGCGCTTCACCGCCAGACCCGCCACCACGGCTCCTCACGCGGTTGCCGCTCTAACGGCGCCTCACGCAGTTGCAGCTCTATGATCAACGTCCCCTCCAAAGTCCACTGATAGCACGACCGGCATATATTGTAGTCGCGATTCATTACCGAGTGGCGGCGGCACATGGTGCAGGATTTCGTTGAGGGGTGGTAGTTGTTGTAATCGATGATCTGGCCGTGGCCGCGGGCGCTGAACCGATGGAAGTTCCAGGGCATTTTGGCGAGATGTGGACGTATTGATGGGGTTGGAGCTTTGCTTGGTGTGTTGCAAGTGGAATTATTGCGGTGTTGCTATGAGGAAGAGATGGGGTTTCTTATAGCATTCCGCCGAGGGGAGCGATGGGTTGTAGATAGGGCGTCGAGGCATGGGATGCGTGTGCGGTATTTGTGTACTTTGGCTTGGTGATGTCGCAAGGGCAAATAAGACTGTTTGGTTGTATGTTGATGATAGTCCACTTGCGCCAAATCATTCATAGGTGACTCAGTCTCCGGGAATGAGTCCTCGAGGATACGCGCGTGAGTAGGTAGCACCGTGTAAGAGTAGACATGTGTAACGAGCCATGCTCGCAGCTAGGCGCGTTATCAGTGTATGATGAGTTGAGGCTTACGCCTGCAGGTTTCATTGAAGTGTTGCTACACCAACACATATCGTGACATGTCTAGACTCTGCTGCCATGGCTTCCATGATGCGAAGGATAGGTTATCAGCGTAGCTTCTCTTTACAGCGAACCGCCAACGCTTGGAGCATACCAAACGACATTGGCTCTCGGTGACCATGGCGATGGGGATGTCGGGGAGTCGGAGGACATTGTCGCTTCGTTCGAGGCAGGTTTCCATGCGCTTGTACTGGGGTCAGTTGCCTTGATGAAGAGTAGTATATTTGCGGTGGTCACGAATAAATCGTGTCCGTAGAGCCCTTGAGTTGATGAGTAAACGCAGGTGTTCGTAATAGGAGCAATGGGAGTGGATGAATGTGGCAATCATGTGACAGAACATTCCAGCCACATGAGCACCGCCACGATGACGTAACACTATCGCTCGTGTATATAGGCTGATGCCGTACCCACTCCAAATCCAACATTACCCAACAAACAGCAAGGAAGAGTACGATTGAAAGTTTCCGGGTCTGTCCAAGTCTGACTTTAATAGCTCTTCGACGTACGACGAATCCAAAATGCCAGTCCCGATGCCGTCGACCACCGAAAAGTCGACTTCAGCGACGAGCACGTCCGCCACGGCATCGACGGCTCACGACGTGGAGAAGCCGTCAACGCAGAGCGTAGCATCCGCAACCCACACGAAGAAGACCGAGGCTGAGCTCGAAGCGGAGCGTTTGTATGAGGAGCGCATGGAGGAAGAGTATGCGAAACGAGAGGGCGGCGCTTGATCTTCTCGCTACGAGGCATCGCGACCCTTCGCATCTGCGACTTCCGGCATGAAGGATTTCCCTCCATCGGCCCAGTTTGAGATATCCCAGATTCTCCGCTTTATGTAGCAATCCCAATCAAATCCACGATTCACCCCGCAAGAGCCTTTTGCACCAATTCCTGCGGTCTTCCGCTCATGGGAATCTGCAGCGCCAGCTCGTGACCCTTCTCCGTCATCTTGCCCCACGTCTTCCTCAGTATACTAATAATCTTATCCTCATCGTGCTCTTTCTCAAACTGCTCGAACTGGTCGTCTAGAAACACTAAGCAAGCCACGTCTTCGAGGACCTGCGTCTCCTCGTCCATTTTGAGGTCCTCTTTGCGTATCAGCGCCGCTACGCGTCCCGCAATATCATCCGTATAGCCTGACTCTCTGCAGATGTGTTCGACTTGCTCCGCTTGCCGCTTCTTGAGGAAGGTGCGCCACGCGTGGTAGCCGATGCGCGTCATAGGGTACGAGTCGCGGGGGACTTCCCAGCGGCGGAAGTGCTGGGCTCGTATCGCGAGGCGGAGGGCTTCGGAGGCGGACGGAGCGCGCTTCGCGAGGTATTCGGAGCACTTCTGGGCATAATGTAATTCGTATGGTAGCTCTTTGCCGGCCACGGTGATCTTCTTTGGATCGAGCGCGTGGGCCGCGTCGATGGCGGAGAGGGCGCGGTCGTATGGAGCCGTCATTGTTGCTGGGGGCTATTTGAGCTCGATGAATGGTTTAGGAGAGGAAATGGAGAATTGAGGTGTTTATCATGCAAGTCAATGGGTTTGGTCTGCGCGATGACGGCGCACGTATACTTCCGCGGGGTTGGTGAGGCTAAGCTCTGACGGGTTACGTCGAGAGACCGGTGCGAGCCGAGCCGTGCAGCTGCAACCTCACCCAGGGTATTTCTCCATCACACTTCAGGTCGAGCATACGGCGTCGACGTTGTAGACACCAGACGCGAGTGGTTCTGCTTCGAACGCATCAAGTAGTCCTTCCTGGAGCTCACCATCACGGATCGACGACCTGCTAAACAGATCTCCACAACTCGCCATTCTTCACACGTCTCCCAACAGAGCTCGCCGCCGCCAAACTTCTCGCTAACCCCAGTCTATCAAGTTGCCCTACATTGCAGATAGACCTGAAGGAGATCGGCCGGTTGGGCTATGGTGCATATCACGGATTTTTCTTCAGCTGTGCGCTTTGGAGATGGCGGCGGACGGGATATAGATCCGGATCCACAGAGTCGATAGGGAATAGAAGAAGACATATCAGCTCCCGAGCACGAAGAAGTGGGCACGAATTACTGCATCCGGTGGCTGGGTGACCAAGCGAGTTCTACGCCGGATCGTAGGTCCAGGCCCCTATGGAGCTGTCAACGGCACTACCCGGCATAAATTGTATATCTGGCCAATCCGCGGAAGAAACGGAGAACGGGACAATGTGGGCTATGCTCGATCTTCCGATCCAGGTTACAGCTCGGATACGAAGAAACGGTGAGGCAAGAGGTAGGGCAAACCACATGGCTTGCGGTTTCCTTCGGATCGTCATTCTCAGCCCGTGTGATCGTTCCTCTGCATCAACGTCAGTGGTTTTAGAGTTTGTTTCACACGCAACGCGTCCCTCATGATAGGACTCAGCCCTAGATCGACAAGAAAGACATCCCATTTCTTATTACGCGGAAGGGCAGGTGTGGGACTTGGCGGCTACGGCCATCCAAACAAAGACTTATTAGTGACTCCGTTTGTCGATCGAGTGTCCGGTTCGGTTCCGTTCGGTTCGGTTCGCTCAGGGGCTGGGGTCGCCGATTTGTGTTCACGGAATGTGAATTGTAGGCAAGGCAGAAGACCGGTGCCGCTCCGGGACTGCCTGCCTCCGGACGAGAGTAACGGTGACATGTTCCGTTTGCCTACTTCTTGGACTCCACGGCATAGCTGAAATCCACAGAATCGACGTTCAGCCTGTCAGAACGTTGTGTCGGTGCCCACCAATCAGCTTTCGGCTCACATCATCTGGCTTTCTGTACAACCACTGGTTTCCCGGCGCAGTGTCCTCTGACCTACAAGATGTTATTAATGTGAGCCGCGCCCTCTCAGCCCTATACGCCCCAAGACTTGGCTTCGATGAAGAAATTGACGCAGTCCAGCTCTGGATTCCTTCTGTGGTCACTATGATCTTCTGATGACAGCCAACACCTGTTCGAGCCAAGGCGTCGTCCAATAAGCCCACTCCGCCCTCTTGCGCAGTCTTCCTCCAGACTACTCCAATCGACTATTCGTATTGGCCCAGACCCTCCGATGTGACCGCTGCGCTGATATCGTCCTTCACTCGGGCACTGGCAGCATACATCGCTCACATGCCCACGGAAGCACTTTTCAGGACAATGGTATGATTTAGGCAGCCATCGTGCCTGTAGCCACTTCGGATTCAATACCCAACCGGGTATTGCGGTGCAATGCCACGGGCTACCGGAAAAGGTATATAAAACGTCTCGATCGTCCTAAGATTCTTTTCATCTTCATCACTCACATCATTCCCCTGACGCACCATCCATTAGCACTATCCAATTTAGTTCATCATGAGCCGAATCCCCCTTCCTCCCGTTGCTGAACCAGCTGCGTTCAGCAAGAACTACATCTTGTATTGGAACCAGGTCGGGCTAGAGCTCAATCGCCTCACCCACACAGTCAATGGGCCTCAAAGTGGACCGCCACTCTCCGCAAGGGCTCTGGGAATGCTGCAACTCGCAATACATGATGCCTACTTCGCCATCAAGCCGTCCGCCACCTTCCAGACCTTCCTAACCCCAGGCGACGATATGCCGGAGGCATACCGCTTGCCCGATCCCGCTGGTGCTAGTGATGCCAGACAGGCAGTCGCTGGCGCGGCTATCTGGATGCTGGATAAGCTCTACGCAGAGTTCACTGAAGCCACCGCGTTTAACTCCACCTTACAGCTTAAGAAGCTCCTCGATGACTCCATCACCAAGTTTGGCGGCGTTCATCGGGCCTCCAGGAGCTACAGGTTCGGAGTGGAAGTAGCAAGGGTCATATACAGACTTCTTTTCCATCCAGAAGGTGTATCTTCCGAAGGCTACTGCCCTGAACCGGGACGCTATAAAGTAAGTCTTATACTCTTCGCGGTTTCTCTAATTTGTTTACTGACTTGGCAAGTTTGACGACGAACCGACCCACCCGGTATTCATCGTCCCAGCTGACCACAACGATCCTGATGGGCCCATGAAACCCACTCACAGATACCATGGCCCATACTACGGGGCAACTGCGAAACGTCTTGCCACTCAAAGTGAACACATGATTGCGGATCCTCCCGGTATTCGCACTCAAGAATGTGATGGTCTCGCAGAATATGATGATGCCATCCGCGATGTCATCCGCATGGGCGGTGCTACCGCCCTCAACTCCACCAAACGCTACCCATTCCAAACAGCTGTGGGTCACTTCTGGGCATACGGTATGCTACTCCCTCGGTCAATCCGCACTTAGCACAAGGGATTCATGCTGACTTACTTTAGATGGTTCGAATCTCATCGGCACACCGCCGCGCGAGTACAACCAAATGATTCGAATGATCGCAGTCGCCCACAAGCCGCACCCAGACATCGACAACGAGCAGAACAACGCCGACTTTGCTCGCATATTGGCCTTGGCCAATGTTGCAATGGCCGATGCTGGCGTTTTTGCTTGGAAAGAGAAGTGGGACTTCGAGTTCTGGCGCCCCTTGAGCGGTGTTCGTGACGATGGCCGTGACGCCCACGGTGATCCATTCTTCCTCACCCTTGGCGCCCCCTCCACCAATACCAATGACATCCCGTTCAAACCTCCTTTCCCGGCTTATCCGAGCGGCCACGCCACATTCGGCGCTGCTGCGTTCCAAATCGTCCGTCGCTACTATAACGGGCGTCTGGGTAACTGGGCAAAGGATGAGCCAGACAGCATCGCCTTCGAGTTCCTATCCGAGGAGCTCAACGGCATTAGCCGCGACCTGGACAAGCGGTACGATCCCACTGCCAAGATCACGGATCAGCCCGGCATAGTTCGCACGTGCTGGCCCCGCAAGTTCAAAAGCGCTTGGGAGGCCATATTCGATAACGCCATTTCACGCGTCTTCCTAGGCGTGCACTGGCGCTTCGATGCTGCGGCGGCCGAGGACATCCTAGTTCCGACTAACGTCCCGCATGTTTATGCTGTCGATGAGAACGGCGCTACGAGGTATAAGCCGGTCAATGACATCCGCTATGTCACAATGGGGCCGAGGCGAGGCTGTGAGGGGATGTTCCCAATCGGCGGTGTGCCGCTCGGTATGGGCATCGCGAATGAGATCTTTGAGAGTGGCCTGAAGCCCACACCCCCTGATATCCAGCCCATGAAAGGGGCTGAGCAGAAGCCGCCACAGAAGGTCATGAACGGCGGTGCCGATGGACTCAATGGAGGCACGAATGGAGCTAATGGCAGTGCCACTGAGGGTGCCAATGGAGCCAATGGGGAGCACGTTTGAATTCGGCTCTAGAACCTGCCAACGCTGGCGTTATCTATCTTGGTACCCTTATCCATAGTTTATTCCATCTTCGCTTCCTCCTTCGCTTGTTTCTGTTTCTGCTTAACCTTTTTCGCCTTCCTGCTTTTGGCTCGCTTCCTTTGCTTCGAGGTGCTCTTTCCACCCTCAGCAGCCGCTTCTCCGACGTTACGCTCTTCTTTCTCTCCATCACCTTGTGCATCCCCGTCCCGTGGGCCTCCATCCCCCTCAGCCCCATCCTCCCCCGCTCGCGCCAGCGCCACAACCTGCGCCTCAGCCAGCATCCGCGCATAAACAACCAGCCTCCCAGTAAACTGCCTATGCACATCCGCCTCCAACGCATCCACACACTCCGCCAAACCCTCCTCCCTCGCCTCCCTCGGCATGCCCTCCCTCAGCCTCTCAATCGCATACACAGCGCCCGCCTGGAAGCTCGCCAGCAGCGTCTGATCGCGCGCGATAGCGCGCACAAACACCTCGGAATCTTGGGCTTCGAAGTCCCACTGCTGCAGGAAGGTCTTGGAGTGCGCGCCGAGAAGCTGCGTCAGCGCGGCGCTGCGCTGCGTGATCAGGCTGTCGCGCACGTAGATGATGCCGCCGCAGGAGGCGACGAAGGGGGGGAACTGGGGGTCGTAGACCGCGTCGGGCCCTGAGGAGGCGGAACGATTAGCAGATAATCAGCGTTTTTTTTACCATGAGGTTGGCTTACAATCGGGCCAGGTGAGGTTGCTGAAGGGGGAAGTGTTGGCGGGTGGGAAGAGGGTTGCGAGCGGGTCGTCGGACATGATTGAAGGGATTGGGTGCTAGATGTGGTGGCGGAGAAGTGCTTTCGTGGGCGTCGGCGAAACGGGTAGTCGGTGCTGCGTGATGGCCTTCGGTAGGAACTTTGATCGGAGTGCTGTGGGTTGTGGTGTAGGGCAGGGTGTCTCCACTGTGGGATGTTGGGCATGTTCCGTGGCAACGGGCAAGATATTTCGAGGTTCGCTGCTGACTGTGGGATATACGGAAGACTTATCGAGCTTGCGCGATTGCCGTACCGGCTACTTTCACTCACGACGTTTCGAGAGTTTGAGTGAAGGTATATTCCGCCTCCTATGTCTTTGCTGCATTATCAGCGGTAATACTGACTATGAACTATTACATTGGACGCTGGATAGGTGAGAGATCCTGGTTCAAGAGATTATACGATCGGGTCTCTTTTACCAGGCCCCTGGGCTTCTGACCGCGGGCTTCCCTCCCAAGTATATAAAGAGCCACCTAGTGCCCTTTCTCAACTTCCTCCAGCCTCTCCTCTCCCAATCCCCTAGAAACGCTCCCTACCAGCTGAAAGCTTCACCAAGAATCCATCATTGCCATTCCCAGTCCGTTAGCAAATCAAGGTCAGTAGATTGCCCCTCACATAATAGAACAGAAAGTTAATATTCCCAGCCATGGGAAGACGAAACCCGCGATATACCCGCTCAGAGCTCATCGCCTTGCTCAAGAAACAGTGCCCAGAAGCCTACGAAGCGCTCCCTCCTCAAGACTCGTTCACGTTCGAGGAAGAAGATGGAAAGCAACACCTGCACGTAGGCCACTTGAAAGGCTCCCGCATTTGGGTGCGCTTCCCCGATCAGGATAGCAAATGGAAGAATGAGAATTGGTTGTCGTTCACCTCTGCCGGCGGCCACCTCCGACGCACTGCCGACTTCGGCAAGAGGGGCATCACTTGGCTGGCTCCATTCTGCCACCTGTTGCCGGCTCAGCACGCGTATCCTTGGTGCGATGGGATGCGGGCTCTGGTCATCTGTGTCTTCGTTCTGTGCGGGAAGAGGCCCGAGTTCAATGACTTTCGCAATGGCGGTGGGTCGGATGCCCTCGTTAGAGTCTTACGGGGCGTCTCTCCGCTTCTCCTGCGAGACAAGGCACTGGCGAAAGAGAAGCAACTGGCGAACGAGAAGCAACTAGCGAACGAGAAGCAACCAGCGAACGAGAAGCAACCAGCGAACGAGAAGCAACTGGCGAACGAGAAGCAACTAGCGAACGAGAAGCAACCAGCGAACGAGAAGCAACCAGCGAACGAGAAGCAACTGGCGAGCGAAAAGCAACTGGCGAGCGAGAAGCAACTAGCGAAAGAAAAGCAACAGAAACATGAAGAACCAGTATCCCCGGCTGCGACTGATGGTGCAAACATTCAGCAGAAGGCGAATCCCGCTACGCCATCCATCAAGGATCCGAAAATCAGCGACCCGCTTGGAGGGAGCACGATGGTCAAGAATGAACCACAAGCCACCACGGTTGAAGAGAAGGCGTGCGTCAAGAAGGACCCTGACGAGCCTCCCATTTCCAGCGCTACACAGCCCATCAAGCAAGATCCCGATGCCGTGTCTCCCTCTGAGGAAAAGCCGGCCATGAAGACCGAATCGGGAGTTGGCGAGAAGCCGCGTTTGAAGAACTCTACATCCGAGGATACCTCGGCTTCGATGAAGCGATCATACTGTCAATTCCTCGAGGGCCAGCAAGACTGAGGGTGAACAATGAATACGAAATGGGCTCAATGAACGAACGCTGATTGCGCTAAGCCATAGGAACGGAGTGCATTAGGTGACGGGGGATGGAGGGGTGAAGAGACTTCGTCTTCCTTTTATATGGGACTTACGAATGTATGGCTAGGTAAAGCGCATAGTGCTTGCATGCATCACTCCGGGGGCTAGGGAAATATGCCGCTTTCCCCCATTTCAGATGGGTCTGGATCCTTCTTAGCTTTTCTGACTTCTCGTCCTGTACGGATGCGTAATACTCGCAGGTTCTACCAGCTTCTTCCTATTAACAGAGAGTTCTGATCCTTCGAAAAAGCACGAACCTACCCGCACCGATAAATCCAACCAAGTAGCCCCCCCCCTTTTCTCCTCTCTCTCAAGTCCCCCACATGCCCACCCCCTCCTCCTCCACCGTCTCCCTAACCTTCTCCCTCTCCGCCACCCTCTCCACAAGCGCCGTATACTCGGGGTACTTCTCCCTCATCTCAAACCCCTTCATATTGCCCCACCGCCAAAACACAAACAAATACGCATCCACCGCCGAGAAATCCTCGCCCACAGCCCACGTCTTCCCCTGCAGCCTCTCCTCGATAAACGCATAGCAGCCCGCGATGGTCTCCCGGGCCTTCTCGCTCACAGCACCGACCAGCGCTGCATCCGTGACAAAGCGCTCGGGGCGGAATAAGCCGCCGAAGGCTTGCCCGTGCAGCGTGCCGGACAGCCAGTTCATCCATTCGTAGCAGCGCACAGTTTCAAGATTTGTTTTTCCGAGGAAGTGCTTGGTGGGCGCGAGTTGTGCGATGGCGGTCATAATGGCTGGGGTCTCGGTGATGACGGCATCGTCCATCTGCATGAAGGGCACCTTCCCCTTGGGGTTGAGCTTGAGGTACTCGGGTAGGAAGCCGGTGCTGTAGCTGATAGTGGTTGTTGTGTAGGGGAGGCCGGCTTCGCGGAGGAGGATGTGGGGGGCCAGGGAACAGGCGCCTGGGGCTAGGAAGAGGTTGAGTTTTGGAGCCATTGTAGTGGAGGTGGGTATTTGGCGATGTTAGTTAGAAGCGTATAGCTGCACTGTGTGCGGTTTTGGAGGGCTTTAAATGCCTTTCGAGCGCGTGAGCTGCCACCGCATCCTGCTCGGATTCTCGTACGGTTGCAGCGATTACGATAGCATACCTGTTGTGCTCGGTGAGCCTCCAATGAGACACCGCGTCGTGATTGCGAAGGCGTAGTTTTATGTGAGATGTGTGAGTCATCCATGGAAGGATGAGGCAAAAAAGAGTAGGTCTTATTAGTAATCTTCGGGACTTGTTTCCGCCGTTATGTCCGAAGCCCAAAGAACGAGAACGACACCGCAAGGCTCGATATGAAAAGCCCTTACAGTCAAGGCTCACCATAAGCAATTTCTTGGCGTAAATTACGATCATACAAATCCTCCTTACTCTAGCAACGAAATTACTTCTTACCTAGTAAATTACATCTACTATAAGCATTTACAGCGTTATAAGCAACTAAAACCCCCCTTGCTTATGGTAAGCCTTAACTGCACGTCACCAAATCAAGTCCTCCACTGCAAAGCTTACCCGCTGCCTTATGCCCAATCCTGTGGCCTAAACATCCTTATCCTTCTCCTTGTACGGCCCCTCATTCGCCCTCACAATAGCCTCCCTCGCACCATCCCACTTCTTCCTCTTCCCCTCGAACAACCGAAACAAGTGCGGGCTATAAACCCCACCCATCAGCAAATTACAAAACCTGCGATCTCTCAGCCAGAACATCCACCCTTTCCACCCATAGCCCAGATACTCATTGGCGCCCGTCCCCGCAGCCTCATTCGCCCAGCGCATCCACGGTCCCGGCTTCGCAATGCCAGGATACACACTCCCGTTCCTCGCAAGGCTGCACACCCACTCGTGGTGCTCGTCTACCGCCTTCTCCATCTCTTCTCGTGGCGGGAGCGACGCCGCGCCTTTCCAGATCTGGGCGAGAGCCATGGTGCCCATGTCGTAGATTTGGAAGGCTGGAAAGGTGAAGGCGACGCTGCCCAGGAAGGCAAGACTCTCCGGCTTCTGCAGACTGAGCATGTTTTGGTAGAGGCGCGGCAGCGGCTTTCCGTTTGAGCCGGCGGCGGCGGCCCACGCCTTGGTGGTGCAGCGTGTGGGGTCGTACTCGGGGTCCACGATGCTGAAGTCGGACTTGTATCCGGTACAGAGGACGATGGTGCCTACTTCAACGAGCTCTCCGTTCTCCAGTTCGACTTTTTTCCCGGCGAGGATACGTTTGATGCCTTGTACGGATTCCACGCTGCTGTTTTCCAGGCAGGAGACTAGGTCATCGGAGACGATGGGGATGGATTGCTTCAAGCTGGGTGCGGGTTCGAAGCCCCATTCCGGCCGTATGGTGAAGCACTTGTTCTGCAGCTTCTTCACAAAGGCGTTGAACATCTTCTCCGCTAGGTTCGGGAAGTAGCAGGTCATGAAGTTGTGCACATTAACGAGACGGTAGCTGAGTGAGTGGTCCCCGGAGCGGCCGTCGATCACGCGAGGGATCTGGGGTCGATACTAATGTTTAGCGATGCTGTAATCCGCGTGGCGAAGCAGGGCGTGCAGTCTGAATGGGAAAGAACTGGTGACAGGAAATGCGGAAGGACAAAAGGTGGGGGTAAGCACGTACGATATAGTTGCCATGTGTGTGCGAAAGATATATCTTTGAGGCATGACCGACTAGCTGGGTTGCTGTATCCGCAGCCGTGTTCGCGAATCCGACGACCATTACGCGCTTATCTCTGAGATCTTCCGGCCTACTCGGCGAGTCAGCTATGGTCTCCGTCCGATGCATCTGCATGGAAGCGTAACCTTTTAAAAGCACGTGAATGGATGCATTCACCCTCAAACTTATGCATCCCTTCAATGGTAGGAATGTTAGGAACATTATTGGCGCCAACTGAGACGACGACTTTGTCGAAGTACTCCGTAGGTCGGTCTTCAATATCTAGGGCCCACTTGTGCCTCTTCTCGTCGAAGGTCACGCGTCGAACGTTAGTGTTTAGCCGGGTGCGAGGCTCGAGGTTGAATTGCTTAGTGTACTCCAGAAGATACTGCTGCACCTGCGCTGCGGAAGGATGCGTCGGCACATCTCCAGGAGATCAGCGTTCCTTCGTTCTCTCGACCGTGAAGGAAAGGAGGAGATACCAGCTGGAAATTCGAAATCAGTAAAGCAACCCTATCGGTATCAGCTCCGGCTTCTATCGAACGCAGGATATACACACCCGTTCTTTCGAGATATTGGTTACCGTTTCCCGCATCACGGAGGTTTTGTCTTCCTGGGTATATTGCCATAAGCCGCCCACATATCCGTTCCTCTCAAACCCCGTCACATCGAAGCCTTCCTCCGCGAGGTTCTTTAACGCCACCAGGCCCAGCGCGCCTACCATACCGCGTCAGCATAACGTGCTCATCCCGACGAGGAGGATAGCTCACCGAGCCCGACAATCGCGACCGTGACGCCTTCAGCCATAGTCGAGATGGCTGGACAAACCTTCTTTCCAGCATCTAGGGAGAGGGAATGGGCGTGCCATATATATACTAGTCTCTTGGAGGGCTTCCGATCGGATGCGAGGGGTACGAAAGGCACGATCTCAGCTGAACATCAAGGTGCCCAACCGGACTTCCACTGCGGGTGCCATCCCGTCGTATTCACCTGATCTGACCAGATCAACGCTCCGCATTGGTTCCTCGGGCCCCCTCGGAGTTGATAACCATCTTATCTGATGAGATAAACGACCAGATGGTGTGAGAAGCAAGGGCTGGGCTGCCATCTGTGGTGCTCCTTAGCGAGGGCCGACTTGGCGAGCGAATTCGGAGCTCAGGAAATTCCACCACACACAGAACCCGGGTTTGTCAAAAGCCGCCAGCGCCAGGCACGTTTCTCCCGAGCGCTGGAGCGCTGAATCACCAAACAGCGTCCAAAACAAAGTTCGCGACGACGTTCTATCTTTGCGCGTTCAAACGCAGACCCCGGGCCCGAGAGCTAGATGACTCGCGTATCGGGCACCCAATGAAACACCCTCGCCTCCCAAACGGCAACGATCATCAGGAACCAAACAAAAAGATCAGACGAGACGCTCCTGCAACTGAGTAGCCGATACCAGCGACGAGGTACATATGTGACGAGTTCGTCAGCATCTGCGTGATAGCGCGTCTAGTCTGCCTTGAACGCGTACGCCTCGCCGCCTCGAACGAGAAGGCTCGGCATCAGAGTTTCGCAGGAGAACCACGACGGCGGATTCGCGACATGTTCTCCAACGGTTTTTGAACTGCATGCTGGCTGGAGCGCGTCAGCTCTGTGTGCCTCGAGGTGCGTGCACGTCTCCGCCTCCGGTGCATATTCGCGCGGGGACGTGGGCTAGACTTGGAGTAGCTGCAGCACCGCTCGTAACACTTGTCCGCCTCGACATGGCGACGATGGCGGCGAGGGTGTGATCAGCACATCTTGACACCTACAGCAGTATCGACTACTGCGGGTGCGTTGTTGGCCTGGTTAGTAGGAATGGAAACTCGAGAGTCATGGAGTACTTCGACTCCTCCCTTCGACGGTTAGAAGAAACGCATAAAGAGATGGACATCTGCTGTTGCGATGAAGTCTTCTTCTCATTCCCAGCAGCGCCTTCTCTCTCATTTCCGGGGGATTTTGAGACTGAGTGCTTGGTTGTTCTTCTTTCGTTGCTCTTCCTTCGCTATTTTCCCTTCTTGTGGATTTTGCCATTTATATTCCGATCGTTTGCTTCGTTGCTACTTCTCCCGTCCAGACTGCCTTCAAGATGCGTTCCTCGTCCCTCATCTTCCTGGCGGGCTTCCTATATCGAGTCCAAGCCGATTTCTCAGCCAGTCCCGTAGCGCCAGCGAAGCGCCAGTCAACCTGCCCCACTGTGTGGACGGACATCGCCTCGGATCTGCAGAGCACCTTCATCTCGGACGGGGCATGCACTGATGACGCCCGGGCAGCCATTCGAGCCGCATTCCATGACTGCTTCCCAGGCTCGTGCGATGGCTCCCTCATTCTGGCGAATGAGTGTACGGACCGCGGCGAGAACGCCCAGATAGTCGACATCTGCAGTACCTTGGGAGACAAGGCGACAAGCTTCAATGTCAGCACCGCCGACATGATCCAGTTTAGTGCAGGTATGTTCTCACTCTGATCCAAACGGGAAGTCTCCTGACATATGGGGGTACAGCCGTAGCCATTGCATCCTGCTCCGGGGGACCCATCACGTCCTTCTACGCCGGGCGAACCGACAGCAGCACGGCAAACCCGACGGGGCAACTCCCGGGCCCTAACGCGAACGCCAGCGCGCTCGTCAGCGACTTCGCCGCCAAAGGCTTCTCCATCACCGAGCTCGTCGCGCTCGCCGGCGCGCACACAATCGGCAAGCAGCTGGATGGCTCCGCCATGGATTCCACAGTGGCAAACTGGGACTCGGGCTTCTATACCGAGGTCGCGGACAACACCGCTCCGGATCCGCTGAACAGCGATCGCTTCTTGAGCAATTCGAGCGAGACGAGCGGGCAGTGGAGCAGTGTGGGCGCAAGCAGTACCAGTTTCGCTGATGCGTTTGTGCCTGCGATGGAGAAGATGAGTTTGTTGGGTAATGATAAGGCTAGCCTGACAGATTGCTCGAGTGTGGTTAGTAGCTACGCGGCGGGCACGTTGAGCCAGAAAGCTGTGGCGCAGAGCAGCGACGGGACTAGCAGCGATGGGACCAGTGAGCAGGACGATGGAAGTTCCACCGAGACCGGTACCGGTACCGGGACCGGGACCGGGAGCGTGAAGGCCAGTGAGGGACCGTCGAACCGTGGAGCTGTCGGTTTGATGAGGATCGCTTTACTTTCGGGTTGTACTATATTAACATTATGCTGGATGTAATTTGGGATCACTATTTTGTATTGTTTCGCGGGAAGGACTTAATGGGGTTAGTTCGGACTTGGTCAGGGGCGTTACAAAAGCCGGGAAGTAATGCCGTTCAATCAGTCAATGAGATCACTTTTTACTCTTCAACACAGAGGCTCATTCCTTTACCAGGTCTCCTCCTCCCACCGCAAATAGCGCTCTCAGCAACTATCTGTCTGCAATCAGTTTGGGGCAACCGCCCTTATCAAGCGCCTGGTGAAGAATACTAACCTATTCATCGGACCCCTAACTCCACATCCGCCTCTCCTTCTCGATCCCCTCCACTCTGCGCCCCGCGAGTCCTGACCAGTCCTTTTCGCGATCGATGACTGACGCCTTTGCAAAACGCCCATATGACGACGGGAAGCGCGAGGGCGACAAATACGCAGACGAAGATGACGCCGATCATATCTCGTTCGGATAATGCCATGGTATAGGTGTGGTATTCGACAGTTGAGTAGGTTTAGAAGCTCTCAGAACTGTGTGTAGTATAACTGTATGTAGCTTGTGCAGTAGAGAAAGGAGATCAGCGGCTTTGGCAGAGGGAGATATATAGCAATGGCCGTGTTTGCGAGCGGCTTCAGCAGTGGGTGGCAGTGGAGTATTGAAGGGGACCATGTTGGCGTTCATAAGCAGGGCATGGAATCGTCGCGTGGATGCTTCACGGAGAAGATAAGTCCAAGGATAGCGACCGTTCGCGGCATTCGAAATGTACATGTATCGGAACAACAGGGCGTATCGTGCGAACCCTGGGCTATTCAACAAGGAGAGATAGCGAGAGCGCCTGTGGTGTCTCCCATTCTTCAGGGCCAACATGTCATTTGCACGGACGTGTTCCTGGGATTCCAGCTGAGTCAACTTCTTGTCGCGGAATGAGAGGTGCTTGTGTCGACAACGGCTCGTTTGGCGATACCATCAAGCTCTGAAGCTGTCCGGCGGGGCGTGTCGCTGTGGGTTCCGACCGTTTCGCCAAGCTGAATATTTGATCAGGAGTTCCGTGACGGGCGCCATAGATTCCTCCCCGGCCATGATCCTGCTCTTCTCTCTAGGGAGCTTTCGATAGAGTGCATCCCGATCTCTGCTCGCACATGCTCGTGTCGGGAACCCATGCTATGGCAGGAGATCCGATCGGCGCAGAAAGCCAGAAGAACTCTCTGTGAAGATTGTGCGTAAAGTTGTGGCCTCGGGGACGCATGAGGAATACGTAGGAGATTAGCGGAACACATAGGGAGGGAGAGCCTGACCTTGAAGATTGATTAGAAAGCGTCTTCGCTTAAGGTTCGCACTTACCTTTTTGGGTTGACTCGACACAGTGGGTCCTTCCTACCAGAATCGCGCGACGACATCACAACAGACTCTACACACCTCTTCTCGAATAACCAGTCTTCTATTGTATCGGGCGCTAGCCAGCAATCCGAACGAAGTCCCAGTAGAGTACATAAAAGGCTGCTGCCATCTCACCCAGCAGACAACCCATAAAAGTCTTACGACAGCTCATCTGCTGCGAGACGACCCAGCTCAGCAAACCGCCCACCTCGCACACGTAGACGCACACCAGATTGGCAGCAAGCCAGCCGCGCCATCCGCAGCAGACGAGCCTCGCTCTTCCCTGTCGGAATCCACCCGCGCTCGAGAGCCGCATCCACGTCCACCGATGCACACAAGTATGAGATACGTTCGAGCGCCGTGTAAGAAGTCGAGTTGAGGGAAGGACGGGGGCGAGTCATTCACTACTCGTCACCCTTCTTCTTCTTCTTGGAGGGTGCGGCCGCGCCTTCCTTCTTCTGGTGCACGACGAAGCGCGTGTAGCACTCTTCCGGATCCCACTCGAAACCAGCGAGGATAGGGAGGTCGAGCTCGTCATCGGCCTGGAGTGGAAAGTCAGCGGGACTATACGGAGGGAACGATTTCGGATACGAAGCGAGGAAGCGGGACAGCCGGAGGCATCGGCGTGGCACCAGCTGGTGGGCAAGATAGGGCGAATACATACCTTCTTCTTGAACTGCTTGTAGATGGCGTCTAGCGCGTCCTTGATAGTGACGCCCTTGAGGTTCCGCGCGGTGACTTCCAGCCCTAGCGGGAAGTGCAGGTCGACCTTCTTGACCATGGGTATGCAGAGGGGCTTCTTGAGTGTGTCTGGCTCTCCTAATGACGTAGGCGAGGTGTTCAGCTTCCTATACGGCGAATGAGTCAGCCTTGTTCGATGCCATCGGAGACCACTGGGGTGACGCAGCCGGCGGCAAGCTCGCCCATCGCCGGTGCACCAAGTTGGTGGCGAAGGCAGGGCGGGCATCCACATACCAGTTCAGTTTCTGCGTCTCAGGCGCAATCTTGATCGGCTTCTTCTCCTTCTCTGTCGGACTGTCAGCCGCACATCCCTTCACCCACGGCCCGTCACGCCATGGCGCACTGGAGAGAGCGACGTACCTAGGTCCGCGATGTTGTACACATCGGCATGCAATGAGCTGCTTCTCCGGGCTCCCTTCTTGGCGTCCTTGGGCGCGTCTTCCACGGCGGAATCGACCTTGGAGAGCGTGTTCTGGGTTGCCGCTGACATGGCTACGGCAGCACGACGGCGAGGTGGTGGTGGTGTGAGCTACAAGGAGCGGTGGATGTGGAGTTGAAAGAGCTTTGGAAGCCGCGAGGCAGAGGTATCAACGTGGATAGCAGAGGGTAGTTCAAACACAGCAGAGAGCGTGTGAGAGGAGGGAAGGAGGGAGGGCGCAGCAGATGAGGGGTCAATCTGGCCGGGAGCACAGGAGACCTGTCACTTGATCACCACACCACCGTCCAATAGAATGCTTCAGCTGCATGCGCACGGACCATGTTCTGGGGTAAATGCGGGGTGACCTCAGCCCGCTCCCTTTGAGACAATGAAGATGCAGGGCGCCAGTCGCAGGTACGCGCCATTACGAGCCGCTCATTAAGACTCTCGCCTTCAGTTTGCTTTGGGCGCCGTTCGCGGCCTTGCGACGCTGTTGCAAAGGCGTCTAGGTGGTGCCTCATCTCGGTGATGTGAGCCTCACGCGACCCGGCCCTACGTCATCAAATCGGATGACCGTCGTGGCAAACCGCACACCGTTTCAGCTCGGCCACCAAAAGCCGCCGATAACTCAAGTATCTATATGGTACATATACATTGAGCCGGGGTAGCACGGGAGCATCATGCAATTGAGCCAGGTCCTCCTGGCATCTTGCCAAGGGATTCTGCACGCTCTTCTCGATCTAGTTGACCCGATCTCGGACTATTGAGCTTAGCATCGGAATTTTAGATGCTGATATTCCGAAAGACGGTCTATACACTGAACAGATGGCAATGCGAAAGCGTCAATATCCAATACGTCTGCAGGGGGCATCTCTACGAGTGTCCCTGGATCACCCGTGGCTGGTACAGCTCCTCGAGATACTTCTCCTCTTCCTCAGTCAGCGTCTTGCCCCTCGACTCGAGCGCCTCATCCATTCTCCCCTCGGTACTGAAGCCGATGATGGGCGACGTGACGCGCTTGTTGATCCACGCCAATGCCACCGTGCTCATCTTCCAGCCATGCTTCTTCGCCAGCTCCTCCACGCGCTCGATCATCTTCTTGTCATTCTCCGAGTGGCCCGAAAAGCTACTCCCGTTGTTCTTCTCGCCCTCGGAGCGAATCGTTTCGCCGAACTTGGAGGCGGGGCGGGCGAGGTGGCCGCGGCAGAGTGGTGCCCACTAATATCTGGCGTCAGCAACGCAAGCAAGATCACAGGAAAATCACAAATGTTTCCCTACCGGAATCAACCCGACACCAGTACTATTGCAGAACCTATTCATCTCCCTTTCTTCTTCGCGGTAGAGCAGGTTGTAGTGGTTCTGCATGCTCACAAACTTCGTCCACCCGTTCTTCTCCGCGACAAACTGCATCTGCGCAAACTCCACCGCCCACATCGAGCTCGCGCCGATATAGCGCACCTTGCCGCTCTTCACAAGGTCATGCAGCGCCTCCATCGTCTCCTCGATCGGAGTAGTCGGGTCGAACCGATGGATTTGCAGCAGGTCGATGTACTCGAGGTCCAAGCGCTTGAGCGACGCGTTGACGGCGTTGAAGATGGCCGCGCGCGAGAGCCCGCCCTGGTTCGTGTAGTCCCTGAGCTGGGGCATCTCCTCGCGGTACATGATGCTGCGCAGGCCGGGCGTCTCGCCGACGTAGCCGTAGCATTTTGTTAGGATGGTGAGTTTTTCGCGGGGCAGCTTGTACTTTTTGATGGCGTTGCCGATGATCGTTTCCGAGACGCCGTTGGAGTACACATTGGCTGTACAGTTCGTAAGCAACAGTTGCTAGGAGTCTGGGCAATTGGAATTCGCGATACCTGTGTCCCAAGTCGTGATTCCTTTATCATACGCCGCCTTTAGAAGTGGCAAGGACTCTTCTTCTTCAATAACCCACGGTTGCCATTCTTTGGACCCAATGCTCATAGCACCGAGGATTGGCACCGACACCCTCAAGCCGCTCTTCCCTAGCTGCCTGTACTCGGCTTTTGATTCTTTGAGGAGCTGCTGAATGTCTGCCATTTTGCGATCGGCGTGTGTGGTGGGGCTTCAAGGCGAGGCGGGGTACCAGGCGATCAGGGAGGAAACAGAAGCGGAACTTTGGAACAATTGACAGACACTTGGGTACTCGTTGCATTTATATAGCCGTAGCACCTTGCGGCAAAGCGGTTGATTACGAATCCCCCGCGGAGCAATTTTTGTCATGTCGCGGATTTTGCGGTGATAGTCGTTATCCTCGAAGACGGCGGCGCTGACGCTCCTTTGAGTAGAGCAACGAGCCCGCTCGTAGGACCATCGCTGGTTGGCATGACTTTCTGCATCCATGTTGCTTTCTTATTATTAAGTACGTCTGTTCTACACCACGCATACACAGTGACTTGCAAATCCTCCGGGTTGTAGACCTGATTCTTTGGCGGTCTCGTCTCGCTGTAGAAGTGGCGCTGGATCGGGGTATCACAGAAATGTGAGTAGTCACGCAGGTAGATGTTTGTTTATTGAACAAGATTTTTGAGCTTTATCCCCAAAGGCGCCTGTTCACACACCATAATGCAGAGAAGCTCGTATGCCCGTGTAAGAAAGCCGCACTCCACGACAACCCGCTCAGTCCTCTGTGATGTTGCCCCGCTCCGACACGTACAGACCGTCCAAGAACTTTCGGATATCCTTGTTGCGGACACGGCAGATCTGCTGAATATCGGCGGCACTCTGGGAGACGTCTTCGAGGCTCTGTAAAATGGTCAGCGATGCAAGCACGCCCTGCGCCAAGATGTCTTACGTTTCCGGTAAGCAGGAGCTCATCCTTCGTGGACTTGGACGCCTCGACGTTGACACCGGGCCGCATGTTGACCCTTCGGACGATCTTCTCGCCAATGAAGTTTCGGATCTCAACCTCGTAGCAGTCCGTGTCCTTGTTCTTATCGATGTTGACGTTGATGGGAAAGCTGGCGGCAAGTTAGCGCAATGCCACGAAAAGTGCGTAGACGAGAGATGCAAAGATGCGTGGAGCAACGCTGCCTTGTGATCGGATGCCTTCAATGACCGGGGACACGAAGGTTGCATAATATGCACTCCGCATCGAGGCATTTCTGCGGAAATAGCAAGCCCAGTCGGCTAGGCGAGCGTTGGGATTCCGCTTGAAGGCCGTCGGGTTCGCAGGCAAAGCTCGTGGATTGTGGGCTAGGAAGGTAGACGTACTGAGCATAGACGTATCGCATCCTACTCGTGTGTTAGCCCAGATGGTAACGGAGTCACCGCAGCCCGCTTACTTGTACTTGTATCCCTTGGTAACACCAATGATCAAGTTGTTCTATCGAAGTCAGCCTGACCGCTTCCCCAGGAGTACCATCCGGCTTCGGGAGATTCCTCAACGTACGATGAGTGTTCGGACAGTTCGGATGGTAGCGACGCTCTTTCGCGATCCGTGGTGGAGCTCGATCTTGATGAGGTTCTTTTTGGGCTGCGCACGCCTTAGCTGTTCGTTCCGATATCTCAATCTAGTCCAAACGTACGTGCGTGAAGCTGACAGCCAAGTGACCGAGCGACTTGGACAGTTTTCCCTGGTGTAATGAGTATTGCATCGGAGGTTCCGTCGCGGCGCACTTACTCGGGGGCCTAGCACCAAGACGTCAGTTAGCAATCCAACAAGCCTGACATGCTGCACTCACCCTCGACGACGACGTTCCTGGTCTTGATTGAGACCTTCACCCCCTCGGGGATCTCAAGCTCTTCCTCGGAGTGGCTGTGGCGCAATTGTCAGTCCTGTTCGATCGTAATTGAGGTTTCGCGAATGTGCGGGTCGCGCTCCGCTCCTGGTACGTCTACTGGCCGATCGCAGGAAACAGAGGGACCCAAACTCGCAAAAAGGCGGGTAAATAGACCGGGGATGCGTACATGTACTTCATGTTGAGGACGGCGGCGTGGTCGAGGAGTTGTTGTCGCTGGTCAATATTGTCGATGAAGTTTCCATGTGTGGGCTCGGAGAAACTGCTAGCCGTTTGCCGACGCTGACGCTAACCCCTTTCTAGCTGTGCCAAGGAAGCGCTGCGCGACACCAGTGCAGCAGCGTTCGTCACTCTTCACTCTCATCTCACAGACACTGGATTACGCATGTTTCGGCCTGATACTGCGCGCAAAGAATTTGGCAGAGCCGATTAATCTTCGAAACCCTTAAGCCTCCCCGATACAGAGCCGGTCGCAGAGGCAGATAATTCGCCTAAGCCTCGCCGTCGCCCACAACTCGGTCCCGATCTGATCCAGTGCACCTCTCGCTCTCCGCTACAAGGTGTAGGTGTTGCGCTGCTCCGTCGATTGTATTTCTTGGCTGCAATCATTACACGATACATGCCTACACCAGCTGCCTTCCAGTCAAAGAGGAGTAATCCTTCTTTTCATCCATTCCATGAGCGGTCCACCCTCTAACGCGGCAATCTGCACCTCGAGCCTGCTTGTCGATTTCTCGTGTCCATTCCATATCCTCAGCATGCCATTGCTCTTCTCCCGGCACCACTCCTTCATGAAGGAAGCCCTCTCTTTCTCCCAACTTCTGTCCACTTCCGCGGTGTTCTCGTCTATGTCCCCTCTTTGCACCCTCCACCAAGTCCCGAACGCTACTTGTAACGGCAGGATACCAAGGAGCGCGCCCAATGGGAAAGGATTCTTTTGTTTCTCAGCGTACTGCATCGACGTCGCTATGAGCGAGGCATTCCGGAGCTCCTCATATGCGAGCGACGCAGAGTCGAGAATGGGCGAGAAGGGTACGACTTCCTTCAACACCCTACAGAGCCCCAGGATCAGTATTCGGCAAAAACAATAGCGGATTAACGTCTCAAATACGCTGAGACTAGAGAACTCAATCGAATCAGGGTAGTATCTCGCTAGACCCTCGTCCAGGGTCGGAAACCATTCCGAATAACTGTTGACGACTCCGTCGACGATCGTGCCTAGGTCGCTCAGGTACAGCTTCTCTGCCAGTGCCAGAGCTTCCATGCCGAGATCTATGTTGTAAGGATCGGAGCGAACCTCGCGCGCAAGTCGAGTTAGTCGTGGTATCCGGACCATCTGCTGCATGATTACTTGGTATGCGATCGTAAACGCTGGACATTCGGTGGGATAGTCAGGCGGTGGGAAGTATATCCAGGTCGGCGAATCGAAGGCGGAGTCGACGCCGTTCAGCAACGCTTCCGTAAACTAGATTCAGAATGTTCAGTGGGGAATCACATGGGTATGTTAGCAGCATACCTCATGTGGGAGAGAAGCATAAAAGAGAGACCGGTTCATATCGTCGGCGTCGGCTTCTGGACCACGAGCGACCAGCAAGTCCGTCAATCCTCTGCTATGCGATACCCACCGGTTGGTTCTCATCCCTAAGAACGTCTGCGAACACTCATTTAGCAGCAGTCTTTCATTACGGCTTAGAGTAACTCACCTCAAATACCAATAGGAATTTCACCGCAGCCAGCGTTTCACTAGAGAGTCTCAAATCTTGGTCCATGCCAGTTAGTACGTTCTGTAGACTTAGCAGCGCTTTTGAATACTGCTTCCTCGCGGCAGCGATATTGGCTTCAGACTTGCTTCTATGCGCTATGCTCCCAGCTATGAAGCAAGCCGTTGCGGCATCAAGCGCCGAGTTCTTCCCAAGTCTTGCAGGTACCAGCGCTATCCATGTACCCCATAGGAACGAGGAATTCCACTGCATTGGTTTCGGTCCCATCACTTCAATGAATCGCGCGCGGAGCGAGTCTACAGGAGACGTCAGTGTACGCAAGACGCGCATTCGACCGTTGCGACCGGCTACCGTTCTTCGATCGAACCACGAACTCTCAAGTACTTCCAGGTCCAAATTTGTCTGCTTGTCCAGGCGGACCGAACTGAATGTGTGAAAGATGCCGTTCCCATCTTCAGCGCCCTTGACGGACCTGAGGGCCAGAATCGTCCCCTTACCGTCAAAGGCATTCGGCCGAGCATTTTCGTTCCATGACTGCTCCGCAGTGGAGGAGTCCTCCGAAAAGTCTGAAGAATCGTCGGCGGGCATCCGAAAAGCACCATCTGCAAGTTTCGGCTGTCCGCTAACGAATTTGGGAACTTTCCCGTACTCGTACTGACAAGGACGATTTTTCTTCATACATTGGCCGCATTGAGGATGCCGCTCGTCACACTGAATAATTAGCAACTATCTGGAACGATCCACAGATTCGTCGCCCACCTTGACTTTGCGTTGCCGACAGACATCGCATTTTCCCATTCGCGTCATTGCCAGCACAAACGATTCTGATACGCGCCCGGGGGTCGATGATTGTCGAGTAGCCCACTCAAGCCAGGAGCAGGAAGGTTTACAGCTGCCACCCATGCAGCCGCGGTCCCTATATACTTCAGCATGGCTTATGATCGTCGCCTTTCCAACTTCAGCTTTAGGAATCTAGCAAATCCAACGCAATGTTGCGCATGATTATTATTACTAGCGCCCGTTACCGGCGAGAGTAGTTATGCACAATGGAAACGCCTCTCCGCAGACCGTTCCCTGAGGCTGAAGATGGTCTGTACGAAACAGGCAGAATGCACGGGCCGCAGACGCAAGTTCGCAACATCTAACTACTTCGGGTAACAATGATGTCGATGGGTTTTACTGTGCAGGACGACGGATTCGCAAGAACGTTTAAGCTGGTAACACTTGGAGACGCTTAGTCAATCGGGGTCGCCGTGTCCTGCAGGCCTCATAGGTTGGTGTTTCCGGTCATGCATCCTGCTAATTCTTACTGAACTTGTTAAGACAATTTAGGAGTGAGCTGCTTCTTACGAGGCCGACGCCAACCGCGAATACTCTCCTCCTCTAGGCCATGACTGCGAGCGCTCTACTATGACGATCACCCAAGTCCTCAAACCAAACGGAGGAGAGACATGAATCGGATTACTAAAACGATTACAGATAATCTGTAACGCCTTTGGACATGTTTGATGCGTTCTCCCACGGTTACGCACGGAGATGAAGTTTATCCAAGCATACAAGCTTAAACTGGGTAAGCTTTTCCCCAAGCACATACTTTTAAATAGAAGGCGAATCATCCAGTCGACGAGGGCTGCCGTCCGTACTCGCTTCTTGCCGGCGTCTGACAGCGACTAGGGTTGTGGTGTATACATACAGGGAACCTTGTTTAGGCCCCAAGCTGCGAGCTGAGATGCTTCGAGTTGTATATCACCCCAGTACTATTTAGCTTCTGGACGGAAAAGCTGTGGGGGGGAAGATCGATTGGTACCACCCAACCCCTCAAACACTGCGAACGTTCGAAGCCCACTGCGCTTCCCTAAAACATGAACGCAGCCAACTCTACGCTACGAGGTTCGCTCACAAACTCTGTCTCCCCAAAACCGTCCCGGGTAAAAACGCCGTCGTAACCACACACCCCAACGTTACACCTCCCGCCAGATACAACACACTATTAACATTCTTCCCCCCGCCCCCGGCATACAAATGCTGCGCAATAAGCGGACTCACAATGCCGAACAACCTCCCCCAAAAGCTCGCGACTCACACGCCGTCCCTCTAATAGGCGCCGGAAACACCTCAGGCGTCCAGCCATATGGCACAGCGTTGAACATGGACTGGAAAAAGTACTCCATGAGATTGAGCCCGACGTTGCTGGCGGCGGTGTTGATCGTGCTGAAGATGAAAATGGAGATGGCCATGAGCGCGGAGGAGAGAACCATGGTGTATTTGCGCCCGACGTGCGGTGTGCGGTAGAGAAGTGTGCCGAGCGGGACGCCGACGGTGCCGGACAGGTGGATGTAGATGTAGGAGCGGTAGGTATAGCGGAGGGATTTGTTGAGAGCACTGTTCTTGAGCGCGATGATTTAGGGGAGATAGAAACCTGCGCACGTTAGCACTGTGGGATTGGGATCCGGTCTTCTGCTTCGACCGGGATCTGTATCTACAAAAGGAACTCTCGTGAAGAGCTACTGGATTCAAGCTCTGGGCGAAAAATATTGGCGTCTAGGGACAGGTAGGTACTTACCGGCCACTGTAAAGCCCCAATAATCACAGATATAGGTCAGCTAGGCAAATGTAGTCACCCTCGCCATCTGAAACTTATTGAAAAGAATCATGAACTGGTTCAGCCACAGCTGCTCCTTCTAGGTCGTCTTCAGTTGCTTCGCCCCGCCGGCCAGTATTGGTCTTCCACTATTCATAGAATCCCACCCGCTCTCTAACGCCTCCAGCTTCTCTAAAGTCAACCCGCACGTTGTCTTGTTCATCCTCGCCACGTTCTGCAGCACTTGCACGGCCTTTTCGTCCCGTCCGCGATACACCAAAAACTTCGGGCTCTCCTGGAATCGGAAAACCACGAACGCGCAGGAAGAAAACAAGCACTGTAATCGAGCAGAGCGTGTACAGCAGATACCTCCACCCCATGTTGTCGCTCTTCCTGCAGCACAGCTGGCCGGCAGCAACGGCGCTACATGCCTCGAGCTTGTTCGGCTCCGAGAAGTTAGGCGAGCACGAATACTTCGGTATGAATCCGTACCGCAGATGAGGACCCCGATTGGTTGAAAGATCGACAGAAGCGGGAGAAGATATCGCATCCTCTGCAGCGTGAACTCCAGGGTAATCGTAGTATCGATTGGGATGTTCCCGCCTACACCGAAGCCCACGAAAGCTATGAGCACCAGGATGTTAATGTGGTATCCGGGATCGCTAAGCACAAGCCGAAGACGCTCGCGATGAAGACCGTGAGGTTGAACGCCCATTGTCGTCCGATGATATCAACAAGCACGCCCCAGACGAACGGACGAGAATGCAGTCGAGAGATTGCCGGTCTTGTCGTCGCCGAATCCAAGCTCTTGCTACATCGGCGACAGCACGAGGTTGAACGCTTGCGCCCATAGAAGATCGATCATGTAGCCCAGTCCGCAGAGCGCCCAGAGACACCATTGGTACCGACCCATGCCCAGTGCTTCGATCTCGGCGTTGATGAGCTTGCATTTCCTTTCATAAAGCGTGTACGCTTTCTCTTCCTCGTCAGATGAACCTGAAGCGGACACCGGACGTTCCGGATAGTCGACATCATCCAACTTGTTTCCCTTCTCTTTATCATGGTCCGAAGGCGTCGCCATATTGAGCGACTGATAAGCCAATCCCGTGCGCGAGGAAGACGGTGTTGAACGTAAGAGAGCCTCGAACTCGGAAGGCGCCGACATGTTTAAACCCCTTCCCCCGGAAAGGAATCCTAAACGAAACCAACGGCACCTCGATCGTCACCCTGGCTTTAGCTTTCTGTTCGTGAGGTTTCGATGCACAAAGTCGAGTACGTCACTTTGCACGCTAAGCCGCTTTCGGTGAATGCGCTGTCTGCTGCTAAAGGCGTTCTGCCCACTCAAGTCCCATGCTTAATATGCGAATCTTAGACCATGGGCCTAACGGCGCGATCAAGTCAGATATAGGGTGGCGCTAGGGAAGTTTCTAGGGAAGTTTAACGGTGCTGAATAGCATGTTGGAGGATTTGGGGCCATGGCACTCGTCAAGGCGAAGGGCTCGCGCAATTTCGAAATGACATCCCAGACCACGGTAGTGAGCGGGTAGCCCTACGATTTTGGGAGAATAGGCTGTCTTTTGTAGGCGGAGAAAGACTAGGGAAGGTAACATCGTACGTAGCGTGCCAAGCGGGTTGAGCGTATACTGAAAAAAACGAGGATGTGCTTGCAATGGCAACTGGTGGGCCGAATTCGAGGTAAAGCATCGAGAGTGTGCGCCCCTTAGGTGGATATAGACGGCTGCATCTGTCGTATTTTCCTTCCAAGCGGAGCTCGGAGTACAGGGAGGGGCGTAAACAGGTTCGATTGACGGTAGACTTGATATGCTCTCTTTGACCTCTGGGATATGTCAGCGTCAAACCAGAGAACGGGCCGATTCGTGAAGCGCAGTTTATGTGGCATACGAACAGGATATATAATTTGAATAGTGCGACGGCTTCAAGAAACGCCAGTCCATTTTCAAACCCTCGAGAGCATTTACTAAGGCCCCTCCTCTCAATGAAGCAGATTCATGACCATGTCTCCCCAAACTCCAGGCTATGCAAATCTCATTGTGTTCTTACATTATCTTTCCATCTTGCCCCCTCGACCCGTGAGAAATGACGTCACTCGTTAGGGGTGGAGCGGCTTCGCGTAGGTGTTGTCCATTTCTTGTGGTGACTGCAGCGGACGCTCGTGGGCGTACCGTTCGCTCATGTGCGGCACCGGTTGGTATGCGCCTGGATACCCAGCTACTTCGTGTACAGGTTCTTGAGTGTGTAGCTCAGCGGGCTTCATCTGACTACCAGTGAACGGTGTGCCAGTATACGGGGGTGGCTGTGAGCGCTTCCTCCTCCTGAGGAAGTAGTACGCCATGAACCCAGCAAGTGCAAGGAGAGGCACTCCAAGACCAACACCGACCCCAGCGCCGATTGCGACTTCGTTGCTCGATGATTTAGACGCCGTCTGAGTCGGCGTTGGGCTCGCGGACGAGGACGATGGTGGCTGTGATGTGACTTGCGCAGCGTCTGCTGTTGTTGATGCCGAAGTGCTCGCCGGCGTACTCGTAGGAGCCACAGTGGTCAATGGAAGGGTGGTGACAAAGGTGGCGGGACCAAGGTCGAAGAGGGAGGTGGAGGAACAATCGCATCCGTCCAAGTCATAGCAGCAGTATTCGTTGCCGCCGCAGTTCTGGAGGCCGTTGCCCGTGACTGTTGATGATTAGTTACTGCGCCGTGGAAGGGACATGTCTGATCTTACAGTTGTTGCAGCCAGAGAAGCAGTTCGATGTAGTCCATGTCTGATCAGTACAATCGGATCGATAGGTATCCACGTAGCCGTGGTTCACTATATCTGGTCCAGGTCGGCAGAGCCCATTACTGAGGCAAATATCTCCGAAGGAACAGCAAGGTCCATCTTCAGTAGAATCTGGCTCGCACGGTAGTCCGTTGGTCTGGTCTCCATTTACATCGAAGCATGCCTTCGCGAAGGCTGACCGAGCGTGAAGAAGGACGAGAGTAGTGATGATTAGCAGAAGGTCCGACAGTCGAAAGAACGGTAGGCTAGCCATGATGGCGCGAAAGGGAACCAAAGAAGAGCACACAACGTCTGCTCACGACGCTGTAGAATAGGACGAGCCGTGGAACCGAGCGGAAGAGGGTGCAACGGGCAGGCTGGCTCATATGAGAGGAGGAGGAACCCCCGGAAATGAGGATCGAGGCTGAGACAGGCCAGAGGAGCAGCATCTTTCGTTCAATCATGTTCATCATTCTCGAACATCCCGGCGCCAACTCAAACTCTGAAGGAAGGCTGAGGCGGGAGGCCTTGGGGGCCAAAGTCCCACTTTTGCCGCCCATGTCCAATCAGCACTCCGCACATGGTGTAGATCGTCGTAAAACCGACCCTATATGGAAAGGATTAACCGGGATGAGATTAGCTACTCCTAAGCCCTGGTAGTCGGGCTTTCTTCAGGGTCGCAGAGAAGTTTGACGAGAAGAAGGATGCTCTTGCGGTAAGGAATTCTCTGGCCTCTAGAGTAGCTGTTGCGCACGTCGTTCTATCCGGAGAATTCTACAGATGAAGGAGACTCTTCGCATCGTTGGCTCCAGTGCCTGATGAGGCGTGAGGGTTGGGGAGAAAGGAAGGGGCCTGACGCCAAGCACCGGATCGGCGAAATGATTGACCGAACCAGTAAATTTTCCCATGCATCAAAAAAGTGCTGGAGGGGTCCAGGCACAGCGTTCCTACGCAATAACACAATATGGCGCCTCGCAGAAAACGACAACGACTTTCGGAAGATGGCACAGAAGCTGTGACCGCCACCGCCGACACCGAGCAACCCTCCATAGCCGCCGACGCCCTACCCAAAGAGCAGCCTCGTAAACAACTCTTCGTCCGCTCCCTCGCATCAACAGTCACGACCGATGATCTCACCGAATTCTTCTCTGAGAACTTCCCGATCAAGCATGCGCTCGTAGTCCTAGACAAGGAGACTAAGCAGTCCAAAGGCTATGGCTTCATCACATTTGCCGATGCTGAGGATGCGCAAAGAGCGAAGGAGGAATTGGACGGCTCCGAATTGAAAGGGAAAAGAATAAAGATAGAAGTAGCAGAGCCTCGTCACCGCAATGTGGACACAGACGTACCCGGCGCGATAGCACCCTCTGCGGCCACGAGAGCGAAGCTCGACCGCGAGCAGCAGATCAAGGACAGCCAGACGCCAAAGCTTATCATACGTAATCTGCCTTGGAGTATAAAGACGCCGGGAGACCTTGAGAAGCTGTTCTTGAGTTACGGGAAGGTGCATTTTGCGAAGCTGCCGAAGAAGCCTTCGGGGGAGCTGCGGGGCTTCGGTTTTGTGGCGCTACGAGGGCGGAAGAACGCAGAGAAGGCCATGGAGGGGCTCAATGGGAAGAAGATAGACGGCAGGCCAATCGCAGTGGATTGGGCTGTTGACAAGGACACATGGTCGGATTTGCAGAAGACTGGTCAGCCGGACGAGAAAGAGGACGATGACGGGTCCGAGGAAACGACATCTACTAAGGCTTTCAGCTCAGAGGATGAGGATGCCTGCAGTGACGAGGAAGACGAAGAAGGTAGCAATACCGATTACGAGGACGTGTCGGACAGCGACGAAGAAGGCGGAGTCGAGGTCGAAGACGAAAAGCCAAGACGACCTGACTTCACAGTCTTCATTCGAAATCTGCCCTTTACCGTGGACGATGACGATCTATTCGAGCACTTCAAACAATTCGGGCCTATTCGCTTTGCCCGCGTCGTCCTCGACCGTGACACAGAAAGGCCTAAAGGCACGGGCTTCGTCTGCTTCTTCAAGGAAGAAGACATGATCAGCTGCCTAAAAGGCGTCCCTCGAACGAAATTACAAAAGACAACCTCCGACCGCAACGATGGCACATCCATTATCATCACGCACTCCGTCCTGGAAAACGAAGACGCCGACCCATCGGGCAAGTACACCATGGACGGCCGTGTACTCCACATATCTCGCGCTGTCGATAAGAACGAAGCGACCCGTCTCACGACTGAAAGCGCGGCATCGCGCTTCGCCCGCGACAAAGATAAGCGCCGCCTGTACCTCCTTTCCGAAGGCACTCTCGACTCCAAGTCGCCTCTGTACGCCAAGCTCTCGCCTTCAGAAATCAAGATGCGGGAAGAAAGCGCCAACCAGCGACGCCGCCAGATTCAAGAAAACCCCTCCTTGCATCTCAGCCTCACAAGGCTATCAGTCCGCAACATCCCCCGCAGTATCACCAGCAAGGCGCTCAAAGAGCTCGCGAGGAAGGCAGTCGTCGGATTTGCGCAGGACGTCAAAGCTGGTAAGCGCCATAGGCTTTCGAAAGAAGAACTCTCGCGCGGCGGGGAAGCTATGATCATCGCGGAAAAGCAGCGCAAGCGCAGGGGCAAAGGCATCGTCAAGCAAGCAAAAGTCGTCTTCGAAACTACAGCCGGTAGCAAGACCAACGAGGACTCTGGGGCGGGGAGGAGCCGTGGCTACGGCTTCATAGAATACTACACGCACCGCAGCGCTCTCATGGGCCTCCGCTGGCTCAATGGCCACGCCGTAGACTACCGCGTGAAAGCAGAGCAGCGCAAGGGCAAGCAGGCTACGAAGGAAGCGCTGCAAGACAGGAAGAAGCGGCTCATTGTCGAATTCGCAATCGAGAACGCGAATGTGGTGGCACGGCGCTCGGACCGTGAGACAAAAGCTCGGGACCCCCCGAAAGGTAGTACTGACAACCGTGATGAGCATGCAGATGCTCCCGCCGAGGGTAGCACGCGTGACTCGGGCGGCGACAAGACACGGGGCAAGAAGCGGAAGCGGGATCCACTCGGGGATGCGGCAGCTTCTGCTTCAGGGAAGCCGGCGCTGCATAGGCGAAGAAAGGGACAGGCCTCAGGCACGGAAGGGGATGCGCACCCCGGTAAAAAGCAGACTGGGGACGCCAAGTCGAAGCTGGAGATGCAGATTATTCAGAAGAAGAGGATCGCAAAACGAGTAGGGAGGAAGGGTGGCAAAGCGTGATGGGGTGTTTGGTTGTGAACCGGTCTCGTCTGGGAACATACATACGCACGGCATACTTGGCCGAAATCGAGCAATATCTCAAACCACACATCTCTCATCTCTTTCTTTCCAAGTCATGCACTGCACGTATTGCGCCATTCTCACGTCTCGTCCGAGCATTTTCATCTCCTCGTCGAAAAAGTGAGAAAATGACGTGAAGGCCGAGCTAAACCACGTAACCCCCTATGTGGCGCCCTTCTCTTCGGACAGATCGACTCCTGTATGGCCCGGGTAACGTTACCACCGTCACTTCCGCAGATCCGCAGCACAACCCCCGTTCCCTTTTTCTCCTCGCTCTTGCTGGCTTTGTACGACACCCGTATGCGAATCCGTGAGCATGCACACGCCCACGCGGGATGCCGCATCGCAGCGGACCCAGATGCTGCAGTCTCGTCTTGAAGGGGAGCTTGGGAGTCGAAGCTGGTGCTTCGTGCTTGGCATTCCGATTCCCCGTCTTGAGTCTGGAGGTGGGGGTGATTGTGGCGACGTAATGGGGAGATGCGGGTGATACGTGGGCGAGTAAGGTCACGGGCTCCGGCCCCATGTATTCGAAGATTGAGCAAGATGGAATATGGCAAGATATTGAGATGTTAAAAATCGAAGCTGATGGAAGAAAACCGATACGCATATGAGGCTAGCATGGCTGAGAAACAAGACAGTTCGCGGCAGCTATGTTGAGGTTCCAGGGCGTTGCGAGCAAGTCGATGCGGCTCTGCAGGATTCGAGGTCAACTAGCCAAGGCGCCGAGAGAATTTTGACAGGCAGGATGGAGGGTGACACAGAATGCAAGAAGCTATCTGTATCACTCGGAGGAACTGCGAAAGACTCGAGAGCGCGGGGAGACAGGGTCCACCATGTGAGGCGATGCGCGCGGCGGGTAGGACCGAGCATAGCACGGGCTGCTGAACGGGGTGCTACACCGGAAGGGTGGAAGAGGGCGAGAAGCCGCAGTACGGCGGACCATGGTTGCACTAGAGGATTCGAACGTGTGCGTAGTACTACCAAGAGCGTTACTGCTCGGTAAACGGGCAAGATGAATGGCCAACGGCGAGAGGCATAAGCTGCTGCGTTGCGTTACACCGATGGGTCCGTTGTCATATCATCTCGTCGCTTATTGAGACCACCCACTAAGAAAGTTGAACCAGTGGTGGAGGATCTGAGGCGGCTGATAAGGAGCGAGCCATTCGCTGTTCATAGAAGAAGATGCTATGGGCAGCAATAGGCTATTGCCGAGCTAGCCTTGGGACGTACCGAATGTCGGCTCAACATGTACTGTGCACCTACAGTTGTATCCCAATCACGTGAGAGTGTGACTTTGAGCTTGCCATAGCTGGTAAGTCGCGCGGAAAAGGAATGCATTCCGACCACAAGAAGTCGCGAGGCGACCTGCGAGAAAGCGGAAGCGGAATCGGAGGGCTAGCGAGGGCAAGCGGCGCAAACGTGGAGGGTTGACATGTGGTTGACGGGTAGCGGCTACATGCATATTCTGACTAGGAGCCACATGGAGAAAATCTGCATATGCGTGGTGAGAAAGACGCATGATGCAGGGATAACGCACTGCTGTAGGGCGGCAGCTAGAGGAAACCCCCAAAAAGTGACAAATCGAAGCTGATTGACTGCCCAACCAAGGCCGGATTGGGATGGCAACGTCGTAGTCGGACGACCGTAACGCATCACTGACGCACGGCCTGCATGTAGGTGATGATGGCCCGACTTTGGTCGTAGGCGCACAAGCCGGGCATCGAAAACGGCCTTTGCTCCCAACCACTTTAGACCATCAAGTTCCGGGGAGAGACAGCCGAATTCCCGGCTTGCGGACCGCGACCGGCAGAAAGATCGGTGGGTGCCTCCGATGTGTAGTTTCCGATTCTGTGAGTAGATCTGGCCTGGATGCTCGATCAACGGGTTGCCAAATGCCTATCCTATTATTGGTCTGAAAAAATGCAGGCAGAGATTTCCCTATCAACTGTGAGCTCATGCATAGAGACTAGGCTTCAAGGATTTACGAGAGTTCACAACATACCAATATGTGCTCTGCGCTTCCACGCCCAGCATCGACCACGCCATGATGCTTGCAGCGCAAAGGCGCCAAGTGCAGCGGAGATCCTTCCCACCTGGTCAGAAGGAAGTAAGGACAAAGAAAATACTAATCAACGGGGAAGCTACATCCGCGGAGGAGTTTGTAATACAGGTGGGTGAAGGTATGGGGGATCGTGGTACGACCCCTTCTTCAAGACGCAGATGCTGCAGGAGACCAGAACGAGAATATACAGTGGTTCGCGGAGATCATAGGCTATCGCAGAAGGGAGGATATTCGGCAAAACGGCCAGACGCTGTGGCACGGTGGTGTTGGGTGTATAAAGACGTCTGGGGCTTCACGGAAGCGCAATCCCCAGATTTCTCCAGCCAACCTTCTCCACATTCTGCGCAGCTTTGGTCTCGTACGCACAGTCTGGCACGCACTACGGATCGGGCTGGTGACGATCGAAGGTCGCAAAGAGCCGAAGGAAAGGACATCCCCCGCGCACACGAACATCGACGTGGGTACCAACGCCAACGCCACTGCGTAAGTATCTCTAGAAACCACCACTCTGCGGAGAGAGAGGCTTACTGTCCCGCCAGTTCCGCGTCATTCATCCAGATGTGTTATTATGAGATGATCCGTTTCATCCCCTGCGGCCATGATCGAACACGCCTCATTCAATACTGCCACTTCGCACGAAACGACCCGCGTCACCAGTGCTTTGGTGCGTGGAACATCAGGCGCGAATGGGAGCAGCACGAGACCGAATGTGACGACTGCATCAAACGGAAGCGACCGAGGAGTGCGAGCGGACTTGGTGGTGTCGAGTCTGAATATAGAGTCGCCCACGGGAGATAGTGCTTCCCTATGGTGTCGGTCGACTCCACCGAGCGGCTGAATGTTCGACGGGGCGATGGGATTCGCTATAACTGTGCGATCGCCAATTGGTAGTTGAAGGGAGATGGGTTCGGTGAGGGTGTGCCCGTGGAAGAGTAGGTGTCTGTCGTTGGCATGATAGGACATTTCGCGTCATCCGCACGAGGAACTGGTTGGTTTGTGTTTTCGTTATGCGAGCGACGGCCTGTAGTTAGCGATACCACGTTTCCTTTCTGGGATCGAGGGCATGAGTGGGCAATGACCTAGGCGTGTGGTTTCCCGCTTTTTTGTTAGTTTGTATAGTATTAGACCGAATATCCGGTATAGCCATTAGACAGTTGCTCTCGGTGTGCCACCACCTTTGAGGACTTCACACCTTCGGATGCGTCGCGCAACATCAGAGTCATCGATCCCTCTCTTAGACTTGACTCTTGTAGACTGGACTTGGTGCTTCAACTTGAATCGCCGCTCTTTGTAAGTATTAAGGCTGGTGACTAATGCGACCGCATCGGCTACGCATTTGTACGATGATAGTCGGTATCGCAGGCTGCAGACTTCAAGGTTCTAGAGCAAATTCCGCGGTACACCAAGTTATCATTGTTGGCGCGCCATGATGGGTGGGCCAGAGCAAAGGCCAAGCTCTTACATCGATCCGGTGGGTCTTCGCGATACACGTATCGAAACTGGGCTAATGAACTCGACAGCATGATGCAAGGTCTGAATACCTCTGCCTTTGCGTCCTTGATGGTTGAAAGGTCGGTGAATTGCGTCCGCGGGTAGAGCCGTCATTCCGCCCCTCACCCGTACTATATGCTGCCGGGCCGGCTTCGTGAGCGCGGGCTCACAGAGACGCATTGCCCTCGGACTGCAGTCGCCCTACAATACTGTATCGCTTAGAAAAGAAAGTGTGCCAGTCGTCCAGAACTTGCTTCTCCTTGTCGGAGAGGCCCGAATAGTCCGAGATGCAGTCTTCTTGCTTCAGCGAGGAGAGCCCGAGGGCGCGGTTGGGTTCTTTGCCGGCAAATACTGGGGGAGGGTCTCGAATTAGCCCGGTACGGTGTTACGTGATGCTGCAGCTAGAGCACGAACCGTGATACTGCTTGCCCGGTGTGTAAGTGTCTTTCCCGCTCACGTCGAAGACATCGCCCTGGGAATATGATGAGCATTAGAACAATGCTGCCTGGGCCTCGAGCGCACTTTGATTGCCACTAACGTGGGAAAGCCTTCGTTGGTACCTGTGCATCTACCTGTGAGCTTGATGCATTGCATGGACATGCTGGAGGGGCTCACCGTCGCATTGGGACAGGTAATCGCGTGTAATCACATCGTCTTTCGCAGGAGCTAATTCGACGGGCTGCTTTGGTGCAAATCTCTCCTTCTGCTGGCCTGCAGCGTCGGACATGGTGGAGCTGGTGTGGGTGACGAGCGATGAGCGATGCAGGACGGCTGGGGACGTTGGACAAGAGCCGGGAAGGCACGACTAGCGCCTCGGAAGGTGGGGGTGACGCCACAAGAGAGCGCCGCAGCTAAGCCACACTTCGACGACGTTTCGGGTCGACACTCCACGCCTCCATCATTACAGCATCGGATCCTATCCTTGTCGACAGACTACCACCGCATATCAAGGTATCAAGGCTCGCCAAATTGCACCACATTCAGTCCATGCACAGGTCGCCCAGGCTCCGCACAGTGTAGATGTAGACCCACGTCCGACGGAGCAGTACCCTCCTGCAGATTCCCATTGCATCCGCGTCAGGAAGAGCTCCGTTCTATGAGAAGTGCACGTAACTCCAAAAGCCTCAATCTAGATGGACTGGCCTTCGCTTTACCACTCCTCCGGGAGCACCACTGCTCCGCCCAGATACTGAAGGATTGACGCATCGTTGAACGGATCCTTACTAGCCACACAGGCGGCCGCGATGGGCACGCGGTACTACTCGGCCGTCTCGACTGGCTGATGAACCATGAGCCGTACTAGCGCATGAACCACCTCAGCAGCGGCGAGCACCGTCGTCTCTCCAGGATTGTCATATATGGGAGCTACCTCCACTGCCACGAACCAATCAGTACAACGATTCTCGCCCATGTCAGATCGTGCTAGGAGTGCTCACCCACGTCAGCACCGACCACCTGAAGCCCAGAAAGTCCGTCGAGGATTGACAGCAGCTCCCGAGTCGTCCATCCACCAACCTCCGCTGTTCCCGTTGCGGGAGCAAATGCAGGGTCAAGCACGTCGATATCTACGCTGATGTAGACCTTGGAGTCTGCGACTCTCCGCTTCAGTCTCTCGATGACACCAGACGCGCCGATGCGGTCTATGTCTCTGGCTTTGACCATCTCGAACCCGCACCGAACATCATTCTTGAGGTCCCCCTTCGGACGCACCATCGGCGCTCGGATGCCGGCGTGGATTGAATTGTTTCGAATCAAACCTTCCTCGTGTGCGATGTGTAGAAATGTGCCATGGTTTAGCCCACTGCAACTATCAGCAAGCCACGGATACACGTCAGGCAGCACTTACGCATAGTGCGAGATGCCGCCACCTGCTCGGGTCAGCTAGTCGATTACACGAAGGCGGGCCAGCCTACCAAGCACTTTCGGGTCCCACGTATCTACGAAGGGCTCCATTAGCCAGCAAGACGTTGCGAGCATCGATATGCTCACCTATGTGGCTATCGAAGTGTATGACACTGACTTCGCCCCAGCGCCGGTATGTCGAACGCAGAGCGGACAGCGTCGTGGTGTGGTCGCCACCTAGCGTGATAATTCTGGGCGTTCTATACTTGCTTGAATTGGCAACTCGTCCGGATACAATCTGCACTAGGATTGTCAACCACCCAATGGTTCTTCAGGCTTTCATATGACCCTACCCACCTTATGGGAGGCGTCAAGTTGCTTTAGGGCAACCGTGTTGTCCTTCAACACCATAGTCAGCGGGCCTGAGAGTTCGCTTTCGATTACATGAGCCGCACCAAAAACGTCAAAGGAGCATCTCCACAGTCAACGACTTTAGCCCAATCGAGGAACACATTTTCGCCTAGACAGATTGCAGTTGAAGTCAGCAGAGCGTCAACACGAGTTGATGCAGGTGTAACAACGGGAACTTAAAGTCGCCTTCATTGGTTGCATAGCATGCACATATGCGCTCCAGGTGCGACCGACAGGCGAGGCTCGTGCTCGTTCGTATGGAAGAACGAGGTCGTGACACGTATCTCAGACCCGGAACGAGGACAATTCACGCTCGCTTATTGGGGCTGGGATGCGCGGGCGTCGTCGCCGGTGGGCCGTTCTATAAATATCGGCGTATCCCTGTGGACGTAGAATAGGACAATGGCTTACCCGTGTAGATATCCCAAGCCGCCTCCGGCGCGATTCTTCGTGAACCCGCGCGGATTCCTCCCGGCCCGAACCGGGCACCGGGCCGGGCTGTTACGGCCTGTCGAAATGTCAGCACCTGAGAACCAATGCCATGCATTCTAATGGATCACGTCCGATGTCGGACTACGATGGGAGTTTGGCGAAGAGGCTGTCGAGAACATGCCGAAGCGGGCGAGATCGCATTTCACGGCCTCAGCGGCAGAACACAGGCCCGGAAGTCGCGTCCTTACAGCAAATGCTGTGGCATTATCGAAATCCTGGGAAAGGTGCTGCTGCTGTTTGGCTGCGCCTACCGGTAGCGCGACATCATTTCAAGTTTCGGAATGTGGAGCTCTGAGTCATGGAGGTACCTATGTACGTACGACACTCTGATGGCGAAGCGGAGTAGTACACGGTCGGACTACGACGAGTGCATCCTGCCTGCTTGGGATTCCATGGTATCGCTTGTCATGTTCCAGTCCTCATCGAGACCAACTCTTGTCACTTCGACATCATGAAGATGCGCCAGATTGCACTCGTACTACGCGTCGTGAATGCTACACCGCAGCGGGGATCTACTTACGGTGTCGAACGGCGCTCCCAGAATAGCGATGTCGTACTTCTCTACGTCTTCCTCTTCCCCGGCCAAGCAATGCACATGGGGCAAATTCGCATAGGTCGTCAATCCGGCAAAGGCTGATCCTGTTGTGATATCGATGCCGGCTTGACCGAAGACGGCTTGGTCCGAGGCGAAGCCAGACGTTGGGGGAAACGTGATTTCGCGTGCTGTGGTCATTGCGAGGACCATGGATAATGCCGACACGAAACGATTGGGCGCCATTTCGAAAGCAGGGAAAGGAAAGGGACTGAAGAAGATTCGGCGCATGCAGGTGCGTGATGGAGACTTTATTATTGCTCTTGCAAAGATATCGGGGGTTATTCATCGCTTGTTGTCAACGACCACCTCGGGATAGCGTCCACGCTAGTGGCAGGAACGGAAGGTCTAGGCGAGTTGTACCCCACAGCGACACTCATCAGATCTCGGCCTCCGCTAATGCTTTTACGTTCTCAACTTCGCGCCTTTTGATCACAAAGATTCCATCCTCAGAGCGCTGCCTATGGCCAAGGCAACAAAATCTAGTGGAGTCCTAGCATTGCGCGGCAATCGTCATCGATTGGCGGTTAGAGCATCATCCGTAGTCTCGCTTTCGATCTTCACCTTCCCGCCGGTACCGGGGTCTTAAATACTAACCTTCTACAAGGCTATGAGTTGAAGGTCGCCCTGCTTTTCCCGATCGATATTTCATATTAAGCGATATGCGAAGGACTGAGCCCAGCGAAGCCGAGGACCCAGAGTTGGATTTCTAGTTCAGCGCCTCGACTGCCTCTCCATCGCCGTGGCCTCCTTTCTTTTCGACAGATGCCTCAAGGAGCACAAACGATGCCGCTGTATCTAATCTTCCGTCTCTCTACCTCCGAGCCGACTAATTGATACTGGTACTGAAAATGCATCGACGTTTTGCGTCGTCTATGCTCGGTCTCCACTCACGGGTCCGGATTCCTTGCATGATGCGGCAGCTCGCTTGATTGGTATATTTTCCATACTGCAAGCATTCCCATCGTGTCACGCAAGAGACTCCAGTCAGGGGTATCACGGCTTGGGTATGTGCACCAGAGATACATATACTCGTGATTCATTCATGATTTGCCTAGGGTATAACGAAGATCTCGCCTGAGACATTGTTCTCAACGAGCAGAAGGAAGCCTACACATCACGCATAGGCTAAACCCCCGCCATACGGAAACAGAGACATACAATGATAAGGAAAGAAAGAGACAGGAGAGCCATAGATATCCAGAGCCACTGCCGCCACAACAAGCCTTAAGATCCAGCCGACTGGGCAGCTTGCCAATGGGAGTTAATGAACTTGATTCCCTCCGCGATAAACGGGTTCCAGTCCTCATGCAGGGGATAATCGAATCCGTGTCCCACCTTCTTCTTCAACTCCGGCTTCCCGTCTTTATCCTTGGCCCTGATCTCCGTAACTGTCTTCAGCACGATCTTGGGATCCTTCGCGTTCTTGATATAGTGCTTCGGGAACAGCTCGCAGCACAGGTCGACGAGTGCTTGGCTGTTCTTCTCAATCGGGCAGTTGGGGTCGTCGTGGCCGTGGTAGAGGAACATGGGCGGAAAGTTCTTCGGCGGGTCCTTTTTCTCCTTCAGCATGTTGATGATATCTGGCGTCTGTGTGCCGCCGCGTTGGAGGCACTCTCGCCAGGCAGGCGGAGACGTCGACGTGGTGAACGCGGCAAGCATCCCATTGGGGGGAGCGCGTCCTGTGCAAGTCGGGAGCTGTCCGACGGCTTCAAGTTTTTGGACTGCGTCCATGAGTTCCTTCGCTCGCTTGTTGACCTCTTCTTTCTTAACTGGATGACCCATGTAGACCAGTTCGTCGGGAGCCAATTTCAACACTTCGCCCACCTGACTCGCACGATAACTTTCCTCGTCGAACCCCGGGGCGTCGCACGGGAAGACCCGCTCATAGTAGGCAAGCATGCCGTACTGGAGGTACAGCGCGAGAATCGAGAGCTTGTCACTATGCCTGAGCCAGGACGCCACCGCGCAATACACGCCCGCGCTCTCACCCGAGATGAGCGACTGCTCTCTGTCCAGTTCAACCTTCCCAACTTCCTGGAAGAATTCCGTCAGATAGGGGCAGTTCAGGTAGAAGTCCCAGAACTGGTCGATGTCTTGCAGGATGGCGGCGCCGTTGGCTTCGGGCATGAGGCGGTAGTTAGGGCAGAGGAGGATGATGTTGTTGGCGCGCGCGTGCCGCAGGATGTGCTCGGCGAACCAGGGCTCGAAGAGGCAGTCGCCGGTCGTCTAGACGGTACAGTTAGCGGAGGGATGGATGAAGGGGATAATGAACGGATGACGCACGCAACCTCCACCGTGGAACTTTACGTGCGAGCCAATTCGCCTCGTCCGATCGAGATTGTGGGGTATAAGGATACCCAGCTCCAGAACCTGCTTATCCCAAGTATCCGTATATGCGAAGGGGATCCTGTACGCAGTAAACCCCTGTTGGTGGAACCAGCTCTTGCCCTGCTCCTGGAGCCAGAAACCCTTCCAGATTGCATTCTTCGAGAACCGTCCGTATACGCCTTTCGGACGGCCCGAGAGTTCGTAGAAGTGCTCCTCCTTGTTGAGCTCCTTGCCCAGCCAGTTGATCTTTGGGGAGAGGTCCTCCTCCCAGCGGTGTTGGCGGATTGGGTTGGCTTTCTCCCAGATCTTCACAAGCGCCGCTTTGTCCCAGTCCCAACTCTTTTTGGGTTTGCTTTTGTCGAAGGCCTCGTTGAGCGCTTTCAGCTCGGCAGCGAGTTTCTGGATCTGATTTGGAGATAGCGAGCTCATTGCTTTGGTTTGGCAGTCGGGCTAGGAGAAATGCAGTTGGAGGTTTCGCATTTGGATAATAATAATAATAATAATAGGGCTTTTGCAGAAGAATTGGTTCTCGACGTTCTGTGAGGGGAGGATGATAAAAGGAGGACGCTTTCTCGACGAGGAGGTGCATTTTGTACCTCTGCAAGAGTCATTGAGTACATGCATGGCTCATGGCGTCCGCGACCTGCGTCAGACAGACTCCAACACGCGGCTCGGGCCGTGCGAGGGTTGGGCCTCGAGGACCCAACTGCGCGAACTATGACGGCCTGGCCTAAGAGTCAGCGGCGGGTAAGGTCAGTGCGTGCGCGGCAGAGCACACGCCTCCATTGCAGCAACGAACCCACCATCGTGAGTCTTAACTTTAGAGTCAGTGATCGAACGATCGGAGACTCAGAGTCGTGGGATCTCGTCACGATGGGAAAATGAGGCCATATTCGCGGGGATGCATGCTCTTCATCTGGTCTAGGACTAATCAGCTCCGTCGGGGTACTCTTCTGGGTATCTACAGCTCTACATGAATGAGGCAAGCTTCCGCCGGCGCACACGACCTGCCAGCCGTATGCGGTTCCTTTCTAAACTTCTGCATGCGCGTACCTAGCTCTTGCGGTAGGCAATTCTCCAGATCTAAGGGCTCGCCGTACAAGTAAGCAAAATTGGTTCGTCCATTGTACGCACTCGCGAAGGCCTCCAGGGTAGCTGTTGCGCACATCGGGTATGCGGTAGAGTAGAGCATATCATTACTTAGCGCTTAAGAGGTAGATTTAAGCCATAGTACCTTAGATGCGTAATTATTCTCGCCTTATAGTGGTTGTATGTTGGTTTAAGTAGCTGTTTGTATTACTCACACACTAATGCATACAAACAGACCACAACATCCCAAAAACCTGGCACCACCGCCAGCTCAGCATAGTGCAAAGAAAGACAATACCAGTATCCGCTCCACTGGCTTTTAGCCCAAGGGAACTCAGTCCCTCTTTCATACCTCGGTAATCTTAGCTAGCATTTCCTTCAGCCAAGGCTCCTTGTTCTCATCGAGATCGTAGTCGAAAGCATGACCCGGCTCACGCGGCTCGCCGTTCGCATCGTAATGGCCCACGAGCTTCTCAATCCATTTGAAATGGACTTTACCCTCGACCGCCGAGCCGTGCAAGCGCTCCCACTGTTCGACGAACCTCTTGGAGACGTCCAGGGGCACATTCGGATCCTGCTTCGTATGGTAGATGAAGACTTCCGGGTGGCGGACCTGCTCAGTGGAGCCACCTTTCAATAAATGGCGAAAGCCCTTGCGGGCTTGGAGCAGAGCACGGAACGCTGTTTGCCTCACTCTTTCATTTTATAAGCATCAACGCGAACTTCATCTCTAAGCCAAATCCAGACACATTCACAGTTTTCGACGCGCGAGGTGTGGGACTCAATGATAGATTGCTATCTTCCGAGGTCCGGGGCACATGCCGTGCAAAAGAAGAGTCCTTCCAGTCTTCTGTGAGAGCAACATGTGGAACCAGATAGGCTCCAGTGACTCCTCCTGGAGTAATGAAAGTATTTCCCCAGGGGAGAATAAGACAGTCGCATTGGAAAAGAGAGTGGTAGTTCCCCGCCCTAGACGGGGAAATCCGACAGAGAGAGAGAGAGAGCGAGCTCCGGGCCGTCAGGTAGTGATGCCCTTCAGAAGCTTGTTCATTGCCGTCGTCATTCTGTCGATGAAGTCCACCTTTCCTAGCTCGAGCCCATAATCGAAGGCATGGGCTACCTCCTCACTATATCCATCCGTGCCCTTCTCTCCAAGCTTTGCCACACGTTCGTAGTCGATTTTGATATCCTCTTTCCAGATTTTCGACATGGCGGTCAGAGTGTCCACAAAAGCGTCCGTATCCGCAATGGGAACGTTCGTGTCTTTGGTCCCGTGGATGATGTAAATGGGAGGGAATTGCGCCGGCTTAGCTTCTATTTTGCGCATGTGCTCCAGGCGCTCAGGCGTATCCATGATGCCTTTGCCGTCCTGGAAGACCGACTTCCACAGTTGCAGGAGGGAGAGACCCATTGCGGCGGCCATGCCAGACGGAGGCGTTGCGTCGCTGCGTGAGGCATTCCGCCCTGCCTTTCTCATCTCGTCCGACTTCTTGATCATGGCGTCGACCAGAGGTCTGAGCCGTTCCTCAGTGATGGTGTGTTCCATGTAAGTCGCACCTCCTGCCGGCATATCCCGCCTATAGTGATTGAGCATGGGATACTGGAGGTAGATCGCAGTGATAGACAGTTTGGCGCTTTGGGTGAGCCATGTGTAAACAGCGAGCAGTCCGCCGGCGCTCTCACCAGAGATGATCAGGTTTTGCAAAACCACGAGGGCCGCGCCCAAACGAACACCCTCGAGGCAGCTTTTGACCCACTTCATGAAGAGATCGTTTAGGTAGAAGTCCCACCAGTCGTCGATGTCGTCGAGGATGTCTTGGCCACGGTCCTCTGGCATGAGGCGGTGCAGGGGGAACAAGATGATCGTGTTGCTATCGATGGCCCACTTGCGCTTGTAGTCCGGGAACCAGGGGGCAAACAAGTTACCAGTAGTCTGTGAGGATGTGAGTGTGTGGCTACAGTCAACGAGAAGAGGAGCACTTACGAGACCGCCTCCATGAAGAATAGTGTGGAAGTGAACCATCTTACTGGCGTCTAGTTTTGTGGGGACGAGCATCTTGACCTTGAGCTGATGGCGATCCCACTTGTCCGCTTCGCCATAGACGGTCTCAAACTCATAGAAACCCGCGAACCAGTTGTCGACATTGCGTTTGTTGTGGAGGGATTTCTTGTCCAGGAAGTGCGCCTCTCGGAGAAAGTTGAGGTATGGCTCGAATTCGTCCGTGCAGGCTTTGATGGCATCCTCGAGCTTGTTGAGCGCTTCCTTCGTCATGTCCTTGCGCAGCGAGTATTTGCGCTTGCTCGGATCTTGAACCATTGTGGCTGTTGTTCAATGGGGTAGATGTTGAAAGATAGAAATATGAGTTGTGGGAACAAGAATAGTGGGGATAAGAATAAAACAGTCCAGATAAGTATACTTTTCAAAGAAAGATGGAGGCTTCTCAACGAACGCGACCCTTCTCTTCTTTATATCTCCACTAGACTCATACGCTCGCCGAGTCACCACCCAGCGAGCCGTCCTCCCATGGCAATCGGTCATACCAAGAAAGCCCAGAGCCATGAAAGCACAGATGATATTGGGCATTACTGGGACTCATACTCTCATCACCAACGAGTCACCACCCAGCGGGCCGTCCTCCCATGGCAATTGCTCATACCAAGAAGGCCTAAAGCAATGTAAGCACAGATGATATTGGGCGTTCTTGGGACTCACCTGCCCACCGAGTCACCGTCAGTGAGTCGACTTCTCTTAGACGACTATGCGTATCTGATCGGGGCCGGAGGAACCACAGCGATGATGACAGCAACCCGTGGCAACCGCTCATCCAAAAAAAATCCAAGGACCATAAATGCACAGATAACATTAGCTATTACTCGAACTCACTCTCACCAATTCACCATCCAGTGCATCGACTTCCCCTCATCGTCTACGAGCACCTCGTCGGTTGGGGCCAGAGGAACCACAGCACGGCAACGATGACGGCAACCCATAGCAATTGCTCATACCGTGAAAGCCTAGCGCGATAAAAGCACAGATGAAGTTGGGCGTCACTAGGACTCATAAGCGCTTGGAAGGTCGCACGCACCGTCGGTGCATCGCAGCGCACCCACCATGAGCGCATCCGACAGCGGACATAGCGCGCGCAGCCGCGCACCACAGTCATGGCTGCATGGACCAGGCGGGATCAGCCGCCCCGCATAAAACGTAAAACGCACGACGAGCGATGAGTGTAGAGTTTCAGAATGAGTTGCGCTGCTATGGCGCGATGGGTATGACTAAAAGGGATGTTGTTTTGACGTGGGATAGAGAGAGGAGAGGGGTAAGATAAAGCGGATGTTACTTGGACTTGGACTTGCTAAACCGTGTGAGACTCGCGAAACATGTACAGTATTCCACCATATAAGCCCATTCATTATCAATCGCAATGTGAAAGCCGACTCCTACGGCATGCCGCCGACCACGATCCTCCTTCCGTCCTCCAGGCAGTGGCAGGGGCAGTGCGAAACAGGACAGGTGTGGCAGCATCAAGCGGATGATAAGGAGAAAATAGGGGTAGATTACTATATCACAGAAGTGTTCGATGGAGCGTCGCTAGATATCGCTTAGCGGGGAGTGAGGCCGGACTTGGGGCCGCTGCCGGGACTCTTCTTCGCAGACTGAGGCTTGTTAGCACCACCGCCGTTAGCCTTCTCCGACTTCGACCATACTTTTGCATTGAATCGATCCTCGATCTTCTTGATTGCCGCAGCCAGCTTCGCATGCTTCGTCAAGAACTCGTCGAACTGCTCGGCGTGCGGAAGGGTACCGCGCTGGCGTTGGTTGGCGATGTTGTTGACGAGGCAGTCAAAGATCGGATCGTTCTCTGGGTATGCATGCTCATCGATCAGAGCCATCAGCTCCTGTGACGGCATGTGATCGCGGATTTTGTCGCAGTACTGGCGCGTGAAGTGACCGACGTAGATATTGTTTAAGCCCATTACACGGGCCGCCTGGGTGATGCGGAGGTTCTTCAGGTCTTCATGCTCCGGCGCAAGGTGGACGCTGAAGACCCGGCCGCAGTGCGTATGCATAAGCATCCAATCGATATGCTGCTTGGCAGAATCTGCATCCATAGAGCCCGCGGGGAAGCGCATGCTCATCGCATTCGGATTCTCGGTGAAGAACTGGAATGCTTTCTCTGAGCACTGCATCAGCATGTACTTCGGCATGATGCCCAAGGTCTCATTGCCGAGGAGGACGGAGACGGTTGGTCCAGCGCCGAAAAGCTCACGCTCCTCACGCGACATCTTCCGGATATCTTTGTTTGGGTTGATCGAGGGAACTGCATCGGACTTCGTGGTACGCTTCGGCGTGAACCACTTGCCAACAGGTTTGGCCGCGGCCTTGGGATCCGGCTTCTTTCCATACTTGGTCATATCAAGACCCATTCTCAGCTTTGGGGCCGGCGGAACCGGTGCGGCCTTCTTGATTGTCTCGGGTGTCACGAAGACCGGGTCACCATCGCGGGGGGTGGGAAAAGAGCCGGGAGTAGAGGGGATCAGGGAAGGAAACGGCTCTGGAGTCGGCTTCTCGAGGGAGCCAGCAATAGGAGCCTCGGGCGTAGACTTCGGTGTTACCATCTCAGGAGTGACGGTAGCGGGAGTCTCCGTGGCGGCCTTCGGCGGGGTGGCCGGGGTTGGGACGTCGTCTGAAATAGCCTCAGAGCTGGTCGACTGTGGCTCCGTATGCTCCGTGTTTGGAATTGACGGCTGCTCAACCTCATGTGTGTCCTCTGACTTCTGAACTTCATGTTTGTCCTCTGTCTTCTCAACTTCACGGGTGTCCTCCGTCTTCTCGGCCATGTTTGCCTCCAGCTCTCGAACACGAACGCTTTTCTCTTCCAGCTCAGTCTCGAGCTGGTTGATGCGACGATCCTTCTCGTCGACCTCAGCCACCAGCTCCTGCATGTACAGCTGGTTCTTGTGGCCATGGGTCTTTGTCTCGTCCAGGAGCTTGTCCTTCTCCTCAACGACACCCTCCAAGTCTTCGATGCGATGGATTTTCGCCTCCACAATGTCTTCGAGTTCTTGAATACGCCCAGTCTTCTGTGTCATCTCACCCTCCAGCTCTTGGATGCGGATGTCTTTCTGGTCGGGCTGACCGAACTCGGACAACATGTCCTCGTCCTCGTCATCCGCCCAGTCGAACACGGGCTTGTGCGGAATGCGAGCGGCATTAGGCGGCATTGGGTTGCTGTTCGCATTGGTGGGGCTAGCAACATCCGAGGCCTTGTCCGAGGTACGCTTAAAGACGTTCATTGGGGTATCCTGCTTCGGCGATGGCGGGGAAATAGGGTCGGCGGGGTGATGGTCGACGGCCGGTCCATCCTCCACCTTCTTGCGCTTCTCGGCCCAAAAGTTGGCGGATTCCGCCGCCTTATTAGCCGGTGTCGCAGACATGGTCGTGTGCGAACTAGCCGAGCTGGATCCGCTTCGCGAGCTCGAACTCGGTGATGTTGAAGCAGATTCCCGTCGGGACGGTTGCGCCTGGTCCGCCGGTCGCGGCGAGAGTTTGCTGTCCGAGAACGCAGACGAGCTGTGCCTGTTCTCTCGAGCGGACGTTTTGGGGATGGTGTTGGATTGAGCCCCGTGTGAGGATGGGAGGACAAAATGAGCGGAGAGGCGAGGATGTTTAAATACTGGTGCGCGTGTCATGGCGGGGTGAAGGCCGCACCGAGCGGTATCTTCACTACCTGTGTGCGAAATACGGGCTGCAAGCGAAGGGGCGGGTCAAGATATGAAGTGAAGGCGGCGAGGCTGTTGGATGAAGAGAGAAGGCGCGGGCCTCTGCGCTGATAGTGTGTCGAGTGAAAGCGGGTTGATGGTCTGGAGCGCGAGAGTAGACTCCGCGGAGCAATATTCTGTGTGTGAATGGCTCGGAAGTTCACAATGCCTTGTTGTTGGAAGAAAGGAAGGTGCGGTGTAGCCGCGCCAAGCCGGATGCCGCTTGATGAGGGAAACAAGGCAAACATTGTTTAGAGGTGAAGAAGCTTCTCGCAGAATGGAAGCCGCTCTCTGGTGAAAAGCTCCCTTAATTAGAGTAGACGCCCATGGATTGCAGAACCGCCAATCGGAGCCATATTGAGGAGCGTCCGCGAGGCTCTCGGCGAAGCTAGTGGCCATGCTCTGGGTAGAGGAGTGCAGGTGGAAGGGACGGCTGACCCCGGCGCGATGCAGGACGAAATGGGGCTTCGGCAGAGTAAAACCCTTGCCACTGCGAAAGCCTCTGATACTTTGTATCAGCATCGGGCACGGAATATCGGTACGTGCGTTGTAATTGCCGTCCTTCGCTGTCTGATGGCATTGTGAGGTCTGAGGCGGAAAAGTGGGTCCGGCGTAGTGTTTCTCCGGCCCCGGACAACAACCTCAGCTTCTCCGTGACACACCAATGCGACACCCAACAGCTCTGCGGACCCTCACACACTCCTTCCTCTCGCCGTCGTGTCCGATGCGCGCCACCAGGAAGCTTCGGCCGTGCCACAGGTCTCTATGTCATGTCGTTCCTTCTGGGGATTCGCCGTCGCATGACCGCTCACTGCCCATCGTGGGCAACCCGTCGGCCTCTCTGTTTGCTGTATGATCTTGATGCTAATGGTCTCTGCTTATTGGAATCCCGATTTGGCCCTAGAATCGTCATCGTCGACTAGCTGCCGTTGCATATCCAAGGTCAGTCCTGGGTCGCCGTCGGGTCCAATTAGGGAGAACGGCATACGGCCCTACGAACATTGCGTTCAAAGGCAGCTATATAGGATACCTACTTTATGCAGGTGTCCATATACGCCTGATCTGGGCCTAGTCCGACATGCGACTGCTGCCCTGCCCACCAAAAGACAGCTTATTTGCTATCTCTGTGGCTTCTTGTGCAGGTTGCGCTTGCGCCGTCCTTCAGTGCTCCTACTTTTACCTCCACACAACCTTCCCCCCGGTAATCCTGACCATGGAACTTGCTCTCCTACCGCTGTTTGGGACGAGGAGTACGGTAGGCGCTGGCAGCACCAGGCACAGTAGAAAACATCGCCCTGTCGCCTCGTCTCTCCGTTTCTCTTCTCTCACACTTCATCCCACTACTCGCAACATCGTCCCTCTGCACACGTCCTTGCATCTTCGAGCAAGGTGCTAGGTATGTACATCACCTCCTCGCGCTTTGCACCGCTATCGTCTCCGCTCGGTGCTCCATGTCCTGGATTGCTAATCCCAGCCGACAGGATTGCTTGTCCCAGCTCAGCCGTATACTACCCGAGTCACTCCACGCTACGGCTCTCTCCGTCCGTCCCCATGCTGCTTACGGTCATGCGTCTTGCGACCTTAGCAGCCGCGACCTTGGGCATCTTACCGACCCTCGCAACGGTCCCCGGTGCACCTAAGTCTCTGGGACCATGCACACGAGACCTCGACGGCGACTCCACCTGCTTTGACCCCAAGCGCGAGTTTCTGTTCGATGATGTGGACAGCCTGTCTTCCACCCGGGACAGGCGCGACTGGCACATAGGCTGCGCCGCTAGTGGCACATGCTCCTACTACCAGGATGACACGGACGAGCATGAGAACCTGCACCACCGCCGGCATTGGGAGGAGACGGCTGATACTGATGATGACTTCCCCCACAAACGCAACCACCTCTCCGCGACCCGCTGCAAACCTAGAGTCCATATCGTCCAGTACTTTGATGGCGCGAATTGGATCGACTTCTTCACATGCCCGCAGGACCATCGATGCGTCGACATCGCCAGGCAAGGAATTTGCAAGCATGGACTCACTAGAATTGTCCCAACCTTTCCAGCGGTCGGTGGCAACGCTTCTTCAAGGCCACGGAGCGAGCGCGAACTCGTGCCTTTACCTACGCGATGCGACCCCGTTACCTTCAACAAGGTGCAGTACTCTGATGGTATCGCATGGCACGACTTCCATCCTTGCGGGCCTGGTCGTTCATGCAAAACGATTGATGAAAAAGCTGGTTGCACCAAGGGCGGCTACGACCACATCTTCCCGGAGGCTTATGGTCCTGCTCTTGATGACGCTCCACCAGTGCCTGCGCAGACAACAAACGATGAGCCGGTCTCCACGCCGCCGACCAATAACAAGATCGTCTCCGAAGAGAACAAGATCGTCTCCGAAGAGAACAAGATCGTCTCTGAAGAGAACAAGATCGTCTCCGAAGAGACCAAGACTCGCTGCGATCCGAACGACAAGCCGGGACGTCGCGTCGAGCAACTTGTCAATGGAGAGTGGGTCCCTTTCTACAGCTGTCGCCTCGCCTGTGAGGAATTTCCAGACTTTGCTGCCTGCCGCGAGCGCACGGGCAAGTACCTAGTCCCGCATCCGCCCCCTCCCCGGAGGTCGCTCGCGGCTCGTGCTCCAATTTCAAGCCATGGCGTCTCGTCACAGTGCAGTCCTGACAATCCGGAAGAATTCCACGTATTCCAGGATGGGAAATTCTTGCTTTACGGCAATTGCCCAGAGGATAGCCTATGCCGGGAAGTTGACGGATGGGCTAAATGCGATACTAACAGTGGTCAATGGTTCCCTGAGCGTCCCTTGTCCTTGCTGCGGCAGGATTCTCCCGCACCTGATTTCCACACCATGGATACCCGGTGCAACCCTCGCAATCCAAGCGAGGTTCAACGCTTCAACGGCCAGACTTGGGAGCACCATTACACCTGCACATTCCGAGGGAGTTGCGTGGATGTCGATGGCCATGGAGCGTGCCGCCTCAAGAACAACATGCACGAGGTGCCGGCCGCGAACCAGAGCTCCGTGGAAATTGGCGAGCCATCCAACCCTCTTCGCGTCGGGACAAAGTGCAACAAGCGGAACGAGACTGAGGTTCTCGCATGGAACGGTACCGCCTGGGCGTCTGATGGTGTCTGTCTCCCTCCCTACGTGTGCTATGATTTCTCCGGTACGGCCGACTTTGCCATTTGCGCCAAATCGGGACTTGGAAAAGATCAGATATGGCTGCCGTGGCCATCTCTCACCGCGCCGACAGGCCCGACCACTCGTTGCAAGAATGAGAAGGTATTGCAGCAATTCAATGGCAAGAAGTGGGTACCGTACCGGCAGTGCAAAGCTGGCTTCCATTGCTCGAAGCTCTCGGATGCACCTCACAACGGGGGGTGCGTTGCTTCTAGTATCGATGACGTCAAGCGACACTTGGATTTGTCGCGACGAAATCTCGTCGCGACAAGCACCGCCGACCTTTACGAGCCTTTTGGATTCGAACGCAACCTGCTCAAGCGCGATGATTCCGGCCTTGTCGACGACGGCAGGGCAATCGTAACGCAAGGCGACAATCTGAGTCAGGACGGTCAAGCCCTCAACGACAATAGCAATGCCCTGAACAACATCTTAAACGGCTACCAGTCTGAGAACGAGGCCGAGTCTGCTTCGAAGATTCGACGTCGTGGAGAAGACAGTCTCATCGACGACAGTGACCGCATGCGTTCCCAGGGCCGGGAGCTCGTGCGTGAGGGCAACCGTCTCATCAAGCATGGCCAGAGGTTGCTCGATGCCATCTACGGGGACAATTCCGACGATATTATCGAATCCATTCCTTATTCGCGCCTCGCCACGCCAGAGGAGTCCTCGGCGCGTCAGCAAGGTACCGAAGCCGGCCCCGAGTATGATATCGATGAATGCCTGGACTGCATTTGTGACGTCCCGTACCAGGAGGACTGCGTGAAAACGTGCGAGGCCCAGTGCGGGCTCGAATTGGATGAGTCCGATCACGATTCAGACAATACTCAAAGCGATTGCCACTGTGAGTACGTCTGTGACTGCGACGAAGGCGACGCAACTTGTTGGAAGAATTGCGCCGAATGCAGGCTCCCGCACCGTGCCGACGCTGCCAATGACGTTGCCAAACGTAACAACGACTGCGAGTACATGTGCAACTGCGAGCTGCTCGATGTACATTGTCACGGCCAATGCGCTGCATGCAAGGCCGCAGAGGAGGATGCCGCCTAATGCCGAGATGCTACCAGGAATGAGCGAGCTTGGTACCATACGGTCTGGGGACTTTCTCCCCCATAGGTTGTGGGAGTACATAGCACGTCTCTGGGTTTCTCTGGGCAGCTACCACTTTGGTTTTTGCCGTTTTATGTTGCTTTGTTGGGTATGGGTTTACGATGTTGCTCATGATGAGGCGGATAGTCGGTTTTGCATTGGTTAGTGTTTCATAGTGTCAATGTCTGTATGTGTGCTTTCTGTTCTGCCTCATCTTCCCTTGCTTCGTCCCTCGGGTGTTCTATTTCTGTCACCCCTTCTCTTTCTCTGCGACTAACGCGCCAGGTCGTGTCTATTCATCTCAATCAACGCCGCCCAGATCGAGCCCCTAGCCTTCTAGGCGCCATAGTCAGGATTCTTCTCTACAATTTGCATAAACCTGTCAAACGCCTTCTCATCTTTCCTGCCCGTGTGCCCCCTTCTATACGTCTCCTCAGCATTGTCCTCCCCCAAAATTCCATATTTGTCATCGATGTACCCGTATATCAGTCCCCTCCCCTTCCCTTCTTTCATGCCTACTTTTGCTGGGCTCACGACATCGAATTCACGCAGCGCGCTGAACGGGTGATCCGCGACCACAAGACAATCGAAGAAGTTGGCCTATGACATGCTGGAATCGGGCCCATAAATGGCGAAGCACTTCTCTAGCCGCACGCTTCGCAGTGTTTCGGCATGCGAGTTTAGAAGCGTGAGGAAGGGGGGGCAGATGAAGACGTAGGAAAGCGAGATGTGTTGGAGACGAGGCATTTGGCCCGCATGAAAGGGCAGCGCTGTGAGCCTAATTTCGTTTATGCCCGCCGGACCTTCGTCAGTGAAGCACCCCGTGAGGTGTGTCGCGCCGCCAAGATGGTTGAAAAACAAGCGCCCTAGTGCCCCGACGAAGTCCTGATACCCCTCATTCGTGCTCATGCACCACCCCGCGCCATTCTCTCCACCTCTCAAACTCAGTTCGAACCTCTCTAGTCCGCCCAGGAAACCGCGCCATCCCGGAGTGATCCAAGCCATGCTTTCCTTCGCGACTATGTTGCGCAAGCTCAGCCCTTTCACGACTCCGGGCCCGTTGCTGGAGATGGCAGCGTACGTGTTGCGCATGAGTGCGCGCCAGCCGGCGCGTTGCTCGCGCTCTTCAATCTGCGCAGGCTCTTCGGGCGCCTCGGCGTGGTAGAAGCCGTTTGTGATGGCTTCGTCTCCGAAGGGGAATTCGACGCTTAGGCGCTCTAGCTTGGGGAAGCGGGGTAGATTGGATAGTGTGTCTTCTACAACGCTGGGGAAGTCTGAGGGTGCGGGGAGGTAGGCTTTGTTTTCGGAGCCTTGGTCGCTGCATGGCAGACGTAGCGTCAGAGAAATATGGTACAAGAGCGCGGGAAGGAGATAGTATGGGGTGTCCTTACGAGTCCTGCGAATGGCCCATAGAAGCGTTATCGTCTGGTGGGAGGGGGGTGATGCCGAGGTAGGATATTTCGCGGACGACGTTGGCGTAGGGCCCTTGGGAAAGCAGTTTGATCGACTCTCCGCTCTTTTCATCGTTGCGTAGAATGAGGGTTTGGAAGAGGAGGGGTGCGCATAGGGTGCGGAAGAGTCTGGATGCGAAGCTTAAGTGGAGGAGGCCGACGTTGATGAGCGGAGCTGCGTTTTGCGGCTCTTCTTCATTGTTGTCTGATGCTGGCTGTGGAGGAGGGTCAGCGAAGAGGAGTTCGATGATGGTGAGTTTCAGCTCGTTTGAGAGGGTGGGAAGCAGGTTTTCTGGGGCAACAGCGCTTCGCTGTCGAGAATCGATATATTGCTGACATCCTTCAAGGCATGGGACGATTTATATACGAAGAGTGGAGTAATGCTAAGCTTCACAGACGCGCCGTGCTTCCTTAGTCTAGGCGGCGAATGGACTCGGCTAACTGCATTCGGTCTAGCGCGAGGGCATTCGACTCAGCCTCGTCCAAGGCAACAATGTGGTTTTATGCTGGCAATCTTCCACATCGAATGGAAAATGATTTCTGCCTCCTACTCCACTCTTCTTGAGACGTTCGATATGATGGACAAGCAGCCGTGTCGGCATGACGTCCTCCAACTAGATTGCTCGCCCTTCGCTGAGCTCGCGGGTTTCGATAGACCGGATGCAAGGAAGAGACTTGCTGCTACGACGAAATCAGGGCGAATGCTGCAGAAGTCGGGATCTGCGGAACTGGAGAAGGGGGCGAAGGTTGAGAGCCAGACGTTCCCGGGCCCGTTGGTGCTACCGCATGACGATCTGAACTATGATCCTGATGGGCCGGCCCAGAGCTTTAAGAGCTGGTTGAACGAGAAGCATAGGAATAGGGTTACACCGGGGAGGAAGACGTTGTATGTGGCGGCTGTGCCGGAGGTTGATGAGAGCGTGGGGTTCATGAGGGGGTGGACTAGGGTGAGGGTTGATGGTGCTGGAGGCGCACCAAGCAACGGTCTGGGAAAGAGGAAGATGGTGGACGGCGAAGAGAACGAGAGAAAGAGAGCTATTGCTGAAGATGAAGAGATGCAGTCGCCGGATGTGCATGATGTGGTAGGCTACCTACAGGCTTTCTATCACGGCATGCACGTCAAGCAGTTCCCGCAGCGCCTGCGCTGGGTGCCGTGGAAAGAGAAGGGCAGAGCAGCCACGAAGATGAATGATATACCAAGATACGTCGCCCTCCAATACGGAGACCGCGCAACACGTATCCGCGCGCGCCCCAGCCCCGACGGCGTCTTCACCGCGCAGCTCAACCTAAACGATATCCTCGACGCGGCTATCGCTATGCTCCCCGCCGATGCGTATTCGATCCTCCTCCTCGTGGACCACGACATCTACGAGAGCGAAGAGGACGACTTCTGTTGCGGCCGAGCTTACGGCGGCTCCAGGATTGCGGTTGTGCAGAGTGCGAGGTATACTCCGGAACTCGATGAGAGGGACGGAATTGAGTACGCGCATGCGTGGCCGATGAGCCATTGTAAAGCCTACGCCGACGCGCTTTGTGGGGTTGAAGACGTTGTTCCTCGGCCTGCGACTGTTTCGCAAATCCGGCTTTCCAAGACTGGACCGATGCGCGCCGCTATCACTGCTACTTCTGCGCTCTCTTCTCCTCCAACGACGGTTGAGGACTTGCGCGCGCTATGGCTCTCCCGGATTGCGCGAACGGCGTCCCATGAGCTTGGCCACTGTCTCGGTATGGGGCATTGTGTGTACTATGCGTGTAATATGCAATCGACAGGGGGATTGAGGGAGGATGCGCGACAGCCGCCGTATTTGTGTCCGGTTTGTGAGGCGAAGGTGGGATGGGCGGTGGCGTGCGAGCTGCAGCGAGGTGGGGAGGAGGACAGAAAGAATTGGGTGATGGAGAGGGGTAAGGCGTTGGGGGAGTGGTGTAAGAAGTGGCATGGTGTGGGGATGTGGGAGGGTTTGCGAGCCTGGTTGGAAGCGAGGGATAAGTTGGTGGGAATTAAGGCATTGAAGTGGTAGGATTGGAGGACGGAACGGCATCTCATTGTTTATACTATTAGCAACCCAGGGCCCTCCCAAGGGCGCAGGTAGGCTTCATTTAATCCCGACGTCTTTCAGCGGCCTTGAACGCTCATCTATCCGTCATGACTTCTACACCTCTTCATCCTTTACCTCCACCACCTCACTAAACAGCCTCCTTTTCGCCTTCTCCTGCTCCTCCATCCTCACCACAGCTATTCTGAGCATCCTATTCTCCGCCCTCCCTAAAAACTCCCGTATCCTCTTCCTTACCCCCTCCTCCCCACCCTCCCTCGCCCTCGCCCTCGCCCTCGCCATCCCCCCGGCCAACCCCAAAAGCATAGGATCATCCTCCCCAACACAACTCTTCACCAACTCCGTAACCTGCCACCCCTCCAAGCATCCTCCTATCGCATCCCCCACGAACCTAGAAACCAGATGCATAACATAAAGACCCATCTCCAGCTTCCGCGCCAGGTGCCTCAGCGCGACCTCCGCGAAGAAAGACGGCGCGAAGAAAGACGGCACCTGCAGCGGGACCGGCGCCGGCGAGCACAGCGCAGCGAGCCAGTGCGCGAGAGCGCGGAGCGCGGCTTCGTGGACTGAAAGCTGCGCTTTACTTAGCCCGCTGCGGACGAAGAACGCGATGGATTGCGCACGCGGATTCGTCTTCGCGAGATGCAGGAGGATGGGCTGGGAGACGGCCATGAGCGCGTACTTCGGGACGTCGATGACGGGGTGGGAGATGATGTGTTTTGTGGCCGGGTCGCGGGAGGTTAGGCATAGGGTTATGGTGTCGCCGCGTAGGAGGGAGAGCCGGGAGGGGAGCGGCCACGTCTGGACGTCTGCCGGGAGGGTCTGGAGTTGTTGGAGGAGGAGGCGGATATCCGCTTTGTTGAAGGGCTTGATTGCGGTAGGTGGGGATGTGGAGGGGATGGTTCGCGTGGGTTTTGAGGGGGCTCTCTTTTTGTGGGGAGCCATGATTGGTTGTGACGGCTGTGGGAGAGGGGATTGAGTGTAGAGTGTGTATTGGTGGGGCTTGTGGGTAAAGTGTTGTGTTATTTTTAGCTTTTATTTTATAGGCGCGCAAGTATATTTGTGGTAATGGTGAAAGCTTATGTCACGTGACTGTTTAATTCACGCCAAGTGGGAAAGTACAAAGGGGCGCCAAAGGCAAGATGCTTTGTTTTCTAACATTCAAATGAGTAAGGCGTTGGGGAGCGGCATTTAAGCAACACTCGTGCTATGTGAGGGATAGGGTACCGTACCGCGCAATAGGGGTTCTGTGAAGCTATTTCTTGATAATATTGCCCAGAGAGTTGACTGAGCTATTTCCTACGGTTGATACGATTCTTGAGTAGTTTTAGGGTAGAAATATATCAAAGCTTGATTAATTTTAGTGTTAAAGCTCTAGTAGCCTATTAACGTCTGCTTAAGCTCTGTTAGCCTATTAACGTCTATTTAAGCTTTAATAAAGCTTAACACTCTGCTAGAAGTAACGTATTTTAACTCTCTAAGAGGGAAAGTAGAGTAGCGTATAAAACTTAGTGTTCTACTACTCTTAGCGGTGCTTAGATATGTAGTGTGCGCTATACATTAATACTATACAGCTGCACGCAGCAGAATAATAATTAGCTTATTAACACCCTTATATAGGCATACTGCCACGCCGCACAGTAGCAGCGCGTTAATGCGGTGTACAGCGTTGTAGTGTAGTCACCTGTTATCACTAATAGAAGGAAAAAGGGGGGGGAGGGGTGGCTCCTTCCTTGTAGGTGCTTCTGCAGCATATGTTGCGCTTTAACGTCTGTTAGAAGCATTTTGAGCATCAAAATACGTTGACGACGATATCGTGAAGCAGGCGCCTCCTATATAATATAATCTTGCAGAATGAAATAGTTTCTACATGATGAGGACGGCATTTTCACCCCCTGGGGAAACGCGGTATGGTAGTTTCCATTAGATTGATGTCGCTTTTATTATTACCGGTTTTGAATGAGAGAATAGTTGTCATCTTGGATAGGTACTTGGGTGGGCTTGCTTTCTAGAGTCGCTTAGCCAATTGAACGAGTATCTAACACTAAGCCGACCTGAAAGTACGGGCAATTCGCCTCAGTGACGCAGACGGTGATCTTACCCGCCCTCGGCAGAAGAAACAGGGGTACACCCTACTACGTAACCACTTTAACACAAGAGTTACAATGTTTATAATGCATACACGCGCCCATCACCTAGACCCCCATATCAGTCTTACCCCTCCCACGCCCCTTAGTCCCTGAAAGCCTCTAGCAAAACTCCAGCGCACTGCTTCGCATCCCTTTCGAGCCCTTCATATACCTCTAGAAGTCTCGGCGCAAACAACACATGATACATCGCATCCCGTGCCGACGGAGTCGCATATTTGTGCGAGAAGTCGTTCCTCCGACCTTTATACTCCCTCTTCAAGAGATGCAGCGAGATGAAGGGGAACTCGAACTTCCAAGCCTCGGAAGGCCAAAGTGGTGGCGCGCGATCCCCGCTCAGGGTTTCCTGGGGCTCGAGGAGATCGTGCAGGTTCTGCGTTATGGAGATGTGGTTGATGGCTATGCGGTCTTGCGCGGCGCGTATGGGTTCGGCGTTGTCTCGTTCGGGACTCCTCTCCGGAAGAGATGGTGAGGAATCAGGTTTGACGGTCGAGTATGATGTCTTGAGTGTCCGCAATGAGGAGCCATGCTCGCGTAGAAGAGGCAGACTAGTTCGTAGGCAGTCCAAGGTCCAGAGTAAGTGCCGGAAAATACTGACAGTGCTGGTCCGCGTGAGCTGCGCCCCACGTATAGTCGTATTCTGAGACCCGCCTTGAATTGGAGGGTGCGGAATGGTTAAGTCCGTATGTGACGAGAGTAGGGTAGGAGTATCTTCTGAACTTGTCAGATTGGGTGCAGGAGACATTAAGGATTGAATAGAGGTCGGTCGCGGTAGGATTGCAATCCTCGACTTCGTGGATGACGACTCCTTGACCTGCAGTTTAACTTCCATGATCGAGCTTAAGTCTTCCTCAGGCTCCTCATAATGAGAACCATCCTCGCAGGTTCGGTCGATAAGCCCCTTCATTATGCATAAGGCCTTGTGGCTGTTGAGCTTATCCTCCGCCTCTGCCAATTCCTTCCTTAGCCGTCGTACGAACGTTTCCTTCTCCCGGAGAGTATATAGTAGCCCAGAGGAATGGGGATTCCGCGGGTTCGGCGTCCGAGGTATATGGACAAGCAAGTCTCCTCGCGTGTTTGGAGTGGGAGAAGAGGGCTTGAGTTCGTCTTCGGTCTCTAGATGTGTCTTCTTGAGAAGCGATAGTAGTAACGCGGTTTTTGGAGATATTGAGGACATCTCATTAGATAGGAGTAATGCGTTGTTGGTCTGGAGCAGTAGTGGCTTTGATTGAAGTTGGACTCGCCGCGGCGGCCGGGTGGGAAGATTTAGCGCTCTCGAGGAATGGAGTTTGTTTCACCTCAAAAGCCTTGCTACCAGGATGCACTTGCTGCCATTTCCAGTTACTTCGAGTGGCGATACTGCGTCGTGTTCACACTGTACTTGTCAGTTACTTGGGCTACTGCGAAAGCGACTCAAGACACTCACAAAGGACGCGAGCCTTGAAACCTTCCCGTTTTTCCAATGCCTATCCTTAGCTATTCAACAGAACCTAGTCTCAGTCCTATGCTTCCTGAATAGTGTCCATTCTTTTCTCGAACGTAGCTCAATTGTGGCATCGATTCCATGTTTTTCCAGTCCTTAGCATCGACGGGTCGTTGCTGGGCAAGGCCTAGCGTGACGGAATGTTCCCAGTAGGATCACAAGTTTCCTAACAGTGTCACGTTGCGTGATTAATGCTGAGCGCGAGTTCCTGACAAAGAGTCGCTCATCAAACCGAATTGAAGCTTTCAATGCGCCTTAAAAGGAAGTAAAAATGATTGTGAAGTGTAGCTCCGGTGAGTGAAAGTGCTCACTGATCGGTTGCATCAGACAGGATATCGAGCGCAACGATGTGGGTCGTTCATCGAGAAATATCAGAGCTATCTCCATGCTTGGGTTGTGTTTCGATGTTCCTGCTAGCGCTTGTGACGATCAGATGCTACTTCCTGTGACTTGAAAGGCTCACGCGGAGTCACCGCATGTACACCCAGGAAGATATAACTAAGGTGAGCGACGAGCACAGGCGATCATAGTGAAACTTTGCATCGCAAATGTAGGCTGAGAACACGGTGCAGATGAGTTTTCACATCTGAGGCACTCAGCAATCACCCCGAGCTCGCTGACGATTGCCCTACCTCCCCTCCTACCTGAATATATAAACCTTCTTGTCTCTTAACCCTCGACTCTCTCCATTTACAACTAAGCCGGAGAAAGCAACCGTATGTTGCGCATATTTGCTGCTAGCAAACTAGGACTAACTCATTTGTAGATTGCTGCCTGAGCCGCGACAAAGCGCTAACAGTGGACCCCCACTTCTCTGTAAAGCCTAAACACTTTATATTTTCACCATGCCCGCGCGTAACCATTCGACCACAAGCGGCGTGCCTCCAGCCCCAGTTTTAAAGTTCCCTTCCGACTTAAAGAAAGCCTCTAGCCCCAAAGAGAAGAAGTCCCGAACTACGAAACCGCCGGCCAGTTTAACAACCGACAACATGACTGGCGAAATGGAGAACTTCATTTTCGCTATCGAAGATTTCCGCGACCTGGACCGTGAGAAGCGAAAGCAGCTGCTTGAGGGCCCGACGGTCCAGGTAACCTGCGCAGGCCAGCACATCGACGACGTCCCTCTCCGTCTTCTCCTCGCGGCCTCATCTGTCGCTCGGATACGATACCTCAACACGGGCTCGATTCCTCGAATTGGTCTCGCCGACAAAAACTTGAAGGACGCCATGCTCCTCCTCTTCGGCTGGATGAAGGATACCTGCACGAAGCTCAAATCATACTGGCTCTCCAAGCAGACGAATTTCGTCTCTGACGTCAATCTCATCGTCGCAGCGCAGCAACTCGGCATGGATCTGTACGTCAAGCATATCGTGGCTAACTGGTGGGCTGCGCTCAAGAACGACCCGCCCGAGTTCCCCAAGCTTCTAGCGATCGAGCGTGCAGCTCCGAATGCCGAGTTCACATTCTTCCGCTGCGCCGTTAACCGCCTCGCTCACATGCAACTCTACGGTCAGATCAGCAACGAAGAAGAGTACCAGCGTTGGATGACTCGCCTCCCCAAGATTGCCGCCGCTATCAAGCCTGTGTACGAGCGCCTTGAGGAGGATCGCCGCCGCCGTCGAGAGGAAGACGCCGCCCGGCGCGAGGAGGAGGCTAAGCGCATGGCCGAGGATGCCGAGATTCACCGTCTCTGGGAAGAGCAGCGTGCCATGGCTCGAGCTGAGAAAGAGCAGGTCGATGCGGAGAAGGCTCGTATTGCACAAGAGAAACAGCGAGAGCAGGATATGAGGGACGCTGTCGCTCGCAATAGTCACCGTGTACGGACGCTCACTGCTGAGGAGGCGCGATTCGTTCCTCGAGGTAGAAATGGAATGTGGCGTTGAGTGGTTTCGTCAGCGTTTTGTCTTGCCATGGGATTCATGGCGAACCAGGATAGATGGTGACGGTGGGAATTCTTCGTACTACCTTGATATTAGGATGAGATCTAGTCGAGTTCACCCCAGACTTCGTGAAACTTTTTCTTATTCTCTGCTTCTTCTTATCAATGAGAGAATGAACACCGATCAGTACAATTTACAGAATGACCACCTATGGGAGATTTCGAGGTGAATTCAAAACTCGCCACTCATGGATTGCCCCAGCTCTTGGTCACTTACATATTCTCCATCGATATAAACCAACCTTGCCCATCAGCTTATTCCTAAATGTTTTTAACTCTACTCAACTACCAGGACGTCATTGAGGACTCAACTCCGACGAAGACGCAATGGCAAACAGCAATCAAGAGGAGGCCACGCGCCGAGAGCTCAATCAGTGCGTTCCCTTACGCTCGTGGTCTTGTGTAAGCTGATATGTTCATAGGTTGATTTCCGCTTTTGGAGGCAACACCCTGAACGGACCCGCGCAGTCGAGAATTGCGACCGAGACAGGCATGCAGCCACTGCCACGAGCTATCCGTGGCTTCCCGACGGCGCAATCGAGGGCTATCCTCAATCCCCCTGGGACGACCACCAATTCCTCCAGCTCTGCGCCTGCTCCGTCAGCGGCTCCGATTCCAACCCCAATTCCGGCGACCGCTCCAGCTCCCCGACAGCAGCAGCAGCAGCGTCGAGACGTGCGTCACCTCACTATCAACGAGCGCCTTGAGCTTGTCCAGGGCCTAGAAGTTACCGTCATGACCGGCAACCAGGTAACCTGCAAGCTCCCCCTACGCCTCTTCCGCGCGACATCCACCAAGGCCCACCTCATCGACTTCTCGGACCCCACAACGCCCAAGTATCTCGCATTCCACATCTCCATGAACCCCGCTCCCTTCAACTACCTCGCCGACTACCTGCGCAAAATGGCCGACCAGCAGCGCGTCCCGCAACTCAAGCGCCTGGAGGACAACTTGAAAGACCTGACAGTGATCCGTGCGGGGAAATGCATGGGCATGGACCACTACGTGCAGCACATCTTCAATTACTACTGGGCGGCGTATACGAATGATGATTTGAGGCTGCAGGATATCGAGAATGTGTTGAGGGTGGCGACGGAGACTGAGATGAATTCGTTCTTCAAGCTGGTGGCGGAGCGGATTGCGCATGATCAGTACTACGGGCGGGTGCAGGATCTGGGGAAGTTGAGACAGTATCTGGCGGGGAAGCCGGCGCTGAGGAACGTCGTTCAAGATGAGCTGAACCAGTTCAGGGCTAGCAATGGCCGTGGGAAGTTGCGAAACTCGGGTCGGGGTTGGATCTTAGGATCGCAGGCAAGCTCATGATGGTGTTCAACTGGGGGTGAAGGCCCAGCGAAGACAAGCAAGTGGTGACCTCTAGTGTGGCTTGGGCGACGGTGGTCGACTGGTCTCGAGTTCAGGTAGACCTAGTTGAATAATCTCAGGGATCACAGCTAGGAGTAATCACTCTTGCATGAGCAATTATGCATACTCCTGACCTAATGCCACCCTTTTACACTCTTATCGTCCCTTGACTCCTCGTGGATGCTCTTCAACTCGATAGCTCCAGTGCATTTCGTCTCATTGAAACCAAAGTTGAAGCCGTCATTAGTGCCGAAGTTGAGCTCGCTGATCCTGTGCTTGCTGCTTGTTGGCTTGCTCAACCAGGTCACACTGCGTCGCCCATCTCCGGTGGATGTCAGCCTTTTCGAGGTAAGCGAGGCGTGCACCTCGCGGAGGAATGGGCGTAAAACGGGGATGCATTGCACCATGATGGTGCCTGCTACTTCGGACGAGTACCATACGTTCGACATGCCGTTTCGCCCTTTAAAGACACATCGTTAGCCACTGCGATAGAAGTAGCGCTTCAGTTCAACGACTGCATTACTTACAGTAGTAGTAAGGGTCGCGTTTGTTGCCGTCGTCCTTCCACGCTGTCCTGACAGCAGTGCTTATGGCAATGCTGCTGTCCGTTAGCCTCCCTACACCACAAATCCATGCGCCAGCGGGGTGAGGAAAAAACAACCACTTACATGACGCCTAGGCTCATAGTGATACACAGCGCGATCTTCTCATTCCTGCGCATATCCAGCTTCCACGTCACCATCCACGGAAACGCTGCGAATGCAAAATCCATGATGACGTTGTAAACTAGGCATCGGATGATCAGCGTTATCCATCTTTCAGCCATGGGTACCAAGCGTTATTCTGCTACTTACCCTGGCCGCCCTCCTTGAAATCGTCTCGGAACTTCTCCGCCACACAGAAGTCCAGCCGGTACCAAACATCATAACTCTTTTCGTCGCACAGCTTCGCCCACTGGAGGATGCACTTAGCAATCATGTAGAGATTCATGGTGACGATGCAGAACCAGAGGACGCCTTGCTGCCAGCGATTTGTTATGCGGAGTAATGTGACTCCGAAGGCGGTTTTGGTCAAGGCTTGACCAATCAGAGTCCCGCAAGACGAGATGTTAATGAGAATGTGCATTCTGTCATCCCATTTTGCGCCATTCTGTGTTACGTAGCCGGTGGCGTATTCGTGGGAGATGAGAGCGTTATTGAGTAGGAGTATGATCTGTTACATTGTGTCAGCGCAATTCAGATGAAGACCAAGATGGTGATCAGAGTCTATCTGCATAAGGTGATACGTACCCAGGATGCTGTTAGAATGTAGTCATCATACCACAGCCCGTGCCGGCGCGTGAGCTTCACCCAGAGGCGAAGGAAGAGCAGTACCGTCGCACCGGCGAAGAGAGTCCACAGCCCAGCATTGACTTGCTTCTCCGGAGAAACGTAGTTGATAATCTCGTCATCGTCGTCGCGTGGTAATAACTGCATTATCGGTATCGTGCTCTGCTGCCCGAGCTTAAGGAAAGCATTGAAGATTTTGAAGATTAAAACCCTAGAGATGGAAAAGGGAGAAGGCGCAGCAATTGAAGATAATACATGAGAGGCCTCAGGCGTGACTCGTGCGTCGTAGTGAGCCAGTGGGGTTGCGTAATGTGTCCCAGCTAGTCCGCAATTGGTGGATGTTGAAACACCGTGTGGGGTCCAGCTCCCTGGTCCAAAGTCCATCACGGCCTATTCGCGATATTACTGTCGCGACGGCGTCAGCTTACGACGAAGTTTCCATGACGGCGAATTCTTCAAGCTTCTGGCAATGCAATCAGGCAATTTTATTCCTCTCTTTAAGATCAAAGCCTGAGGGACCTCTTCTTTTTTTTTTTTTTTCTGTAGTGACGTTGATGTTCATGCTTGAAACAGGGCTGTTGCGGTTCCTGAACCGGGCGTTTTCTTGGACAACCTTCTTGATCCTTGACATGGGATCCCTTCGGAGCGCACGTGGATTTCCTGAACACGCGGGCTGAGGGCCGTTTCATAATCATCCCGTGTCCGTAGCGTCGGTAGCGATGGGCCCTTACGGTTAGCGTGGAACAGCCTCGAGAGACACATCCTCCGGCTCTTCCACGAAGTCTTTCGGAAATTATTCCCATAAAAAACAACCTCGAGCCGCTCGCATAACTGGGGAGATCCATCCCGATCATGAATCTTGACGGAAGTGCGGGGAGGAGAGAAATTAGATGAAGCTTGCACACACGCCTTCGATCAGTGGCTTCTCTAAGAAAGTGACTGCGACGAGCATATCACACTTTGCCCCTCGTGCGGCGCGGGAAACCGAGAGATAAATACTAGGCTTCGGATGATGTACTCCTTCAATTCGACAGATCGCGCCTGATGTATCTGATTGCCCCGCGGTAGTATTATCAAGCCGGCGATATGGTAAGACCGCTGGCTCCATTGCTTTGGCAGCAACAGAAGCATTCACCCAGTGCGAGGACCACCTGGAGGGTTGAGAATGGAAAGATGAGGCTCGCCACTCGTGGAACTGTTCGCAGTGAAATGAGGTCTCGCCGTTCCGTAACCCCATAGAAACCCTCCCATTCGGCATCCTACTACATATGCAGCTGCGACCAGTCCGAAGGCGGACGCAATAACTACGACAAAGCCAACCGGAGCCAGCCTGCTTCCCCAACCTGCTGCGAACGCATCAAGCTAGTTCCAAGATAGTACTCCGTGGCAATCCCAATGAACAGGCCGAGCTCAAGCAGTAAGTTTGTTCTGCCCTCTCGGCAACACCCAGATGTCGTAGTTGACCCAATGCTTAGGATCATATCTTCGGCCGCCGGCAATACAATCAACCGGCCGATGACAACACCGTGCGAGTCCGAAACCGGTATGCGGCCTCTACCGCCACCTATTCGTGGCTATACGACAGCTATTGTCACGGCAGCGTTGTCTACAGGCGGCGCAGCGCCAGCCGCCGCCGCTCCTCAACCTGAGAATTCCGGACCAGGCGCTACCACCGCCCGAACTCCGCAAGGCACCGGCCGGGTCGCTCAAGGCCTTCAACAGCAGGAGCCCGTTATCCTCAAGATGAACTTCACTTGCCGCCAGAACCTAAATATGGAGCCCTATGTGGGCATATGCATCGCCACTAAGTAAGTGCGTAAGATTCCGCTGGCAATCTTCCGGACCATGTCGACCAAGACTGGAGAGCTGGATTGGTCACACAATGATGGCCCTCGGTTCCGAATGAGTCTGGTCGAGATTGAGTGGGGGGGCGTCCTTGACTTCCTGCGCTGGGTCCAACGTCCGATCGGGAACGAGAAGATACCCCCGCTCAAGCGCACCAACAACACCTACAAGGACTTGAAGATTGTCCGCCCCGGCAAGCTTCCGGGGATGGATGCGTATGTCCAGCGGATATACAACTACTACACGGCGTATATCAGCAACGACAATCTCACCCACAAGGACGTCGACGCAATCGTGCGCCTCATCATGGCGCCCGAGAACAGCATCTTCCAGTGACTGGCAAAGCGCCTTGCTCGCATGCAGTATCGAGGCCATGCTAGCCGCTACTGGCACTGGTTCGACGAATATGTTGCCAGCCATCCGTGGTTGCGTGACGCGATACAGACGGATTTGGCAGCCTATACCATCCATGTGCAAGGTGGTGAGTACTTAGAATAAAGCTATCAGGGACGGTGACTGGGTGGTAGAGGGGAGTGATATCGGCTTGCTAGGCGTTCTGCTAGGAACCAGCTTTGCAGTCTTCAGCTCGACAGCGCCCATGGCCTGGGAAATGGCCCGGCGATAAGGGGGTGTACTGTAGCAGTTCTTTAGCTATTCATCACTTCGGCCATATACACTTTCCGAGATATCTTGCTTCGGAATCGCCTAATGCGGGCAATGATGCGTGTCGTTCCATCTTTCAGCTTCGTTCGACTCAGGGAAAGATCTTACCATCTTTCGGAGAGGCACACGGTGCAAACGTGCAAGGTAAGTTACCTTTATAACTTCGAGTCGTGTGAGTATTTGTTGTAGTCTTTTGCCATAGACATAGGCGGATGCCTTCGGGTGATTGTAGAGGCCCCTCATCCCACACTGCGGTCTTCTACATCGTAACAATATTTCGTCGCCGCAACCTATGTGGTATTCCGAGATTCTATTCCGACGATCCCGCCATTCAAGATGGCGTCCGAAGAGACAGACCTCGAATTATTCCCGCCTTTCATTCCTGATGCGCATATCCTGTTCCGGAGAACCCGAAATCGACCCTCACCGCGCTGAGTAGTACTGCAAGCCGAAGCGCGAAATCGCCACTCCTTATCCGGGGCGTGAACGATCCATTTCTGAACTGCGTGGCGAAGCAACTGGAGCATCTGAAGTCTAACGGATAGGGAGTGTCGATCCAGATTATCGAAAAACAACTCGCCCCCCGCCTACCTTGGTTCAGGCGGCTCCGCGGGGAATTCCCTCGGGATATTTTTGACGACTAATTCGTGCGAAAAGATGGACTCCGTATCTCAGATCTGAGCGGTTTCAGCTAGTTATGAAGTGACAGCAAATTGCAAGGGACTTGGAAGGCGAGTTACGATTGTGTTAGGGCTCTACTTCAGGGCGGTGTGGGCCAGGTATGCGGCGGGAGTAAATTACAAAGGAATGAGGAGGTTATTTACGATTGTGTTGGGGCTGGTCAAATTCTCAAGAGGCGAAGAAACAAACAGAAAAGGTTATGTACTATGCGATGGGATCGAGCAGGTCACATAGGATGTTGAATACCTTCCTCAAGCGGATATTACAATTTCCCGATGCAATTTTCCATCTCTATTAACACTACCGCTAGCCGTATAGCTATTGTTGTGTGTAGATTGATCTACATGCCATAGCTCAGTCGCTATGGCGGAACCTTACTAAGGAACATCGCCCCTTACTCCAGAACAAGGCCACTCTACAGCCTACTCTTCTATCCGCCTCAACATCAATGCGGCAGTCATTCCAGTCACCAGGTGACTGTCTCCACAGCAATCCCTTCCGCTCGGAGATTCTCCAGAACATGATGCGATTGTTCGAACCAAGCAGCTGGCTTGCCCCAGCCCGATCCACATGCCAAGGTAATCTTGCTAAGATTTTCGAGGTAGCCCAGCTCCCTTACCCCGCAGAGGTCCCCAAGCCAAGTCAAGACCTCTTCGTCCGGATGCGAAATTGTGATCTCTTGAAGTGATGGAGGCAAGGTTAATGCGATATTTGAGTTTCCAAGACTCGGTACACCGTTATCATAGTGCACGATAGCTTCTCGAGGAACCGTAAGCTTACGTAGTCGTGTGAAGCGGGAGAGCGTTTGGATGGCAAGGAAGCGCCCCAGGGAAGCAATGTCGAACCATCCCTCTTCCACACTAGCCTTATTTACTTGGATGGTCAGGTCCTCCAAGGTGTCGGCTACGCTATCCATGTTGCGAACGGCAACGTCAAAGCCTGGATCACGACGTATCGGCTCGGTCCGTTTGCGAGGGCCATGGTCCAGGTAGAGCGCTATGTTAGCTAATCGGGGCCAGCCCAGTTTTTCGAGCAGCACTGGCAATAAACACAAGTCATCGAGCTCAGACCAGTGGCTGTGGAGTATAAGGGTATTGAGGTGCCTAAACGGTAAGTCGGCGTCGCATAGGACCATGCCGTTGAGGCGCAGGTCATTGCCGAAGCGCGGTTCATCTTCGATGACCCATTCGAGGACGGATTTCACCTCCAGAGTCTTCAGTCGATCGAAACCAGAGCCTAGAAGCGGCAACGTAGTGCTTAGCAGGTTTAACCGCTCAACGTTGCGGGCCCAGTGATGGAGGGCTGGCCGAACTGTAATGTCGTATAGAGCGTTGTATGGATTGCGTGGCTCTAAATCATAAAGACATCCGAAGATCGATGTCGTCACATCACAGGCGCTAGGATTCTCGTAGGCTGCAACGGTTACATCAATTGTCCTGTCGCCTAGGAAAAGGAGTAACAGGCCCGCGAGGAGCGCCTGATCTCTCCAGCGCTCAGAGCCTCTAAGCTCGTGAGTGATGAGCCAGCGTTTAGAGGGTCTACGGTCATCGGAGATCATCTCGAGATAGTCGGAATCAGTGACAAAGCGATTCATTGAATCCAGACACAGTTTCTTGAAGTATTCGAGTTCGTCGATGTGGCCGAAGTCGTCGAGGTGACCGAGTTCGTCGATCATCGAAGGGTACCCGCCATCGTCGTAGTCATACCTAAATACAGTGAGGGAGAAAATCCTCAAGTGCTCCGTAAGCGATGGATGCTCGTAAAAGGTACGAATAAGGAGGGCAATGGCACCCTTTGTCCTTAGTCCATGCAAGCTAATCGTATGATATAGCAGCGGTATTGCGATCCGATTGAGTGTTTTGGACGCTCGGCATACGCTGGCGAGCGTGCGAGAGTCGCCCCTCAAATCCTCGAGGATATTGAGCAGGAGCTCTTCCGGCAATACAGAAGTTCGAATCATTCTAGCGGTCCAAGTCCTGCTCAGGTGTAGTTGTATTCAGAGTCTGCGATCGAATATGTGGTGGGAGCAATGTTACTTTGCGATGCTGGCGTCGAGTGAGGGTTCGCTGACTGCTAGAAGATTTGTAGTTGTGAGTAAGATCCCTTGTACTTCTTGTTGTTAGATGTGTTTGGAAGATTTTCGAGCGAGAGAAAAGGTTTGTGTTATACCTTTTTAATGTCAAGCTTTATCTATTGTTAATAGCTCTTTCAACTATATTAATATAGCTTTTAACAATGTTAACAAAGCTGTTAAATAGGGCAACGTTATTTAGCAACGCCTGCTAAAGCAGTATGTTTACCTGCGCTTGCGCTGGTATCGCTCAGAAATATATGCGACGGCCATACAAGTTGAGCAGCCTCTGTGCCAGCCATGGATGTGGGTGACAACCTTCTGGCTGGCTGAGTGCCTGGTGCGGGCAGCAATTGATCATTTTTTCAGCAACTCCTATAGCTCCGGGGGCTTTTTCAGTGTGGAGATTCCTCAGCAGGACATACTTAAATGTGCTAGTGATATTTAAGCCCCAAAATTGCAATGCTAATCACTCCTTACGCAGTTGCTTGCCGACGCTGCACGACGTACACAACTCACTATGAATTCAATGAGCACGCTGCCGAATGAGTTACTCCGAGAGATTGCGAAATCTCTGTGAGGCGATACAAAGACCTTGTGTCGCATGTCCCTCGAATCACGGCGTTTCCGAGCCACTGGCCAAGAGGTCTTGTACAGCATCATCAGGCTTCAGGAACTTCGACGAGGAGAATTATACTTTCTTATACACACTTTGATTGAGAGGAGTGACCTAGCTCGCCGAATTAACAGCCTGGAGTTCACGGTCACGCGAAATTGCAATGAAACGGAGGGATACCAACCAATACTCGACGATGTCTCGAGTTTCGGGATTGAAAGCGACAGCATCTTCCGCAACGTTAGGAAGCACCTCGACTCGATTGACTCGGACTACCACTGTACTTTGGCATACTGGCGGAACGGATGGGCAGGCTCCTGGGTCAACCAAGCAGCTTTTGGTGGATTACTCCTTAGCCTAGTGCCGAATTTATGTCGACTAGGCGTGACCGTTCTGCGCAACGCGGCGGGTGACATAGCGGTCGATGCTTTCGAGCCTCTTTACGGCATTGAAGAGCTTCAAGATCAACCAGTGGACTGGACGCCATTCATTCCAGCCCGAAACCAGCTGGAAGAATTCTGTTGCCGGATATGGTTACTACTTCACGTGACCTGGACATGTATATATATAGCCATATTTCTCGTATTCTTAATTAATTAACTTATGTCTCAATACTCTGCAATTCATCCAATAAATTCATCATACATGGGGATCACTTCCCACTCCTGAAGGTCGGCTTTCGCAACCTACAGATCTTGAACATCGACATATGCCGTGGTACGGGTATATGGTGGGAGCGCGTTACTATTACTAGGGACGATAAACCTCTAGCAATGCCCTGTGCACGGCTTCACACCTTGAACCTCACTTCTTCATGGCTCGGACTTAATCTAGAATACATCACGAGCATCGGACAAGATTGGCGAAGGGCAATGATGGTCCTGAGATCTTCAAATCTAAAGCGGTTTACTTTTACCCTCGTACAGGGCCGGGAAGGGGACTCTCGAACACCCGGTTTTAGTTTCGTTCTCCGTCAGGGGCTTAAAGTCGTCGCTCCAACATTGGAGACTTTACGCATCCAACTGGATTCCACACCCCACGGAAGGAAGCCCGAACTTCTGGATCAGGGATTCATACACGCCTTCGATCCTATCGTCAGCTTCGACAACTTTCCGCGCCTCCGCAAAGCTAGAAGTCCTCCAGCAAGTCCTCATCCATCGACGCTACGGCAAGAAAGCGTCCGTCAAGCCTAACATCGCCCAGGCTCTTCCACCGCACATCGAACACATTACGATTCTTGGCCCGGACCCCAAATTGCTAGGCTGGCTTGACGAGCTAGAGACCGCCGTCTCGCAAGGCTACTACCCGCAACTTCGACGCGTCGAATTGGAGTGCCACTGGAAGTCTGGCTACACTGCTTCTTGGTTTCGAGCTATGGCACATAAGGTAATTGCGAAGCTTTGCGCTCGAGGTCTCCATGTCGCCGCTATTGATGGGGAGACGCGGCCCGATTATTCGGTGCGAGCGAGTGTATGGGTGGAGGAAGGGATGGGTCACAATGCTGTTTAGTAGTTGCGATATCTAGCGTGCGTACCTCAGAGACAATAAGCGGACGGCACATGCCCGAGCAGTGGTATTCACACCTCGTAGAGCGCCTGGCGCCCTCCTTCCCTCAGAATATACCTCATTCCAGAATTACATTCGCCCACTCGCCGTGGATTTCGAACAATCGTGCAATACCGCCTTCATCTACGCATCCATCATTCCAAATATTGACCACTTCCCTCTTCGAGGAGTTTCTGAACTCCTTTCCGTCCTGCATAATTGCCACTGTACCCCCCTAGCCCGCAGCTTGTGCGACGCCAATTGCCACCCGCTGAGCTGGGGCGCCTGCTCACCACATATCGTCCGACAGGATAAGACAATCTCTTGCAGTCGTGGTAGCACTTCCTTCGCATCACCGAGATTCCGAAGCCAGTTGACAGTCGTCGGATTAGGACAGATGATGGTGAATGATTCAAGCGACCTGGGAAAACAGAGCGCAGGCATCATCTTCGGGTGGTAACCTCCATAAGCAGGGTATACGATAACAGCTTGCAACACCTTTAGAGAGCGCAGATGCGTAAAGTTTGTGAAGGTAGTAGCCCCCTGGATGCCCTCAAGCCATTTCAGGTTGAAGCTTGATTCCGCATAATGGACGTCGAGTTTGAGATGTTCCAACCTGCTCTCCAACGGGCGAATGGCCGCCAAGAGGTGCCTAAAGCCTCTCAGCGATCCAGTGGGTCCCGCGGGTACGTTATGCTTCAGGTAGTACTCGAAATTGATGATATTGTAGGAACCGATGGCGCGTACTATGGGATCTATGTCTCTCCAAGGATGTAAAGAACAGTAGCCGTACAAGACTAAATCCTTGAGACCAGAATACCGTTGTCCTAGGGAGGACCTGATGTTGATGAGAAAATTCTCCGGGGCTCCATCATACTGGCGAATCGGGCCCACTTCGAGCTCTAGTCTTTCGAGCGAGTCAAAAGGAAGGTTGAGGATGTCTAGGTTTCCGAGCAGAGTCTTCAATCTCTTCACGGTCCTTAGGCCTTTGAAGCCTGTGTCCAGATGAACTAGATCTTTGGCCGCACGCGAAGTCGCTAGAAGCGCATGAAGACAGTGGTACTCTTCGTCGTCCTCTTCGGTCCGGTAAATTAGAAGCTCAAGGTCCACCAGATTCGGGAAGATTGTGAGTAAAAGACCAGCATATGCTGCACGCCTTTGCTGCTCAATTGCGTGTCGCCACCGGGTTACGGCACGGTAAGTGCGACAGTGCGGGTTGTGAGAGCTGTTGGTAATGCCATATGTCCTCAGTAAGTGGGAGACAGCCTTCTCCTTGGTGGCAGCGATAGAAAGTTCCGAACTCCCCTCTTTTGCTGCCACATATCCAATTCCGAAGGATACGTATCTCTGGACTGCCAGGCTCAGAGCGAGATGCCTGGTTCTGGAAGCTAGATGGGATCGGTCCAACAACGTGCGGCCCAGGGCCGCAATAAGAGCACTGGTACGGCCGTCCAGAGTGATGCTTCCATATATGACCTCTTGTGCGACGTCGTTTAGCCTCTTCGAGGCTCTCGACAGGGTATTCAAAGTCCGTTTATCGCCCTTGAAGTTTCCTAGGATGGCTAACAGGACTTCGTCGGGAAGGCCTGAAGGGAAGCCATCTCAGTAGCTCAGTGCAGATAGAGAAAGGCAAGCGTATGTGTGCAGAACGAGGTCGCTGGCTGTGTGAAGATGGCAGGCGGTGAATTTCCCACCAGATAGAAAGGATTTGTGTGGAGCTATTTCTATCCATGGTTTGATCGGAGTTAGCGTGTGCGAAGAACCGTGATACCTGCAACAAAAGGTCACGGGATCAAAATAGATGTCAAGCATGAAGATTTTTGTAGGGAAAGTACAGCAAAAGCTAGATGGGAATCCCTAGGGAATTTCGGTGGAGTAGTGTAAGAGTGAAGCGAGCGTCCTTACCCGAATCGAAAAACGATGATGTCAGAGAGGAGGTGAAAAGAGCTGCTCAGCGGCCCCTTTATGGCCAAGCTGCCTGCGTTTTGTCATCGACAGTCTTGACGAAGTCTCGTCTTAGCGACCGTTGGAGAGCATAAGTGTTTCAAGGTTCAATAGCGCGCACGTGACCGTCCTTTTCGGGCTTGGCGTGGAGCTGGGCCGCTGGTTCGACCAATGGCGGAGCAGCTGGAACGAGCTGATCGGCGTCCGAAACCGCCGATCTCAGGGGATTGTCGCGAAGTGGAGGTAGCCTCAGCACTGCCACCTCGTTCACGAGAATATGTCTTTCGCCTCGGAAACTCATCAAATCCTTCCCGGCCATCTTCGCTGCTTCCGTTTTGCATCGTCGTTCTTGACACCGATTAGGCTAATTCCATGCCTTCGCCTGAGAGGCGTAACACTCTATCATACGGCCGGCAGCATGAAACGCTTTCATCGAAAGACAAGAACTGGTTGTATTCAATGTAAAAGGCGACGCGTCAAGGTATGATTTCCCGTGCTGCTTGTATTCTACGATGTGGGTCATGTGGCCCCCCTAATACACGCCAGTGTGACGAAACGAAGCCGGCGTGCAAGAACTGCTCTCGGAATCATCTACAGTGCGGCCTTGCATTTCTCACCCCAATAAAACCGGAAGATCGGCTCTTAGAACCCCGAGCGATATCCATCAGCTTCCAGTGCCAGCCTGGAACTTCTCCATTAAGCCTGGGCGTGGACATAGCAAGCCCGCCATTGGACCTCGAGAGCATGGAACTGCTGCATCACTACACTTCGGTTGCATTTCTGACCATCGGTCCATGCCGGAACATGCATATATGGCAAATAGAAATTCCCCGGCTGGCACTTTCCCACGATTTCCTCATGCGTGGCCTGCTAGCCCTATCAGCGGTGCATCTAGCGACCTTACAGCCGCATCGCAGCTTGCAACTCCGACGACGCGCTGCCACAGCTGAGCTCACGGCGCTCCCTTCCTTTAGAGAACATACATCGACCACCAAGTCCGAAAACATACATGCCGTGTTTGCATTCGCCGGTTTCCTTCCCCCATACCTCCTTGCTCAATCCGGATGGCTGGACGCACCAAGAGGCAGAATACCGAGCCTCGATGATGACCGGCCGCATTGGTTCCTTTTCATTAGAGGATTGACAGGCCTGCTCGCTCGAAGCTTGCCTGAAATAGCCAAAGGCCCCTTTGGCCCCACGCTAACGCGCACGGTTGCACCTGTCGACTGCAGCAGAAATCCTGAGGATTCCCATCTCGCCGAAGTCTATCCTCTGTTACAACCCACAGCATCATCCACGCCTACTGACAAGGAAGCGCTTTCAGTGTGCCGTGGAGCCATTGATGAGTTACGCAGAGTGGCTGCATTGCCATATTCGCCTTGCAGGACGCTAGAAGCCAGGGCAATGGCATACATCTGGCCCGGCAGCGTATCGCACGATTTCGTGAATCTGCTGCATAGCCGTAGACCGGAAGCCCTGGTGATCTTGGCGCACTATTGCGTGCTCTTGAAGCAGTTAAACTGGTGCTGGTATTTGAGGGGTGTCGGTGATGCTATGTTGGGCGCTATCGATCACGAATTGGGAGATCGATGGAGGCATTGGATTACTTGGGCCTTGGACTATCCAACCACAGGAAACATGAGCGGGTACACAGCCATCGCGAGCGCCGCCGATTATGAGCCGGAGCACTGAAAAAGTTAACACCTCGTTCCATGCGAGCTGTGATTGGCCAGCCCTTTTCACCCGGCTTTTATCACGTGGGCACAGATGGGAATCGACGTTTACATTGATTCTCGGAGCTAAGCACGACTGGATTCAGCGCCATCGTTCCAATTACTGTCCTACTGGATACGAAGTCAGAACCGAAATTAGGCCAAGGAAGCATCTGCTGGGACTCTGCCCTCCGTCTTCGGATCATAAGCCCCCCGCCGCTAGTCATTGCCTATATATTGAGGTTCCATACACCTTGAGTAGAACCATCCAACGTTGTCGCTCAATTCACTCACACTCACTTTGATACCTACTTGCTGAGTAGCAATGAAGAGTATCACCAGCAGCTTCTGCGTACTCAGTTTGGTTTCTGCAAGCGCATCCCAGACCTCTCGAATGGTCGTTCAGACTGTCCAAACTGATAGTGGTCTGGTTCAAGGCCATTCAGCTGCAACTGCACCCGAGGTGTCCGAATACCTAGGAATACCGTACGCCAAACCACCAATTGGCGAGCTTAGATTCGCCGCTCCACAACGATATCACGGAAACGGTTCAATCAATGGGACCTCTTTTGTGAGTTTTCGCTGGGTACATTTTGTGTACTCGCTGACGGCGGAACACAGGGCTTCTCTTGTCCAATATCGTCAACGTATTCAAGCCAACTCCAGCCTTCACCAGAGGCGAACCTCAACCTCACGGCCGCGGGGGTGAAGATTCTTGACGCCATCGCCCAAACTGGAGATCGTTTCAGCGAAGACTGCCTGACGTTGAACATCTGGACGAAGCCCCAGGTTGGTGAACAAGGTAAAGCGGTCATGCTATGGATCTATGGTGGTGGCTTTATTGCTGGGAACTCCGACGCTCCTACGTATAATGGGGCGCATATTGCAGACCAAGAAGACGTTGTCGTAGTGTCTATTAAGTACGAGCTCACCCATATTGAACCGACCAGGCAATCACTGACCCATCTAGTTATCGCGTCAACATCTTCGGCTTCCCCGGCGCCCCAGGCTCGTCGAACCTCGGTCTCTTGGATCAACGTCTCGCCATCGAATGGGTTCGTAACAGTATCGCCGCTTTTGGCGGCGACCCAGCTCGCATCACGATCTTTGGCGAGTCCGCAGGAGGCGGTGCCGTCGACTTCTACTCATACGCCTGGACGGCTGACCCTGTTGTCGCTGGTTTCATCGCGCAGTCTGGGACAACTGAAGTTGTCCCTCCAAACGATGCGTCGACTGCGGCGGCGCTGTGGTTCAACGCATCGATGATTCTTGGATGCGGTGGGTCGGGTGATAATGCGACGGAAGTGATGAATTGTATGCGCACGAAAGATGTCGCCCAAATCACTACGGCAATCAGCAGCCTCCCAAACTTCGTCACAAGCGTCGATGAGCAAGTTGTATACTCGGACTACCCTGCACGATCACTCGCTGGAAACTTCATCAAGAAGCCCATGCTTATCGGACACACTGACTTCGAGGCTGGTATGGTCCGCATCGTCTCTGGGTTGAAAAACATCACCTTGCCCGACAGCATCCTAGACGCTTTCGATCTCGAGACATTCTACTGTCCTGCTGCATCTCGCGCAAACGTGAGCGTGTATAATAACGTCCCTATCTGGCGCTACCGGTATTTTGGCGATTTCCCGAACATGCGACTTTCGGAGACGATTCACACTGGCGCGTACCATGGAGCGGAAGTGAACATTCTTTTCGACACCGTGCCGGTTGGAGAAGGCATACCGGAGTCTACAGCGGCTGAAATTGAGATTGGTGATTACATGCGCGGTGCGTGGGCTGCTTTTGCGAAAGATCCCGAGAATGGGTTGGATGCTTACGGATGGCCCCGGTACGACCCTACCAAGGAGACGTTGATTCGGTTGGGATATATGAACAATACTGGACCGAACGTTGCTTTTCCGGGAAATTACGACTCCGCTTGTGGCTCGATTTTTCCCGCCATCGCTTCCTAGTCATGGAATGCGATGGGAACGCCGCGTACCAAGAAAACTTGAAAGCTCTTCTCGACAAAACGCATCACTTTCCTGTATTTCTATCGTCATTCAATCATGCGGGGAATCTACGCAATTCTTGTCCTCAGTTCCAGCTAAGGGTTTTCCCCAGCGTCTATGGTAGCCATCGGCGTTTTCTACCCGTTGCCCTCATTTTCCCAGTGCATGATGTTTCCGAAGCCTATGTATACATGTGCAACCGCCTTCCTCCCGCTCCCCCTCTGCCCTCATTCAGGGCGCTTCAAGCACGCCCCTTAAAATGGTACACGTATCGCTCATTCCCCGCCCTCGCAACCACCTTCCCATAAACCCTACTCGCCAGATCCCTCAGCCGCCCCACCATCTTCTCATCCCCATAATACCTCTTTACCACATGCTCCGGCTCGACCGCACTCCACAAACTACTCCAACTATACACCCCACCCTTGCCGACATCCTCGCACTCCATCCTGCTCCTCGCGTCCCACCAGCCCGGCAGCGACCCCTCTCTCGTCTCCGCCAAATCCAAGAACTTGCGGAAATCGCCCAGCACGTCCTGCGGATGGAACGGACTGTAGAGAGTAGCGGGGCGCACCTCGCCCGCGAGGTTGTACTCGTCGTCGGTGCGTAAGCGGTATGCATCGATCAGGTACGTGTACACGGCCCGGGCCTCCAGCATGTGGAAGTCTAGCGCGGTGGAGTGGTCGGGCAGCGGCGCGAGCTTATAGCCTGGGTCGGCGATGAAGGCTTCGGGGTTGTAGGTGCCGAGGACTTTGCCGATGGGGGAGTCGTAGGAGGCGGGTTTGTGCAGGGGCCAGTCGGCTTTCTGGCAGGCTTTGCTGCAGTAGTCGACGGCTTCGCAGCGGCCGCAGTGGAGGAGGGGCTGCTGGGCGGTAGAGGGCTTTTTGCAGGTTGCGCAGGTGCGGGCTGCGGATGGAATTAGTGGGATGGGAGGGGATAAGATGGGGGGTTGAGATGGGATACGTATGCGATGTGGTTGAGTCCATGGTTGTGGTCAATGCTTTGGTGTTGAGGGTATGAGGTCAGAATTTTGGGGCGGTGGTACTTACGTATGGGTGCGAGTGTAGTGACTTATTAGTGAACGGGAGAATAAGTGGGAATAGAGAGTGGCGGTTTCGTTAATGTGAAGTACAGATTCACCAATGGAACTAGAGTCTTCTCTGAAGCCATTCTGCCGATGCCCTTTTCCCAGCCCGTGCTGTGCATATCGATCTAGTGAACCAAGTCCAAATCATGTCTTGGATGCTGGAGGAGGTATGCTTCCCAAGACAGACATATCCGTATCCCCAACAACGCCACCATAGTGTACCATCCAGCTGACCGTCTATCCCTAGTCCGAGGGAGGACTCTTCGGCCACATATCGGAGTCAACGACATCCGACCAAGTCAGTCTCTCCCCATCGTAATACTCCGTATTGCCATACAGGTTCGGCGGTTGGGCTTTCTTTGACGATTTCGCCTTCTTGGACTTCTTTGGCTTCGCTGGCTTTGCCTTCGGTGGGTTTGACAATGAGGCTGATTCATTGTGAGACAGCGCGTTCATGTGGTTCTCGAGTGCGCTCTGTGTGGCGAAGATTCCACGGCAGCCTTTCGTAGGACAGGAGAAACCGTGACCGGTGGAGCGAAGGTGATTTGAGAGGCCGTTCTTGGTGGTGCACGACTTCGTGCAATCCGGGCAAGAGTAGTGCGGGGCGGAAGATTTCGCGGCTTGAGTGACCTGAGAGGTCTGGGTAGAGGCCATGTTTGGGGAAGAAAACGGGGCTTGAGTTGGTGTAAGCTAGATGGCGAAAGAGCGTCAATAGTTATTCGAGAGGTGTTGGAGGAGCTTCAAGCGTTTATGAGAGGAGGCTGTCTCTTGCGCATCTGCACACCCCGCGCTTGTACGACACGGAGCACTCGTTTTAAAAACCGCAAGAATATGCATCGAATAGTATGATTGGCCGAAGAATGGCCTAGAAACTTAATCGACATAGCGAAATATAAGGGCCTCGGACTCTATTCATCCCTATTCATCCCTCAACCCCTGATACACCCCCTGCTCCACCTCCGTCGACGGAAACAGATTCTTACCCAGGTCCATCGGATAATACCTCATTCTCCCCCACTCCCACCGTACTGTCGTCCTCCAGTTCCACCTATTACACTCATACAGCAAAAACCAATATCCCACTGCCTCCTTCATGCCCGGGTACTGGTACCCGCCACCCGCATCCTCTTCCTCATGTATACCCCTCTCTACAATATGCCGAATCTCCTCCTCAGGAATGTCGGTAATTTGCATGCCCTTGCAATCATCATAGCGGTGAGGATACGCTGGAAACGTGTACGTCGGAGCTTCTGGATGATCGCGCACGAATTCGGCGAGCTCTTGGCACTGATAGTATACGATACCGTCTGCGAGATCTTCCCAGTCGGATTGGAGCGGGATGCCTTCATCCTTCATCCAATTGATGTACGAGCGGGCGACGTACTCTTCCGGAGGAAGTCCGTCCAGTCTGCAGCCTTTGTTCCTTCCGAACGTGAGGACGTATTTTTCACCTGGCTGTTCGGGTCGGCGGACGGGAAGGTGAAATTTTAGTGCAACGTATAGGTCCTTGTGCCACAAGCTCTCGTGCTTTTTAATACCGATGACGAAGCGATTGATATACGAGATTGGAACGTCTTCGAGTCGCTTTCCCTTGTGGAAGCCGTGGGTAAATGTCCATTTGGAGGCCCAGGCCGTGAGCGCTTCTCGCAAGCCTTTGGCATGAGCAAGGAGTTTCTCGTCGTTGCCGATCTCTTTTCGGTAACCGTGAGGTAGTTCATTGATGGTGCAGCCCCGATACTGCTCAGGCCCAAAATCTATGCGGTATTCGTTATCCGAAATGGAGCTAGCTGGCGAGGGGCTGCTAGCTAGCGAAGAGAGCCCAGCGTCCAAAATCAGGTGTGCAGGCTCGCTTTCAACTTCATCACCTTCCTCAGCACTGCGGCTCGTCGAGGAAGATGATATGTATCCGATATCCGGGCCCAAGGGGTCATCTTCGGCTTCGGTGTGCCTGCTAGCTCTTGTAGGGGTAGGAGGAAGTTCGGCGTCAGCCTCGTTCACCCCGGTGCATCCAACGCGCAGATGTGAATCTGGTGGGGTCAAAGGCCGTGGAGGAGAGAAAGAGGCATCCGGAGACGAGGCACTACATTCTCCATTCGAGGGGCTGTTCCGAGCTTTCTTCGTCGGCGTGGGAGGGGTCAGCAGCGCGCTAGACGACGCGTGCGACTCCGAGATCTCGGGCGGAGGTGTCTCGGGTCTGACTCTCTTACCCTCCACCTGAGAGCACGTTGACACCATTGCAGGCGATGGAGGCGATCTATGGGAGCTGGACATGCATCCCATTGGGAGAGAAGAGGAAAAAAAGAGGAGGAATCAGGGACAAGTATCCATAGCCTAGGCCCGGGGATCAAGGGGTATGAAATAGGTGGGCCGGAAACGGGACGACGCGTGCGGGTCGCCCGTTTAGGCGCCGTGGCTGACCACCTGAGAACATTCGGGATGCATGGCTGCATTGACCACCCAGGGGTAAGCGAACCTTATCACCCGGCCTCGCCTCGCTCGGGATGGCAGAAAAGCCTTCAATGGGCTTCGAGATGGTTACATTCCGTAGAAGTAGAAGATTCCTGTCGGTTGTGAGATGACTAACTAGGTCAAGGCACTTAGTATACTCCTCTTATGTTTAGCGCCCATGGACTATTTCCCCTGCGCCGTTTGGAAAAGCCTCACTCGACTTCGCCGAGATTTCCCCAGTCGCGCAGCCACTCCACAGCCTTGTTGCGTATGCACAGCCTTTTGCTACGCGTTCGTAGCCTTGCTTCGCGTGTCGGACGTGCTGCGTCCAGTTCAACAGTCCAGTTCTTTTTTCTCGTCCTAATCTCTTTCTTACTTCAATGTCGGCATTGAAGGTGAAAGCTTACTAGAGCCCAACCGGAACGAGGAAGTCTTGAATTCCTTTCCATTCGCTGTCCGCTAGACTGTAGCACTTTCTCTGAGCCCCCTGCGGGGGCGCATGGGTAACATAAGTAGAGCAGGGATAGATGGCAGCGGCGAATCCCAGCTTGGAATGCTCTTTGATAGTCACCATTAAGGCGCTGGGTACGAGGTCAGTCAGGGTCTCATTCGCGGGCTAACTTACGTCCTACATTGATCAGCAAGGGCTCTGTGGCGCATTCTATCACCAAAATATAACATTCCTCAGTGGTGCGTGCTTTCCATGAAATCGACATCGGCATCAAAATCGACAACCACCCTAGCCGCTTGACTGCCTCCTTAAAGGCTTCCTCACCCGCTTTAGATCCGCTAAAAGCCGTTACTCTTGCCTGCCGGCCGTTCGAGCCATCAACATGAAAGCCGTACCCTTCCTGGGTTGGCTGGCCTTATCGTGCGCTCGGGGTAGGCTTACAAGCTGAATATGTCGTGCGCTCCAAATCTGCCTGAGCGCCAGGGAAAGACCGGATTTTTGACATGCACACGAGCAGCTCCGCCGCGCTCGTACACAGCCACATGGGCCGGGTCTCTACAAAAGGCTAGTGGACCCGTTTTCGAAGGAGTCGAGTGATGGGCCCCAAGTCGACTTCGATCCTAGCGGTGCATTTTCTTTAATGCTTCGGTGCTGCGATGCTGGATGGTGAGCAGGCTAGCCGATGGTACGTTGGCGGATGGAGGGCTGGCCTGCTTGGCCCAGGCTGTCGTCGAAGACGTTTCGCTCAAACTAACGGGCAACAAAGTATGAGGAAGCTGAATATGTAAATGCTGGAAGGGGGAGAAGTCGGAGAAAAAGCCGCCGTCGGAGCAGTTGATGGGGAGATGCACCGATCGGCACGTTCTGCGCAGAGTTTTCTGCTGGAGAAGCGATGTCCATGATAAGGCTGTGGGGTCGCGTGATAGAGATGAGCTGCTCGTTGAGGTTCTCCAAGTGTCCGCTCTTCTGCTGCGAAAGACACGAAAGCCCAAGACTTCGTCTGGCGGGAGCAACCAAGAACGAGTCTAGTCCCTATTAGGTTCGCTTCCCAATGCGTCATCGCGAACACGAACACGAACCTCAGCCTCGGTCTCTCATCAACACCACGACTTTATCCTTCGCGCCCTTCTAACATGTCATGACCAAGCGGCCGCTCGACGCTATCGCTGATGCATCTCGCTCAGAAGCACCAGCGCGACCACCGTTCGCGGAGGGTGATGGGAATGGCACCGGCGGAGAAAATAGCGAAGGCCCCTCCTTCAAGAAGCCCCGAAGTTTCATAGCCACTCTAGTATGTGCTCCGGACTCTACTCGGTGAATAGCATATGCTCACAGAACGAGGCTTGTGATGTTTGCCGGGCGAGGAAGACGAAATGCGATGAAGACCGGCCCCGGTGCGGCTACTGCAAGACGATGAACATCGAGTGCACGTATCAAACACCACGGCCTACGAAGTGAGCCACCATGGCATCGCCACTCTTGGTTGCCCGTTGACGTCTAGTGCAGGAAAGATCAGTCCATGTCTCTCGCCATAAATGCCATCAGACGGTTGGAGGCGAAGGTGGAAGATTTGGCAGCCGCCATCAAGACGTCGAATGTTGTCGCCCCTACTCTACCAGGAATCTTCCATGACGGGAGATCACCTATCGCTACGTTCTCTCAAGCTAGTCCGGGGGCGGTTGGCCAAGAGTCAACCAATGCTTTGTCACGTTATGAGCGAAACAACCTGCAGGAGATGCAAGTCTCCCCTCAGGCTACGGGTACCCCGGCCAAGAGCCCGCATCCGGTCTCCGAAATCAATGGTGCAGTCAAGCTGTCTTTCAGCCAGCATGGAGTGGCGCTCTGGCCGGCTGTCAAGCAGATCCTACCTATGGAGTTTGTCGCGGCTCGCGACGCCATGCCTAAGGAGTACGTCGTCGAAATCGAAAGCCAGAGGTCACCACTGCCGATGCATATCGATTACCCCATAGGGCCTGCTCCCGACTCTTGGTTGACGGGCCTTCCACTTTCAGTCATCAAAGGTCTTGCAGACGCCTTCTTCGCGGTGTTCCATCGCAACACGCCCGTGCTCGACAAATTTCACTTCTTCTCCAGCACCCTGGGCCTGGCCATGGAGACCGACTTCGGATATGACATCGAGACGTGCCTAGTATTGAACGTCCTTGCTCTCGGCTGTCTGGCCGTCAAAGCATATGCAGAGGGGAACTTTGCTCTGCCTTCACGTCACCCGCCCTCTGGTACAGACTTCGCTCGGCCTGAATGGTACGAGTTGGTGTTGGATGAGCCGTGTGGCCTAAAATTCTTCAATGAGGCTCGTAAGCGCTTTGGCTTCCTCATGTGCCAGAACGATCTACAAACCGGGCAGTTCTATATGCTATCCACTCTTTACTACGCACAAGTTCTACGGCCAATCGATTCCTGGACGACAGTAAACCGTGCCGCGTTATGCTGTATGAGCATGCTGGCCCGGACCGACTCGATGGACTTCGATCAGTGGGAGGGCGACATGTTCTCGAGGCTATTTTGGTGTACGCTTATGTACGAGACGATCATCACGCAGGAGCTTAGTCTGCCACTGAGCGGATTGCTGGAGTACGAAGCCGATATGCCTATTCCAAAGTTCACGCCTTGCCCGCGACCAAAGACGTCGATATCCGGTCTCCTGGTCGACGAAGACGATTCTTTCTTCAACTTCCACTTCCTCGCTCAGGCCGCTCACCGTATCATCCTCACTCGCATTAGGCACAATCTCTACTCTTTCGCTGAGAAGGAGGGATATCCCAGTCCGACACTAACGGCAGAGATGCACCATCAGCTCGAGCAGTGGCGCACCAATCTCCCTTCATCGCTCCAGTTCGCGGATAATGAAAACGTGGACGATTCGGCAAGCCCAGCGCATGTCATCGCGAAGGCCATGCTACGAAGCCGCTACCTGGTCGCAAAATTCCACATCGGGCGTCCCTTCCTCTACAAGGCCCTCCACGCGCCGGGCCACACCACCGATAGCGAATACCGCGAAGTCCAGGAAGGCCTTCGGGGTGGCATGTTCTGGCCGACGACCATGGGTCTCTGCACTCGAATGCAGTCGGCGCTGCCGCTCAAATTTGGCTGGTGTTCTCAATGCTTTGGGCAAGTCTTGCTCTTCCACGCTGTTGCGCGTTCACCGGACCCCAAGCTGCGGGAGACACTGCCCGAAGGGTGGCAAGAGTGGGTGCAGATCATGATGGCTCTCATCGAGAGTTGCGGAAAGGACAGTCCAGGCATTGCGAAGGATGCTGAGTTGCTGAAGCTGCTCTGAGGAAGCTTCTCCGCAGTGCACAGCCATGCCGACGGCCGACGCTCCCGGACCTGCGTACAAGCCGACGTCACCACGGCATAGGCATTGCCCAGGGAATCATATCCTTCGCCCGCACTTCTGATACCGCGTTGCAAAAGAGAGTGATAATCACCGTTCACGATTTCCTTCGTTCCACGTCTATGGACGCAGCGCTGCGGCGTACTGCTGTGGCTTGTCCGGGTGTATTCTAGGGGAACCAGTAAAATAACGCGTGTGATTTCAATAGGGGAAACCGAGTATTGACCACGCACAAAGCAGACGTCGAGGTTATCATGAGATCTCTTATGATGCGCAGCCCGTGTTCTTGCATCACTTTGATCCGCTGCACCGCCACATGCTCGCATCCTTCAGCCCTGAAACGGGACAAGACCGGAAGATTACGCGACCAGGCATATGATCGACACCCGATTAACTAATTATAGAGGTGGAGCGAACGCTTTGGCTTCCCATTGCCTCCTCCTACGCGTACGATTATTGGGTAACTTCTCGCCGCTAGTCGTTGCGGTTTCGAGAAGTGCTTGCGAAGTTGCATGAAAGGACACCATGAAAGCACAGCTTGTCCTATGTCAAACGTCTCGAAACTGCAAAGGCCGATCGCCGGCGCACACTTGGCGGCACTGTGGCTTGGACGCTAGCCTCGCATGGCGCTTAGCGCGGGCAGGTGGCATTGGGCCGGGAGCTTAGCTGGGACCCCTGCAACAGCGACACCTGGGCATGCGCGACTCAACGGCTCAGGCCTCACAATAATCCCCTGACTGCGCCCGCTCCTCCACAACGCACCCCGACGCTCTTTCCTTCTCTTCTGTGCGCTGCTTGCCGCGACGCTGCTTCACTGATTGTCCTTTCTGAACCCGCCTCGGTTGCTCCATTTATCCGCAGAGTGTCGGGCTGCGCAGCGTCAGGGTGGCCTGGTCTAGGCCACGTACTTCTCCGACCACCTCCGCCCGGGACCATCGAATACCGCATTCCCGCGACGCACCGCATTCCTGAGACCTAAAGCCCCGCCATTCTTTTTGCTCGTCATGTCCGCCGCGCCCAATTATTCGTACTCCAGCCTTGCCAATATGGGTCCGCAAGGCCGGTGGCGGCGCGTGCTGTTCATCGCCCTCATCCCGACGCTGTGTGCGTTCGTTTACTACGCATACGGGTCGAGTTACCTGCCGTCCACCTTCAAGCCCTCGCAGTGAGTCTCCCGCGATTTAGTGAGAGTTTGAGCATCTTCGCCCGTCTTCCTGGCCACGCTCGATGCGACGGCAGCCTTTTGTTCACTTGCTAATCCCACTACGCTCCAAGATACCCATACCAGCACAATGTGTCCCTCCCCGCCGACGACGTATCCATGTCGACCGTCATCAAAGCCCTTTACGGCCCTATACTGCACCCCGTCGACGCCGCGAATTTCACCGATGAAGACGGAGACACACACCATCTACCCGGCGAGCCGCGTTTCAAGGAGAGATTGGGGAAGCGGGTGCTGGTATTGGATATTGATAGCAGACCGCTGACGGGCGATGGGCAGCTCATGAACCAAGAGCTGAAGTGGAAGGGCATGCGCCCGTTGTCGGCGGGCATGCTGAGCCACTACATGTACGGTATGGTTGTCCGTGATGCCATGTTTGGTACCCAGTGGGTGTTTGACTGATGTCTCGCAGCAATGATCCACGGTTACGACTACAAGTTCATCCGCGCACCCGATTACACCGACCGCTGGGGGACATGGGTGAAGGTACCTATGATGAAAGAAGCCCTTAAAACGCACGACTACATCGTGTTCATGGACTCAGACGTCATGTTCCACTACCCGCACCTCCCGCTCGAATGGCTCCTGAACTACTGGAATATGACTCAGGACACGCTGGCCATGATGTCCATCGACCCCGACGAACCGCAGAACTACGACGCAAAAGGCAACCGATACCTGAACACCGGATTCGTGATAGCGCAACAGAGCAAGCGCACGCAGGAGATGTACAAGGCATGGGCCGAATGCCCGTCGGAGAACCGCTACACTGGCTGCTCGAGATGGAAGCTGGACTGGGCGCATGAGCAGGCCGCGTTTGGAAACTACATCCGCTACGACTTCGACCGGCCCGACGATATCAGGGTACTGCCCTGCGTAGAAGCCAATGGCGCACCTGAGGCTGTCAACCGAGGTGGCTGCAAAGGCATCTTCGTGCGCCACTTCTGGGTCGACAAGGGCCTGCTCTCGAAAGGCCTTGCCGACTCAGTCATGCAGTACTTCCTTCCCCGACTACACCAGCTCTACCACCAAACCGCGTCAGAACACATCGTCGACGCGAAAGGCTACAGGCTAAAGGGTGCCGAGCTGATCGAGATGACGCCCGAAGAGCAGGAGCAGCTGAAGAAGGACCAAGGCAAGAACCAGAAAGACGAAGGATTCTAAGCCCAGCATTTATGATACCCCGAGCGACACCGACATCGACTCCCACGCATACCGCCCTCGCGCCGTCCATTCCCTTTGGATCTATTCCTGTCGCTCGATTGCTTACCTCCTGCATCGCTTGGCGTTTTTCGGCGGCATTGTCTTGCGCACCCGTAGCGCTTTTCCGACTTCTTCTTTTTCCATAATTGAACCTATCCCGGCGCACAGATTATAGCGAGAAGCGCAAACGCCAAAAAGGCCTGGAGCACTTCAGCCTGGTTTATAGCAGGCACTTTCCTTCCCCTTTGTACTATACACTTATCCTGGGAAGACTGGTTGGGATTGGGCACTATGGCGTTGAACATGGCTTGGGATGGGGCTTATCAGCGCATGCGTTTGGGTGCATTATCACCTGGCTGGCTTCTACTGTATGAAAGGTGTCGCGCCTGTTGTGAGAAGCAGGGCTAGAGACTGATGAGAAGAGGATACAGGACAGGAGAATGAAGGGAATTTTTTTGAGTTCAGATAGGATTTAGGCGTGTGTGGATACGCTGCGAAGCGGGGCCCCGGGGATGTTTGTTGATAGGATGGATGAAGAGGTGAATACTAGATCATGTGCTCCTCGGGATCCGCGGACCGTTCAACACCTACCTTATCGCGCTTTCCAAGGCTATACGTGACCTCATGCTGGACCGGCTTTGACTATGCGGAGTCAGTCGCTCCTCCCATGCATGAACGGAGAACGTGCTTGGCACCGCAGCAGCACCGCGGGTGCTTCCTTCCCGTTTCCGGGGGCGCGCTGTTAGGATCGCACCACCACCTCCCTTCTGCTTCTACCTTTCACGACAACACCACAGCTGCCGGGTGATACTCAACGCACATAACAGCCGCCTTCTACAGCTTCATCGCCGATGTACAGGGACCACCAAGGCCCGCCGATCCGCTGGCGATACATCTTCTCACGACACGGCGGTGCAATATCGGGAAGGAGACCCATTGTGCACATTGTACCGTAGGGCTCGTAGCCTCTAGACGGCTCATGTGGTCAGGTATTGGTTACCTGGCTGTTTGTATTGTGTATTTGTTGGGGGGTGGTACGCGAACAACCCCCCGGCCTCTTTGTGGCCATGTGATATCTCGGGGTCTTTTCTTCTATGCGCTGTTCTCCGTTGAAGGATCTTCTTTTCTTTACACGCCGTCCGAGGTTGAAGCCTCTTCCTTTCTTCTTGCAGTGTCTTCTCGTCTATCTATCGACGCCGATACCGTGGTCGAAAATCAACGTAAGCATATCGAAGGGTCTACTCGCGACTACGCTGACTCTCACCTCGCTAGCCCTAGAACAGCCGGTCACTGCCATGGAATCAATGTCAGAAGCAAACGAAAGGCCGAATCTCTGGGAGCTGGCATACGAACAGGGAGAGTTCGACGAGGAGGGGATACGCGTGCTCGCCCAGTCGTCGAAAGAACACAGCAGCTCCTGGTCGCCCATGGTTCTTCTGGAGCAGGTCAAAACTCTCAGTTCGGCTCGATTTGTGGAATGCAAGCAGAGCGGCTGGTTGACTGGACCGAGGGGCGATAACTTCGCCGTGATTCATCAAGTCCAAACAATTGTCTCCGCTGTGCTAGAGCTAAATGAAATGGTCAGCGCTGGGTTGAGATTCGACGCCTCAGGGTATGGGGCCACGGCTTGGTCAATCATCACTTTCGGTTTGGAGGTATGTCTTGACTTGCTATGGGTATCTGACCCTTGATGCTTTCCATATTGACCAGAGCCTATCAGCTACGTCAGAACGATCTCAGGCGGACACAGGCCCTTTGCGACGTATCGGCATATCTTGCAGACCTCCTCGCGCGTTACGCTGGCTATGAAATGCACTACAGCGACCCTAGAATCAAGGACTGGAGCCAGTTGCAAGGCTGTATCGTCGACGTGTATACTGCGGTCCTCAAGTATGCCATCGGTGTGAAATCCGCAAGAGAGTACGACGTCGACGTGAAACTCGGGAGAGAGGACGACGTAACTCGTCAGTGAACTCTCTCTATTAATTGAAACCATTCCGCTGATTTTTCTGCAGAACGAGCTCTAGGTAGCTTCCAAGCTATCGCCGAAGACTATCTCGATGCTCTCAAAGCGAAGGTCGTTGACGTCGATGAAGCCGCGAAAGAGTGGCTGAGCCCGATTGCACACCAATATCGATTGAAGGATCGTCAACAGGTGAAGGAACAGACTGCCAATATTCTCTCTGCCGTTTCCCGCGTCTCTGTTGGTAGGTGTAAGGTATCTGAGCAAGAAGAAGTCCGTTAACGCGATGTACAGCGGCCGACGAGAAAGACATACGAGACTGGTTCTCAAGCGACGTCCCAGGCACACATGGGAGAGTTCAAGATGACCTACAAAAGTACAAGCTGCAACTGGAACCCGGAAACCGGTTTCTCCACTCTGAGTTCTTCAAACAGTGGAGGGACTTTCCTCAGCAGATGTATTGGCTCGAAGGCGGTGGTGAGTCCACATACGCTCAAGTTCTCCCAATTGCTGACATTAGACGCAGCTGGGTGTGGCAAGACATATCTATGGTAAGCCCTACCTTTCGCAGACATGTACCCTAAATCATGCCCAGATCCATCAGCTAAGTTCTTGGGCAGCTCCATCATCGTCAGCCATCTGCACGCCACTTACCTGAGCGACTCCCGAAAAAGTATCGCATACTGGTTCTTTGAACCCAAGGGAACTGAAGTGAAAGCGATGGGCCGCATGCTTGCATCCCTAATCAAGCAGATTTTGGTAGGGGTCCAGCCACTTCCACGCTTTGTTACGGAGTTCGTTGAAGATCATAAGAAGCGAAACGCCACTCCAGACATCAACCAGCTCATCAAGCTACTACATCGAGTCATCCGGACGCTAATATCGAGTCGGGACATCTTTCTTGTCTTGGACGCTGTGGAGAGGTGTGGGGAGAGCCCCCCGTCCGAGGGTTCACCCGAACCCCTGCTGGATTTTATTTATAACCTTGCCGAGCAAGTCTACGGGAATCTTCACTTCATCATCGCAAGCAGGCCAGATGACCGTGTCCTCGACATGACGCGTGCGCTGACCATTCCCGCGATAAGGGCTGACGTCGCCAAAGACACCAAGGATGACGTCGACGCAGTCATCGACTATCACCTAGAGCATGGGCCTTACTTGAAGAACGCCTCCCCAGTGACGAAAAACCTCGTAGCGTCGAGGCTGAAGCAGGACGAGCAAAAGTAAGTCGCCAGAGCTAGCGCTTATCCAAGGAAAGAATCTAACGACAACAAAGATCTTTTCCCGGGTCAATGAACAGCTCAAGGCCCTGGAGAGATGCAGAACCGATGCGGATGTCCGAACTGCACTGAGCCGAGTCGGCGGTGTCTGAAGCTTTCCGGAAGGGAGCAGGTACAGCTAGCGCCTGGGATTGAGGAGGTTTCGGGTAAGATGCGGGGATTGGAGGAGATTGGTGTCTCAAAGCTTGGAAAAGGCTCTCGTTGCGCTGGATCCAGTACCACGATCTCCCGCAAGCCCCAGAGAGGGAGATGGATGGTGGGCCTATAGGTGAGGCGAGCCTCGGCGTGAGGAGTGGGCATGTTGTCGCGCAAAAGTTGTCTTTCGTCTTTTTGCTTTGCAACATCTCACTGATGTATATTATACGACATAGTTCGAGGGCCTATCTATCTGCTTAGGCTGCTTCGGCGTCAGCGGGGAAATTGTCTAGCCTTCACGATCTTTCAAGTTACGTTTCTAGTTATGCCCGTCCGAGAGTTAAGCGTGTAAAATGGTTATTTTCGAGGTGAATATGAGATCACGTGCTCCTCAGGATCCGCGGCCCCCCCGCTCAACACCTCATCGCGCTTTCCAAGGTTCTACGTGATGCTGGACGGACTGGCTGGTGAGGATGCGGAGTCAGTCGCTCCTCCTACGCATAGATGGTGGAGGGCGTGCTTGGTACCGCAGCACCCGTCGGTGCTTCCTTCCTTTTTCTGGGTGCGCGGTGGAAATCACGGCACCACAGATTTTCTTTCGGCTTTTTGCGTCGTGGAACATCTCACCATCTCCCTCCAACAACACGGTTGCTAGCTGGAGTTTCGCTGATCTGCGTGCAGGCTGAGGTCCTCCTATGGTTGCAAACAAGTGGTAGGTACGTGTATGTGCACCGGCCGGTGGTGCTTCCTTCATTTGGCTGTTTCTGGGGATGCAGAGTGGGGATCGCAACACTATTTTCTTCCCTTTGTCTCTTTGCTTCGTGGAACATCTCACCGAGCCATACTACTCGGCTTAGAAAGTGTGTTGCCCTGCTTGGGGCGTTGAGGGGGGTTTTCGGCGAGGTTGTGACGGGTCTACCGACGAAATGGTAAGGTGGTGCGGGGCGACGACGTTTGTGGTGTGAGAAGATTCTGAGGTAAGGTGGGAGTGGGCAAACTCGAGTAACAGTGCTCACCCTGTTGCAGTGCGGGATCGTCGGTATGGAGTCAGCGAGCCTCTGACAACACTCGCCTGCATGCATATGGCACTGAAGGTCTTCAGGCTCCCGGCATACCGATTTATTCAACAGAGCATAGGTGTGCAACTGGCGAGAAGTGGATTCACTAGTACAAGTACATTCATGTCGGTGGCGAAGCGTTTCACCACTTCCTTTCGATACAACACTGAAAGCCTTCAGGTTCGGTATGACGGGCCTGCCATACGCGGTGTCGGTTCACACGGTGTGGCAGCAATATCTACGGTGCAAGCAGCTTCCTCGTTGTGGTCAGGAGGGGCACACGAAACCCCTCTCGGGGTAACATGTTGAAACGTTCACAGCATCTTGGATGCGCTGTGGACGATTCGAATCGCTCGTCTTCTTTGGGCCTGTGGTGGCTGAGATACCGCTCTCTGAGATACCATCCCCGCACCCTCCTCCGCAATGTCCCTTCCAACTCTCTCAGACACCCAACAACGACAACGATGAAGCGATCTGGTTCTCGATTACCGTTCGGCTTCAGGCGTAAGGACAAGGATCCAGGGCGCCAGAACACTCCTGATTCGCTCCCCGAGAGCTCCTCTTCGGCTCTTGGTTCGCCGCTCCTCGCCCCACCCGCTGCGCCCAATATTGTTTCAGATGTCCAAGCCGGCGATGAGCTCGAGAGCAAGGAATTTGTCGCCGAAGTATCGTTGCAGGTACCTGTCGTCGAGAAGCCATCCATCGAGAAGCCAGATCTCTGGCAATTGGCTTTCGAATCGCTTGAGCTCGACGAAGAGAAGAAAGCGCTGCTTGCCCCTACTCCGGGCCCTTCGGAAACGCCATGGTCGCCGAAAGAGTTCGTTACAGAGGTTATTGGCCTGACCCAAGAGAGATGCGCGGATTATGAGAAGAGCGGCTGGCACGTCACCACGCAGAACGGAAAGGAGATCAAAGTTAGCCGGCAAGCGAAGTCGATTCTTTGCTCTGTGTTGGAGTTTAAGGAGCTTATTGATGCGGGACTGAGATATGATGTCACTGGATACGGCGCAACAGCTTGGTCGATGGTTTCGTTTAGTCTCCAGGTACGTAAGGTCCCTTATTATGCCTATTATAACAACCTACGCTACAAAGCTAACTCACCTCCCCAGTTGGTGCAGAACGACCAACAACGCATGGACGAGATATTTGGCGCTGCCGAATTCGTTGCGGATCTCCTTTCCAAATATGCGAGCATCGAGCGGAATTATGGGGATGAGCGGATTGAAGACTGGAATTCACTTCAACAAGCAATAGTAGAGGTTTATGCTTCGATATTGATATTTGCGAGGGAAGTTAAATTGGCGCAGGAGGCGCCAAGATCGAGTAAGCCTTGCACAGTGACCATCTCTGTTATGATAGGCTTACTGTATAGCTCGCGTTGTTGACAGCTTCCGTGCTCTGACACAAGACCCCTTACAGAGGCTAAAAGACGAGATAGGTTCACGGGAGACGAAAGTCAATGACTGGATGATCATAGTAGCGCAGAGCTGTACTAAGTTCCCCTCGCTTTGCAAGCTTGATAGAATGCTAACTTCATCTAGTCCGCCGCCGCGAATCGGATGAGATCCGTTCGAAAACCGGTGATATTCTCTCTTCCTTAGTCACAATTTCCAATACTATGACAGAGATTCACAAGTCCGTGAACTGTTAGTCAATCGCTCGCTTCGTTGGAAGCGCAGGCTAACATTATCGCAGCTCTTGAAGAAGACAGACTTCGCAACGAACTTTCGCGGGTCGATTACTCCCGACGGCACCGTGATATTGTGGAAGATCTCAGAAGGCATGACTTTGCTACTGGACGCTGGCTGCTCAATAAGAACCGAGATTTTGCGGACTGGAAACGATATCCGCAGAGCGTAATCTGGCTTTGTGGTCCCTGTAAGCCATACATCGAATTATACGGGCCACATAACTAACCACGTTCGTACTGTAGCTGGGAGTGGAAAGACCTATCTCTGGTAATCGCCTCAATACGTCGATAATGCCCTTGCTAAATTTCCTAAGTTCCACTATAGTACGCCATCTTGAGAAAGTTTACGCAGAAGACAAGAGGAAGGTCATCGCTTTCTGGTACATCGATCGCAACGACAAGCAAACGCAGAGTGTGGATTTGATGATCCGTTGCCTGATTCGCCAGTTGACTGCGACACGTGGAGCGATACCAGCAGCTGTTCAGGCGCTCATTACTGGATGCACTATGCGCGGGACGAGGCCGGACATCGATGAACTACTTCCTGTATTTCATGACTCACTCGAAAGCCTGGGAAAAGACGCCTTTATCATCATCGATGGCTTGGATCAGTGTCACGATGATAGCGGATTCCGCGTACGGTCCAGCTTGGCTGATTTCATAGAACAAGTCATTCATCACGGGCACGACAATATCCATTTCGCTCTCAGTAGCCAGGAAACCGAAAGTCTGCCCAATCCTCTGACATGGCTGCCTGACCAACTGAAGTTGATTTGGGTAAACATGGGTGAGGGGACAGATGTTTGGATATTTACGCAATCAAAATTGGAAACAGAGCCGGGGTTGAAAGATGTTCCTGGCCTTTTGAAGGACAAGATTCGTGAGTACCTGGACGGTAGGTGTGTATTCAATCATCTCTCCTGCTCTACTCACGCTTATAAAACGCGCGATAGTACGTCTTTCTTGTGGGCCTCGTCTAAGCTCAAGGATTTGGCAGATTGTCACAGCGATGCGGAAGATATCGAGAAGATCCTCAAGCAACATTCCCCAACAATGGATAACCTGTATGAGCAGAGCCTGCGGAGAGTCCCCGGGATGTATCGACCTCAACTGCGCTCCATACTTTGCTTTCTAGCAATCTGTAGTCGGCCTATGGCTGTCGACCTAGTGGCCGATTACGTCTTTTTGCGCTCCTCAGACGATATTTCTAGGATCTGCCCGAGTCTGTTGGTTAGACTAGAGACACGTTCGTCCGGTCGTTTGATCCAATTGTCGCATTTCTCAGTACGGGCCTTCCTCACCTCGGGGAACATACTGCGATCGGCCGATGCCTCATTCTTCCACGTCGATGAGGAGGGAACCCGAATTGAGTTAGCAAACCGGAGCCTGGATTTCCTACTAGAGATGAGAACATCAGCATTTTGGCCATTCGCAACATTCCACATCTGGGAGGAGATTACGAGAATTGCACCCAGCCCAGCTAAGCATTCTATCGAGGAGAAGATCTACCAACTTTTGCAACCGGAGCGTACTCCAGCGTTTATATTGCTCAGTGGCCGTATTCCCCAAGAAGCGTCCACGCCGTTGCTCTTTGCTATGCAGAACAAGCTCCGGGATATCGTTCTACGTCTCATCACGGAGCATCAGCAACGATGCTATGCGGGAAGCATTGATAGAGTAATTCAAATATGCTTCGGCAGGAGGGATTACGAAGTCCTTAGTCGAATCCTCGAGCATGATACTTCATACCATGAGCCCGGGATGGTACTCTACGAGGCAGCAGGGTCCGTGGATCACCCTGTCTTCGAGAAGCTCCTGCACTCTATGCCTTCGTCCGCAGTCCTGTATGTCGATGGAACATATGGTACAGCTCTGCACCATGCGTGCCTCACTGGAAATCTCCAGGCAACTAAGCTTCTTGTGGAGTTTGGGGCTGATCCCAACACCAAGGCCGGGCCGTTTCAAACTCCTCTACAAGCGGCGGCCTACAATGGACACTCAGAAATGGCTCAACTGCTACTCGATCACGGTAGTCGGGTCAATGATATTGGAGGATACTTTGGTAATGCTCTCCAAGCTGCGTTATATGGCAAGCGAAAGGACATTACCTCGATTCTGAGAAGTCATGGGGCGAATATTCATTGCCATAGTGGCGTTCTCTGGGTGAAGGCTCAGAAAGAGTTCGTGAA